CTCGCTCTTATTCTCGTTCGCGTTCGACGTTGCAACTCTTTGAGCCTCTCAAGCTGCTTGAGTGTTTTTCTTCTCTCTTTCTCGTTTTCAAAATAGTCAAGGAAGCTAAAACAATCTTGTTGCAGTAAGGAGGAACTTCCTAGCCCACTATATTTGCCACGTGGGGTCCAGAGGAGCAACTTCCCTAGTAATTAAGTATCTCTAGTATTTGATGTATGATAGGAATTCTGATGTGTATCGTTTCCAACTTTGGGAGAACGATACACCTCTGAGGGGACAGCCACTGAAAAATGTTGAACAAGAATGAAATAAATATGTAGTATGGGATAGTTTAAGTTTTTAGAATTCTGATTTGAGTATGCATGATACTCATCAAAGAAGCTGCTCAGCAGCGATATTTTCTAGTATATGACTCCATGTTCGATTCTTTTCTTTTCTGCATTAAATATGACTCCATGTTGCGATTTACCTAGCGGGCGACGGCGTAGTACAACTTCTACTTAGAAGATGCGCCTACTCCACCTCCTACCAGATGCGCTCATCGTCCTCCTACCATCTCCTGCTCCGACGTCGTGATGCCCTTCTGCTGTTGCTCCTTCTTCCTCGCCTGGGTCGTTGATGTTTCGATGCGAAGGGGGATGAAGATCGCGAGGGCGATCCACTGCCTGAGGAGAAGGGAGAGCGAGACCTTTTTCGGCTCCTGCTGCTTTTCCGCCGTCGCCTAGGCCGGCGATGCCTCGACGAGAAGGAAGATCGACGAGGTTTAATTCTACTGTTTCTTCTACTACAGGATTTAGTAGGTCTGCTTCTTTGCTGTGACCTGGATCTTCTTCTATGCTTTGATCTTCTTCTAGAACGGTTTCTGGATATATTAGAATAGGTTGAGCGACAACCTTGTTTTCGCTTCTCCTTCTTCAAGGCTTTTCGACGTGCCCTCTCCCTCGCAGTGCGCTTCCTGTTGTAGTCCACATCACGACTTGAGCCACTAGAAGCAGCTTTCCGCTGGTGTTTCGGTCTTGGTATGGACCCTCGCAGTTGTTCTTGTGCGTTTGCTTCTGCTGGTGGTGCGCTCCAGGTAGAAGCTTCTGCTCCTGGTGCCCTAGAGATAGAAGCTTCTGCGGCGGGGGCGCTAGAGGGAGACGAAGAGGTAGCCCCAGAGAAGTGGTCTGCTACTTCTTTGGAAAACAGGGCTTCTCTGCTTCGACGACCTTGAGAGGCGGATCTGCGTCTCAAAATAGCACTTGCCACCGCCAGGCCCTTAGGGCAGCAGTCCAGTAACTGTTGTTCTTCTACAAAATAAGGATTTCGAAGCCGAAAAAGAAGCTCCCGCTCCGGTGGTCGTGATCGGCAACCGTTTCCGCAATTGCTGGTTGTCAAGAAGTCTACCCCGTGTGTTCCCTTCTTGACATGATCAACGATGCCTCTACTAAGAGTTTCCTTTGCTTGTGTCGGATCTTGTCCTTGAGGCTGTGGTGGCCTGCAGGGCTCCTCTATGTCTTCAGCAGGTTCAGGCTTTCTAACTCTATCTCTATCATGCCTTGCGGAATTATTGTTTACTGATCTCAGGAGGTTCTTACAGTGAAGCGCGGCCTCGTAAAATTTCTCTGAACGGGTTCCGAGGACATCAAGACAAGAGGAGGGCAAGGACAACGACGATCTTTTCTTACCTCTTGCACGACTCCGCTGCTCGCGCTCTAGTGATCTCCTACTACTTCGATGAATTGAGCATCTGTAGCGCGCAAGGCTTCCGACGTGGCTTCGCGCTTTTCTACGTGCTTTGCTGCGTGAATGAAGAGTAGCAGCTCTGCTTCTGCGCGTAATGCTGGCTGCTCTACTGCGTGCCCTGCTGGCTGATCTGCTACGTGGTGCATCAACACTGGCAGCTTTACTACGTACATCACTGGCAGCTCTGCTCTTGCGCCGCGTATTGCTGGCTGCCCTGTTTGCTGCTGTACTGCGTGTTCTGCTCTTGCGCGTATTGGTGGCTGCCCTGCTTGCTCTCCTGCTCCTGCTGTGTGCCCTGCTAGCTGCTGCGCTGCGTGAGCCGCGTGCTCGGCAATCAGCTCTACTATCGTCTCCACTACCTACAACGGCCCTGCTAAGTTGTCGCACCACTGTCGCTACGGACATGATCACGCCCTCAGCTGAGCCACCAGTTGAGGACGAGACAGACGCTGTAGGAGATGAGGATGACGAGGCTGCTGAGGAACGCAAACGTTCTGGAGGTACGGCTCGTCCAGTACCCTGAACATTAGAGCTATTAACGAGGTACGAACAACTAAAAGAAGAATGGGAAACGAAATAAGTAGGAATACTTCGAGTAGCAAAGTGTAATCATAGGTCGTGTCATGCAAATTGATAGTACAACTACTAATGAGTAGCTGGTCCTCTATTTTAACAACATAATATAGCGTTCCCGAATTTTGGCAGCGACACCATGGACATGCGGCTTTGTTCCGACGATGCAGATATGCTTCTGCTGCTTGCCGTCGAAAGCGTGCTTGACCACGTCTACTGCTCGAAGCGGCTGAAGCTCAGCTTTGAGTTCGTTACAACGCCGGGCCGACCCGATTTTCTCAAATTTTGCCACCTTTTAGAAGGTGCCTTGTCCTAAACGACTCACTGAGATCGGCGGGAGAAAAAGCATCCCTTCTTAGATTTTCATAACATTCACATATATCACATAGGGATAGAAATCCGACCCATGGCGGACGATCTTACTCATCATCGGGAAGACGGGCCTCAAAGTAGTGGGACTCGGATGCAGATGCTTCGTCACTATCTCTATGGCCTCCGTTCAGCATAACAATCCTCGATAAAGAAACGGATCTCGTGCATATTCTCGCCGTGCACTCGCTTGGTGCGGCTCAACTGTCCGGAAGGCATTACGACAATGTCTTTGCCCTCCATGGCTGTAGAGTGTTTCCATTCGAAGTCTCCCCATTCGCTTTGGTTTGCTCCGTATCCGCTGCCCGCTTCGATCACCTAAGCTTTAGAGGGAATGCTTGCGCTATACATTATCGACGACGCATAGATAGGCATACTCAACGCTTTGGCCTAAATCTGGTTGACGGGTAATTTTTAAAAGTTTTTTAGTCCCACCAATATTACGCAAAAGAGTAAGTAGAGTGAATTCACAACGCAAATAGCTTCTTCTTCATAATGCACTTGACCACTTTCGATTCGTCGCAGGCGTTTTTGAGACACCAAAGCCGTCTATTGTCGTGGCTTAGGTATTGGCCATCGATTTGAAAGACCGTTATATGCGCTCTTGTGCGCTCGAAAAACCAGCCTGGTGACTCTTCTCCTGAACGAAATCGATCGCGAAGATGGAGGATGCTCAAAGGATTACGAGAGCTTGTTGAGGGAGAAGAGGCGGATTGACTTGCTCCACCACGGAAACTACGCGCTGCAAACGTATCGGAGATGCTATTCTGGGTGTACAGAATATCTCCAACGCGCAATTCCTTCCACTGATGCGGCATCCTCGTTGTTCGGGGATAGCAGCCCTCTTATTTTGTTGCGTAGAAGCAGCAAGACGGGTCTTCAGGACAGTCTTCGCCTAGCTACGCAGCATCATTTTTTCTTCCAGTATTCACGTCTCACTTGTGAAGTTAACCTTAAGGAGAGCCCGAGAAATTTTGTAAAAAAAAAATAAAATCTTATATATACAGATCTCAGACTCAGTAGTCACCAGCAGCTAAGTAAAAGAAAAAGAATTTGTCTCGTCTTATAAAAAGACGATTTGGCCATTGCCTCGTCTCACAAATATGGAGTGATATACTTGTACTTTACGTACTTGCTGTAGCACTTGCTCGTTTTCTATGTTTGTCCGAACACCTGTGTACGATCCTTCAAGAAATCGGATAGGATACTTTGTTCTTTCGTTGTGGTCTTATCATAAGAACCTCGAGAGTGCGGCTCAGAGGGGTACTTTGTGGGGTACTTCGAGTTTCCTCATGGGTGGTGGTACCCACCGTAAACTTTGTTGTAAGTGATAGTCATGTATCGCCCTTTTGCTTTAGATCGTCAGATGAGAAATCCGTATCTCAGATCCGCTTCATGTGTGGCTACCTCTTCCTCCACGTCTTTCATAGCCTGTCTCAATCTTCCCATCTCTTCATAGTGCTGTCTTCTTGCTGTCTCCACACTGCTAGCCGCCTCAGACGCGACCTGAGACCCACTGCATGCTCCGCCAAGATGCAGCGTGTAGAGGCGGATTTGGGCTAAATGGGTTGCAGCACTCAATTCCATACGCTGTTTTTCGGACTTTTGAATTTGCTCGATGAGTTCACGAAGCTCAAGTGCATCTTGATAAGCGGGTGTGCCAAGAGTAAGCTCAGTGAGGCGCAGAGAGTTACAGTTGTCAAGGACGTCGCGGACAGATTCGTTCACCTGTAATATCAATCAGAACAAGTGTAGTGGATCGATCAAATGAAAATGAAAGAGAGGATAGCAATAGAAGTAGAACAAGAACAAGAAGATTTTTGTGCATAGTGAATCTGATTCGTCAAGAAATGTTGATCAAGAAATTTCATCTGTCACATCAATATCTTCCACTTCGTCTATGTTATCACTATCTCATACTTTGTTTTCTACCTAAGAAACTTGATAATGATAACAGATTTTCTTTTCTCATATCTAATGTACCTCTTGTACTGCTTTGGTCACTTTTTGCACAAGCGGTCCGTAGCCAGTGCGCACTTCCCTACGTGCTATCAACCGTTTCAGTACCGCATCCCAAGCTTTTTGGAGTGCCACTCTCCGTTCCTGCACTTTCAGCATCCACCTGGCTACTGCGGCGGAAGTACCATTCTTGCCTTGTGTTTCTTGTTGATTTTTTTGATGGAGGCCTTGTTCTTGTTGGTCAACATCCATATCCCTGCTTGGATCTCCTTCACCAGACAGCTCGTCTTTGTCATTAGAGGTTGAAAGTTGGCATCTCTAGCTCGCATTTCTATGGCTTTCCTACTTGAGATAGCCATAGAGACGCGCATAGAGATGTCAACTCCCAAGCCTTAATGTCAGTTTCCAGTTCAAAAGCTCTAGCAACTGCACTTCTGGCACGTCCATCCATGTCTCTAGAGGCACACATGGCGAGTCTTGGGAGTTCTTCTCGCCAGTCTTGGTCTTCGATCGTCTGCATCGCCACCCGGACATGGTTGCATGCTGTTGATGCGGGTTCTTCTTCCGTCTTACCGTTGCCTGATGAGCCACCGGCTGAAGATGCCTCAAGATCAGCAACCTGTTGCATGTCGACATCTTGTGACGCGCTTGTGAAAGAGAAACCAGCAACATGTAGAGAAGTAGAAGTAGAAGTGGTTGCTCCATGATTAAGAAGTTCTGACGCATTCCCATCCTTAGATGTAGATATTTTGTTAAAGCGTTCATTTATCTGCGCTATCGCAGCTGCGATGTCGGGATCTTCATCATCGTCGATAGTGTTGGCATCCTCTACCTTTCCATTTGAAGTCGCATCTCCTGTGACAGCTGGTGATGTCGTTGATGGAGAGGATTCTTGGTGCTCTTTCGTATTACCAGTATTAAGATTTTCTCTTGGTAGAAGCCGTTCACCACCGTCTCTTTCTCCTTGATGCGGTTCACCACCATCTCTTTCTCCTTGCTGCCGTTCAAGCTCAGCATTTCCTTCTCCCTTAGCAACATCTGCTAACCCAGCTTCCTGTGCCTCTGCACCACAGCTACAACAGCCGCCTCGTCCGGTGGTACCTCCTCCAGCACCATGAGCATGACCATGATCATCTGGCGTGTTTCTTCGAGCTTCTAGAATAGCAACGCATTTGGCAAACTCCATTTTATTTTTGTCCTGGTCCTCGACTTCTATGTCTATCACTTAAGAACAACCGACGTGGAAGAGAAGATGAGAAGGATAAACATGTGGCACTTGACTGCTTCTAGATGTAAGTCTTACGAGGAAAAAAACCGCGTAATGTGACTGTTCAGAATCAGAAAATGAAATCAATCAAAAGTATGATGCAATCATGAATTAGAAGAGGCGGCCAAAATCTTCATGATCACACAACTGATCAAATGTTTTCTGAACGTTGCTCAAGCGGGATCAGCAAAAACTGCACATTGATCGCTCAGAAAAGCTCAGAGGATTCGCCACTGCCCTCGAGAATCTTTCACAGGAACCGGTGGATCCACAGCCATTCATCCATTCGTATTTCGTTTTTCCGGAAATCTTCTAGAGAACAAAAGCAAATCCATCGCAAATTAGAGATCAGTGCTCGACGAAGACGAAATTTTTGTAGTTCCCCTTGCGGCGGGTCGTGGTTTGAACTATTTGTACTTGAGCCGCAAATAAATACATGATTCATTCCCAGTAACGCAATCTTAGCGAATTTCAACAATTTGATCGTTTCAATGATATCAACAACATTCAAATACAACAAGTATCAAGCTCCAAACAACAAGATTATTGACTTTACGCACATTCATCTTGCGTCCTCTCCTTCGTGTTGACCTTGAACCTATCGCCTTTCCCCACCCTGGCAACGCGTATTCTCGTGTTAGTTTGTTTGTCACTTCTAGGGCGAGGGTGCTAGATAGGACAAGATCATGGTTCTTTTAGGATTTTTGAGAAGATACCAGAGTAAGATTATGAGTACTTTTTCTCGGAGATCTTTGCCAGACGAGACGAGGATCTAAGAACTGAAAGAGATAGATTTAAGTAGTGGCCGAATCGTAAAGAAAACCGTAAGGCTAAGCCAGTTGAAAAAGACTGAGGCATACACACAGACTGAGATGAACACCCACATCAGAGGAGACACGAGACACCTTGCACGACTTGCTATTGGTAGATAAGAGTGTTAGTTTTGCACCAGATGAAATAGACTAGCGGTTACCTCCGTTACTGTACAGTTTCTTTCTACAATGTTTCTACTTCGTTAACGAAATGAGGAATCTTCAACCTTCAAAGTAATAGAACCACTTGTAACTACTCAAGCCCCGGATCATGAAATGGATATCCTTGATGTTCGTATTGTTCCCCTTCAGATAATGCTGAAATTTGCGATCGTATAAATCAAATATAAATACTGCGACAGGGTACGGGTAGTAGGACTCCTGTCATCCTGACACCGCTTGATGTTCCCTAATATGATTGATTGCGGTGCAAGCCATAACTTCCCCGTTATCTAGAAGGTAGCAGTTTTCCACTTGCTATTCTTGTTTTTCTGAAGTCTGATGTAGTTGCCGTTGCCCCAAGTAAAAGTGTTAATAATGTGAGAAAATTCTGCTATTGATACCGAAACACAAACTATTCTGATTCTTGCCAGTTAGAAAATTATAAATGCACTTTGCACCGCCATTTTTCTAGCGTCTTGTTAAACCATCCCTGAATTTGAATTAGTGGTAAGTACGAAGAGCAAGAGTTATAAGGTGGAAAAAGAACTGTAAGAAAAAAAAGCAAACTACATTATGAAGTCGCCTTGCGTTTAGAAAGCAAATTTATCCGCGACCAGATGTTCGCGCCGTGCCGGGCCTGTGATGAAGTTAAAAAGATGATTCTAAGCTTTAAAAAAATATTTATTAGAGGGTGATAGAACTTGAGAACAACATCATCGGTGGAAAACGAAGCATCGGTAACAACTACTAGAGAGCAAAAGCTGTAGTACTAAGAGTATACTAGAAACACAAGAAGTCATGATGCTAAGAACTACCTAGACATCGTGGAGGTGCGCTCAAAACCAGCGGTCGCAGGGAATTTCTCAGCTCTCTGTCGGATGATAGTCTGCTGACTTTCTAATTGCGTTTTCACGTTGTGGTACCTGGTGTTGGATGGATGCAGTAGTTCTACATTGCACTGGGTACTACATTCCTAGTCGAAGAGTAAGAGTAGTAAACACACTCGAGAAAATCATGTAGAAGCAAATTATTGATAGAAACATAGGAAAAGTAGAAGAAAGCATAAGATGGCCAATCTCGATACGTCGAGGACTGATTTTCATCTGATGATCTCCAGATACTACTAGTTTTGGTAGTAGTTCCTACCGTTGCAACAATCGTTCGAGCTCGGTTTTTCGGGCATGCTTCTGTTCCTCACGTCCTGACTGGATTCCTGTTTGATGTGACGAGGAAAGATATCACATTCTTGATGGTTATTTAAGGTTATCATGGCTAAACATGGAAGGGACTTGTTGACCTGAAAAGGTTCATCTACGTTCGATGTCTACTGGCCATCGTTGTTCATTGATTCTCAAAAGATGCTTATGATCTATGCATCACAAGACCGAAAAAAATAGTTTTATTACTCTTCAACAATCCATGCATTTCTAATGCCTGCTTTCGTAAAAACTGGTCTTCAAGAGCTGCTATCTTCGCATCCCTCTTTGCTTTCCATGCCGCATGCTCCTTTATCTCGATCTGGTCTGCTTGTTGCTTTGTTTTCTGGGCTTCGCTGTGGGAGGGTGGGGTGGGGAAGGAGAGGTAAGGAGGTGGTGTGGAGGTTGGGTGGGGAGGGAGCCTTGGGCTGAGTAAGTTGAGGTGAGAATGATACAAATGTGAGAAGATGAAGTAAATTACGTTCTTGCTTGGAATTCGTAAAATTCATCTCTGAACAGATATTATTTATACCTGTATTAATTTCTCTTCTTACTTGTCTTTTTCCAAAGAAAAAGTACTACTTGGAAGATAAATTTGTTTTCTTAAAAATTTCCAAAGAAAAAGTACCTGTATTTCTTTTGTTTTGCCAAGGTGTCTTGAATTTTTCTCAGGTTCAAAAGCTCCCTACTCCATCTTGGTGTTCGTGGCGTAGTTTCTTTCTTTACCTTGTCCATGAAGGACATGTGTTCTTGCTTATGTCTCGAGCCGAGAGTGTTCTGCAAGTTCCCTGCACAATTAAAGGTTGAAACATTTCATTTTCTAGTAGCAATCTTAAGTAGAGTGAGAAGGCTTGTAAAAATGAAGGGTTTCAACCCTAAACACAAAGTAGGTTTGGAAGTAGGGGTCCGTAGTTCGTTGTTGATGTACAGAGAGATCATATCAAACTACTTACGAACCACATTGAGAAGTCATGATTGAAGAACCTGCATGACTCTCGAAATCAGCGACTTTCTTGTCCCATATTTCGTTAAATTCCTGTAGCTCTTTCATATGCGCTTCTTCGACGCCTGAAAGTATTTGAAAAGTAAGTTGTCATTGTCAACCCGTTGTACTACTAGAAGGTTTACATGTTCTTGAGTATTCGAGGGAAAAGATCAAATCCTGGTCGTGTTCAGTGAATCTTTTTCGTCATTGTTCGCGTTCAGTGAATCGGTTTCGTCACGACTACGTCAAGCACTACATCAAACGCTACAGCGGCTACGTCCAAAACGATAAGCGAAGCGATACCAAGACGTTCAGCAAGTTGTTGCGATCGAAGCTCTTCCCTTCTCCTGTTCTCTTCGTGCATTCGCAATTGATCTAGCCGCGTCTTGGCGAGTTCCGCCTCTTCGTACCTGTGCAGTGGATGGGAACAAATACAAATCTTCCAGTAATGTATGATACTGAAGGAGATAGACGGTGTTTAGTTATAAAGACTATATCTTCGTCCACTAATGAAGCTGGAACGACACTCAGAGTATAAGGAACTTTTAACCATCTTCGTCATGGGTACATCCTGATAAAATCAAAGGGTTACAACTTCCAGATGGAAGGGTACTTTTTTGATAAAAGGGTGCTTCCGCCCGGTCTAAAATATATATTTTTTTTGGTCTAATAAAATAACCCATTAAATATGATCGTATGGTTAAAGAAGTTTTTGATAAAAGGATACTTTCCAAGCCTCTCGCATTCTGTTCGATGTTTTTCGAGGACTTCCAAAAAATCTTGAATTTGTGCCTCCTCGGCTGGCGCAGCCATTGACGCCATCTTGTCGAGTTTGAGTTAATTTAAAGAATCAGAAGTAGTCTGGAGGGATGATATTTCGAAAGGACTACCTAATCAGAGGGGAACAACGAACACTAATGATGAGTACTAGAGAAACGGTTTCACAGCTACTCGGGACTAGAAGTAGAAGGTTGAAACAATCAGATTTGATGGTCCTCTAGGCGGTTGTAGTGCACAAGGAATAGCTCATTTTTGTCTCAAGTGCTCTTAGGAAAGGAAAACATAATTCAATGCTCTTTGATACTCCTTTTTTATTGTGCTTGTTCTTCCCTTGCTCTTGTTGTTGTATCCTCTTCCACCTTATCTTGAAACCAATTCTAATTCGTCCTCGGACTCCGAGCTGTTCTTGTTCTCTCGAATTTCAGACTCTGTTTTTCTTGTCCATAAGACTACTCTTCTACGCTTGTTCTCTCGGGAGAACCTCATTGCTTGAAACACCGAGTGAGGAGAAACTGCACTCACTGAGGCAGCAGAGTAAGATGTTATGTTTGGCAGCAGGAACCGGAAAACCGAACAACAAGTTCATCTAGGGCTGCGCCCGGCAGATAGAAGTAGAAGTTGTGCCAATTTCAAATCGAACAGGTCGTCAAGTAGTTCTTCTAAATAGCAACATTTCTTACACAATCATCTACTATCATAGCTTTTACATACAAGTTCAAGTAAAACCAAATCCTTCTTCTATATTTTGTCTTCTTCATCATCAAATTCAACAAGACAATGAAAATTAGCATGTGTTAATTGTTCTTTGGAGGACATCTTCAGCAGGATTCATGCCCGTACTAAATGTTCACAACGATCATGAAGACTTACCTCGTCCGGTCGGACAATAGTACAGTTCATTGTTTTCGAAAACATGACATATGAAAGTAAGCTCCATGCTGTACCTGCAGTGCTGTGGTCAACCACGTAAACAAGCACTCTTTAGTCCTCAACTAGGAAAAACTAGTCCAAAGGAGCTAGTATTCGAAAAAGTAATTTTGATCGATTAAAGGAAAAATCTTTGTCCCTTTCTACTTAATTGTCAGCCACCTACCGAGCGCAGCACTAAAATCCAAATGGGTTTCCATTTGCTGCATTTTGTTGCATCATGTTTCCACTACCCATGCCATTTCCCATACCCATATTATTACCCATCATCCCCATGTTCCCCATCCCCATATTGCCACCACCCATATTGCCCATCATAGGATTCGCACCCATGCTACCCATCATAGGGTTACCGCCACCTGCCATCATTGGGTTTCCGCCCATTCCGTTGCCCATGCCATTACCCATCATGCCTCCGCCCATGGGTTGCATGCCGCCACCCATATTGTTCATACCCATGCCTCCCATCGGGCCCATGTTGTTCATTCCACCTCCCATCATGTGGATGCCACCTGCACCGCCCATCATATTCATGCCACCCATCTGCATGCCTCCGCCGCCTTGGCTTAGAAGAAGAATCATTGATGTGGAGAAGTTGAACTTGATGGAGAAACTATTCACTCATTCATTTGAACCACGTAGCAGTTACAAGTAACTGCCTGGTCCCGTTGTGACCCGACTAGAGACACGGCAGTTATCAAATACCGACTGCTTAACGACGTGAGTAACGTCTCTGGCAGACTAAATAAACCGAGCCGAACTTTCTCTGTCTTTTTCCTTCCTTTCCTTCTCATTGCAACGTTCTCCTGTTCTGTCTACCTACATTGTCTATTCTAACTTCGCGGCCTTAGCCAGGAAACTAACAAAAACATTATGATACACAGACTCCTTTATTGCAGTCTTAACATTTGCATTCCTCCTGCTCCCATCTGCATCCCACCTCCTGGCATTCCTGCGCCTCCCATCATATTACCTGGAGGACCTGCTGATAGAGCACTAAGGTTTCCCGGAGCGGCGGTTGTTTTACTTGCATTTTTTGGCGAGTCCGCTTTTACTGGAGCTGGTGTTGGTGCTGCGGCGGCTGGCGTTGTACTAGGCATATCAAAATCGACGAGGTCGAGCAATGGATTGCTGAGTTTCGTTGATGAAAGGAGAAGGTTGCTCCTCTTTTGAGATCAAGGAAGAGAAAATGCAACATCAATCGCCGATAGTTTCATTGCATGCTAGAAGAAGCAGTCTGCCTTTCTGCTAAAAATGAATTCTTGAGAAGATATTTGTAATAGTGAAAATGTACATCTTCCTTTGCTGGAAACGAATCGTTCTTCATCAAATACCTTGTTTTCGATGCTGTTGCTGTAGGCGTTACACCAGCACCGGGGGAAGGCACTTTACCAGGGTTGGAGCCAGAAAGAAGGTCTAGGAGTCCGTCGCCGCCTGCTCCGGAGCTTGGGTGTTAGAACTAGAAACCTAGTAGTACTACTATCGGGGTATCCGCGGAATACTATGGTGTGCTTTTGATTGTACTAGATCTTAATCAGTGTTCGGGTGTTAATCCTAATCAACAAAGGCTATCACCGCGTTATTCTCTTTAGCTTTACAACCACCATTCCATAACCTGATGCTGGCGCAGCCGCAGGAGCATTCAAGCTCAATATTGAGGCTGCTCCGCCACTGCTAGATGCGAAGTCGCCAAAGCCAGTATCGGCAGAGTTGGTGAAGCCGCCACCACTAGAGAAATCGCCAAAACCAGCGTCAAAAGAGCCACCAGCTGTAGTGGAAGTCGTCTGTGGTGCAGACATAAAGCCTCCGGAGGTATGAAAGTGAAGATAAGAGAGCTTAAGGTGATGGGGCGGACAAAAAACGGTTTTGATGACTTCAAAAAGAAGATTACCTATCAAGACAGATACGAGTGTAGGGAAAATGACCTTGCAGTTATCTTCTACACCCCATGATTCATAAGAAGAAGACGGAGTGAAAGGAGTGGAAGCACAACCAGAACGTTTTCTTCATCACATTATGGCTTACCCTAGTAGTAGTACTAGTAGTAGTAGTAAACCCGATCCAGGGGTACGTCAAAACCTAGCCCATCTTCTGAAGCACTCTGAAGAGGCTCTATTTCAACGGTAAAAGAGAACGGTAAACTCTATTCTGTGCACCCTTGATAGACATACTGCATCTACCTGCAGGATGAATCGATGTGACGAAATTCCACAGAAGAGTAGAACTTGTAAGCCAACGAGAGAAAAATGCTTCTCAGAATGGGTTAGCCAAACCACTTCGACTTCCACCGCCATTCATAAGAAGAAGACGCGCCTCCACCACTTCCACCGAAGAAGTCATCTTCTAGCTTGCCGCTAGATGGTGGCGCCGCGAAATCTCCGAAGCCGCCAGAAAAATCACCGAAACCGCTATTCGAGTTCGCTGCTGCACCTTGATGTCGTTTGAGATCATGGAGGCGAAATAAAGTTGTTAGGTGATTGATGTTGTTTGAGATCGTAGAGGTGAAATAAAGTTCTTGTTAGGCTTAGGTGAGCTCCTCCTGCAGGACTTTTTTGTTATTGTTTGTTGAAGATTTAAGATACTTGAAATAGTTAGGACTTACTACCTCCACTAGGAAAGAAATCGTCATCGAGAAGGTTCGATTCCTTTTTCGACGATGGCTGGGCACCTCGAGCGTTATTTGCAGGTCTCGGGTATGAAAGGGGAAAAATTATGAGCGGATTATGAGGGACGTTTGTGTGTCTCGACAATACCTTTGGCCCTGCGCATTTCTGAGGAGATGATCGCGATCAGCCTCTTCTCATTTTAAATATGATTCATCTACTATTTGGCATCATAACGTGCTATTCGTTCTACTCGATGCTATGCGGTTGCTCTTGATGCCCACTTTCCCGTCTCCTCCGGATTTTTCTGCAGATATCTTCCTATTAGGATCGAAGTCTTCGCCCTCGGGCTTGGAGCCGCTGCAGGGGAAGTATGGATGCTCTTTTGTACGAAATGGACTGTCGTGAGGTAAGACACAACGAACTTCTTCAACGTCTCCATCCACGTACCCTCAAATTTAGAAAAGTACCTTTCTCTCGTCGGCGTCTTCGTCGAATAGCCTCCAGAGTCGCGATCCTTGTATCCGTCACTCCCAAAGCCACTGTATTTGCCGCCTCCACCGCCTGAGGAAATTGCGTTAGAGCTCACTCTAATCCAGCCTGAGATCCATCTCGGACCTTTTTTCCCCTTATCTACGGGAGGAGCGCTTCGAGATGATGCTTGCTTCTGGTCCAGATGGAGATGGATTAGGGGAAGCCTTAATTGTGCTTGTGGCAATTCCACGGGTCCGTTGCCTGGCCTCCTTGGCTTTTTGTCTCTCCTCCTGCAACAGGCTAGCATCGGAAACTAACTGAACTATGATGCCGCTCAAATCCCGGACGCCCTGTCCCCGATCCTTGCCGTCTTCAATATGCGAGAAACTGCTCAGGGACTGAGAGATGGATATGAATACGTATGTCGGCCTATATTTTTTATGAAGAAGGGAGTGCACAAGGAGGGCAATCTTTGTTTCTGTGTTTTCATCTAGTAATTATAAACGGCTACTAGTGAAGAGAGTAAGTACCCGAATCTTGAATTGGTTATCTCGGACTTCGTCAATACAACGATCCGAACCATTCTTTATCAAAAATTCGAGCAGCGTCAGCGCTTTAAAAACTTGTCTCCATTTTCGTCCTTTCGCTGGACTGATGCAGTCGGGGGATGAAAGGTGGAGGAGGTGGTATGATGGGAAGGAGACGAGCAGCAGAATGGAAAGACTATGATATGACAGGGATCATTGTGAGGCAACTTCTAAGGTAGGTTAGGTCAATGATATGCATGAAATGACCATGGATCAGCATCAGAATCTTGATGCAAGCGTCCGAAGAACAAATAACCTCATTTCTGTAGCAGGCATGCAAAAGAGGTCAACTATGTATCTCTTGTTGTAATCGCCGCTGCGACGCATGCAAAGGAAATTGGATCACAGGCTTCTGTTACTGTTTCTAGCGAGTGTCGCATCATAACCATATATGTCGCATGATCACCCGAAAGTCGTGGTGGCTTCTCGTAGATTCAGCGATACTGTATTTCAACGTGTTCGAAACGTTCCAGTTGGCGTTGCTTGTTGCTTCTGAGAGATTCTTCTCTAGAGGGGTCTGGTCGTACCTGATTTTTCGAAACAAGGGGTTCGGTCGTAGCTGAGGATGGGATGCGTCAAGGTTTGAAGTTTTCAACTACCGAAAAGAAAGAAAATAAAACAAAAAGTCGGCGGTAAGGCTAGAACTAGTTCGTAAATGGAAGTCGAAAAGAACGAAATATGAGTTGTATGTATTAGTTCTCGTTCACGGCCAACATCAATAGCATAAGATGAGTTTGAGTACGCCACTTCCGTCGCCACATCCTTGACCACATCGACGACGTCCTGAATGGACTTGATGCCCTTGAGACCTTGAATGATACCATCCATTTTTCTTGTTTCTTTAAGATGTCAAGTAGAATCGGGAGGTACAAATGCCATAAAAAAGTCAGAAGATGATGATGAAGTAGACTGTTGTAATCCACAACTGGTACTACGTACTAAGCTAAATTATGTTCTTGTTTCTGATATAAAAATCTCATCTTCAAGAACTTCTCTACTTCTAGTTTAACCTCAGTCACTATACTTCTAGTTTAACCTCATCTAGGAGTAGTTGTCTCAGTCGTTCCTCTCCTCGGTCCGAAGTCATGTTCAAGTCTAGTTACTGACTCTCCTCGGCATCTCTCATTTATCACGCGGTTGCCTTTTCCAGTCTTTTGTGAAGAGAAGAGGATTACTTAGCAGGATTAGGAGGACGAACAGGAACACACGCAGCTGCCTCGGTGCAATTTAAGTTGTAATGCTCGACGTCGTGTTGTAACAACATCAGCATATTGATGTTTTCGTTTTCATTAATTTCTGAAACTAATATTCAGACTACAACTGTCTTGGTCGGTGAAGATAACTGATTATCAATACATTTTTACTTCACGAAATTGGGATGTTAGTCCGTCGCTAAGGGATTATTGGAAAAATCGTCCTTCAACAGTGGGTTCATTTGATTTTATTTGTGCTTCCGCCTTCAATGTCTCGCACTACGACGGATGAAGACCTTCTCTTCGTTTGTCGAAACAGGAAGAAATCCAAATGAATCGGAACTATCTAATGGAAAACTTCCTAGGTAGGAGGTACAAAAAGATGACTCATAACAAGATGACTTTGACTGATAAACGTCGTCGATTTGGTGTCGGGAAAAAGGATAACGAATCTGATAACGAATCAGGAAAAGAGAAATAGTGCTGCAAGCAACTTGAAAGCAACAATCAGCATCTTTTTGTTCAAAATTATTCGGTTGATTCATTGATTGATGGCCTGACAAGAGGTTGTGGTTGATCTAATTGAAGGGAGCTACTTGTTCTCCTGTTTTCCTTAAACAGTAAACTGTTGACAACTACACGTCCTGAACAACTACAAGTTGTAGTGTGCTTTCTTCGAATTTCATATTCATACCACCGTTCTTTTGTCTTCTTGTCTGATGAAAAAGTAAAAAAATGCTGTCGTCAAGTTTCAGTTCACTGTACACATTACCTTATTTATAAAAATAAGTTCTTTGGAGTCGGATTCTAGTCCGCGAATAACAAGAATTAGAACTGCCTCAGCCAGATGATGAAAATAGTTGAGTTTTAAGTTGTCCAAGTTGTCCTTTTGTCACGTCCCCGGGCCAGTGATGGTCCAAAGCGGTTCAGTAATGAAAATAAAACAAGTCGCATGATCTCAGTTCAAATATTAACTAGATGTGTGTAGAGTCGCAGGAGTAGCCTCACAACTGCCCACCCGGCTCCGCGCCATTTTCATCCTCCAGTGATGTTGTCGGCGCCGCATTTTGCTCTGTGTTGGTGTCATCGATGCTTGCCTGCACGACTGGAGTTTCCTTTTCTTGTTCCTCGCGTTCCTGGGCCTCGTGCTTAGAGTTCTTAGATGAATCAGTGATCATGATGCTACGTACTCGAGGAGTTTGTTGAGAATCAAAAAATTGTTCTGACGTTGATACCTAAGGAGTAAGAAAAATATCAGGAGAATTTTTTATCTTTTTCACCATAACAACATCAACAGAATCCGCGCCAATCTCCTGTAGTGGTTCTCGACTTGGAGATAAGTCTGTGGAAGATAGTTGTAGAGGGTCAGCCAGCGGGTCCTCGTCGTCGTAGTACAACAAGGAATCCATCATATGATATCCTTTCCGCTCGTCTTCCTCCACAATGTCGAGTATTAAAGTGGAGAGGGTTTGGAAGTAGAAGTGTTTTGGTGCTAGTATTGTAGAAGAGTGGAGAAATAAAGGAACGTCAACGAGATGAACAAAAACGACGACGACCTTACAAGCAAGTCTGATTCGATCAGTGCCGTTTTCGAGTTTTCGTCCAGACACCACGTACCGCATTGGTCCAATACCTGCCAGCCCAGGTATTGCATCGGCGGCATTTCTGCGACCTTTCTGCCATACAACTCAGCTGCAAAGTCGTTGTATAAAGCAAACCGCTGCAAAACGAAAGAAAAGAACGCGGTGTAGATCATACCTGTTGAGTACTTAGGTTGTGGTTTTGGTTTAGACTTACTCGAAGTATAATATGAGGAGTAGGAATATCCTGACAGGACGAGCGAATCTGGGTGATTGAGTGACGGACTCTAAGAACGAGAGCAGATCAAGTAGGAATAGTCGCGAGACTCAGACTGATTGATTGATTGATTGATGTGCCTGGCAAGAGGTCGTTGTTGGGAGAAATCTATTTACGGTTAGTGTACCCAATGCCACCACCGCAGTCAACGCTCGCACGTAATAGACTATTCTTATCTTCTTTAGCGCTTTCTTTGGAGAATTGCTGGCGTCTGTGTCTGAAAAATCCTTCAACGTGCTTTCCTGCTTTCTAGCTTAGATGATGACTGAGGAAAAGATGGGTAGATCGCGGTGAGGATGGTTGTAGTTGAGGCAGAGGCTGAACAACATATATCTCTAAAGATTAGGATTACTATGAATGTATAAAGCTTTTCGAAGATTACTATACTAGATGACATTAGAGTCTGGTCGTGGAACTCTTCTCCACCTAGGACAAAATGTGCTTGCCTTTACGACAGTCGCTGTTCTTACACTTCGTTCTCTGTCTTCTGTTTTCCATGCATAACTATAAAAATCGATGTCTGTCCTCATCTGCGCGATCTCGCGGAAGACAGATATCGGCTGCTTCAAAGACCCGCAGGCGAAGTCGAACACCCCCTCTGCTTCGCCTCGTACGACACGCGCGATCAGGTCAATCATCTTTTGGTAGCTTATCAATAGATTTTCTTGGTAATTCGTTTGGTGGAGGACTTGGAGCAGTAGTAATTGGAGTCCTACCTGGTCTAGTTCCAGTCTTGAGTATCTTAGTCGTGAGTTGAAAACGGTTGTAAATCTTACTGCTCGGAACGATAGTTTCGAGTTGGTTCTTTACTTTGTTTCTGATCGAATTGTCATGGCAACCGAGTAATAGTGTTGAAATTTGCCCTTTTTTGGGGTCGACGTACGTGTATGGAGACCACTTTTTTACTTTTCTTTGTAGCTGGGAACTATTTCGTGTTGATGTTTTTGTTGGGAGTCTACTTTGTTTTACGTTTTGTCAATTCTCTGGGGTCTTTATCTTATGATTTTGAATTTTCGATTTTTCGACGTCGAAGACCGAATCGTATAGCGCGCCGACAGATAGGCTTCTAAAACGATGGATAATTAGGCGTTTTTCAAACGGTGATGAGAGACTTTCCACGAGTCTTCTAGCGTCGTCATCTCGCTGAGCATGAGAGCAACCCCGTGAAGGCTCCCTCATTCGACTTATGTTAGGTTGGGGTCTACCCATGCGGCGCAGGCAGACGTCAGTGGCTACTGAAGAGCGAAGACAATGTGTATGTGTTGTAGTTTATTTAGAAGTAGTAGATGGCGATTTAGATTGTAGTTCATGTTCAGCATCTAGTAGTAGTTGTTGTCCAGATTATATGATAAGCAACATTTTTTATAGTGGAGGAAGAAAGGTAAAACAATCATTCAACAGCATGGCAGGAAGGTGAAAAATTCATGATAGATTGTAGATTGGAGGACCAAGGAGATCTTCACATGATATCATCATTATCCACTTACTTCAACGTATCTCTTATTGCTTATCTCGCAAACAATCACGTAAGAGATACTATCACAAACCGTGGTCCACATTCGTATCTCCTCCTCAAAAGAGCCATTTGCTCTTCTTGTCCTCTTACCTGTTTCCCCCTTCTCTAGTGCGACGAGTCCTCAATACCACTTTCCCCCTTCAGTCCGACGAGTCGCCGAGAATACTATTTAGTTGTACTTGTTGTAACTACAGGCTCTAGTTGTACAACCATTTTGATTTTGCCACTTCAGTCGTCGAGTCGCGTACTTTCCCAGCACTCTATAGGTCGAGATCCACGGTGTCCGTAGCCAGATCCTTCGTGGTCGTAAGTTGATCAGTACTGCTATGTTTATGCTCGCCAACCGCTTTTGCTTTCTTAGAGGGTTTCCTCTGATCTTTCTATTCCGTAAGCACCAAAGTAACAACAAGTACTAAAAAGTGCCTCTACCTAAGGAGGTGGTTCTGAGCCTTCATCTACTCGACAAACAAGTCAAAGAGGTGTCCTCGTATCTATTATACATAGAAGTACATAATCCTAATGAGGAAGGATGAGTTCTTCATAACAATCAGTCTTTCGGCTGCGGCATCCAGCTCATCTTCTGCGGCTGCGCTTCCGGATTTGAGCTTCTTAGAACTCGAAGGCACCTGCTGGCGATCCGTGTCTTCTTAGATGAAGAAGTCTGAGTTCTTTCAAGGTCACTTAGGATTGGATAGGCATTGACTCACCTTCGGCAGGGTCAGCCTGCCTCTTCAGTGAATACTTACGTAAAGTAACTACTTAGATTCATCAAGCTTTAAGATTAGGAGCAGACAATCATTATTATGGATGCTTTTGTTGCTTTCGGTTTCGCTTGTTATTAGTAAAAGAACTCTAAAAATTATGAACAAGACACTAAAAAGTAAAAGAACCTTTGCCATAATGTTCCGCAATGTCACCAGCTGTGTTTTCTTCTTCCAGCTCCTCTATTAGAGCTACGTCTACGAAAGAGGAACATCAAGGCGCTGCATGTAATTTTCATCCTTGTAGACCCTAGTCTACTGCAGTTCTCATGTATCTATAGTGTACTAGAACTAGGCAGACTGGTGTTTACTATATGTTGTTGGAACGGCTACACGCTAGAGGTAAAAGCGAGCCGGTTGTTTTATTTAGTGCTTTGAGCGCCGCTGGACCTAAACCTCGACCCTATAAAAAGGGAAGAAGCCAATCAAGATTTGCAGCACACCTCATTAAAATGGGGAAAATTTATACACAAACTGCCTGTTAGAAAATTTATACACAAACTGCCTGTTAAAAAGTCTAATGTACATGCTTATGCAGTCAGACTGTATCTTCTCATGGACATTCTTCTACAGTTCCTCTGTTAGGTATGTTAGACATTCTTCTACAGTTCCTCTGTTAGACTTGTAGGTTGTATGTTAGACATTCTTCTACAGTTCCTCTTCCTTAGGTTGTGTGTTCCTCTTCCACTTCCTCTGTCAGAGCTACGCGTCCCTAGTTACTAGTCTTTCATTTTCATCCTTGTAGTGAGACCGTATTTCTTTCATTTTCATCTCCCTCTTGTAGTGGACATCCTTCCGGTGGATATGAGGATAGGATGTTGGGATAGGGTCATAGGAGCTGATACTAGGATGGGCACTTCGCCTTAAGTCTGTTCGTATTTTATCTGTCCCTTTGAACAAGCATTCCATTAGCCGATCTCGGTAATACATGAACAAAAGAACAGCTATGCCGAGTAGTGCGCCAACCAGTGCTGATTAGAGTAGATGATACAGGATAATAGAAGAGGAGTTGGAGTCAACATCCAAACCCAAAGAAACAGAATCATCAGATCAATGTAACTTCTACTCCATCCCTAACGAGAAAAACAAGAAACGAATGCGAGAGAGGGTAAAAAAGTGACAGAGGTGGGAGAACAACTACTACCACATCCAGACTTGGAACTATGTGAGAAACAACCGCCCTTAAATTGCAGAAAGGATGACACAGAGCTGCGTGTCGTCTTCTTCTGTTGTACTAGTAGCGGAAGAAGGTTGTGTCGGCTGTGGACTAGCTTGTGCAGGTGTACTAGCCGGTTCCGGTTGTGGACTAGCAGGTGGACTAGCAGCGCCACCTTGGGATTAGAAGAGTAGGATAAAAAGTTTGCTCCTAAAAAACGTCTAAGATGATAAGATAGGATAGGGATGGACTCACCTTCCACTGAGTAAGCCTGTACCTCCGGTGAATGCACGCCCGTTTCTCTGATTCTTCTTTTCCTCTAAATAATCCAGATTGATCCTAGAGAGATTTTATCGCTTTGGAGGTATTTTAGGGTTAGGGTACAGATAGCGGGTATAAAGTTTGATATTCACTTTCGTCATATTCCTTCTCGACGTTCAGCGTCTCCTCTTGTGCAGATGTTTCTAAAAATGCATTTTTTCCTTCGTTGTTTTGTGCATCATGGTCTTCTTCATGTTCCTCGTGATGCACCTGCTGTACCTGTGCGTGGTCACCCCGCTCACTAGCACCTTCGACTGCGACGAATCTTTAGAAGTACTTTCTAGACAGTGACAGACTATATTAGGAGTCATTCACTCACTCAGTGGGCGACAGCAGACTTTCGTTATATCTTTTAGTACCTGGGTCGATAATTCTCGCTATAATTTCATTTAAGTACCCGCATCATTGGTTCTTCTTATCTATCTGAAGAACCCCGAACGAGCAATCACTACACCCTGTGAATCGAGCACGAGAAAAAATAACCACTTACTTTATTAAGAGTCACTTCTTAATATACTTTTACATAGATGATACTCATACTTTGCGAGTGCTGCTGACACGCACACGAGTACTTGTAAGTCCTATTCCTTTTTACACTTACAGAGACAGCCTCACGTTATAAACGAAACCACGAACAACTAGAACAAAAGTAATGCTGACATCAATTATAGTCAACATCGTCATCATCATGATCATAGGATAGGATAGTGTGATCATCATACGATCGACCATAGGATAGGATAGGATAGGAGCAGGAGAGGATAGTTGAGGCATAACCATGATCGGGATCGAGCGAACTACTCTTGCCTGCATTCTCTTCAGATTCTAGCCGATAACTTCCTCGGAAGAGGTGACCGGACTTTCTCGATGTCGGTGACGCAGACGTCGACGTAGTTAGACTTAGGTTTAGAAGTACAACTTAAGCTTACCAATTAAGGAACAACTATTAGTTTTAGTATTATTCGCAACAATGAACTTCGAGAGACAAGGAGAATAGTACAGCGTATGACAAGTAGAGGACAAGGAGCATCAGAACAATTATCAAACAAGATGGTAGTACTAGTAGAGAAGTTTTGGTCTGGGTATTTAAAGAATAACCAGTTGTTGTACTTGTAGTGCATAAGTCTTTGAGTTGTGAGGCGTCCTTTCGTCTGTCGGTTTTTTCCACGAACGTGGAGGCAGAAGGAGCCTTTTTATTGCGGTATCCCTTCCCTCGCAGCGACCTTCGAAAATGAGCCTTCGCATGCGAATTGTGGGAGGTTCCTCCTGTTGTTGTTGGCGTCTCTTGTTAGAGCCTAAGACATAATCAAAATGTTAATGGTTTCAATTGATTCACTTTTTGCCCCTGCATTTCTCCCAATGAGTCCTTAGAAAGGATAAGGAAACAGAGAGAATGAGAAATGACTTCCTTGTACCTGTAGAACAAGAAATGAATCAGAATCGTATATATCTAATTGACTATTGGGCCTTAATTCTCATCCTCTCTTGAATCGCGCTCGTCCGATGGTTGCGACTTGCCATGGACCAATAGTATCGAGTGGTCCTCAAGGGAGTTGCAGAGAATTCTTCGAGGAGGATGCATAGGATGTGATCATTTGGCATTGACGTCACCAATGGAATGAACAGGCAATATGTTTATCCAAAGAGTGTAAAGCATTAACTTTCACGAAGATCTTGATCAAGCAGATGTTGAGAAGCTTCCTATGACCATATATTCTATGTTTCTCTTTTCCATAACAGTAGAAGCATCCAATTTAGCAGTCGGAGTAGGCCACTAGAAGAACCGAAGTTGTATCTGCCAACCATGGTCGCGGTGGGATACGGAACAAGATGCAACTTCTACGGCAAGTCCATCGGTCACGGTCTAGTAGTAGAAGCAAGTGCGTCGTGTAGTGTAGCTAAACAGGAGCAAGACCAAGAAGTGGAAGATCCGCAAAGAAAATAAGTAAGTGCCTGTTCTTGTAGTCATTTGAAGCTGTGGTCATCCAAGGTGGAATACATCAGCTTCAACCCTCTCTGGTTTTACGAATTCATTGTGGTCATGTTGCTTGTGATGGAACTGACTGCTGCTACTCCTTGTCCCTAGAGTAGTTTACAAACATCACGATTACCGAAGAAGCTCATCTTTCCTTGGCGACTTTCTTGATGTGCGCGTGGGCAAGTTGATGGTCACCTCGAAAGACCACGTTGAAAGTTTCGATGTTGTCGAGTTATTTGTTTCTTCGAAACCAAATGTAGTCGGGAGATAGTCGTGTTGTTGTGGATGCGGGTGAAGGTGAACCATAGCACTTGAAATTCGCATTTTCTCACACACTTGGTCTACTTTTCACGCGCTTGAAATTCACCTATCCATCGACGCACACGTGTCACGCTCGCAGCGCGCCTGCCGTCTGTCACGCAGGACGTTGATGTAAGGTATTTTTTTGTTTGTTGCCTACTTGTCTACAAGTCCACCAAACATTCACTCGCGTGGCTTGATTCGGGACCGTGGCCCGGACTTACGAATTCGAAGAGAAGACAGGGGCGCGTCCTGCCTTGTAGAAAAACTCACGCAGGTTCTCAGAACCTCATATCTATGCCACTTCTCACTCCAAAAGCAAAAATACCAAAAATTCGCCTAATAGGTTCAAGATGGGCTTGTGTGTGGGTCAGCGCCTTTTGTTATAGTCTCAACGTCATTCAATGATTATGTTATGAGATAATTCATGACAAGAAGAATAGCAGGTCTAATATTCATTCATTAATCATCATTCGATGAGAATCGATTATAATATACGAAAGGAAAAACAAAAATGACCGAGGGGGTAGGCAGTAGGAATGCAGAGTGGGCTAAGCGTAGGGGAGATCCATCTTTGCAACTTCCGAGGTTTTAAAACTATCGCAGCAGATTTTCTTGTTAAGCTGAAACGATTCCACCGAACTAGCATGTACCCCACGAAGCCACCGAATGCAGCCAACCATGCACAGAGAGTTTTTCTTTCCCAGTGTTTTGCAACGTAAATCTACTCTCGAGATGAGACTCTTTCGACGAGACAAGTGAAGTAGAGGCAGCGCGTTCTAATTATAAATATGTACAAAGATTCTGATCATGCTGGTTGCAAAACGACTTGTTGAGTACTGTCGAAGAGCATAAGCAACGCGGACATGTGAACATACAATACGACTTTGAAGAGAAAAGCAGTACTATTTTGAAGACAAGCACTAGAACTAGTGCTTCACTTCTATAGACCTCCTCTTTGGCTGATTATCTCTCTTTGTCTTCTGAATTCTTTCACGCTTTTTTTAGTACGTCGCTGATCACATTTAGTTCGTCTGGTAGAAGCAATGTTCAATCCCATCAATTGTAAGCCAAATGCAAATGATTCCATCAATCCTTCTATTCCTGTTCCTATAATTGACAAGCCACATCAATGTTCATGCAAATCGTCTCGTAAACACCCTAGAACTATTAATCATCATCGAAGAATTGTGGTGAGCTGCTACCGGTGGCCACACTTTTGCCTTCCTTCGAATATTTCGAGATCTTCTTATTCGAACTCGAAGAAGCGCCTCCTCCTCCTCCTCCTACAGCTGGTGCACTTGAAGAAGCCGCACTTCCAGCTAACATAGTAGACGGAAAAGAACTACTACCAGCTGGGCCATCATACAACGGGCCATCAAAACGGGCTGCAGAACTGCTGGATCCGCCACCAGGACTACCGTTCCGACTCGCATAAGGATCAGCACTAGCACTGCCGGCACTACCGCTGTGCGGGGAAACTGTGGTGGAATGTGAAACAACCTGATGAAACTTGATACACATAAATAGGAAAAGCAACATCGAGATCGACAATATATTACCCCATCATATTCATAACTAAGAAAAAAAAAAATTTCGACGTCGTCCGAACAGACAGGACTCAGACACGACGATCAACAAATTGTTGTAAAAAGTAGAGCTTGTACAATAACTCTCTTTTCCGCGGATCATACCGTATATTTCGACCTGTCGGCGTTCCTCCTCCATCTGGCTGAGCATAAGAGCGCGCTGTAATTCCTCTTCCTCGTCTCCGGGATTTCGGGCAGCTGAAGACGAACCTCCAGTCTCCTGTGACAATCGTAAAGCCATCTCGAGTTCCTCGTCTCCTCGTGAAGAACGCAAAGTCTGGGTCGTGGTTGATGGAGGTATAATTGTTTTTGGGTGGAGTCAGTTGTTGTTGTGCAAAGTAGGTGGAAGGGAATCGATTGATTGATTGATTGATTGGAACACCTATTCATTTTGTTCTAGCACTAACGTCACGTCGAGGAGGAGGCTGTGCTGTTTTGTTAAGTACTAGTTCAAACCACATTCCACGTCCACCTATTTCTATTCTAGAACTCGACAAAGTATTTCAACATCAGCACAAGTACCTCAGTCTGCGACACCCTCAAAGCTTTAGCCAGATCGTCTTCACCATCATCTATTTGGGATCGCTTTAGGGCTTCGTATATCTCATCCTCTTCTCGGGTCCGCACAGATGTCGAGGCCTCCATTGCCGCCTGAAGCATGTCCGCTTCGTTAGTGTTTCGGTCCTGAAGGTCAAGTCAGAAGTATGCGTCTTGAAGATGTTGATGAGGGAAGCGAGTTACACTTGTTACAACTACACTTTCTTTACTTGAACTGCAGCTAGGATGTCTGCTAGGATGTCTCCAGTAACGTGGTAATGAAGATGAACAAGAAATAGTACATGAGTAATTATACTATCTCTGTCGTCGGTCTTGCCAACCCGCTCTTCTGCGCTTTTTTCAGTAGTTCCTCTTGTTCTTTTTTGGCTTGCAACAGGATTTGCGCTCTCTGTTTGGCTTGTTCCTCAGCAGACGGCATCAATGTTCCTCGCGGCACATAAGGAGCTGGTCTGGAACGTTTTGATTCGGCGCTAGTACTAGTAGCATGTGGGTCGACAGAAGATGAATGTCCACCACCAGCACCAGCACCACCAGCGCCAACGACTTCTTCACCCACTTCTTCCAGTGTGGACAAGTCATCCTTCGAGTATGAGCGCTGTCTACTTTCGGTAGAAGGAAACAAGGGCTTGATGGACATGGCGATTTGCTCCTTCTTCGCGAGCAGATCCTCGAGTTCTTCTGAAGTGGACGGATAGGAAGTAGGTACGATAACTAAATGTTCAAAGTCCTTGTTCCTTCTTTGCTTTTGCTCCCGAAAAAGTTGTTCACCTCATCGTGACTACGATCAAGCTATGTAGTTCGTTGTATGTAATGCAACGAACGATGTCTGTCAATATCTAATCATCCTCGATCTTCGATAAAAGCAAAAATTCGTGTCCCATCTTAAGTCTAAGTACTTATACCTTTTGCCGCCTTCGTCTTATCACCATTTGCGGCCCTCGCAGACGGCGAAGTATCGGTGGGACTGCTGTCACTCGGGATCACCTTGGAAGCGTACTGAGTCGATCCACGACCTTCTCTTTGACCTGCTGCTTTTTGCAGCTTACTCGCTGGCACGTTGTCTTCCCCTGCATTCTCGAGCTCTGCACCTAGAGAAACAATCGCCGTAGTTTGTGGAGAGGGAGAGGAATCGTCTGTAGGATCATTAGACCCTACCCATATAAAAATTCATCCTGATGAAGAAGAGCAGCATCTACTGCATGGAGGTAGAGACATTTTCATTTTCCCGTATAAAACCCTTCCAAGTTGTTCTTGTAACTAAGGTGCTTCTCAAGATGAATTAGGACAAGCCTTAATAGTAGTCGCATAGGCATTACTTCCTGCAGAAAGTGTTTGTCCAGCATCTGAAGGTGATTGATCGGGTGATTGGTCCGCAATGGCAGGATAAACTTTTTCGTCTTCGATGGCGACAGCTGCTTTCATAAACCCCGTTCCTTGCCGCTTCAACACCGATTGCTTCGGCCGCGCTCCTTTCTTGCTGTTCTGAGTTGGTGCAAATTACGGGGATATTAAGGATATCTTCAATCATATTTGATGACGCATATCGATTTTCGGAATTTTAGGAGAGTCCATATCCATCTGATGAAGGTCCATCTGATGAAGGACACAAATAATGATTTTGAACCGAAGAAGACCAAGTCCGTCGCTACATCTTTTTAAACACAAAAAAAATGTAAGGTGGAGAGTCCAGGTCCATCTGATGAATGAATGAGATGACAAGAGTAAATGTAAGGAGAAAACCTGTCCGCCTGGTTGTTCGCTATCGGAATGTGAAGGCGAATAAGCTTCGATCAGTCTTGCGTTAAAGGAAACACGTTTTTTGCTGTGCGAAAAAATGTTGCTACTGTCGCTGTTTTTCACCAAAGCCGACTTGCTAGGTGAAGTGCCGCCACCTGTTCCTCCTCCACTTCCAGCTTTGTCGCCAGTAGCTGGAGGAATTAGAGCTTACCCCAATACACCTCGAGGAGCATCCTGCTCCCCTTTTCCCCTTGAAAAGCCTTCCTTTCTAGGATGACTTCTGTGAAGATGCACTTGCACCATTGGGGTAAGCCTTAAAGGAACCACTCCGGGTGCTAGTCGATTCTTTTGTCGCAGCAACGCAGCGCGGGCTACGTGTTCTCTCACGATCCCCCAAAACATGAACAGGCCTGCGGCGATGAAAACTAGAGTTCCGAGGACCACGAAAATTCCGATAATTGCTCCATTCGATTCGGCTAAGGAGCGTCGAAGCGCCGGCTCTTGCTGTCTACTTGTTAAAGCTATTATTAGAGGTAGGTTGTTGGTGCTCGCTTAGCCCGCTTGTTATGCCTTTCTCCCTTAGGAGAGGCATAAAAAGCGGTAAGAAAAGCACCTTTAACCTACCCTTAATATTAGACTTGAAGCTGAAGTCATCTCATGTTGTAGTTCTAGATCCGTCCCCGTTAATATAGATGAAGGCTTGATGACTTGCAAGTGATGTGGGTAAAGATGTATTTTCGAGGCGGAATTCGAATTTCCGTAGTTGCTAGTCCTAGTTGTACGCGATGGCGTCGCTGCGAAATCAAGAGCATCTTGCTCACTTCGTGCTCGTTCGCGTAGTTCAGCACGTTGATACAAATCCCTATGCTGTTGGCTCGCATACTTCGTTCTTCTTTCACTCAACAAGCGCTTACGAGGCGGCGGTCGTCCCGTGTCGTCTGGGTACGAAAGCCTCCTTCGCGCACCAGCTACTTCTTCGATCTCGTAAAAATTTTTTCTCGTCTCGTCTCTCGTGCTTTTTATACCTCTTTTATTACTCGGTGGAGGCGGCATGGAAGTTCTGCTATTCATCTTGACGTTATTTCCAGTTGGTGGAGGTGCTATGCCTCCGGTAGTGTCTACTCCAACAGATGCAGAATGTATTGCACTATCCTGTGTTCTTGACGCCGCGTTGCCATCATCCCACACGATTATATGCGGATTTGTGGACGAGCTGGCGGGGGACTGCCCTACTCTGAGGATCCTTCCGAAGGTTGACATGTTCCTTATTTGTTATGTTGATAAGTTTAGTTCTGTGAACGTGAAGCTCATTGACGCTTTCCTTTTCGTTTCCTTTTGGATTGTCATCCTCCGTAGACACTCAGAGCCTCTTTTTAGCAACTAGTGCATCTACATACGACAACGAACTGAGAAACACTGAAGATGACGCATCTATCTTTCAAAGAGCTCCTCCTTTTGCTGCTCTCCTAGAAAGCTTTTCGCTTTCCGCTATTTTTTTTTTTTCGAAGAAGAAAAATATCTCGAAAGATCTCGCCTTTTCTCGCCTAACGGCGTCTTTCTCCCCTGTTTTACCTTCTTCCTTTTTTAGCCCATGCACTTGTTGTTTTGCATACTTCCTCTGCTCAATTATGCACTACTCTCTACCCCTAGGTCCTTTTTTCTCACCTCCCTTATCAAGGAACCATCTTTGGAGATCTTGGAAAAACCTTACATATCGTCTAGCCTACTTTTCCCACGCCTTTCAGTACCAACTTAGACAGTAGCTTCCGTGCTACTCTTCCTGCCGACGAAGTATACCGAGGACTGCGAGATAGCCTGCGCTGCTATAGCTTGTCTAGAGCAGAAGCAGCTACAGGCCAGTCTCAGTATCTTTGTGTATGAAGTCGGTTTGCGTGTGTTTAGACTAAGCCTCACACGAGCCTCTATGTATGCTTATGTTTCTGACACGACTTTTACTTCGCCTTATCTATGTATCTATATCTTACAAGCTTTTATGAATGACTATTGCATCTGTCATACAAGTCACCCAAAGTAGGGATGCCCCAGTATTTCGAACTCATTTCCCTCCTCTTACGCGGGAGGGTGCAGCACTCTAGTCTAGTCTATGTCGATCCTTTTTTCCACTCCGCAAGGAAGACAGGTAAGTTCCCAGGTCTTTCTACAACGTCGTCTATAGCGTCAGAACAACTGAAGTCGCAGAGGGTAACGTTGACAAATATCCTGTCGCTTAAGCCTAAATCTAGAAAAATCAGTAGTATGCGAGTTGCCGGTGGAGTCGCTGGGCTTCCAAATATTCAGCACGAAGCTCAAGCGCCCAGGACGGGCCTCTTGCAGTACTAGAAGAGGGCGGACTAGTTCCTGCTGACAGCGACAGGGGCTCGGGCTTTCTCTCTGCTTTCCACCAAAAATGGCCCAGCGCTGCCTCCAGCAGAATTTCTGCAGCTCCCATAATTTTCTTCGCATCTGGGTCTAGTTGATCATTCCTCGAACACGACGGGAAGCGATTATCTTCCCAGTCGCTGTCGCCGCTCTCCTCATCGTCCGACGAGTCTGTCGAACGCGGCGTGCTGGCTTCTCGTGCTTCTTGAGATCCAGCGGCCAACGAGCTAGCCCTTTCTCGTGCTTCTTGACCCCCACCGGAGGGCGCGCTGGAGATGCTGCGTGCGCGACGGTCCATATAGCGACCCCTTTTCCCTTGTACTATAGTCAGCTTTTGTGAGGTGTCTGTACGGATCCGTGTGACAAGCGTAAGAACCAATTCCGGAAACGCAATGCGACTCGCAGAATCCGCCGCATCCTGGTGGTCCGCAAGCGCTGCCTCAGTAGAACCTTTATTAGGGCTCCTGCTTGCTGCTCCTCCATCATTATACCGTACAAGAGCGCTGCGAGGTGCTGTAGTCTTGGCGAGCAGTTCGAAGACACGGTCAGGAAGATTTCCCTCGCTGTTGTTTTGCTCTAGTGCCCAGCCGGTCATCGCACGCCGCAGACTTGGCACTTCCCGAAAAAGCACTTGTCCCAAGTTGACGCGCGCCCACTCGCGTGAAGATGTTGCTCCGCCAGAAGATGTAGGGCCATGGCCACGGCCACGGCCAGCGCCGGCTCCGCCTCCATTGTTTGGTCCTAGTGGTTCTCCCCCCACGCCCACCTCTTGTTGTCGGCGACAGCTTTCTTGTCCGCTTAGTTCTTTGGCAAATGAAGTTGCCGAGACTTCTCCTGCAGAAGCGACGTCGCGCCCCTCGGGGTCGTGAGATGCCAACGGAGGTCGTCCAGACCACGCCAGAAGACCTCCACCACCGACACCCCGCAATCGCTGTAGTGCTTCAAGAATGCGCTCAGGCAAATGGCGCTCGAGGTCTGCAACTATCGTCGCCCAGTGTTCTCGACCTGCCTGATTATCATGCAAAGGACAGTCCACCTCACCTGTCTCAAAGTTGCGGATGAAGTCAACATCTAGACTATATGCTATTCTTATTCGCACTCCTGTTTCTGGGTCCCTATCTAAGCGGCTCACATCATTGCTATGGCCGACCTGGGGTCTAGAGGGAAACGAGCGCACGACCAGCGAAGAGCGCCGCTCTATAATTTCCTCGATTACCTCCTGCACCTCTCGGTCCTGAAACAAAAGTCCAGGCGCGAAGACAACCAAAGCAAGCACCATGTCCGCCAATCTTTCCGGAGCTCTCTCGTCATCTTCGTCTGCTTCTCGCGCTTCATCCGTTTCGCCGTCCTCGTTGCTCTCGCCTCTAGGGGGGTCTTCTTGTAGGACGTCCTGTGAGGGTTCTCCTTCTACTTGAGCAAGCTTATGATCCGCGAGGAAGAACTCTGACATGCTACATCGTTCAAGCTGTGGGAGTCTTTGTCGAGTAAAGCGGCGCTGCACCTGTGCACTCTCGGCGGACGCGGTTACCAAAGCGCTGACCACGTCATCTTCGTCCTTGGATCTCTGTGGCGCGGCCAGTCCTCCACAGAGCGGGCAGCTGCGACTGCCAAGCCCACATCGCAGCAGCCTCTCCTGTCGTCGCATTTCGTTTGCAGTCAAATAAGTCTGACGTCGCTCTTTTTCATCTACTCTATGATCGCTTTCTCCTGCCCATGATAAGGCATCCTCGGAAGAGATTTCTGAACTTGATGAAAGATTTTCGTGGTCCTGCTGCAACTGTAAGTGATCGTCCTGTTCCTGATTTTTCAGTAGAAGACTTGCCGCTGTTCTAAAATAGACTCGTCTTCGGCTGCGGCGTCTAGCAGGACGGCGCGCTAACACATGGCGAGGGGGAAGAGGACACGGCATAGATATATCATCGAGAGCGGGACGGGCGCGGCGTCTGCTCCTGATTTCGTTGTGGATCCAAGCTTCTTCTGCATCAAGATACTCGTCCTTCTCCAAAAGTAGAGCATGATTATGAATATGATCATCCTCGCCAACGTGAGGCTGATACCTCTCACGCTCGTCTTTTACTTGCCTGGCTTCGAAAAGAACGAGCGATACAGCCAAAATGAACTGACCCGCAACTCCAATTGCCGCAGCCGAACTTTGAAACTGAATAAAGCGGCTCCTTGCATCTTCCTTCTCCGCACAATGCACAGCGATTGCTGCGAGAGTGCCGCGCTGGCTCCACGCCAGGTGCCGACGGAAGGTCCTCCTCCTCGTGTTCTTCCGATGAAAAAGGCTCCACGACGACCGACGAAGAACTGGGAAGACCACTAGACGAGAACGCGCTCCTTTCTCCTGCAGCTTCCTCCGGTTTACTCGTCGGAGACCACCACTTTTTCGGAAAAGGAAAGTCCGCAGCTTCAGGCAGCCAACGTCCACCAGATGGACCTGAGTTGCTCTGAGTCTGACCCTGTTGAAGTCGGCTGCTCACGTTGATAGGCTCACCAATTCGCTGAAGGGTCCCGCCGCTGCCATCCGCAAGACCACGTGGCGCGGGCGACGCGGCGCGTGTACCAGGTTCCTCCTGACGAAAACCAAGAAAATCTCTGCTGCTTGGCCACTCCCGCGATGAGCTACTTGCTGCTGCAGTTGCTGCGATAGAGAGAAGAATCTGCCTCCAAGGCCAAGGCCAACCCCAGAGGACAGGAATACTAGTAACTCCACCTCGCACAACAAGAGGCGCCTTCATCATTCTTTTTTGGACGAAAATTCTCACAGCTTCTGGATTACAAGAGCGCTGGTGTGTAGACACGAAAGTCAACAAACAATAGATCCTGGGGACATCAAGAAAAACAAACTATTATTATCATGATTATTACTTACTGGAAAAAATGTAGACGAGGCCCCTGCAAGTAGGTTAGTCTTAGTTATCAGATTACATGATCAGAAAAAAGCAAAGTCTGTCAGTCATTATGGTTAATAGTTCGGCTTCCTATGAGTATGATGATTAGTAATCAGTTTTCGTCAGGTCCTTTCCCTTTGTGTGTACTAGTCTAAATTCTTGCTACCTCTATATTTTGCAAGATGAAGAAATGGCCAAGGTTGATTGTTAGTTATAAATTTATATAATCAATAAAAAAGCTGAGGCATGATTCACTTAAATCGGTCAATTGCTCTATGAAGATCTATTTGCGTTGTAAAATCATCTGAAATAGCAAGAAGCGCCTAGAAATATTACAGCCGAAAAAGAAAAGCATTGATCTCCCACGAAAAAAGTTACTTCGTGCATTCTTCACCTGCTTCCGTTCGTAGAAAAGTGATGCCGCGACCAAAAAAGTTTGAATCATCACTCAGCAACATGATTCAGATGCCATTAAGTGGGTTAATATCGCAGTCGAGATCAATTCCTTTCTTTGTCTTTGTCTTAATCGACCATGGAAAAACAACAGCTCAAAGAATAAGCCACATAAATAGGCTGGGCGCGACGATTTAATACTAGATCCTTGTGCCACGATGCATCAGCATAATTATCATGAGCGGACCGCTGTTCGGTGCTATACTGTAAAGCTAAAGATCTCCTCGATGTTTCCGTTTATTTGCATCATGGGTCTCGGCGCTTCTTACATGGAAGCTCTGTGACTTTCTTTTTGGCATGGATCTCGGTGCTTCTTTCATGGAAGTTCTGTGACTTTTTATTTGCATGGATCTCACCGCGTTCTGATGCCAAAGGAGACGCAGAATGTTTTGATCTATTCTGCTGCGTCGACGCTGCGTCGCTCTTTCACAGTGCGCGTGGAGACGTGGAGGAGCTGGCGGCGGACTGCCCTACTCGGAGGACTCCTGTTCCGGAGGTAGACATGTTCCGTATAATTTGTTATGTTGATAAGTTTCGTTCTGTGAACGTGAAGCACATTCTTTATCTCGTTCCCTTTTGCAATTTGCAAAACACAAACACACTTTTTTTGTTGATGAGCAGTCTCTCTTCTCTCAAGTAGGACGAGCTTGTTAATAGTACTCCTCACTAATTACATCATGACTGGTGAAAATTCCGCACATTGTTCTCATATTCCTTCTACGCCGCTCGCTTTTATTAATTTATGGCACTGTCTTGTGTCTCCTCAGGTTGCGTCATTTTTCTGCATGCTTTATCAGGTTCAGGTCGTACATGCTTCTCTGTATCACCATGTGATACAGCACTGGGTCTTGATTCAGTGATGGTTCTACATACTATTAAGGTACAGGCAGTCTGGTCATCATTCGCAATGGTGCAAGCGTAAAAATAGGATTTTATAGCATTTTATCGAAGACCGCATCTTCCTCTATGTTCTCAAACGGGTACAAGGAAGTTCTTCTCATCAACATTGCGCTAATGCTCATCAGAATTGCACTAATGCTGCTATAATTGTATTGCTGGACTCGTCTCAACACGGTTATGTTGGAACGAGTGTCACGACTGGTTAAAAGTAGTCTTCTATGAAACTCCTGATTGAGCGTGGTCGTGGTGCAAGCAAGTTCCAGGAGTAGATGCCAGTGTACAGGGAAGGAAAAAACTGTTGTCGCATAGTTCTAGTTGTGGAAGATGTAGATGTAGTGTATGTTTACGAAAAACATCTGAAACAATTATAACCAAGATGTTGGATCATGCAATGTGAAAGTAGATTCATAAAAAGAAGAACATCAAGAAGAACCAAATGCACTAGGACTTAGATGGATGCATAAAAATCAAGCGGGTAACTGACGCGGCTAACCACGAGCCAGGTGGGCTTGGGCATAGGCATTAGCTGTGAATACAATACATCATAGGAACAGTAGTTATTGACGAACAAATAAATTTTACGAAATTGCATGTGGTCAGACTTGAAGAATGTAAGACAACCAATCATAGGAAATGTCGTTGATGCGCATGATCTATGATGAAAGGGATTTTAGTTCAACCTGAAAAGCACACACACTACTGTCGCTTTGACCTCTGGTACCAAAAATGCAAAGAAAGAATCAATTCCTCGTTCGACGTGAAGACTTGTGAAACTCAGATACTTTCGGATTGACTTCGACTACTAACCATGACTGTTTGGTGTTACCAACCACAGCTTCTTCTTGATCTTGGCCTTGATGAGGTACTACTACTAGTCGATCTTCCCAACAAGAACTTTGCCCAGCATAGTTGTCTTGGCATCGTTTTCGTGGCACAGGAAGCCAACGTTAGAGCGCATCCTAGTCCATCTTGAGAAGCATCCTGCTCATCCTAGTCCATCTTGAGAAGCCTCTTCAGACAGGATGCTTCAGATTCAGAAAATGGACTTTTGGGGTAAGCCTTAACAGTGTTCTCCCAACATCAGATGATGAGCGCCATTCAAACGACAAGCAAACTGTACTGCACTCCCTCCGTTGGGTTCCCATGTTCGCTCTTCTGGGGTTTTTTGAGCTGCGTCGCGTACGGAAATCGTGAGGATCGCCTCGAAGTCGCCAGATATTAGAATACCAATAGGACAACCACAAGAACTAGTTGATGTACATGTACAGGGAAAGTGAGCAGAAGTAATTTAAGAGGAACAAGAGAGACTGAGTTCTACTCACTTGTTTTTCATTCGATTAAGATACATCACATACAGGACAGAGAGAAACTGCATAAAAACACTTGCACTGACCGGACTTCAAAAAATCTGGATTCATCGATAGTTCTTTCGCCAAAGTGCTCAAACAACAGCATCGCATACTGCCACACTGAGAGAAGAAATGGAGCTGGAGGAGATTTTGTGGCTAGAGCTTTTTCTTTTGTTTGTCCTCCTGATTCTCGTTTTGTGGTTCTGCTAGCATGTTGATCTTCGTCTTCCCCATCTTCTCTCCAAACTTTGGGTGCACTAATATGCAGCTCCCTTTTGGTCCATCTCCACTGCTGTGGCGGTCTTCCCCAGCGCGTCAAGCGGAAACGATAGGGTCCAAGATGCCTTTCAAAATGATCTTGAGGAGTTCTAGTATTAGAGGCGGTCGGGGTAGTTCTAGTATTAGAGGCGGTCGATAAACTGAAATAAGCGAGTAACTACTTAGAATAAGCGAGATACTGAAAGAAAAGGGGCGTAGTACTCTGTTATTTCAGTTGGCTACTCGGTTATTTTGAGTTTTCGATTAGTAGATTCTAAGCGTAAGTAGTCGAGTAGGTACGTTTTTTTGTCTAATATTGCCATGACTTTATTACTCTATGGAAAACGAAAACAGGAATACATTCACACTTGTGTATGGCTCTGGTATTTGGATTGGTAACCTGAGTTTGATCATAAGGGTTCTCTTCTTGTTTTCCCTTATGATCAAATTCAGGTTAATACCAAATACCGGAGCCATTCTACTTGGGGTTGGAGTTCCAAGTAATTGTAAATAAAAACCTCCTGCTCTGCTCTTAACTCTCTGTTCGTCGAGAAGCACAGACTTCTTCGCTTCTCTCACCATACGCCAGAAGTCCTGGTTCTTCGTACGCCGTCTGCTCATATTGAAAGTTAAAGTTTCAGTTTCATCTCCTACCGGATCTGGCTCTTGAGGTGCATGTGGAGGTGTCTGTCGGTGTTGCTCACATTGCTCGGCTTCCTGCTGTGTACTATCCGTCTCCCCTGTAGTAGTTCTTGTATCTACTCCTTCATACAACTCTTGTGGACCTATAATGTCCGCAACGAGTCCATAAAGGCTCATTTTTTTTCTAACTTCCAGCTCCTCAAACACTTCGCGAACGGCTTCTTTTGTGTATTTCTGCACCTGCACGCCACTCATAATGCGTTCTTTTCTGTGATCATAATCGGCAACAACATCGTCTCCTAAAAAGACTTCAGTTTGCGTTGATGAAGAAGACAAACGTTCATCAGCGTCTACCTTCATCTCCTTGTGTGAAGATGAAGAAGGTGAACAATCTACTCTGTCAAGAACACTTGTTGTAGTTCCACATAGATGCGGAGGAATTTTTGTAGATGAACATCCAGAGGTTGTCCGACTCGCAGATGAGGAGGAATATCTTTTATCCAGACGACCGATTGCAGTTTTATTGGTCTTCTGCTCCTCGTTCATGCGCAACTCCTCTTCCTCGTGGCCACCACTGTCACTGTCAGGAGACGACGAGGCAGACAGTACCAACAACCCATCTTGGGAGCAACCAGGCGAAGATGCGATGCCCAGCGGCGGCGTTAGAGTCGTAGAAAGAGACGCAATTCCATGTGCAGCAGGTGTACCATGTCCATCGTGCGGAGAGGCTGGCCTCGACGATTCTCCCTCTACCAAATGAAGGGCTTTTCTTGGAAAAGTGTTGCGACCACATGCTGGAACTTGAACATCATCTACTACATCTTCTTTCTCGTCTACCGTTTGTAATGTGCGACCTGAAAGAACCATAGGGATAGCATCGTTCTTGACAGATGCGTCTGGCTGCACGCTGGCATCGTCCACCCGTTTGACATTCGAGGTTTTGCAGCGTGCATCTAATCTCTTACCGTCAGCTGTCGTCGCCGCTACTCGTTCCGATAACAGTGTGACATTCTTCTTCGCCCTCTGAACTAGCGGCTCGACAGGAAGTGGAGCTCGCTGATGTTGTCGCGCTAGGTCGTGAGTATTATTCGCAGACAAAAAACCAGCGTAGGAGTTCAAAGCGACGGTGGGGGATGAAGAAGGTGTTGTACTAGCTTTTTCTCTTGTATTCGTACTACTACTAGATTTTTCTCTTGTTGTCGAGTCTATTTCTATCGACTGGAGCAACGCAACTACGAATCCAGCTCCTGGCTGTTGTTCTACTTCTTCAGCACCTCTACAACTAGAACTAGGATTCGGTTTCGGAGTCGGACTTTCTTCGTCATCATCTGAAAGATCCATCGCCAGCTGCTTGATTCTCCTTGACCTCGACTTCAAGTATTTCCTCAAAGCGTTGTCCTCTTCGTCTGTCCCCACCTCCTCCAGATCTAGACTATGATCCTCCCCATGGAGACTAACTAGTTTGAGGCCCTGTACTTGTTGTTGTGGTAGTGGTTGTGATTGAGGTTGTCCTTGTTGTAGATCAGAAGATTTAGATTCTTCTTCGTTAGGCAGCCTAGTACAAGTACTGACCCACCTGGCCAACGTGGAATCCCAGGTCTGGTTTTGGCTCTTTTCAAAGTCTAGTTTGTCTACTATTTTTTGAAATTTTCTATTTTGCGCAGGAGAAGAACAAAGCCAAGGCGGCAACATAGAAGTACTAGAACTGATAGGTTGATGTCTTTGTGTACTGATGTCTCCTCCGACTTCAATCTGTTCGTCTCCTTCATCGAGAAACTCCGAAAAGTCAACTGGTTCTGCTTCAGCGACAATGCTTGCAGGCGATGCGCCAGCCTCTTCGAGTGGAGTGCGTTGTCTCTGGAGTAAACCCGAAGATGAGGACGAACTGGCACCATAAGTAGAGCTTGGTGTGGTCGCATAAGCATCCGCAGACGTAGAAGCAAGACTGAGCACACTAGTGGACGAGGAACCAAGAGCGCCTCCCTGCAGGGTCTTGGAAGAGGCAGAAAATTAGAACTCCTGTCCGTAGTTCATCTTTCAAGTGCATCCTTGAAAAGTATGGGGGGGCATTCCCTTGTAATACTCCCTCATACAACGTTTCCAGGATCGATGCAGTCAAAGATGCATTAGCTACAGCCTTAAGAAAATGAACTACGACTAGCGCATTCGATACTTTTACTACTGGATCTCGTCGAGGATGTGTACTCAGTAATAATCGTTTTATCTTCCTCCCGTGGTGCTCCACTGAGAGGACTTCTTTCCTTCAGTCCAGGATGTCTGCTTCTTTGTCTCACGAGTTGCGCATGAGTGTCTGGCGGCACAGAGCATTCCGGAATCAAATCGACCCTCACTGTGTACTTGCCAGCCGGTCGCTCGCGTTCTTCTACTCGTGGTCCGCCTCCGTCGTTGCCGTTGGAATTATCGACGGCGGGAGCAGGAGCAGGTGTTTCTGGACTATAATCTTCAGGAGTCGCTGCAGAAGCTCCAAGCACTCGTGCTGAATCTTCAGGAGTCGTTGCGCTAGGAGCACTTGCAGCACTTCCTCCAGACGAACTAGAAGAAGATACCATAACCCCTTCAGTATCTCCACGAATTATCGTGTGCATGGCGTCATGTTTCACGACGATCTGCGCATCTGCACTGTGGTCAAACGTCACGTAAGCAAAAGGAACGAACTCATCTGAGTCCGATGTGCCAGCTAGTATCAGGTCTCGGGAAGGCATCAAAGCGACTCGAACCACTGGGCCGAAACAACGGAGATTCGAGCTCGCCCTAATCCATCTCGATATGCATCCTGGGCGCCTTTTCCCCTTGAAGAAAATTCTCTTCCTTGTTAAGGATGCTTCAGCAGATGGATTAGGGGAAGCCTTAGGAAAATAGAACGCCAATTCCTGCACTGTTGTCTCCGCTTTTCTCAGGATGCCATTGGCTGTCCGGTCTTGATCCATGAGGCCAGCATCCTCTTTCTTGATCCTCGACATCCTACGGGAAATACGCAAAGACCGCCAGCTGTTGGCGTCCCTGGAGGAAGAGGAGTTTGATCCTGTACCATCGGTCTGCTCGCGAGTCCTGAGATGTTGATTTCTGGAAACTTCGGGTCCTCGTTCTTGTTCCGCTACATGCTGTGTCCGTCCGACTCTAGTGTTATTTCCATAAAAATGATGCGGCGTTGATGTACCAATGCTATCCTGGTGCGCGTGTTCTACTGGGCTGGCGCATCCCCCTGTCCCGCCGTCAGTCTCAGCACCGGTTTGAGAAGCAAGCCTAATTTGGTTCTGGACAGCATCGTTCTGCCTACCAACTAGAGCTTCACTTCTGCCTCTTGTTCGCGGCCTTCCGACAGGTGAGAGAAGATCATCAAGTGTGAGTGTGACTGGTGCACGACTGGATTCCGGAGTTTGTAGTTGCTCAGTTACAGCCGCTTGTTGCTCTCGGGTTAGCTGTTCGCGTGTTGCGTCAAATTCCGGCGATGAGAAAGGGTTCTGCATAATGACTAATTGAGGGGGTCTTTGCTCTCTGTAGTGCGGCTGCTGTCGTGCGTGCGGGTCGTGTGTGGATGAAGTACAGGTGGTTGGGACAGAATCTCCAACGTCAACTGCATTTTTAGCGTGGAAAGGTTGATGACCAGCTACTTGCCCACTTTGAAGTGAAGACGTGCCAGGATCATTGACAGGGCTACACCCAGGCGCATGCGCAGGTGGTGGGGCGACGCTAGCGCTGGTTTGTTGCTCCGCTATCAAAATATTGCCGCTTGAAGAAGCTGACGCCGAGGTACCATTTGCAGGAATAAAATACTGCACGTGGTGCGGTTGTTGTACAACTACATGAGCAGAAGTTAGAGTCTGCTAGATTGCATCTCAGCCCCCTCATCTTGACCCATTTTACCTTGTATTTCACAAGACTACCAGGGAAAAGGGGACGACCAAGATGCCGAGAATGATGGACACTAATTGTTCTTGACCATAAGAGTCCTCGTGGAATATCTCCATCAGGCCCACTTGGTGATATTCCACTCGGAGGTGCTGGTGGTTGCGGGTCCTTGAGGCATGCAATTATAGGCACTAGGGATAGGGTGTCTCCACCTTGTTGTAGTTGCGGGTTATGGTAGAGGACAAACTGCGGATAAGGAGATGGCTGCGGCTGCTGTGGTTGTACCAAAATTGCTTGAGGTGGAGGCTGAATATAACCCGTCGGCACTGGAGGAAGGGCCCGGGGTAGTTCTTGTGGTGTTATTGGCATTACTTGCTGTTGCTGTTGCTGATGTGGCATCATTTGCGCTTGCGGTTGCGCTGCCGCCATTACTGATACTTGCTGTTGCTGCAAATTCGCTAGTTGCTGCTGATTCAAAGCCACTGCTTGTTGCTGCAGAAATGGGGCTACACCTTGCTGATTCTGGAGGTGCTTTGTTTCTGCTCCTGTTTGCTGTTGCACCAAGGCAGCGGCCATAGTCAGTGATTGTTGCGCAGGCATCGGTGTTTGATGTTGTTGAGATCTTGCGCCTACACTCTGCTGTGGCTGCTGCTGCTGCTGTTGCTGCTGCGGTCGTGCAATGCCATGCTGCTGTTGCTGCTGCGGCGCTGCTCTTGCCTCCGTCCCCTGCTCTTGTTTCATTACATTTCTACCATCATCCATCCTCACCTGTTGATTACCTTGCAGTGAGAAAGGGACCCAGCCGACTGGCGTGCCGACATATGGCGTGGGAGGAAGCGGAAACACAGTATGCTGTCCTTGACCTTGTATCAGATGCATCCCAGCAGAGTCTGGAGTAGTGTAGAAAACGCAGTCAGATGAGGGTTGTTGTTGTGTTTGAGAAACTTCACCTTGTTCTTCTGGCCTCCTCGCAGATCTACTACAACTCGAACGAGTAGAGGAAACAGTGGTATAAACCGGCTGAGGATTGTCCCTCACCCTGTCGTCACCACGTCCTTGTCTAAAAGTAGATCCTGAAAACGCGTTTGCTCTAGAACTCTGACCTTCGCTACGTTGTCTTTGTTGATTGCCTGCTGCCCTCCTTGTGCCAGCTTCGAATTCCGAAGTCTCGGAGGCCTTCATCGGAGCACTTGGTCCAGGCATATCGCACTTGACTACATCTAACAAGCTTGTAGATAGGATCAATTCCACAGGACGCTTATTCACAGCATCAGGCACCACCAAGGCTTCTGCGCGTGGGGGCTTCGTTGTTCTGTCACCTGCTAAACATAAACTAGGGGAAGGAGGTGCAACTACTTGTTGTAGCATAGAAGGTGGAGCTTGCTTTAGTATGCTGGGTGGTACTACTTGTGATGGTGCTATGTTGAAGTAGGGAGCTTGTGCTTGAGCCGCTGATGAGGATGCGGGAGCTCCTTGTTGTCCTTGTGGTGTTACTATCATGATACACGGAGTCTGCTCTAGTGGATACGGACTACTCTGCATATCCTGGCGCAGAAGTTGATGACCTTGTTCAGGAACATATGATGGTGGAGTCACATACACCATAGCCGGAGCGAGAGGCTGAGGCAAGCAAGCATAGCCTCCACCTTGATAACAACCAGTGCCAGCTTCTAATTGTTGTGTCTGTGCTCCTTGTACAACAGCAGGTGCAGGCGGCTTATCCCTGACACGCGCTTCTACAAGAATTGGCTCGTCTTCCGTTACTGGCGTCAAAGCTGGAAAAGCAGAAGACGGGAGAGCACGTGGTGGTGAAGGTGGTGGTGGCGGAATGAGGTAGCTGACGCGCGAATGAAAACCTCCAGCTGGAACAATTCCAGAAGCAGGGTCGTTGTGCGCTGTTCCTGTTCTACTTGCAGCACCTTCACTTCCGGATGTAATAAATGATTGAAATTGAAGATGGCCTCCTTCACTTCTGATATTATCTGAGTGGTCTTCAACTCCAGAATTATAGCTAGTACTAGGCGGCGCACTGCCGAGGAGAGCAAGACTATTTTCTCTTTCAGTTCCAGAACAACGAAGCCCCTGACGTTTTCCCTGGTGGTCCGAGGTGTTCTTGCTCATAGGATTACGAGTTTTGTCGACGTTACGGTCGTTACCATCTCCATCTCGATGTCCATCCCGATCTCCTGTTCCTCCCTTTTTGTTTAACTGTCTGTAGGAAAGGCGGGAACCTTTTACCACTTTGTTACCAGCTACAGCTTGCTCCCCGTTCCGAGGTCTTTGGTTTTTCTGAGCGGAAAACTGCACGGTCTTTGGAGGTGCAGTGCTTGTTGTACCTTGATCAGCAACTTGATGAGGTGGAAAAGCAAGATGGTCCAGGCGAGGCGGTAGCGGTGGCGGAGCCGGAGTCGGAGGAAATTGAGGCCCTGTCCCGGACTCAGGTACACCTAGAACCTCTGCTGCGCTTGAGGGCCATGCCTGTTCAGGTGTGGCAGGCCAAGTAGGTGTGTCTGGCCACAGAAGCACAGGAGACGTCGGATCTTCCAGTGTCCTTGTTGTGTTTAGAGATCTTCGACATGACAAAGAAGAACGCTTGTTGGCATTTCATCTTTATATATAATTGTGGTACACCTACACTTCTTTCTTCTTGACCTTATGACTTGTACGCCTCTGGTAAAAATAATTTTCCTGCCTACAACTCTTTTTAGCAAACATACAAAACCGAAGCTATTACTTTAAGGAGAAATCACACCAGTTGACAGCACTACACTATAAGACTAAAAAGAACAAGCGTAAGTACTTTCTGAGGTTGACGAGGCGGCAGCAAGGTAAACAAATCTTAACTTTTTTAGAGCGATTGCAGTCACTTCGCTTCTACCCGTATCAACATACAGTGCAGGACTTGACTTCTTATTCGTCCCAGAGAAAAGAAAAGCAGCACGATCATCCGGCCTGTCTCTCTGATCTGTTCTAAGAACGACCGGAGAACGGGACAACCCTCCACTACAGCTTCCACGAGAAACGATCTCTTCTCCATCCCGAGCTTCAAAAGAGTCCAAGTCGTAAGCATCAGCCTCCTGATGTTTGCTTCCACCCAGTTGTTGAAGCAGGTCGTCTTTATTTCGGTCAACATCTATCTTCTCGATGTCTCCCTTGTTTGCTCCCTCAGCTTCAGGAGCACCCCATATTGCCAGCACCGCAGTAGGAGCAGCCTCGTGAGCACCACCTTCCGCTACTTGATGTTCACCTCCGCCACCTCTCAATGACCTCTCGCTCGTTCTCAAAAACGTTCTTGCGTTCGTCTTTCTGGACGTACTACTTGTTGGGGATGGTGGTGAAGCTGGGTTACGATCCTGCTCCCGTTGGGAAGAAGGCGAAGCGGGATTGCCACCACCACGACGTTGCGCTGTCGGTGATTCTGATGACCAGGTTGCGTTCCTATCACGACGACGCGCAGGTATCCCGCCTTCTGCTTGCCAAGTAGACCAGGGGTCGGCTTTGGTTTTATTCCCTCCACCTTTGGTGCCTAGTGCAGCAACAGGCACGACAAGGAAGAGGCAAGCGAATAAGAACTGGGTCCATGTGGAGGTGGGCCATTTCGTCCAGGCCGTCTTCAATGGCACGACACGTCTCATCTTGTCTTGTTTTGGCAGCTAAAAGACGTTAATGTTCTTGCACGACCTAGTAGTGCCTCGTGTTGTACTAGTACTAGACTCGATTAAAACATTCTCTTGTTCGGTGTTATTCATTTGCATCTGACAAATTTCTAGTATTATGAAAAGCTGAATAGGATAGAGGATCCATCGTGAGTGATCAAGATCATATTTCCACTTCACAACGCGAAAATGGAAGAGTCCCCAATAGACGCAACATAGCTTCTTGTGTACGTAGTTGGAAAGCTCGTTATTTTACTCCGACACTGTTGTAGTGAGAAAATGAAGCAAAATGTAAATGAGGAAAATAATCATGAGACGCCTGTTGTTTCTTGACTATCTATCTCTGCCGCTTTCGGTGCCGGGTCGCTTCTTAGCCATAAAAGCATACATTTTCACATACCTTTCGGTGCAAAGTGGTAGACTACTATCTGAGAAGAGGACAGCGAACATAGAATTCTATCATGATGTCGTTGGCATACGCCATATGCCCTGACACCCGTGATTTTCGCAAAGATATTCCATCTTGTGAAGGGAACACCAACATCTCAGATTCACCTGCAGAGGAACAAGGTGGCAAGAACGTTACTACACTGACTTCAGCCCGCCAGTAGTAGAGAACAATACTAGTGGTCCCATAATTTGCCTACAGCGTCACGGAAGATGAAAATAAAAAGCCTGCGAAAAGTGGGGCGAGGAGGACGTACAACAAAGAAATATCTATATCCTTCGGGGAGATGAAGAAGAACTTGACGAAGAAGGTGACAAAAACTTCTTCAAAGTCCAGCTCCATGGCTTTCATCGACGTCACTTGTTCGTTCCCCTTCTACGATGCTCCAGGAGGTGCGCCTTGTTGTGTCATCATGACACTCTGGAGCTCCTTGCCTACTACTTGATGCACATCCAGGTACTTGCTCACACACCTGTCCACACAGCTTTGCTCGCCGGGTGACAAAGCGGGCTATTAGAGGGTGAGGACTTCTGATACTCGGTCGTGAACTATTAATTTACAACTACGACTACCTAAGTACTGTCTCGCCAAGGTGGACGAGTTAAAAAGACAGTATGATGAAAATTGGAAGCATCACATGGACGAGTTAAAATAAAGAACAACTAGAAGTCGAAGCACTTACAACTTCCAGTTACTTACCTTCACTTACTTATTTCTTGCAACTAGTACTAGAATCCTCTAGACCTAGAATCCTCTATCACTATCATCGAAAATCTAACAGCATTCTCCATAACTTTCCTTTACGTTTGGAATGCATTTCAGGTAACAGCTGCTTTGCAGCTTAGAAAAACAATCAGCCATGCCTTTCATCTCAGCCACCGCGACTTCTGCAGGACTCAGCTGTGGCTGTCCTCCAGCAGCTTGCATCTTCTGTTATTGTTTGATGTCTAAGTCTAACTCTACAAAGAACGATTGATTGATTGATTGATTGATGTGCCTGGCACGAAAAAACTAAGTAGGTAGAACTGCTAGGTAGAACTGCTAGGTAGAACTGCTAGTACAATGAGAAGAATGAGAATGTCAATTACGACGTGAACAAGAATTCACTTATAACGACTAGTGATCGACTTCAGCGCAGGATCGTCGATATATAACACTATGTATGGACCGGAAAAACTGGGCCCCCTGTATTATAAGGGCCCCGGGGATTTTCCCCCTTTAAGCGGACAGGGGCCGCAAAAATCCCGGGTCCTTATTTTCCCGCGGGGTTCCTTATAGTTCTGGCCGGGTCCCCGGAAATACTGGGGCCAACATGGCCCCGGAAAAAACTGGGGCCGCGGTATCAGAAGGGGCCCGAAAAATAAGGGACCCGACCACGAGAGGAAAAAAAAGAGACACGAGGGAAACAAGGCCATCCGCGCCCGCGCGCCTCGGTGTGTGTGGGTGTGTCTCTGTCTGTCTGTCTGTCTGTCTGTCTGTATGTCTGTCGGGTGATCGACTTCAGCGCAGGATCGTCGATAAGATGCTGTAAATTTAATATAACACTATGTATAGCTATAGATATGTGCTATTGAAGATGCAGTTGGAAAGCGAAAGTGGCAGCGTAATATCGCGACGAGGGAGAAAAAAGTCAGGGATCTCATTTTGATCTTTGTCTTTCATTGCCACTGAAGATTACCGCATCAAGTGCTGACAGACTCAACACCTAACAGCACGTGTACGATGTTCTGGGAGGTTCCTTCACATGTTTGAGCATATCGAGGATCTTTATCTTCTTGTTCGCAACGAACAATATACAATTCGAACAAAAGATCCTGGACAGTCATTGATTGTGATTGATTGATTGATTGATGTGCCTGGCAAGAGGTGCTCCACGTATCGAGAAACTGCAGCCCACTTTTCAATTTCAAGTCGTGGCCAGACATGATTGTCCTTCACAGATGCCACGAGAATGATCATGTAAAAAGGCTTCGTTCTTATCGTCCAGACAATTCTTTTATACAACAAGCGAGTCAGCTGTAGGTCCTTTAGCCTTTTTCTCTATCATCATGCGTAATACCATTTTTTCTTTGTGGCGTGTGATATGCTTCTTTGTTTCATCAATGACGATGCGAATTCTTGGATTTTTATCAGTTAACATCCCGCATTTCAACACATATTCATATGTAGGTTCGATGCGGAATTAGATATACACGTAGAGACTTACCACCTGCGTTGAGCGGTTAGTACGTCTTCTCTTTCTCAGGTGTTCTCACACAAGCACAACACTACTTCTTGATGTACTCAACAGTTTACTCGATAAATAGATACAGAAACGCCCTTTTTTGATATGGATGCGTGGTTGCTGACCATGATGAAAGAAAGGCAAATTTTTTATGACATGTTGTTATGACGAATGTGAATGAATTTTCAAAATAATCGTTATATTTGTAGTCGTTTAAACATCTTTTCGAGGATTCTCTACTACTCAGAAATATTTATGACTCAGCAATATTTATGCGGTTGGGAACTTGAAGTTTGTCAGTTGTTGTAGTTTGTCTGCTAGGCTATCTTCATGTGGTACGCAGGTATCTGATCTTTTTCATACTACGAGTCCATACTTGCTTCAGCATATTCTTACGTGCTAGGGTTTCATGTCAAGACCTCTAGTTTTTGTTGCAACTACACAGTACAATTTCTGTTCAAATAATGTGTCCACGTGGTTTTCTCATATTTTCATTGCTCATGGTCATGTGTGATACGAATTATATGCATATGGTGACTAAATACATTCAAAAACTGCTACCTTTTCATGACGAGAAGAATATACATTCAAAACTATTAATCACTTTGTCGCTGATTCTTGAAAACTCTTTGGCAATTATGATGAATTCCGATCAGTCACGTTCAATGCCGATCCATCATGTCTGTTTTTCATATTTGCATGCAACGAATTATATCCACCACCTCGCCTTCCCAACAACCACGTCGTACGTCCGACGACCTTGGCCTTCTACCTCGTATCACAACCCGATCTCGTCCACACCAAGGCCAACTACCTCGTATCTCGATCTCCACTAGAGAGTGAAAACCTGTAAAAATAAAATGGCGTGGAACATTCATACTTTCTTGATAGTTACGACGTTGTATGTACTTATACATATTTTGAGTAGCAGAGGAGATTACCTTATGTATAATCCCTACTGCTCGCTGGTGCACGAACCTGCGAAAGAGACTGTTTTTTGCGGAAGGTGTTGTAGCCTTAATGATCAGAAATATTTATGTTGTTGTTGTACAAGAATAGACGTCAGATCTCTAAAAATTATGATGAATTCCGATCAGTCACGTTCAATGCCGATCCATCATGTCTGTTTTTCATATTTGCATGCAACGAATTATATGACTTATATCCACCACCTCGTCTCCGTCTCCCCAACAACCACGTACGTCCGACGACCTTGGCCTTCTACCTCGTATCACAACCCGATCTCGTCCACACCAAGGCCAACCACCTCGTATCTCGTTTTCGACTGGAGAATGAAAACCTGTAAAAATAACATGTGGAGAAAGAACATACATTTTCAGTTGTTACTGTGGATTGATTTCACCAATCTAACACTTGCAGATCCATCAATCGTCGCTGCTCCTGTTTTTGCAGTCGTTTCATGACTACCGTAGAAGCCCCAAAGCAGTATCAATGATGTTAGAACTTACATAAATCCATCTTCAGCAGCATCTTGGGTCTCCTTTTCCCTTTTTAGAAACGGGACCAAGATGCCTGGGAAGATGGGTTTCTTGTAGCCTTATAATGATAGGAAATGTTTATGTTGTTGTTGTACAAGAATAAACGTCAAGATCATCCTGAGTACCTCTAATGCAGTGACGATTTCACCACCGCGCCGTCATTTGGAAGACGTTCACGATTCCAATCATCTTTGGCCTTCATCTGCTTGCGCATTTTCTCCCGAAAATCGTTTGGCTTGCTCTCTTGGGAAGCGACACGCGGCCAGCTTGACTTAGATCATACTAGGGTAACCCTACAAGAAAATAAGCAAATCAGAAAGGGTTTCGTAGAGCTTCTTCTTCATCCCAAACAACTTCTTCTTCCTCAGGTTTTTTCCTGTACCTTGTCAACTTCGAGTAGAAAGAAGAAAACAAAAGACAAAGAGCAAATCAAGGGTCTGAATATTTGAGACTCAGCTACTAGTACTTTCAAGCCCTTTGTGTGTTTTTGAAGATTCGCTAGATGAAGTTCTCTCTCCTGTGATGACTGATTATATGTAGTCTTTGCGGTTGATATTGATATACTTGTAGTTAAACTTAAGGTAGTCCTATTCGTTAAATGAGTTATAGTATACCTCGATTTATCAAGGTTGTCTTAAATATTCCTCTCAGGTGGTCTGGCAACTTGATCACCAGAGGTGTGGTCGGCTCATGGGCATCAGCTGGAAGAGATTCCTCGTCTTCATCGGAGTAGTACAGGAGAGGCATGGAAGACTCACCCTCGTCCGCAGGGTATCTTGTATCCTCCTCGTAGTCCTCTTCTGCAGGATTCTTAGAGTGGCGGGTAGAAGAAGGACAACAAGCAGAAGAAGGCTACTGCTATGCACGAGCACACAGAAATGTGCTTTGGAGCGACGAACTGCGTGCTTTTTACTACTCTAGGACTAGGGTACACTTAAATGTTTATAAGTACTATGGATGCTAGTATGCCGTTGGTCTAGTTGGACAAGAGTGCCCGCCGCCGGGAGTTGGTCTGATATACCACTTCAACAGAGATCCACAAAATCATCGCTGTTGAAGTAGTATATCAGAACCACTGACTCGTCCCGAAGGACATTCATACCATCAAGAATAAATTACATACTATCTGTCGTCAGTAGCCTTAAAAATGGCTCCGTCCGTCGCCTCATCCTGATTGCCAACAGCGCGAGTGTCTTTCTTGTAGAAGGCATTGGCGTATCCAACCAGACCGCACAAGATCATGCAAAACGCAGCGCAGTAGAGCATACTGGAACCGGTTGCAGTTGCACCAGAAGCCTCTTTTTCCGGTGTCGCTGTCTCAGGTACGTAATCAGGCTCGCCTTCATCTGCAGGCGGCGGCGCTGATAAATCTCCTGTGGCTTTGGCATGAGATTTTTTTAGAGAGGTCGGCGTGGGAGCAATCAACGAGGACAAGGAAGAGGGTATTTTTGAAGAACACACTCGAGACTGAAAGTCACATTCATTCTCGTCAAGTCAGTCACCATTACTCACTCAGTAAAGGTCGTATCGCCACCTTAATGATCTCTAGTAGATCTTTCTACTCTACTATGTTACATACGATTGCGTTTGCTGACATCTCCTTGCTTATACACAGGTTATTACTCATTGTAGGAATTCCCATAAGAGAGACGGTCCAGAAGTAGCAATGGTACGGCTAGCGCTAGTAGTGGTAGAGTCTCCATCCCTGGCTTGCCCAGGGTCAGCTGCGGTACGAGCAACAGCACCATCACCAGAGCCAGGTCCTCCGACTTCGACAAAAGACGCGCCATCTGCGGCGCTTTGGCTTTGCCTAGATTCAGCTGCGGTAGCAGTATCGAGAGTGACAGCACCACGGCAACAGCCAGGAGCTGCACTTGCGACACCAGGCGCGCCAGTCGTAGCGGCAGCACCACCAAGGCCAGATCCTTCACCATGATCGGCAATGCGCGCCTCCGTCTCTCGAAGACTTGAAGCAGCGGCTTTCACGATTTCTACCACCGCAGTGGCCGTGTCCGCAATCTTAGCCCCCTCGTCGGCCAAAAGGCTCCACTGCTCTTCTGTCGCAAAGGAGGGCTTTTGGAAAGCACCTTGTGGAAAGCCCATCTTTCCACTACTCGCTCCTCCAGTCCTAATCAAAGGGACTACCACGGCACTGCGAGCATGCGCAGCCGTAGTCTCCTGGGACACCCCCCGCCCGCCTTCGACTGTGATGTAAATGTCGCCAAGAAGACCGAAAATCGCTTTTCGTTCTTCGATGTCAGCACCTGCGTGAATGTCTTCTCCGACGCCGTAGAGAGATGACGGGTTGTCCCCAGGCAGTAGATTCCAAAGTGGCGAGTGATCTCCAACGTGTTTCGCAAATGTTTCTTGGACTCCAGCCATACCGCCGGTAACGAATATCAGATTCGTGTCCCCCGCAGCCTCACCCAACTTTTTAGCCATCGCTTCGACCAACGGTTTGGATTTAGGGTCATGAAACTCCGTTCCCCCCAAAATGCACACGATCTTGGCATCACGACTTCTCACCTTTTCGTACAGCGTGTTGCGCAGTTTGTGAGCTGCCTCAGCAGGACTATCCACGTGCGCAGGCCGGTCTCCTCCCCCGACATTCATCACATGCTCAGTCGTTGGCGTGCTTCCAATCTGCAGCGCAGACGTGCCTCCAATTAGCATTGGTGCATATGTGCCACTCGCTTGGACAGCAGACGTGCCATTCGGTTGATGGTGCAGCGATGCCACCTCCTGGCTCGGTCCGTGAATATCGAGATGGTCGTACGCCTCCAAATTGTCAGCCTCGACCCACGCGACCACCGTTAAGATTAGCGCGTTCTCAAGAATTCTTCGATCATCCTATTAAGAAGTGGTGGTATCCTAAGAAGTGGTGTGTCCTACTAAGAACAAGAAGCAGTGGTATCCTACTAAGAAGTAGAAGTGGTGTTCTCTCTCTCTACAGTATTTTCTAAGATGATTTCCGGACAACAATGAGAATGAATAACATGGTTAGACGAGGTGATGTAGAAGATGAAGATCGATTAAACAGAGAAATCTACTTTTGTTCGTAGGACATTCTATCAAGTCAAAGTGAGTTCTCTCGAAGTACTTATAGACTTAAAAGGGAGGACATCAAGCAATTCTTGAGACCACACTTTCTTTGCATGAGGTAAGAGGAAAGACGATATTGAAAAACCAATGGCCATAAGAAAAGGATGAGACGAGAGAGGATGAGAAAAAGAGACATCTTCCTTCTCGATCTTGTAGCTACAGCCTTCGTGATTTTCGTTTCAATAGCGTTGCAGCCTTCCTCGTGCTCGTGTACTCTATGTAGTAGTTCAAATGCTTGGGCGTCGTTCCGTTGCTCGTTTGATATCGGACCGGAGACGTTGACGTCGTTGGAAGGACGTCGTTTCCAAATTACGAAATTCTACTTCTTCTTGTGCGAAACAAGACGAGCGACCGTGTGGCCATGGACTTTTTTGTAATTGAGAATTGGGATTGGTGTTCTCCGGATACTAGGATAGGTGTAGTTCGTGTTCTTCTGTGATGTGAGGTCGAATTATCTCCGTAAGGAAGTTGTAAACACGTTTTCGCGGTTGTCGTTGAGACGTACTAGTGCTTGCTATGTCGATTTCGTGCATCCTACAATTTTAATTTGATGTTTGTTGAGGATTGAGGATTGATTACCAGGCTGAGTGTGAGAGAGAGCACCGGTAAGTTTAAGTATAAGCTTTATTCAACTTAAATAATCTGGTTTCTCGTGCCAATGTACTTTTTGTAACATCATTCTCGTCACTCGTTTGCTCGTCCCTCCTCGAAAGATGATCATGGTTCTACAGACGACAACGACTTCGATTCACGGTTGCACGGACGACAACGATTTCGATGGATTTTGCCAAACCGAGTTTCCGCTCAACGACAACGACCTCGTTGTATACTATTGACGCACTTATATTCATACACAGATTCTGATTTGGATTTGGAGATTTCAGAAAAATGTTTTCTTTTTGTATCCTGGGGCTACTGAAAGAGCAACCTCAGCTTTATCCAGTTCGCAAAAAATGTTTTCTGGCCACCAAAAGGGGCACAGTACGTTCACATCCTCCTGGTAATATTCGAAATGACGAAACTAGTAGAAACCCTCGAATCATCTTCGCTAATGATGAAGATGCGAAGATTGAGGCTCTGCTACTATTACTATATTAGAGCGCGCCTCGAACAATCAGCAGACGTGGATAGTCAAATCGATTAAAGCCATTTTTAGATAGTAGTAGTAGATACATTACGATGCATCAAGGGCAAATCGGGTAGATGGCTTCATCAAGACGAAGATTGATCGACATTAAGGGAAGAACAGGCGATATTATACATAAGAATCGAGTTCGAGTTATGATCTTCATCGTCGTCGTCGAAAGAGAAAGTAGATGCTTAGCTTGCGCTGCAACTTCTAAGAATTTCAAGTAGGAAACTTGAAAGCGTAACAAGAAGATTGAAAGCGAATAAAGACCAGTTTTGGGGTAGCGGGCAAAATACCGCGGGGCATTGTATTTAGAACAAAGAAAGTGGACCCGGAACACCGCGGACATTATTTGGTAAGCTTTGCAAGACTACCAAGTACAGCGATCCTGATCTCAGTTTACCGCAAAAGTGAAGATAACCTATTTTTGCACACAGTCACAGTAGATCCGGACATCCTATCACATACTAATGTACAACTTCAGCTTCTTGCTTGCCTCTTTGTCCTTCTCGATTGACTACTCGGCGTCGTGGTCATGCAACGAACGACAACACAAAAATCATCTCGGTTGCCCCAGCTGCTTGTCGGTACAACCATCATGTTGCAGTGTGAGCATCATCTCGGTTGCAACAGCTTGCTCGAACAAGGTCCGGGCATCACAAAACTCGCAGTGGCGATCATGGGTGGTTTTTGCGGCACGTACGGTGACACTGGACGATTTGGGTGTAACTGCGTCAGTGACGTCTGCTTTTTGATCGTCGTGTAGTTCATGAAAGAGGAAGGTGTGGGTGCAATCACTTAATATTAATAATTTGGGGAACATCAAGAAAAGAAAAAAAACTTAATAAAACTTCTACCAACTTGTTCTACCAGTTTACTTAGTATTCGTAATCACTTTCCCTTTTGTTGGATTTTCCCCCCGAATTGGAGTTTACCGATTCGGGGGGTAAGTCCAACAAAAGGGAAAAGGAGGGAAAATTTGTAGGAAAATTTCCACCTCCTGACAAGTCAAGTAGCTTAATATTCTTGAGTCTTTCGTTTCGTCGTACGGATAAATATTAAGGCTCAACATCTCTTATTTTAGTACTTTTCTACATAGTCTTTCACTTTAGTTGTAGTCCAAGTCCTCACATATCATTCAGACCTAATGCTACAACTTTGCTGCTGTCCTGTTGATACACGATAAGACTGCAGAGTCGCTCGTCGTCCTCCTGCGAAGATGCCAGTAGAAGTAGAATTAGCATTAGTTTCGTTCCATCCTTCTCCTTGAAGTGTACTGCAACTCATTGTTGATGTTATCCTCCCACCGGCGCCACTACTATAATCATTGCTGTAGTGATTAGTAGACCTTACTTACTTATAGTACTCATCTTGAAAAGCTGCATCTTTGGCGTGCTGTCTCCTTAAAAAAAAGGGCCAAAGATCTATGCCTCTTAAGATGAATTACTGAGTAAGCCTTAATGGTTGCGTTGCTCGGGGTGGGTCTTGTTGAGCGATTAGTAGAAGTCGCGGTGGAGGATGCGACCAGGGATGAAAAATTTGCCGGACTTTTTCCACCGCAAGGCGACAACAGTAAACCAAGCGGAGGCATTGTCAAGCGACCCGGGAAATGCTGGTGAGGGGGACGCGTCGTGTTCGTTGGCGGTGGCGGATATTAGCGTGTGAACGTAGTTGAGTATAATGTGAAAGTACTTGTTAAGTGAAGGTGTAACAGTAGTCCAAGATTGTCTCTTATGAAAAAGTTATAAGTAACCAAAATGTTGACGCGGATTCTCTATGATGTATCATTAATCATGGTGACCTTGATGACATTGCCATTGCGATGTCTTCAATTCGATTTCGAAAGATACATGTTTAATGTTTATCGATCCATAAAAATGATATCCACCGTGTTGCCTTGACGCAGCTTGCAGTCTTGGCGCTTGTTCTGATGACCTCGTCTGGTTGTGTTGTTGTTGTTTCTGGGGGTTCAGCTGCAATTGGGCACCTACAGCCCTTTCTGACGTATTCATCACGACCTGCGCCACCTCCTGCGCACAAGTAGCAGAAGAACTACTTCTACTACTAGTTGACGATGAAGAAACCGTTTCCCCTGTAGAAGCAGGATGTAATGGTGGTCGCCCCAGTGAACGAGCCATTGATCCGGCAGAGTGCGCCGCAGAAGCCGCTGGCGTCCTAGGACTTAACCGGGAGCCACGTGGCGTAGGAACGAAGGCGAATTTGGGACTCTCCATCCTCAAACCTACAGGCGTCAAACCGCCAGCAGGAGGTCGTTGAAACGCAGCACGTAGAGACTGGAGAGGTGGAGCAATAGCAGTGGCGAAGTAGTCGATTCATGCTGATATACGGTGATTGATTCAAACTCTATTTTCTTTGTGCATGACAACAGCCATGGAAAGTTCTCACGTTCTATAAGTAATCCAGGAGCAATTATACCGGTGTCCACAAAACTGGTTGTGCGAGTGGTCCGGGACTCCGATGTTCAGGATAACGCTTCACTATCTCTGGAGTAACTGCGTAAATATGCTGATTCATCTCCGCTTGCTGTTGGTAAGAACCTGTTGGGATGGATAGGATTTGTGTGGATGGACCGGAGCAACAGCAAAAGCAAGAAGAAATACTAGAAAAACTTATACTGTAAAATCCGAGAACAACAACTACAGCATGCAGCGTATTAGGAAATCAATGTTACCTCAATTATCTTCTGTACTAATCTTCAGAAAGCTTACAGCGAAGATCTGTCTCTATGGTACAATCTATAAATATCTATCTCTATGGAAAGGTACTATTGCTGTTGTTCACGAATGGCGGAAGTCACAATCTTCTATGGTACTATTGCTGTTGTTCACGATGACCGCTATTGGCTGGCGGAGTTTTTCGTTTTGTCTTTCGAGCATTTTGTTCTGCTCTTCCAGTTTGTTCACTTTCGCTTCCAGGTTCCGCAGTTTGGCACTAAAGACTTGAGTACTAGAAACCTCAGAGGTCGCGATGTTGTCTTCGTCGTCGTGCTGGTCACTACATTCCAATAGCGTTCTAGTATTCTGTAATCTTTGACGCTCTCGCTCAATAAGATGATTGGAGTCCTCTATAGTTGTGGTTTCCATAGCAAGAGCAGATGCAGCTGTGGTACCAGATGAACAAGCTGATGATGCCTTGTTGGACCCACCTGGACTGGCAGTCGACGTGGTGGAAACAGTTCTTGTGCTTGTTGTCTTTGTACTACTACTTTTTCCACCAACACACATCCTGGACGAACTACTGGATGTTGTCGAGGAGGAGGTAGAGGAGGAAATGTAGTTGGAGACCGCTGTTGTACCACGACCAGCACTAGAAGACGGAGGAGCAAGTGCAGTACAAGTAGGTGGTCGTTCTCGTTTTTTCTTGTTCCTAGAAGATGCACTGAATGAAGAGGATTTTTTTCTCGTCAGCAAAGTGCTATCGCGTGCTGTTTCTTCGAAAGCGCTCGGTGTAGTCGCTGTTTCGTCCAGGAAGGAGCACTTATTGTTCGCGTCGGAGATATGAAAAATAGAGAGGAAGCGATACTAGACAGTATGATTGAATGCACTATGATGTAGATGTATTCTTATTGATTACCTCAACTACGATGTTGGCAAATATCTTCGCTTCTCGAAGGAAAACGAACATAAAACATACACTCATCCACCATAATGCAGGAATGTCTTTAACCGTTGGTTGAGCGTGTCCACCATGTTTATGACGTCTGGCGATTTTTCGCTTTCTTCCTCTTGCTTGCGCTTTCCCCGGACTTCGCCCTTACCACCTCTAGAAACCACGCCAGTCGAAGAGGAGGAGGAAGGGGTGCAACAATCGCTGTGGAGGTATTTTTAGAGGTGTAGTTATCATTTGGATTTGGTACTATAAATATATAAGTATATAGAAGTGATGAACATCATGTTTCAAGATGGCCTACCTATGTAAGAGTAAGAAGGTGGTCTAGAGCTGAAGACCTTCCTCATCCTCTGTCATAAATCTCATCATTCGCTCCCGAGGGTTGCGCAATCGGTGGCCGTGCTGCTGGACATTGGTCTAGTACTCTACTTATCTCTTGCTCGCCTCGACCCAAGAAGTGGCCGTCTTCGTGGTTTTGACCACCCCGATTACTTCTTACAACTGAAGACTCGGTCTCGGCTGGTCGTAATCCTACACCACCACCACCACCACCACCTCCGCCCGCTGCTTCTGCTGCTTCTTTTGTTCTCGTTGTTTTCGTCTTTCCATTACAACTAGCACCACTATCTTCTTCAGTATATTGACTATGATTCACCTTGTTTGATGATGTTGAAGAAGAAGTCGATGGACATTTATTTAGGCCAGGCGAAGCCAATGGGTTTTCTTCGGTTTTCGCAAATGTGCTGGCATAGGAGCCTGAAGTAAAAGGCGTGGTTCTGCGACTGGGTCTATTTGGAAAACAAGGCTTAGATGAAGCGCCTACTTTCGAAGACGAGGCAGATGTTGAACCTCCTACACTGGATGTTGACATCTTCAATTGGTGGTCGTCTCGGTTCTTGCTGGCCGCTAATTGTAACCTTAGAGGAGAAGTCAGTGTTGGATTGTTGATGATAATCTTGTGTCAACAAAGGCACGCAGTCAACACAGGGAGGACAGGAGGATTTAAATATAATCTTGGGACTTCACTGTATCATCTATTCTAATTCTAGAACTGTGATCTTTCCTTAATGTGGACGTGGTAGTTTGAGGACTTCTCATCGCGCCACCAGAGGACGATGAAGTTGAAACTGGATCTCCTTCACCTTCTGCTTGTTTGTTCTTATAGAACAACTGGCCACCTCTGCATATGTTCTTGTCTGGAGGAGACCGTTTGTTCGCCCTTATGCTCATCCGTTGGTGTTGTACTTCACCTGAGATCGACATCTTGCCACGACTTGCCGACAAATCTTCAGGCGACGAGCTACAGTAGCTTGCCACACTAGAGACCGCAGGGGAAACTAATGTGACTCCCTCAGGTTTTCGGGGTTGTGCACTAGATGAAGAGGAACCACGACCAACAACCTCGTCTGTTAACGCGTGGTCATGATCACCAAGCTGAAAGCGGTCTTCATCCGTTCGCTGTGGTCTCTGCACTACACTCAACGCGGCCTCTGATTGATGCTCGGCTTCTACAGCCTCTTCTTTTCCTCGGAGATAAACATCTTCAAGAGTAGTTGTCGTAGTTGTAGGTCTTCCTGCCTCCAGTGCTACAAGAACTTGCGACGAAGAAAAAGAACTAGATGAAGACGAGCTACAGCTTGTTGAAGGAGGAAAACTAATCGCTGAAGCTGCATGGCCTCCAGAGAAGTGTTTTCTGGAGTTTCGTAACTGCGCAACACTTGCAGATCGCCGTTGTTCCTGGACATCTGTGCATCTGATAACACGGGGTTCCAAAACAGCTTGAAAATTCGGTTTTCTTCTCCTGGAGGTTTTCGGTTTTTTTCATGTTCTTGACGTTAGGACCAGGAGATTCTTTATAGTGATGATTGAACTGCAAGAACTAAATACAATCCCAGCAAATAACGTAGAAGTCCAAGTCATGTCATGTCATGGCCTCTCATATGTAGCTATTATTGTCTACCTGTGAGAAGTTTTGCTTCACGTTCTTGTTGCTCACGCGATAATAAAGATTAAGATATTAGGAGTACCTACTTGGCCTCGATGATTCCGCGAAATTTTCACGCAGAAAACAAATACGGTGCGAAGGCTCGGAGGATTCCCTTTGCTGGCCGCTCATGTTTTTTGATGCTATGTTGTATCTATTTGATGTTGATGACGTGAACCTACCAGGCAGTCTGCCTATGATATTGTATCTATTTAAGTACTACTAACTTGTAAACTGGTCACGAAAACTGGTCACGACCTTGTAGTTGATGTTCAATGACCATAATGAATGAGAGTGTACAACTTCTAGTGCTAGTCTCTGTCAAAATCAAGAAGGAACAATGAATAGTTGTACCAACCATTCTTTTCGTCCCTGTTTTCAGACCTACGTATGTTCTCGTTGTCCTTGTCATCAAGAGAATGTCACTTTGCTGTCTCTCTCTCTCTCGCTTTGGCCCCTTTGCAGACTTATTTTTTTTGAATAAACTGTATGTTGGCTCTTCTCACTCTCCCAACTCACTACAATAACTCAATCCGTCCTTGAAGGTCGTTGCAACTTCGTAGTGGCAAGCGCAAAAGCTCTCACTCTCTTCCAAAGACGTACTAAAACCAGCCACATTTGTTCCGTCTGCTGCTCTTTGTTGGAATTCTGTTACAGGAGTAACTGAGCTCCTAGTCCTACAGGTATCAACACATTGATCCATATTAAAGGAGTTGTAGTAAGTATTTCATCAGCATCTGCGTCTGCTTTGATTGCGTCTTTCCGTATCAAGCGATGCTCCTCGTTCTTGTTTTAGTTCTTTTTCCTGAACTGTCTAAGCATAAGTACTAGTTTCCTTATCCGGGGTAATACGATTAGAATGAACGGAAATTATGATTCAATGATAGGTCACCGTAAAACGAAATTCTAGAAGGGGTAGACGGGCAGTAGGGGTAGTGCGTAACGCCCAATGCTGTGCTTATTACGATCATCACAGACACACACGATCATTCTAACACTCACTCCATAATGGGAAAAGCGTTACTAGGATTGGCTGTGCTTTCTTTAGAGATTCTTTGAATGCTTCAATTTTTTCTGTACCCGGTGAATCCACCATCATATTTCTTGTTCTTCCCTCACTGTAGGTCTTCACGAATCACTACCTAGAAATACAGGATGGAAAATCAATTTGTTGTTGTCTCTACATAAGCCTGTATAATTCTTTTTCTTTCCTCTTTCTATTCTTATTAACAAGATGAAAAAGCGACGCCTTTTTTCTGTAAGGAGGATGACGATGTCTTCTTAATCTTCTGATTTCACTTTCTTGTAGTTCGGTCAACCTCCTCCGCAGCGTTTTTTCATATCTACAAAAACTATCGACGATATATAATAATGATCTTGTTTTAGTTGAAAGTGATCGAGGTCGTGAAGACATGATATACAGAATCGAGTAGTACAAGCGGGAACAACTAGACTTAAAGTTCGTTCACCTGTAAAAACAGATAGTTATGTTATCCGTATTTCAATAGTACAGCAACTTCTCACTTTTGAATGACTGAGGACAACATCCGTCGATAAATCTTTATATCGATCAAGACGACGTTGGAAGACAGAGTGACCAACAATATTTACGATCTTCTACGTTATTGTAAAAATTGCTAGGGACGATAAATAATACAACCTCTTTTTGATAGATACATCATCCAGAAAACAAACTCAAAGACACAAAAAAAATGACATAGATTTGTTACATCTTCAATTTATTTAGATGTACTGCTACTGGTGCGGTCGGTGGAGTACGAAGATACGACGCACTGTCCCCTACCACCTAGAAGAGAAAGTAAGTAATCATTAGGATGAAGAAAAAGACACGAAAAAGTACGACACAATTTACATAAATACAAATTAGTGGATTCTTGTACTTAGATTCATCACGAGATCGACCATGTCGACTCTATTAGACCTTGTTGTCCTTGTCGCGATCCATCCCACACCCACCCTATAATTTATTTTCATACTTATTTTCATCTGTTCAGCATAGATAGTATTGGTATTTGTATCAAGAAATCAGGAGTAGACTGAAATCGACTCATCTTTTTGCCTGGAGGTTGTTTCATCTCAAACAACCCAGACTACATCTTCAACACTTCAAGAGTAAGTATCTTAATCTTACGAACGGAGAAATCAAAAGACACGACTATGCAGCAGTAGAAAGGCAGAAATACAATATCAGCAACGAGCAGCAGAACAACCAGCACGACCAGCAAGAGCAACCAATAATTTCTCGTACAGCAATTTGCAGCAACAACAATATCTTATGACGTCCACCACTTCTCTATCACGTCGACCAACAACATCAGCAACAGCAACTACCAGCACTACAGCGAAGGAGTAGCCATTTTATCAACAACAACTACATTCGAGTTCTTTAGCAACAACTGTGAGCAGCTGAAAGCAACAAGTATGAGCAGCTCAAGCAGCTCATGGCTTGGAGGACTTTTCAGTGAAGGAAAGAGCACTTCGACTTCCCCCTTGTTCTTGAAAAGCTGGAAGCAGCTTAATACAGTTACAATTACAGGTTTTTCGAGTTTATTCGACGCACCAGCTCGGGTGGGCGCAGAGAAAGCGATTCCCGCGCTTCATCCCACTCTGCTATGTCTATGGTGGTGGTGGTCCCCTTCAATAGCACGTGGAAAATCCACAACATGATTTCCTTTTTTAGTAAATAGCAACAGCTACGAGGTACGTACTCGCATAGCTAGTACTCGCACAATCTAGCACAAGCAACGACAGTATGTGTTACTTAATACCCCAGCTTCTACTAGTAGGTTCAATAATTATACAGCTTCAGACATCCCAGTCCCATAGGCACAGCAAACCAACTAGGACAGCAAGAGCAACTTCAACACTGCTGTAGGACGACATCCAGGACGACATTAACCGAATCAAGACAATTGTCCCGGGAACAGCACTTTTCGGCCAACATATAGGCATAAGATAACGATATCCTACGTACACACGACCGTTGAGTGTAAGGTTGGTTGTATCTCTATCTTAATATCAAAATCTTCTAAAACCTCTTTTTATAATGAGTGAGTGATTGAATGTACCCAGTACCTGTACCCAGTCAGGTTCGTATCTATAATATCCTATGATTAAATCCATACGATGAAGAACGAACAACAATTTCTCACCATTTCGATAAACGTTGGTCATCCGAACAGGGCTGCCGGGGCCGAGTGAAGTAGTGGCAGTAGCAACTTCTTGAGTGAACCGAGTTCAGCCCATGCTCTAGTCTTACTATGAGGAGGAGATGCCCTAGTCGTTGCGCTAAAGCATTATTTCATCCTCCAGCGTCGAGTAGTATTTTTCTCGTCATGATCATGTTGTTGTGAAGTGAGCAAGTGTGCGCGGTAATCTTAAAAACATTCCCTATGTTCTGCTTCTAGCTCTTACATGTGTATCTATCCTACGGTATTTATCCAAATTACTCTTCCCTGATCTCCATAAGGGCGCACCAAGACTAAGAACCGGAAGAACCAAGTAGAAATCAAAATCTTCATTGACTTGACTTGACTGGGGTCTCCTCCTCATCCACGCGTATTGAGCACGGAATCGGGGAAAATTGTACTTAAATACGTCTTTGTCTAGAGAATAGTTGTCATTTTTCGCTTCAGAAGTACGCTGCGTTGGTTGGTACCAACAAAAAAAGTTTGTGTAGCAGCCACAGCATCGCAAAAATAACAGAAATAGGCACAACTAGACAACAACATATTACACATCTTTCACTTTCTTCTTGTTCTTCTATAATGATCATCATAAGTATTAAGTATCTACTCGATTGCCAGCCTTCTAACTAGAGAAGAAGAAATTGAAATAAATCAATCAAGAAGAAGAAGTAAGCACGACGTCAAGTTTTCTAACTATGTTCGTTGATGTAGTATGGCTCTTCTATCTATTTTGAAGAACAAGGAAGCACACACTCTCTTAGTTCTTCTAATCTTCAGAAAAAAAAAGTGCGAGGTTGTTGATGTTGTAGCTGCTCACGCCCTCAACCTCATAAAAGTTAAACCACGAGGGTCATGACTGAAAGAAGTGACACTGATAGATATACAACAGGAAGCTCTAGCTCTTCGTTCTGGTTCTCAACTATTAATAAATTTTCACACGACTATCCCTATCTTGACATTTTTAGTTGGCATGGTACAAAGACACAACAAACTGAAGTCTTCAGATCAACACCTGATATTGGGTGAGTCCTTTGCTGAAAGATGCATGATGAAATCAAATTGCCCAAGTAACCTAATAAATATAAAACAGATGAAGCACCTCGAGTTTCTGTCTACGAAAATATTGGCTCCGAGATAGACCGAGGGGACTTAGCGAGTTGTGTTGACGTTCTAGAAGTAGACGAAAAAATTGAGTCAATGAGTCACAATTCTTTCCCATTGACTAGCACCAAAATCAAGGAACGCGATAGCTCATTCGAATTCATTGATACTCAAAAGACTAATCAAAATGAACAGTAGGAATAGCTCTTGAATATAATCTACGGAGCGTAGTTTACGAATAGGAACAATGATAATGTATTGTAGCTCTGTATCTAGTGGGCCTAGAAGTAGTAGTAGTTAGTCGTTCGTCAAGGTCATTTTTATTTGATGATGAAAAGAACATCTTCCGGAAAGTAGAAAGTTAAATCTGAAGCTGTTCATTTTGTCATTCATGTACCTACCTGTACGTAGTATCATGACCTCCTGTTCAGTTTTCGAACGCTAACGAGCTTACACACCTACACGGAGGGCACCCAAAACATCTTCATATCAAAGCCCTCTTCTCCAGCGTCACAACTATAGAATTCATGTGACGAAAACCGTGAAATACAAGTCGATCATATCTCATCTTGCCTTTAAGGTGCTGTTTAGACGCATCATAAAGGTTTATAGGTATAGATACGACCAGACTTACTACAACGTATAAATATATAATCGAGTTTGAGGAGGTGGAGATGATCATGATTCAGAAACAAATTATAAACAAGAGGTAACAAAACAGGGCTCGTACGGCGTTTAATGCTGACGTTTACATTGCTACTCCAAAATAGGCGTCGCCTAGGAAAACGTACCTCAACACGCTTTCCCATCTAGTACAGAGGAGATAAACAAGGAGCTTTTATATATAGAGATACAGACAGGACGAGGAGCCCCATCCATCTATATCTACTTCTTGCTCAGAAAAACTAGCAGTTTGCTGAAATTTTGAACAACGCACTTCTAGTGAGATGGTGATGATGATGTGCCTAGCGACAGCGAGAGGTGTCTTTTTCAACCTCTCGATTGAAAGCGACTCACTGCAGCTCCACATCATCTTCAACAAATCCACCAAATAGATTCTACAACTCACTTTTTCAAACAAGCCTGATATCATGTACTTATAACTACCCACAAGCACAAGAGGACACCACGACCACCAGATGCCCACTTTTCAATTCGAAAATTCCTAAAGACCCAAGGATGATCCCAAGAATACCCAGGAGAACCCCAGCCAACTGCTGGCCCCAAAATTCCACCAATTCCAATTCCAAAAATGCCCACTCGTCCTGGAACCCTTTCTAAGTTGACCAGCTTAGAAACCCAGTAGACTTACTGTTCCCCACCAGCCCGACCTTGCAGTTGTAAACTTACTGCTCCCCGCCCGCCTGACCTTGTTGCATAGTCATGACCTTGCGCATCAACTTGGAGTCGCGTAATCCTAGTTGTATCATGCGTTCCCAATACGGATCGTACAATACTTCACCGCACAGGCCACCGCAATTTTCGTAGGTTGGGAGTTAGAAGCAGGAGCGTTGGGGGACGATCTCGTCCAGTATCTCAGATTAATTGCTAGAAGACAATATTCAAGTTCTTCAAGTTCTTATTGCTGTAGGTGTTGTAACACGCACCCACTCTTCAGAAGTTTGAGCAGGAGAGTTCATTGTCATGATGATGTGAAGTCGAGTGACCGTGAACAAGGCGGGAATGTAATGTTGATGAAGCGAGGAAGACCAAAGACAGGATATTTTATTAAACAGAGGGAATGTAAAATTTTTGTCACACTCACATACATTGGCCATAAGGATAGCTAGAGTCTACAACTGCGTATGCGATTCCGCTTGTTGGGTGCCTCGCGGTCACGACTCCTCTGGCACTTGGGTAGTAGATCGTCCGATCCAGGCCGCGTATCTCAGGCCTTAGTTTAGAGGATAGAAACATAGAAGACCTTAGTTTAGAAGACCTTAGTCTAGAGGAGAGAGTGGCGCGTGAGGATAGAAACAGAGACATGATCATGTAGTGCGTGAGGATACGAAGAGAAACGATGTTGACTGAGAGTTGATACATCATCATTGCGTCTCGAATGACTGTACGACGTGATCATCGGCAGAATTGATACTGCGTCGTCATTTTAATATCTCTATCTGGTTCTGGATCATAATTCGTTTTTCGCCAAAGTATCTGAGGATTCGCTTTTCTTCTACACGGTCGTTGACTACCTCCTCCATCATGTTTTCCAGCTTTGCCTTCTCTTGTTCGGTGGTCGCCAACACAATGTTGAGATCTGTGACAGACCTCAAAAAAGGTTCCCTGGTCAAAGATCTGTCGTAAAACACCGACTTGAGGCCACCCTCTTTGGGAGGTTGCCACTTCATATCTTAGAAGAAGAGCTTACAGCTTGTAATTGTGGTTGCTCATATTCATCGATTCAAGTTTTGAGTAGTACGCAGTTAGACTTCTTCTAATCTTTGACTACACGTACGCGTTTTCTTTTTCCGTTGAAAAGTTAAACGCGTATTTGCCCTTTGGAAACCGCTCAAAATCAAGTTCAAGGTGGTCAACGTCAAAGATGCTCACAAATGCTTGCTTGTCAAGCACCAACTAGATGAATATGTATTTCTATTTCTCGTCCTTCTAAACGGATCTAATTATAAGCTTGATCTTCAAATGAAGAATTTGAAGAATTACATCAAGAGGCCTTAAACATCATCAACGCTATTACGCAAAGCGGCATGCCCAGCAAACTCTAGAGGAAGGGACTCAACACTGGAGATCTGCTGGGACAGAGGGTCTCGCTCTGCTGCATCTCCTGTATCGGATATGGTGCTTTGATCTTAGAGCTTGTTTCAGTTTGCAATTTACAGAAGAGCACTATCTTGAAGATAGATACATACGTAACATCTTGAAGATGCGTACTGTCTTAACAAAAAAGTGGTCCAGAAACAAGGATATTTCGTCTCAACCTAGTATCTTCAACTTCACTCATTAGAGAATATAGAAGCCTTAAGAATCCTGAGCCTCTCCATCTCCAAAGTGGTAAATTGTGCTGGTCCACTTCAAAGCCTGATCTGTGGCACCCAACAAGCGACCATTTGGCGACTCCTGGAGTCGGGTGTTCAACGCACCCAAACCAGTACTGTCGATTTCTGACATAATCAACGAGCCTACCACTCCAGCATCTTCCTTGTTAGAAGAGCCAGCTACAACCTTACAACTAGTTGCACTTGCATCTTTCCTGCAAGAAGCTAGTATGACTATGATCCCGGGTGTTCACTTTAAAAGAAGAAAATAAAGTTAGGGTTTTCCACCTACAGAGTTGTACGTGAAAAACTACAACAAAGGAGTCTTCAGTTACGGATCACGGATCGATAATGATGTTCAGACAGAATGGAATCAATTTCTGAGGCACGACTCGCCTTAAGATTCCGACTGACACCATCTGAGGAAGCCTTCCCCTCGTCCAAAAGTGCGTTGGCTAGGTCGTTCACAGATGAGATAATCCAAGCAGGTGACTTCGGGATAATGACGTCGTGGCGACTCCTTTCATTGTCCTTATCCGACGATTCGTTGATTAGAACATGCCACAAAAGCCGCAGCTGGCGGGGACTGTGGCGACCTGACATGAAACCATAGTCGATCGCAATGACGACCATAGCACTACACACACAGAGCACAAAGAAATCCAGCGGGATCGTACGCGTCGCCCGGAGCGCATCAAAACAAACAAACAAACATTTTTACTTAGTATTACTAAATTACATGTGGAAAGAAAGTACTCATCAGCTTCCTCGACAACTTTGTTCCTCGTCCAAACTCCATGTAACATTTTGAATCATGAATCATGTTGCCTTAAAATCGACAAAGTGATTGGTTGCTGTTGATGAGGTTGGTCTGGATTCGAGGGGGTCGATAGTTGTTGCAGCTGCGACGCCGTAGGACCGACATGAGCTATCACGTGGTCAGCCAGATGCCTGAAAACGCGTCCTTTATGGGGAAAGAGTGCTTCGTCTTCTTCTTGTTCTTCAGTCAGGAGACTACTCGCAGAGGTGCTGTTCCTATCCTTGGGATGACGCTGATTTGAAAAGGCTGTGCTATTCTCTTGTGATGAAGTAGAAGTGACTACACCTCCATTAAGTGGTGAGGAAGTAGATGTTGTAACTTGTCGCTGTTGCATTCGTTGTCTTCGATGGAATAGCAGTTCTGAAATTCGCTGAAAGAAGGGGTAATGGTCACCATGTGGAACGCCGCCACGCGTAACAAACGTGTTTTCGGCTAGAGCATGGCGTTCAGGCTGCGACAAAGAGAATTCTCCAAATACTTCTTCAACTGCGATGTCTTCATCTGGTGCTTTGGTTGTAGCACTAGCAGTTCTTCTACTAGATGAAGAAGTACTTCTAGAAGTTCTAGATGTAGTAATAGATGACGAGGACCCAGTAGAAGTTCTTCTAGAAGATGTACTTCTAGCACCAGTTGTAACTGCACTACGAGCAATTTTGCCACCTCCATCTAGTACAGCTTGTTCATCATGATCTTCTTCATCGACGTCACGACCCATTTCCGTACTAGAACTGGTGTGATCTACATTTTCTTCGGCTATATTCTCATTCATCATTTCCATCGCAGTATTTTGACGCTCCGCTGCCTTCATCTTTATCAGTGCTTTTTGATGGTTTTTCTCATCGCGAAGCAGTGCCTCGTACACGTGGTAACCACGACTCTCCAGTTTAGAGCGCAAAACAATTCATTTCTTCAGTTCCTTTCTTCAGATTCTCTTTCTCAAGATAGAAGGAAGCAGCGGGAAATGAGCCTTGCAAATGTTAATTACTTTGAGCCTTAACCAGTGGAGTAACGGAATAAATGAGGTTCGTCAAGTCGTATTCATTTGGGTGAGCAGCCCACTCTGGCCGCATACGCCACTCCCGCAATATCGCATACATCTCCACGTGTCTTTCAAGCTGACTTTTGGCCCAGTGCTCCTGGTCGGCAGCGTTGTTCACAAGAGCTTGTTCTTGAGGTAGTTGTTTCTGATGCAGCTTATGTTGTTGATGAACAGGAGCTCCTCCTTGGGCAGCTGACACACCATGAAGATTCCCACTGGCGGAGCCTTCTTGTCCAGTAGAATCGACCTCAAGTTCGTCATACCCTTCTTCCATCTCCACGTGTCTTTCAAGCTGACTTTTGGTCCTCAAGTTCATCATCTGCTCATACCCTTCTTCCATCTGCTCCTCAAGTTCATCATCATCAACGTCTACGGATAGGTGGTCCTCAACTCCGACAGGATCATTGACGGAATCAGCTTCCACGCCTCCTTCCTGGCCCTCGTGAGCAGCCTGGCCCTCGTGAGCAGCCTGGTCGCGAACAGCGCGGTCGCGAACAGCAGCCAGGTCGTGAACGACACTGTGAACAGCGCGGTCGCGAACAGCAGCCAGGTCGTGAACGACACTGTGAACAGACTGGTCGTGAACACCTCCTCCCTGGCCCTCGTGAGCAACACTGTCGTGAACAGCATTGACATTCATATCTACTAGTCCCCCTTGCGGCCAGTGGTGATCGAACATATGGTGGTTGATGAACTTCGTGATCACTCGAGGAGTTGCGACGAGTGAGTTGACCTGCTGTTCAGCAGTTGCCCAATCGAAAGGGTCGATATCACCGTCTTGTAAGAGCGTCGCCGTTGATTAGAAGGAGAAGGGAATCATGTTGGTTTCCCTAGTACTTAGAAACTATTGTAGAGGACCATGCTGCCGTATTTGGAAGTTGATGATGATGACGATGATGTTGGTAATGTTTCCGTACTCCTTGGAAACCTCCATCAATGAAGGTCAAGGTTGTGAACTGAACGAAATAATATTACCATCGATAAAGGAGCTGGAGCCTTAAAATGTTTCATTGCCCATGTCGTGTCCAATCCTCGCTAACAAGCGGTACATATCGTCTTCGTCATTGTCCTCTTCCAGAAGTTGTTCTTCAAGTGCTGCAGTGCTCGTGCTTCCTCCGTTATTCAACATTTTAGAGGAGTTTGCATTCATTTGCATCCCAAGTAGTCCTTCAAGATCAAGCCTACCGGCCACTCCAAGTCCAAATATTGTTTTGAACCGAAGAAGACCAAGATCATTCAATTTCTTTGGACAAGAAAATATAGCATTAGAGTCCAAATATATTATTATAACCCATTTCGACTTATGGCTTTGTCAACCATTTCTATTCACTGTTCTAGAAGAGAAAAAGACTCCGCCTCGTAGAAAGACATCAATCTATCAATATTATAGTAGAGTCAGGAATTGTTTGGCCCGTCACGGGTCGAGTTTCTCGGGTTGCTCGGGTTGCTCGAGTTGCTCGCCGTAATTTTTTGCGCGGCGCCCTTCGGGCGCAGCTTTGTGAGACTCTGGGATACCTTAGCAGGAGCATACGACATTCAACGACATGCCTCCGCTCCCTGGTTTTCTTCTTAATGCGCACCAACGACGAGAGTGAGTGACCACCCTCAGCTCGGGAACTCCTCCCTGCCACTTGATCAAACACGCAAGGCATCCGCCACGTGCTCTTCTCTACTTGCTTCCTCGGCTGAGTAGGCCGTTCTCCAAAGCAGGCGAAAACCAGAACTCGCTCCCAGTCCCAAAAGAGACGCACTGGCCACGAACACATCCGAAGAAAAAAGGGAGAGACTGGCACCGACCCAACGACAAGCCACAGCGATACTCTCTCCCCTCAAACAAAAACAACGAGGCGAAGCCGTCGGCCCCTTAGTGCCTGGCTGTGCTTCGAACGCGCGCCCACACGCAACAAGAAAAAAAGCCGGGGGGGCTCGCTGGGGAGCCCTTCACAACCGGCCGCCCCTCTCATGAGAGAGCAACAACAAAAGCAGCCACTTCTTCACTTCGCGCAGCCACAACCGTGCCCATACCGCCCTGCTGCGCCGCATCCCGGTGAAGCGGATGGCTTCCGGTAACTCGTGGCAACTCGTTCAAGAATTGAAGCCCTTCGCTTCGGCAACTCGAGCAACTCGTTGCAACTCGAGTAACTCGAAACCCGATATTTTACTTACTCTATATATAGTGTTTTATGTTGAGCCGTAACCATCTCTTGGTCTCCATGGACCATGGCTTGGTCCAACAAGGTTTGATGCTGCTGACTCGTTCCGAAATGTTTCTGTGGTGGAAGACCTAGCGGCGCCATACTAGACGCTAATGCTGACGAGCTAGCATTAGAGCAAATCTGGATCAACGACAAGAAGAAGGACAAGATCAAGAAGTATAGTAATCTTCTGCGTCTACGTTCTCCCATACTCGCTTCAGTTTCAGAAGGAACGAGCCCAGGAAGAAAACTGAAACAAAAACTCTCGTGTCGTGAAGATGAAGATGAAAATGATGAATTTGAATTACTTGTTATCATTATGGGCCTTAATACTAGTACTTGAAGATGTTACTTGACCTGAAGTGGCCATGCGCTCTTGGTGTCCATCTTCAAGAGCCACGCCTTCGACGGTCAAAGCATTGCTCATCTTATTCTTGTCTCCAACATGGTGACCATCGGCATTGCGGACTCCTCCTCCTCGATTGCTTTTTTTAGTACGCTGGGCTTCTCTATTTCTACTCTTGGAGCCCGAACCTCGAGTGGACTTCTTGTGAGTCGTGGACTTGTTCTTGTTGCTCCCTTTGTTTCCATCTGGGTTTTTGTTATGTCTCTGCTTTTTTATGGGCACCCTTGCGCTTGAGAAGATGGAAAGTGTGGCCTCTTCTCGAGTCATCCCGCTGCGTTCTAGTTCCTCCATACGTCTCCCTTGAGCACGAATTTCTCTTCGAAAACTTTCTAGCATGTCTAGATTAGAACTCAGAGAAATCCATCCCCAGCCGCATCTTGGGTCCCCATTTCCCTTTGAAGACGGGACTACCAAGATAGATGCTAGGGAAGATGGATTTCTTGTAGCCTTAACTAGAGTTTTGGTTGAGATCGGGCCTGACTCCTCGTCGTCTTCACTGTTCGAATGCTTGTCTCCGCGTCGTTGTCTTTCATTTCTACTTACTGTCTTTCCATAATTTCCTTCTACGTAACTACTTCTTTCTTCATCCTGCCTAATAAGGGCAGCAACTCCGTTCTCGAAAAAATCGGTCAGTGTGTAAGGCCCCACAGGAAAAGACTCCGTTAAAACCGGCAGTCTCAAAAGCTCCTTCTCCAAAGGCTTTATATCCTCAGGCCCAGGCAAACGAAAACGATGCGTCTCCGGATTCAAACTCCACAGTAACCTGAGTTGATGTTCTTGAGCTGGAGGAAGTTTACATAGAAGCAGATTTTTAAGATTTTTCCTTTCACGGTGTTGAAGGGCGACTCAAAAAAATTGTTCCTAAAAAACACTGTCAATTACCACTGAAAGGGTCACTCTTCTTGTTCCTACAACATAGTTGTACAGAAGTTTCGAAATACCAAAGCAATGAATGATGTAAAAAGAATTGAATATTAAGTACCATTCCCGACTTGAGTGGATCGGGCTGCAAATTACTATCCCATCCACAACTATTCTCATCCTCCACTGTCTTCCTAGGTCCAGCATGTATATGTAAAACTGTACTACAACTCTATCGGCACCAAAACGACGTACCTGGTTGTATGGGAGAGTAGACGCAATAAATTGACGTTGGTCGTAAGTGAGACGGTAAGTGTGTGACGGAGTGAGGGAAGGAGTGCTTTTAAATTTCTGGGTGTTATTCCAGGAGAACAGCTACTGTTGGGAACCATCCAGTATCTACTAGTTCACATACAAACTGCATGCTCCTTCGTGTGAGTAGAAGATGTTGTTGAGAAACAAACGAGCCACGTTGTACTAGAGACGACAAGAGAGGACGACGAGACGAATAGTAGTCAAAAAAAAAGTGGATGGCCTAGCTCACATCGGTGAAGAAGCACATTGATTCACTATAAGCCAGAACAAAGCATGATCAAAAGCAAAAACTTGTTAATAAATCAACACCTTACCTATCATGAACAAAGGAAGCCTTGAAGAGCGATGGAAACAGGTAGAGTTTGTTGTTGCGTTTTGTTTTCTTCCACTGCAAGAAATGCTGTAGATTTGAAAACTTTTCATTTTTTTCCACTCTCCGCCGAGGTTCTTGTGTATTGTCTCTCTTCGCTGGTCTTCTCACCCTGCTCAAACTAGTATGATCAAGTCACCAACTCCATCGCGACATCTCAGTAGTTATTTTTAATAACGATTTGCTTTCAACATCTAAAACAAGTTTTCATACCGCCTGTTTGCTTCCTCATGCTTTCATCTCCTTTCATCTTCCTCCACTCTCTTCTCCACCTCTTCAATTCATTCATACGATATGATATCCGTACTCTAAGCCGTTTGCTTCGGCGGATAGGATGTGCGCCCACTTCCGTTTCCAGCCAAGAACTACACGCGGATCCGCTATTCTATCTCCGTGTGATTCCTAAAAAAGATAACAATGAATGTGTGGTTGACGGACACTAAAAAACAAAAACTAAGCACAAAATAGTGATGAAAGGACTAGATGTAGATTGTAGGTACTAGGTACTTAGTTAGACAGAAAGTATCTAGAACATAAAAAATATGTGTCTCCTAGAAAAAAGATATGACGAGGGCTTATCGCGGACAAAAAAAACTACAAGTAGCAAGTATCAAGGAAAAAATAGAACTTTCGGACTATCATGCACATGCACCACATGTTGAAAAAACAATAAAAACAAAACGCCAAGAAGTGAAAAAGGAGCAAAACTTGAGGAGGCTAACTAAGTAGAGGTAGACGTTGAGGGATGTTGATAATAAACTGTGCATCTGTTATTTATGAGGAAAGAAGTAGAACTAGGAACTACTTCATCGTAAACAGACTGAATGGTTCCGGTATTTGGTAACCTGAGTTTGGCCATAAGGGAAAACAAGAAGAGAACCCTTAGGATCAAATTCAGGTTACCAAATACCAGAACCATACACAGACGAAATTTACTAGTATTTCTAAACAATAGTTCTTGAATAGGAAACCGAAATTCTACTTATTAGCCTTACAAATACCCGAAAAGTTTTGTACAACTTTCACGTTCGAGTTCGAGTTCGACGTACAACTTACAGTCCACTCCTTGTACTTACCTGATCACAAAAACACTAGTTGTGGCTACTTTACTAGTAGTAAAAATGTACTACTTACCCAAGAATCGTAATAGTTAAGCAGTTGTAGTAACGGTAATGTACCCAATAACTCGTCCATCTCTGCGCAAGCTCTCTCATATCGATATGCACGTCTTGGACCTGCATTAGCATATGCTTCAGATCGTCCTCAGTCAAAACCCCTCGCATCTGCAACTCGCCGACTTGCATGAGGGAAATTAGATATAGATTCTAAATAAATAAAGGGGAATCTTCATGGGAGAGGGAGTGAAAAGAGACGTAGAATGCTCAACAGGATGTTGAAATGATATTTACATACCACCTAGATGAACAGGAACTCAAAGTCAAATTTCATTGGAAGCTGCTCATGAAGAAAGAAACTTTGCTCTTCATAAGAGAAAACTCCTGAGGTCGAGCTGCCCACGGTTGTGGTTGAGAATCCGTTTCTCTTCTGGATTCCTCTGCGCCTCGAAGTCGAGATCTAAAGGTTGTGGGAGAAGAAAAAAATGTAGTAGTTTTTTTTTAGAGACGAGGGCAAAACAAAAACTTGTGTAGTTGAGCATACTAGTAAAGTCAGTATGAGACTTCTTTTTGAAGAAGGATACGCAATAATAAAATCATCATCTGATATATAAAGTTGCTAGTACAGTCGATCGTCTCGTACAAGGTCTTCTGGCGGTTAAAATAAAGGTTTTTTTCCCGGTCGTGTATTAGAAGAGGTTGATTGTACTCGAAAATCTTGCTTTGATCATTTCAATAAATTAAAGAATTGTTGAAAAAGGAATTAGAAAACACTAGGAGTCAATACGTTTACTTTGCAAGTATAAGTAACATGCTCTTCTTCTTCTCTGCTCATTCTATTCTTATTTACTTTCTTGTAAGGTACAGTAATGAAGGTTGCGAATCAGATTCTGTAAAAAACCCACAACCACCATCTCATTCTGTACACTTGTTCAACATCAAGAACCAGTTGTTGATGTCATAGATGTAATCAACTACTTCAAGACCAAACTCATCATATTAAAGATGATGAATGGACTAGATTCAAAAATGTACAATCATTGTAGGTCGTTTCATCATAAAGTTAGCTCTGCCCATTTGAGGTTTTTGTAGAATTGTATGCCTCCATGGAATCGTGGATCCAGAACGCCCAACGAAAACAGAGATAGATCGATTCCGTGGTTGATGTTTTGGATCTCCTTAGAAGAGCCCACCCAATCTTCCATCTCATGATACTAGTGCATCCTGGAGAGTGCTTTTTCCCCTTGAGCAAAATGAAGCCTCTTGCTTGAGGATGCTTCCGAAGAAGAAGATGGACCACTAGCTTTAGGAGAAGCCTTAAGATATTGACGCTCCTTGCTCCTTTGCACGTCCTGCTGCATTCGCTCTATGCTGTGAGTGTGTAGTATGTATATCAGAGCAGTTTATAAGGTTTCATGGCGCGCATGGCATGGAGTGCATGGATCACATGGAGCTAAAGGGGGAGCCTCTTGCGCCCCTTAAAGCTCTGCGCTCCATGCACTCCATGCTCCTCCATGCACCATGTGTGCTATAAACTACTCTGGTATATAAAGGATGTAGTTAGCCTGCCAACCAGTAAAAGTAATGTCATCTTGAGCAAGAAGAATTATTTTTTACCTCCTAAGTGCTAGTACGCTTGTTGTAGTATTTGATGTTGTAATAATAGGTGATTGTCTGATGTTATGTAAGCTAGTACAACATGGTAAAAATAGCCTTCAACAACATTGAGCAATTGTCTATTATAGTGTTGTCTACAGTCTGGCTCCTCGACTTACTTGAGGTCGTGATTTGGAACACATACGTTAAGCGCTGTAGCGTCGCCTCTTAGCTACACGCTAATTATTCGAAAAACTGAAATAAGCAAGTAACTACTTAAAATAAGCGAGATACTGTCTGAACAAGGAAGAGTAGCCTTAAATCAAGCTACCTCCCTTATTTCAGTCAGTAACTCGGTTATTTTGAGTTTTCGAATACTTCCAGGGTCTTTACTCCTGCACAGCTAAAATTTGGATGAAAACAAGGGTTGGCTTTTGTGTTTGTCATCCAGGCAAAAACATCATGAAGGTCTTTGGAAAAACAAGAACATCATTGGTGTCTAGTTCTAGTAAAGTAAACTTCTACAACGAACTTAATATATAATTAAGGTAAATACCGACTAGCCGGAAATTGTTCGGGACCATGCTTAGGACCGCGAGCCGTTTTCCGTCGCTGCAGTTCGCTAATCATCTCTTCGGTAGAATGCAAATACGTTGCCTCTCCAAGAGTTAGAAATTTTATGGATAGAATACCAAAAAAATTCTTCAAAACCAAAAAAATCCACCAAGAGCTCGTCTTCTTTCTAAACCGTAAAATAGTGTCTCGTCTTCTAAGCCAAAAACCCCTTGATACTGTCTCGTCTTCTAAACTGTTAGACCAATAGCCCACCTTAAGATTCGAAATATCACAAGATCCATGTTGATTCTTACCTAAACTAAAAGACTACTTCGCCAGTATGCCATAATTGTTTCAGAGTGTCTATCACCCTTAGGCCCTTGCGCAAGCGACTTGGAATTACTTCCATCCCTGCCCAATCGTGGCTAGGTAGCACGATACTAGCTAAGTCACTTTTAGCTTGCTCCATCGAAAAAATAGCAGCATTGTGAACCTGTAGAGTGAGTCGAGTTTGTCTGAGTTTGACTAAGATGAGGAAGCTGGTTAGTATAGAAATGGAATTGAATATATATGGAAGATAGTGTAAGGAGAGCGATGAGGGCATCAATACGAACCTGAGAGTTCTTTGAGTGCTGTGAAGAAATGTGGTAGGCATAATTCCTAGGCTTCATCTACTAGGCAGAGTAGCTGATAAACAAGGCAGCAATTACACGAGCCTTAGATGTGGTTAGTACTGTATGTGAAAGAGTAGTTCCAATGTCAAAACTTAGTTACTACTTATAAAAGTTGTAGTTACGCTTGGCATTAAACCAAAAGCAAAAGGAGCCAAAAGGATAATGATCAGAAACAAAGTTATTGTTATAATATACCCAGACGCCCATCCCTAGGACAAAGAAAAAGGTGACGATCATGATGCAAGTATTCCACGAGCAGCGCGCTTCCAAATCATAATCCCATTCGAGGGCACAGGTCATTAGAGAGGTAGGAGTGGGTAGGTTTAGACGAAAGCTAGGGGCCGCAGAGAGCGAATACTGGTAACTGGTTCTAGAAGTTCCTACTAGTAGTAGTATGCTAGCAGCAGTTCAAGTTAGTAGTAGTAGAGCCAGCAGTTACTGTTACTGAGTAGAAGTCATCCTCACCATGTAGATGAAGTTCATAAAAGTGATTCCAAAGATTTGGTAGTTTTTTTCTCCTTCACTATCTTCAAATGCCTCGCTTTTTGGTCCAGAATCTTCGTTTTCGTTGTAGGTTGAGGGTTATTTGCGTTTTGCTGGTCTGCAGCTCCCAAGGTGCTAGTCTTAGAGAAGGGCTGCGATTGTGGTGGTGCTAATATGTGTAAATTCCTATTTAAGGTTCTTGTATCAGAAACAAAATAGGAAGAAGAAGCTATTCTGAATAGAAATAGTACTCAATCGCGTTCCTGCAGAGTAGATTCACACGAGTATTTGTGGAAAACTTATAGAAACTAGAAGGAGTTTTGGGAATACGAATAGATATAGACATAGAGGTTTCCAACTCTGTAGACAAAAATAGCAGAAGTTCTATCATAACATTTGTCTTTGACGCCGCTGCGTTGTACCTAACATTTGTGTTTGAGGCGTTCTTTTTGTCGTTCTTTGCGAATGCACCTCCTCCTCCCTTGTTGCCAGCTGTGCTTGCAATATTCTTCCCTCCATCATTTTGATTTTTCTTGTTGCCACCCTTCTTGTTATTGTTATTGTTTTTTTGAGTGGTGTTCGAGTTGTTGTTTTTCTTCCCTATATTAGAGGTACCGACGTGCATCCCTGAGAGCCTCCCTCGGCCCTTTTTCCCCTTGAAAAAGGGCTAAGGATGGTGTTTAGGATGCTCCAGCGGTAGCCTTAACTATAGCACCTTGCTTTGTGGCAGTACTAGTACTATCTTGTTCTTCGTCTGGGCCCACTGTATTCGTAGGCGATGGGGTCGTTGCTTGCTGACTTGACTGACCCTTCTCGTTCTCCCCAGCGTCAGATGCACTACTGCCTGAAGCTACTTTCGACTCCTTTTCTCCCTCGACCACCTGTAGTTGTAGAGCATTCTTTTCTAAATTGTCAGCGGCGTTCTGAACTCTCTTCTCGTCTTTATCTTTCTCACCCTCTGCTCCTGGACTAGTGACACCAAGGGATGCTCCTGCTTCACCGGAGACGAGGACAGGTCCACTTCTGGCATCTCCACTTGAAGATGACGAGGACGATGATGTTGACGAGTCCTTCTCCTTGTTCGGAACATTCCCATTTGACGACATTGTAGTGTCTTCTATGTTGACATCTACTTCTACTCCTCTGACCTCTCCTAGCCCTGCAGTTGTTGTAGGCTTAATACTAGTACAACTATCAGCAGCTTCTCCACCTAGAGCCAAGCCCTTCTTCTCACGCTCACCAACCTTCCTTCGGCCACTACGAGGGGGTCTAGTTCCACTCGTCCTTGATGTCAGCAGTCCTAACCCTGACATTTCGTCCACCAAGTTCAAGCGTTTACAGATGGTAGCCATCTGCGTGAAGATCATGTTCAAAGTTATTTGAACGCTAGTGGCGAGAGACATGTAAGAATAGGTCAGGTCGCCTCTTTTCTTAGAGAAAGAGATGGAGCTCTTCAAAACATACTCATACACATGGTCGTTCATTTCTTATTCTTGTTCCATGCAACTTTCAATGATGCTGATAGACTTCTCCCAATTTTTGTCCTAAGAAGACGGAAACACTTCTAAGAAGCTCACTTCACGATGAACAAGGAGATTGTCGTAAGAAGGAAACCGATGGGAGAAATCAAATGGCTTGTGGTCGTTAGAACAATTAGAAATGAACTTCTGTTTATGTTTCATCTGGAAGAAACTTAACTTTCAGATGGCTCAGTTGTGGTCCGCGTCCTGCTTTTTTCCTCGTCTGCGAGCCACCTTCGCCTTCCAGTTCGAATGGATCACTCTTTGGATCCCTCTTCTTGGTGGATTAGATTCAACGCATGCGCTCCACCCAGGGAATCTCCTGTAAGCCTATGGGCCACTCTCTAACCGGGCCACCTCCTAACGGTTCTGAAAAGGCATACAACGTTCAAGCGCAAACGAACTAGGAACTAAGTATCAAACGGCTCATCTTCAACAAATGGACAAGAAAGTGATGAGTCGCAACTTCTTCTACGTCATATCCTGCTTGTGAATGTGATACGACTAATTTACTTCTAAACCTTCTTGCAGCCATAATATATCGTCCGTCTGTAGCAGCGCTTTGTCCCGACCACTACGAAAGGAATCACTACTTCCCTGAACATTTGCCAAATTCGAGGCATTAGAAGAGGTAGGGTTATTTTGGTGTAGTTCGTTTAATACCCCGTCCGTCGTGCCTTTCCCCGTTGATGAATAATTATTGTAAATTCTATTCGAATTTCGGCAATATATATTCCTGCCTAAGATTTTATACTCCCTGGTGATTTCCAATTGATTCTTCTACCCCTTTAAGATATTGAAAGGCAAAACGAACAACGGCAACAGGAAGAAACACCTACCAAAGCTTGATAAATTACACTCCCAATGAATTTGACTCGTCTAGTAGATTTTAACAAAGAACCTTCTAGAGAAATGAGGTGAACCGTGGAAGACCAAAGGATTCAGTATCTTGATCTTCTCAAACGAACAAACGAAATCAACATCTTCTCAAACGATGTCTTAAAGGCAGGCTATCGGCAGAATGCGCAAATTTATAGGCATCCAGCAGCAACTTTTTGATAGACTCCCACAATGGTCCTCGCACATCCTCAGCCCTCTGGATCCACTGACGGGTTAATTGCTGGAAAGCCTATGATGTGGAGGATTTTGAAGTAGTTTTAACTGAATTTTACTGGCTTTTGATAACGCAAGTGATTGGCTTTTAAGTAGATTATTAGTGGCGCTTTTACTAGAGCTAGACAACCTACTCTATTAGAAGTAATAAGCTCTGACTCTGAAGCAGAAGAATCATGCTCATACTCATCAGTAAGATGCCTGCGCATCCATCAAGTTACTATCAGAGGATCAGAGGGGAACGAAACGGAGCACCTGGGTCACTCACTTGAAGAAACAGAGAAAAAACACAGAGGCGCGAGGAGGAAAGACAGCCAACTATCTTCTAGGCACCCCTTGCATGGCCGCCCCCGCTGCCTCTTTGTGTTTTTGCTGCAGTCCGCGTGCGTCACCCGACAGCCGAAGTTTAATAAAAGGGGCATGGATTTGGATCAGAAGACAATATATAAAATGACCCGAAGCATACTGATATAAAATGACCCGTTTACAACGAAACCCCTTACAACTTGCGCCAAAATGGCCACGGTTGTCTCCTAGATCATAATTAGTCGCAAAAAGTACAAGAGATGAGTAGCAATACCTCCCATCTTTCCACTGCTATCTCCCGTTTTTGTCTGATGTCCTCCTTCAGGGTGTCCACGTGCGCTTGCAGGATGGCTTTTTTCTCAGCGATTACAGCTGCTATAGTCGAAGCAAGAAAGGCTGCTGTAGTATCCTCTGGCGCGTCTTCTTGTTGCCTTCTTGAAGATGTTGCTGTGTCACTAGCGCATGCACTACTCTGCTCATCAGAACCTGTTGTACTAGTCGAAAGGGCGGCGCAATGCACACCATCTACTGTTGTTGAAGAAGTGCCGGCTACTATTACTGCCTCTTCCGTACTAAGTGATGAAGCGCTCACTCCGTCTTCGGAAGACCTGGAAGAGAGTGACGAGAGTGAGAAGCCAATTTTACAAGTTTAACATAGCACCAGCAGGGGAATCTATATGATAGAAAAGCAAAAGAGAAGATAGAAGAGATACATCAGGAGGCTCATCTATTCAAAAACTTCTGAGTGAGTAGTTCTTGTCTTTCCTAGAAGTACATTGATGGTTCTGCAGCTTCGACCCCTGCACCTGATTTTGAATTCGACTTTTCGTCCTTCTTAGTGGTTCTCTTCTCCTTCTTCTTCTGACTCTTAGTCATCTTCAAAGACGGAAGGGCTGGAAGAGCCTGTTGAAGGTGTGTGATATATTGGTGTAGGCATCATTATGGAGAATGTACGTAGTCGACAATGTTGAGTCAAGTATGAAGAAACTTATACTTTTACTTCGCTAGCAGGAGACTGACACAGGAGCCAGCCTTTTCCATCCACTACTTGGGAAAAAAAGGTCTTCCAAAAAACAATCACAAAAATTAGTTCAAATACCTCAGCAATAGCTGGAAACTTTAAGCCAGCTAAGGCGTTTGCTACAGTGTCCGTGACAATTTGCTGAATGAAACTTTCGATCTCCTCTTTCGTTCTGCGAACCGATCCGTCGCTGGCGAAGGTTTTGGTTTTCAGAAAAACTTTATCGTCATCTTCGACTAGAAGTGGTAAAAATATCGACATTTTATATATTAGATCTCTACAACATCAAACAAAGGTTCTCTAGCATGACTCAAGTACTTAAACAACTATAGCTTGATATTCGGGTACGGGTTCGCTCGTGAATCATTCAAATAAGAAGAAGTTATTTCAAATACAAGGAACTTCTAGAAGTACCCTCCTGCTCCACTCTGAGCTGCTCTTTCCGTGATCCTCTCCACTAATGCTCGGACAGATTCTACACCAGGTGAGCTCTCCATAGAAGGAGATGAGTTATCAGCTCCGCTCTTGCTAATCGTGCCTGAAGAAGATGTTTGCTCAACATCCACATTCGAGCCTGAAGAAGATGAGTCCATACTTGGCGAGGATGAGGATGATGAAGACCACGTGCCAGTTCTTGTACTTGTACTTGATGAATTTTTTGCCAGAACATGGTCTCCCTTAGAGGACGTTGGTGTTGCGTTTGCACTTGCTGCACTAGAAGAGCTGCTAGAACTCGATGAACTAGAGCTAGAAGATGCTGCATTGTTGGACAGCACACAGTTTCCGAGGAGGTGCGTGGCTCCTGTTGGTCTCAGGATATTACTGTTTTTAGCTGCAGCAGATAACGGACTAGCGTTCATCGACATGACGTCCTTCTTTTTGTTCTTCGTCTTGCTCCCTGAAGATTTCGGTTTCTTGTTGCCGAGGTATGGAGGTAATGAACTAGAACCAGTACTAGCAGAAGGTGTGGCACTAGAAGCAGAAGCACTAGAAGTTGCCCCACCCACAGGCACAGGCTCATCTGAAGAACTAGAGGTAGACGTCGTCTTCGAAAACGTACCAGCTGCATCATGATTAGCCCTCACACTTATCTTCATCTTGAAAAGCATCGCCAGTGTGTTATCTCTAGCTACTTTAGAAAAGGAGGCAGAGATGCTTCTCAACGAGATGAATCACTGTAAGCCTTAACATCAAGAAGGTTTGAAACTTCTGTACTAGGAAGGCTAGCAAAATTACTCGAAGATCCTCCATCCAGTGTACCAGTTCCTGCTGAACCGCGGATGTGATGCAGAGAAGGATTAAAACTCGACGTTCCTCCAGGAGTGGGAGTGTTGTTCAGTTTGCTGTCACGAGCACAACGAGGGCTTGAAGATGTTGCACAACTAGGGCTCGACATCCTCTTGCTCGTCGAGCTAGGTGTCACGGAAGTAACGAAATTGGAGTTACTACCTCCTAAGCCTGAGCAAGTAGAGGCATGAAGGACAGGCGGCATCGCTGGTCCTGTTGACGATGTCGGTCCAGCTCCTGCTTGCCCTTTACTTGAAGATTGGTGCATCTTAGAAGAGGATCCTCGTGCGTCAATAGACGAAGATGTTCTTGCTGCCATGACTTGCGACGACGTAGTCGAAGTACGAGAACGTCCTTCACTACGAAGGTCAGCCACATCGAGAATGCCTGTTGCACTAAGCCGTGATGCAGCTGCGTTGCTGGACTTGCCGGTTTGATCATCGTACTTGTTCATCGACGACGAACTATTGTTGTATAGAGGTGGCCTCCCTGCGCCTCCGCCTGTTGAAGAAGATGCCCTCATGCTCATACTACCTCCAGTGGTCGGCGATGAATTCACACTGGTGCTGGATCCATGTTGGCCATCTCGCCCGCGACTTGCATTCATCATGTTGCTAGCTGTAGCCCCAGTACCACCGTTAGTGCTTGAGGTACCTTTGCTGCTAGTAGCATTAGGTGCTCCAAGGTTACTGCTACTCCTACCATGCTCTCGTCGATGCTGAGTCGTTGTAGTTTGATGTTGCCAACTCTGATCCCGAGCATGCGGCTTTCCACCCTGCTCTTCTCGTGAGGACATACGAAGACTCGGCTGCCACGGCATTCCTCCTTGCTGTTGCTGGTGTAGTTGTGAAGAATGCGTATGTTGCGAATGTTGACTTCCACCTCTAGTCGACGTACTTGTACTACTAGTCGAAGTAGAGGAGTTGTTATACTGATGGAGATGGTGCTCCACCTTAATATTGTTGTATTGATTGTAGTTGGGGTCCTTATTGTTATAGTGGTCACCAACCTCCTTGCTGTGGTTGTATTGATCTTGCTGTGAGTTATTGGCACTGCCAGCGCTAGTATCTTTGCCTCGTGGCCCCTTGTTCGAACCACGGGCCACACTGCTGCCATTACCACCACGTCCTGCTGACTCTGCCTTATGCGCCGCTTTTCCACCATCCGTGCGGTTTTTCTTGTTAGAGAAAGATACTTATCCGCTCGAAGAAAGAGAGAGGCAATATGTTGTATGGCTCACTAGTACTCAACATATAACGTTGACTCAATACCTATACTCGACATGTAACTTTGACAAGAATAAGAAATGCCTTAACTTTCTGTGTTCCCTTTGAGCCGCCGCTTGTCTTTGATCTCGACGAAGAACTGGTTTGAGTCGCTGATCTGGATAAAGGAGCTCCTGTACTAGAGGTGCTAGACGAGGACTGATTGTGCATCGAACTCGTGTTCGCACTAGAACCCTTTTCGTTAATATTGTTGTTACTATTCATCGTGCTAGGGCTGCGAGAAGGCGCGTTGCTGCTTTGCTCGCCAGTGCGTGAAGAGTGGTGCGTTGGAGACCGTGCTGAAGATCTTTCCACACCGCCGTTCAGTGTTGCGGTGCTGTCCTCATGCTCCGTTGCGTCAGTCGTTGAAGTTGACGCGTTGAAGCCGCTGTATTAGAGCTCACCCAAATCCATCTCTTTGGGTTCGTCCTAAATACTCGGCTTTCTATTTTTTGCCTTATATGGATACAAAAATAGGTTCCAACAAAATCGATGCATCAAAAGATGAACTAGGGCTGCAAGCCTTAACTGTAGTTATGGTGCGCATCCGCTAAGAAGTGTGCGCCCCCAGAGGCCTCTGAGCTCTCCTGTTCGGAGGTCCGGCATTCAGTGGGAACATCTTCGTCTTCAGAAGCGGCACCTAGTTTACTAGCAGAACACTCATCCTCGAGCACCGAAAGAATGGCGCCGCGAGGCCTAGGTTTCTTCTGGTGCTGCTGATGCTGACTCTGTTGCGACATACGGACGATGCTGGGAGCTAGGCTGCTGTAGTCGTGGTAGTTTTGATTAGAGAAAGATTCAGATAATTTCTGCTCTTGAAAATATCAAAGCTCAAATGAGAGTGGCAAACGGGCTGACGGCACATGCGCCTTGCTCGCGAATGGTTCTAACCACGAACTTAGACCTCGTGGTATTCAAGACTCTAAAACCCGTTGTATTTTATCTATACAAGTTCTTCTACAACCAACAAGAAAACCAGCAGCCATATTATGAGTCCCCGCGAGGTGACTACAACCGTTCCCTCCGTCATGCGAATTATCGTGTTGTTGGTGGTCTTGATGCGCGCCCAGAAAGTGTTGGGCACCCGCTGCCGAAGATGCCGTTGTCGTTGACCCATTGGTTGTTCCTGTGTAGTGGCCTGCCTGGTTAGCACCGAAATCGCCGTTAGACGACGTCTTTTGCAGTGTAGTGTTGCCCTTATTCGCAGTGGGGAGCTTCAACGCACTATAATCGCCACCTTGTAACAGGTTTCCGTAGCCCTGACCACGGTCTGTCCTGTCCGCTTGCGCCTTGCCACTAGGTTTGCCGCCACCTGAGGAACTGTTCATGATGTCGGTTGCCCAACTGTCAGCCCAGGACCCTCTAGCGGCACCATGGAACCACGAGGACGACGGGTTGTTTTTGCCGTCTCGCTGACTCTGATGTTGAGAGGTACTGCTGTCGCGGCCGCCTGAATGGTTGCCGTACTTCGTGCGTCCTTCTTTGCTGCTATCTTTTCCTCCACCACTGTTATGAGGTCCTCCACCGTTGACACCACCAGCACTACAACTAGTGTTGTTATCCTTGTTCCCACCACCAGCAGGAGGCATTCCAGGTCCAGCACCAGCACAACTATTGTTCTGTTGCGATGTTGAATTGCCGAAGGAGTGGAGTGCCGAAGGACCACCGCCTCCGCCATTGATGTTTGGTACAACACCTCCTCCGTTGTACTTGCCTCCACGACGCCCCCCGTCTTTACCAACATCTTTGCCGAAGGAAGATGCGCAGACATTCTGGCCCGAAGCGGACATGCCGTAAGGATCAATGTAGGACCTTCCACCGTGGTCTTTACCACTTCTATTAGAGCTCACGCTAATCCATTTTGGGACTCATGATCTCAGATCTGTATTCCCTTGCTGGGGCACAGCTTCCTTTGAGAAGATGCTTTTGGAGATGGATTAGAGGAAGCCTTAACACTAGCTACACTCGACGCGCTATGACTACGACGATGGTGTTGCACCTGTCCTGCTCCTGGTCCTCCTCCGTTTTGGTTTTGCCACCCACCACCAGCACCACCTGTGGACGTCGGCAATTGCAGCATGTTCATAGCTGCAGCTCCTGAGTTTCCGCGTTGCAGAATCGACACATGCTGTGGAAGATTTGGAGGACAGTTGTGTTGTCCTTGCATTCCCGTTGCGTCTCCTGGATGCTGAAACTGCTGAGCACCTGGATGCAGCATAGAAGTGCCTCCACTCATCTGATGCTGAGGAGATTAGAGAGTTCCAAGAAGCTGCCGTCCGGCTACAAAAGTACTTCTTTCATCTCAACAGCTGTAAAGCTATAAATTGTGGTGGAGCCGACCTAACTAAAGCTATAAATATTTACTCTGGGAAGCAGAACCACGGCAGTTGTTTTCCCTTAGGATCAAATTCAGGTTACCAAATACCAGAACCATTCACCAAAGAAAACGAGAACGAGCGTCGATTTAAGTACTTAGAAGCCATAATAATGATTCGGCATCGACTGTGCAGGTCCTGATTGGCCGTCGACACCAGGCTGTGGATAAATAGGCATACCTTGCTGGTCGAGCACAACTCCCTGCTGCATCTGGTTACTGTGCATCTGATTGGCCTGCATCTGGTTACTATGCGCGGCCATCATAGCAGCTGTTGAGTTCATGTTCATTGCTCCTGCGTTGTATTCATGGTCCCTAGGTTGCCCCTCCATTCCTGCATGTTCATTAGACCCTAAACCCGAAACCCATCTACTTGGAGCCCATCTTCTTTGTAACTGGTTCTCCCTTGAAAGCACGTCAAAGATGTCTCTAAGGAGTAGACCTGAATATTAAGAACAAGCCATAAGTTGATGAGGGTGGTGCCCCATAGAAGTCCCTATACTACCATCCATGCTACTCGGGTGCTGTCCGCCTTGATGCTGCAGGTGCATCATCTGCTGCTCATGTGGGCTGCACACGACTCCATTTGGAGCCTGTTGCATCCCTCCATGCTGCTGCTGGGGAATACAGCCAGCGGCCATGCCTGGCGGCGTCATCCCATGATTGTGCTGTGGTGTCTGGTGCATCCCGTTGTGCTGTGGCGGGTGCATACCTCCATTGTGCTGATGTTGACCCTGATGTACCATACCTCCATGTTGAGGTGGGACGCAGGCTCCCATGCCTTGTTGCTGCATCATGTCAGCTCCTCCACCTGGTGTCATTTGCAGTTGCGCATGGGCATGCTGCATTTGTGGATGCTGCATCATCGACTGCATCTGCATGTTGTTGCATCCCTGCTGCTGCTGCTGCTGCTGCATTATATGGCCTCCATACTGGTGTTGCGCATCTTCTTAGATCTTGTCGATATTCAACATCTTGAAATGCACCATCTGTGGCCATGCATTCTCTCCTCGAGAACGTAGCACAGACGCTTCTTTCTTAAGATGAATCAAAATTATACGGAAAGCCTTAACTATTCTGATATTGTTGCGGGTGATCCATGGTGCCTTGATACTGTACCCCCATATGGTGATGTGGTGGCATCCCTAGTGGTCCCTGCTGCATGGCCTGTTGCTGCATAGCTTGCTGCTGCAAGGTCCCTTGCTGCATAGCCACTTGCTGACTCATAGCTTGCTGACTGCCGGGTGGTGGGACACAGGCGTTGCTACTAATCATTTCTATGACGCCGCTGTTGTCGAACTGTGTCTGCTGTACAGGGTGACTCGGCTGCACAGTCTGCTGAAATTGCTGGTGTTGTATGTGGAAATTAGAAAAAGCAAGGCGGACAAAGCATCAAAAATAATGTCCTGCTTACGAGTGCACGCAGTTTGTCTACATCGATCTACCTGTCATGAAGATCCCAGATGGGTCTATCTGATTTTTAGCTATGCATTCCGCTTTCACCACAGTTTCGGACGCTTAAAGCTAAGGGCAAAATCTTTTAATGAGCCACAGCCATAACTCTTTGTTGTTGGTGTGCCGTCTGCTGATCGACGACTTGTGGAAGCGCTGTACTTGCTGTTGCGCCTCCCATGGTTGGTTCTTGCTGGTCTTGTTGCTGGTTGCTTTGCTGCATATGTTGCTGATATTGAATTTCTCCCTGTTGTGGTTGTGCGCTTCCTCCAGAAGGGTCTGGTTGAAAGTGAACAACGACTCCTGCTGTTGAGTATTAGAGCTCAAAACGATTTACTTCTCCAGTCATGATTTCTTCAGATTCCCAAGAAGGGAACAGAAGAACAAGAAAATGACCCTTGAAGATGAATTATTTTGAGCCTTAAGAATTAGTTGAATTAGTTGATTGCAGTGAATTAGATGCTCCCGGAGGCGCCCCTGGTCCCGGAGGAAGAGGGATTATTGATGAATTAGTATTGCTTGAATTGGTTGCTGAACTATTGTTTGCAAGGTGGTTACTTGGTGGACAACACGAAGAAGATGCAGTGTTTATTGTGTTGTTAGAGGTATAGTAGGGAACTCATCTACTTCCCAGGGATCATCTGGGTCCCCTTTCCTTCTTGTTTCGTTCTACCAGATGACTTTGGAGATGAATTCCCTACACCCATAATGTTGTCCGCCGCTCCCGCTCCACTTCCGGCACATGTTGCAGGGTCTTTCCCAGGTAGATTACTGCTGTCCACGATCGCTCCGCCTGAAGATATTCCCGGTTCTACTTCCCCACCCGAAGATGATAGAGGACAAGCGGTTGACGCGAGCGGCACAAGCGAGGGCAATATTGAGCCCGCGGCACTAGGACAAGTAGTTGGCGAGTCCTGAGGAGTACCACTGGGACTCTGCGCTGGCTGTTGCATGGCCGCCATCTGTTGGTTCATGGATGCTATCAACTGCTGCTGCATCGCTAGATTCTGCATCTGCTGCTGCATTTCTTGCGCCTGCTGCGCTGTTGAAGTCGCGCTGTGCTGCTAGTATGAAAGAGAATAAAGTATTGAACTGAAAATGTAGTTACGAGTGCCCCCTAAGTAATGTAGTCATGTATTCCTTTCGGTCCATCTATTTCTATTGAATGTGACTCAACGTCTTCTTGTCGTCTTAGCACTGCTGAGGAGTTTCTGATAATTGCACATCGCAACAACTCAAATTCATAACTGTCCACTAGACCCTCCAGCCTCTTGTGGTGGTGGCGGTGGTGGCTGAGGTATCATCCCGGGGATTCCATGCTGCATCATGGTGCCCTGTGGAAGGAAGCCCTGTTGCGGTTGCTGGTATTAGAAAATGCACATTGGAATGGACATACTGATACTGCAGCACTACTACGGCTCTACTACGGCTTGTTCTAGACTTTTTAGACATGATTCAGAAGCCATAAATGAAATTCATGTCCCACTGTTGTATCGATGGTATTTGCGGTTGCCCCATTGTTCCCTGTTGCTGAGGACTGATACTAGGTAGAGTCATTGCCTGCTGCTGTTGTGCGTCACACATTACTCCTGTTCCTCCTGGTGTGAAAAGAGGTGGCGCGCATGGTGGCCCGCCATTGTTCACCATTATTAGAGGTAGCGTTTCACTATCCCGACTCGAGTGGGTTGCCCTCTTTGCCCCTCACTTTCCCCTCCAAAGCCAGGAGGAGCCCACTCAGCATAGTCCACATGGGATAGTTGTGAAAAACTACCCTTAACATCAGCTGAGGCATCTGCTGGTGTGGCACCTGTTGTGGAGCCAGCTGTTGAGGTATCATGCTACCACCACTATTTGGATCCACCGCGCATGGTAACTGGGGCGGCGGAACGCACTGGCTCTGAGCTAGTACATAGGTTAGAGGAAGAGTGGTTGTGAGACTTGTTCTTGTATTCAAAGTCATCTTGTTTAGCGGACACTCCATCTTTGTGATCGGTGTAGTTATCATTCATAATGACACTTTCAGAGGTATAGTGACAGGTGCACCTCTGTCTTCGTATTCTAATTTTTTCAACATGTCATATAACTAAAAGCCTACAGAAGATCTACCCATAACTGAAGCTGCTGTGACAATTGACCTCTCGGGAGACTATTTAGCTGAGTTGCTAATGAAGTCGCCCCCGATGTCGTTCCCCCATTCCCATCGCCACCTCCGGCTTCGGCAGCCGCACCAACATCACCTTAGGATTAGAGAAGGTCAACATCATATCGAAGAGAGTGAAAAAATCAAAAGCAGGTGCAGCATTACGAAGATGAAGAACTTCAACTTACTGATTCAGGAATTTTTCAAATGCCAGTATAAGTAGTACTCTAACGTATACTATAAAATTTCAATTATGGCCTCCATAAGAACTAGATGCAGTGCTTGCCGCTGTATCCTCCTCTAAGACGCTACGGCGTTGGTCCGCAGCATCTCGATCTACCTGAGCCTCAAGATCCACGTTAGGCTCACTAGCCGAGGATTTAGAACTGGCAGATCGCGGTAGCAATATCAGACGAGCTCATAGTACCTAGAGCAATTTGTTGCACTCAGACAAGTGATGATTGCTGCATGGGAGAAATGGTATGCCAGCATTCTCTTCGTCAATGGATAAAAAACACAATAAACCATGAAAGTCTCACTAAGATGAAGTGGACTTGTTCATCTCTGAGTTGTCAGTCCATAAAATTTGGCCCCCCACTAATATTAATGTTTTCAATTTTCTGACTAATATTTATAATTTCTGAAGACTGCTCCTTAATATTTATTTCTGAAGACTGCTGCTCCTGCCTACAAGCCGCGCTGGCCCTGCCGAATGTAGGTGGGCTCATACTAGGTACAGGCGGTAAGGGCATCCAACTCACAGGTGCTGTTGGCGGTCCGGATACTTTTGTCCCTGTGCTCAGTGTAATAACACTATTTTCTGAACTAGAATCCAGATATTAGAAGAAGGAGGTCCATACTTTTAACACTATTTTCTGAACTAGAATCCAGATATTAGAAGAAGTAGCTCGACTTCAGTGCTGCCAGAGCCAGAAGTTCTGTTAAAACTATAGTAGTGGCAGTAGTAGTAGTAGTAGCAGTAGAAGTAGTGTAAGGACCCATTCTTGGGGTATAGAAGACGATTCAATTAATTGATCCTGAGCCTTGAACTATAGTTCGCCGTTGTAAGTCTGAACCCGCTTTGCTTTTGTTGTGAACGAGGTACCTACTAGACATGATGATTCAATTTGTTCTAAACGGAGACCACAGGGTCATAAGAAAATGCCCCTTTATCCACTGTACTTCCTGGTGTCTCCACTTTATTCAAGCAAGGAGGTGCATCGTCCTCATCTTGAGCTTCCTGTCGTTGGTCGCCGCCGCTGCAATTCTTAGAAGTTACTTATGCTTCGTCCTATCGACATTCCACCTCCTTTTTCATCTTTAACGAAGATTTCTAATTAAGTACTAGGATAACCCGTCTTAATATCCATTGCGTTTTTCTCCTCGCCTTCGACGTTGTCTCCTTCGACGTTGTCTCCTTCGACGTTGTCTGCCTTAGCGGGTTCTGTTGACTCCGCTAACGCTGGCGGAGCGTCCGTCAACGCTGGTGGAGCGTCTCCTATCACTTCAAAACCCTCCATCGATCGACGTTGTACCTGTGACAGTGACAAGATAAGATACTATTACTATTATATTATGTTCGCGCGCGACCCTACCGCCGGGGAAGATAAAAATGATGAAGCAGGAGTAGGTACCTCCTCGAGGATTGAGGAAACGTCAAACCGCTTTTCGAGATGCTGATGCAGATGCTCCTTAGATGAAGACAAGTGCGTTTTTTATTCTAAATCAAGATGATGAACCAACTAATCATACATAGATGTACTCTATCAAGATGTCGCCGTGGGCAGGGTGGATCGTCGCTGGTAATTCCTCGTGGTAGGATGGATCGTTGTGTTAACAGTAGACACTAAAAGTCGTAGAAGGAAATAAGCCAAATGGTAACAAAGAATATTTTACATGTTGTCATAGAAAGGTGTTCAACAACGAACAGTCTGACTGTTGTTGATGAATAAAATATGTTCCTCGAGAGTGAGGAGTCAAATCGCTAAAATTATCAGATACAACTTCTACTGATGATGGTCGCTGGTAATAATAAACTACTTATCACTTCTACGTGGGTGGTACTCGTAGAAGTAGAAGATTTTTTGGATTCTGAAGGTTCTGTTATCAAGTCAACGGAGATAGTATACATAGTTTGAATTACGAGTACGAGCGAGCGAAGTTTATTAAAGCATGGCGTTAGAGGAGCACTGAGAATCCATCTCAAGATATCAAAATGAAAACATCTCCGATTAATAGCTGTTTTCAGGACTAGGGATGGATTCTTGGTCGCACCATAATATGTTCTTGGTCTTGAGGTGGTCGTTGTTGCGCAAAACTGATGCTTGTTCTTCTAGGAAATTATATTCTCAAAAATACTAATACCTCCTCTGTCTCTATAACTGTACTTACAAGGACTCTCACTATCATCACCCCCTCCCACACAAAAACACCCGACTACTATCTTTGTGTTTTGAGAATGGGAGTCATATTCTCAACAAACGGAAGGAGTCGCGATGATGATGATGATGATGATTGTACCTAAATGATGGAATAAAGGTCGGTCACGAAGAACAAGGGTTTCTTGGCGCTACACGAAGAGGACAACTCACTATGTGAATGTGTTCATCCTGTTTAAATCTTTGGAGGCGGTCTTTATGTTTACTACACATGAAATTTTGAGTGTGTGACTACGTACATGTGAAATATGACGTTCTTTGAAGATGTTGGTTGTCATCTACGAGTAGATCGGACAAGAACAAACATGTAAAAGAACAGCCTGACGAAGTCGTCAAAGAACAAAAACTCTATGAAAGACAAATTTTACACAACGTCGCAGAGACTTCGAGTTACAAATACAATTACAGCATACAAGAGCGTGGACAGAACTAAGTCATAGATAAGAAGGACTATTATACAAATACAACGAGCTACAGCTCATGGATATGGAATTCAATCTTACAACATGAGAATGCCACTCTGGCTAGAGATAAAACAGATAGTTGAGATGCTGAAAACATCTAGAAAGCTATGCATGCCGGATTTTCGTATCTATAGTACTTCTAGTAACTTGTCATGTTTCGTGTTTGTCTTCTTGTTCTAGACTACAAAACTCCAATTCTTGTTCTAGGCTAAGAACTCCAATTCATTGTCGTTAGGCGTTAGTTCGTTGGCACTAGTTTGAAGAATCAGCGGGACTATGATGTGTTGCTTCTCTTTGCCGCACTCTCCAATCGTCATGTTTGATTCGCTCGGGCAATGTCAGTCTCGTCACAAAAAGTTCTTTGTACCTTTTCCCTCGCAACAAGAACCTCAGAAACAACCCGAACTAATTTTTGAAAGAAGTACAAGAAGAGGCATAATTGGATAAGCCTTGTTACATGCTGCTCAAGAATGATGTTATTGTTGATGTAACTTCCAATGTATCGACTTGAATGATGTGATGTTGGAAGTGACAACAATTATATTATAAGGCTTTTCTTGCACATACTTCTAGCTCTGCTGCTACTGATCCTGATGAAAACTACTTCTACTGATAAATTCGTTGGGCACACGACCTAGTACCAGTAAAAATACCACGACACGCAACCAAGTTTCTAGCACTGAGACTACAATAGAAGCTGTTCACGTTTAATGTTACAAAATAGATCTTTCCGGTTCCCGCGTTGTCTCGTGCTGTCGTCTGCGATTTCGCTATAATGTCCAGCAAAAGAACACAGGCCCTGAAATCAAGAAGCCACGACCCAGAAGGAATAGTATGTTAGTTTGCTGCCTCTTCTACTGGTGCTCCTTAAAATTCCTATTCCACCTCACACACAGCACCAGCACCCTCTTCCTTTCGTTACAAATTCTATGCTGTGTGACATCGACATGACTGTGAGTGTTGCTTAGCATAAAATAACAGACTGCCTACATCTCAAAGGACTCAATTAATGGACTTCTTTCAGAATTCACCTTGTTCTTCAGCAGCATCACGTCATGGATCATTAAATCTGAAATTGTTGATGTGTCATTGACGATATGACACTTTGAGATCGACGTACATGGAGACTGATAAATAATCGCTGTGATCATGACGACAAGAAGACACCAGAATGTTCGATTTATCAAATGACGTAGTTGACGATGAGGCTACGGATTCTACGCGTCAGAATCGACGTGTCAGGATGAGCATGAACATTACGAATCTAATATTAAATAGTAAAACAATTTCCAACAAAATCTTGTCCTTGTAATGTAGAGCTGCTAGTCAAACTCAAAAAATTCCAATTTTTTTGTGCTCCAGTTCCATCAATACAAATCAAACAATACAGAAGAGACTACTACCTCTACTAGAAAAGTATCCTCTTCTACTTCTACATGATAGATACGTCCCGATAGATACTCCCCCTCCTCTACGTCTACATGGTAGATACTTCTTGTTCCTCTAACTACATACAACTATTCCTAGGTAGTATCTACAACTACAGGAGTAGAACAACAACGTGAACATTTAATATCTATTCCAATTCCTATTGTTGTTCTCCTTCTCGACGACGTTCCGCCACTACAATAGGCATGTAGACCTTAGAATATCAAGAAACTCAGTGTAATCCACCACTACAATAAAAATCCTATTGTTGTTCTCTTTCTCAGTGTCACTTATTCGTTGGCATCTTTCGTCTCGCCGTCGCTGCTTCCTTCTTGGCCATTTCGCGCTTCTGTTTGGTTGAAGGCCCAAGTGCACTCTTCTTGGTCCCCTTGAACCCATTCAGCATTGCGATCGCCCATAGGGTTACCGAGGGTTAGAAGTTCTAGAAAGTTGAAGTTCTAGATACAGAAGTCCGAGCTACAGCATTTCAACCACAGTTCGAAGATACAAGAAAAGGTTTATCGGATAGTATCCTCGTCAGCGAGTTCGTGGAGTCAAAAGATCACGAAGTTTACTTAGGTTATTTTCTAAAAAATCATGTCACTCCTGTCGGTCCTTCTTGCTTGTTCAACAAGTACACTGTACAAAAGGTGGCGGGACTATACAGTACAACCGACTCAGGATACAGTACAACCGAGTCAGGATATAGTACAACCAAGTCAGGATACAGTACAACCAAGTCATCTCAGTTAGCAGTAGAGTTTAAAGGAGCTTCTTTATCGACAGATGACTGATGACATGGCCAGCTATCTTCATCATGGCACCTCTTTTGTATCCATTAATGTCTACTTTTGAGACAGGAGCAAAGCCTTAAGCACACAGGATAGCGATCACAATCACGATGTACAACATGCCGGTCCATCCATCGAGGAAGCTCCCAGATGACGCAGTAGAAGAAGATGCGGCATTTTTCCTTTTCTTCTTCGGCTTCTTTAGAGGTAGCAGAGAAGTAGCGTCTCATCCTCATCCTCCGTGACGAGTGAGTAAATCTAAGTAACAAACAGTAGCAAAACGAGGGTTTTAGACAAAGCCCTACCACGTCATAGATAAGTCTAGTAGTCTAACTTCTGAGAAGAAGAGAAAATTACTCAGTCAGAATCCTAGCTCACACCGGAAGGACGGTCCTGACGCGTCTGTTCCTTTCTTCCTTGAAGGTTCCCATCTGCGGTACTAATCATGTTAAGCCTAACTTTGCTTAAACAAAACCAGCCCTCCCACGCTATTATTTGTGGTGGAGCCGACCTAACTAGAAAAAAGACAGACCAGCGGAAGATATAAAAGAGAAAAGGGTCACTATCAACAAGTGTCCTAAAGTATCCTGCTAACTGCTAAAACTAACGAAGCGCCGGCGCTATTATTAAGTAATCTGACTACTTGTGTCTCTTCCTTAACTTTTGCTTAGCCGCCATCTTGGCTGCATGGAACTTCTGGAGCATCGCCTGCTCCTCTCGGATCGCTGTTTGAAGCAGCGCAAACCTCTGCACTGATATTTTGGGATTCTTAGAAAAGTAGACTCGATCATGAAAGAGAAGAATTTATCAACCAAGACTTTCAACCACGAGGACTTTCAATCACCTCGTTCATCATGTTATCACCGATAATTCTTCATCATCATCATCATGCGGCTTAAGTAGCCATTCTCGACTACTGGCAAGACAAGATATGAGACGGCCTCGAGACTATAGCCCCTTCCCCTATCATGAGACGGCCTCGAGACTATTATCCCTACGTAAGGGGACGAAAAAATAGACCTAGACCGGAGTATCCCTGAAAGAGCAATAGGCTACGTTTGGCGGTCCATGATTGAATGGACCAAGAAAGTAAGGTGGGAGATGGTGCCTTACGTTCGTGAATAATTGTTCTATAGAGCGCGCCATCAGCTTGACACTTCATCATGATGTGGATCACATGAGGTGATTCTGTTTCTGGTACGTCAACATCGCTTATCCTGATACTAGTAGACTATTGACTAGTACTCCTAGTTCATCTATCGTGTTCCGCTATTGTTTTCATTTTCAAATTCAAGTACTTCTAATTAATACGTGGTGTAATAAATATCACCTTGTTTACCTGAAAAATCTGATGCATTATATATAATAGCAGAAAATTCTGAAACTGAATTTCCAACATTTTTTTGCCTTAATCATTGGATCATGTGGTGTCAGCAAAGTTCCGCCGCCTATCATTTCTTGAGCCACCTCTCGAAATTTTGGATTTTCGAAGTCCAATTCCCCAGTCTCTTCGACTACCTGGGAAGAGAATTTGGAACGGAGCGTAATGGGAAGGAGATGTTGAATGGGTGAAAGAGTTTGGAAATCTAAGGAGAGTTGTAGAGAGATGAATCTTAGACGAGGCTCATCTAGCTGACTCAAGAAATCAAACACTCGTTGTCGTTATACTCGGAATACTTCTGTACTAGTGACGCATGTAGTCGAAAAAACATACATCTGGATTCCCAAACTGACTTCTCAGGTCAGTGTTTATCTTGAAACCTCCAGACGAGCAGCACTGTCCAAGAAACTCAAGGGATTATATCCTACGCGTTGCCAGTGCCGTAAGATCGAACAAACAAAAAATCAAGTAGCACCAGATCAGCCACATCCGTTTCCGATATGTCTTTGTAGCATTGTGCGTACGCAGAGACGACTAAAATATCCCCATGCATTTGTTGCGGATGGCCCTATAGTTATTTGTTGCTAAACTTACATGTGTTTGTTGAGGATGGCAGTATAGTTTCTTGTTCTTGTTGGTCAGACTTATATCCTGTTTTTTGAAGTCTGGATCATCATGAGCCTTGTTCTTTGACGAACACAAGTACTTCTAGGATGTAAATTATTGTAGATTTTGTTTTTTCAGTTTCCATGGTGATTGTGAAGGTTGATTCAGGAAGAGGATTGATAGCTTCGATACAAAAATAAACAGATTGATAGAAGGACAATATACCTGTGCAAGTAAGGTCTCGCTCGCTTGCTTTACCCCTATGTCTTGCTGACCTGCGCCAACTGCACTCCTGGCAAGGTAGAGACACGCCTTTGTTCTGTGTGCCGCGTCAGGCTCCCTTATGTCTTCCCCCATCGTTGGGTCGAATCTTAGAAATATTGTGTGAAGGTAAAGGCGAACGTCAAGGTCGATTCATTCTCAGAAGTTCTTTAAGCAGGTGTAGGATTGACGACATGTTGAACTTGAACATGATACGTAGTAACTTAGAGCTCAAAACGATTCATTTCTTGCCTGCATTTTTTCAGAATCCCAAGAAGGAAACTGCAAGAAAAAACTTGCAGAAATGAATTGTTTTGAGCCTTAAGTAACACTGAATTGTGTTGTTACTTCTTGGATCTAAGTACAACTTCTTAAACAGGCAATCGCAATTGCAACATGCTTCATAAGATATAGACAGGTAATTGCATTTTTTGCATCATCGGGTCGACACCTCCTTGAGGCGGCATGTCTCCTTGAGCCCCTTCTGCTGAATCCTCATCACTCTCACCATCGTCGTTACCTGATTTTCAAAAAAAAGTTTGATGAAGAGTCTGAAACTTCTGAACGTGAATGTTTAACATCTACTACTAGTACTTTGTAAGAGTAAGTACCTACTTACATAAGAAAAACAATGTATGGCTATGGATTGGGAGAGAACTATTCTATGTATTAGTCCACTTGTCACTGCTGAACAAGTAACCTATCTGTTTGCATCATAAAGAACTCGTTTGATACCAAGGTCATACTCTGAAGTACTAAAATACAAGGTAAGCACTGGTATGATCGTCCGCAGAAATATGAATGAATGAATGTGCCTAGCAAGAGGTATGTGCCTAAGAACTCGTCCTTTTTATCTTAAGCTTGTACTGGAACTAATTACCCTCATCTTCTGCTGGGTCCGGTAACGAGCCTTCCTCATCTTCATCGCTGTTCGACGCCCTGAGAGGCACAGCAAATTCAAAGAAAAGCAACAGCTTGAAAGCTAGCAAGGCACGACGTAGTGACGCCATGATGATGCTATAGCTACTGATGGAGGGGAATCCTCTTGAGGATAAGGTGATGGTTGTAGTTCTTCTAGGCTAGGACCCGCGAGCTAGTCCTGAGGACTCAGTAGGGGTGGAGGACGCGGTCTATTCTAGTACCTAATCCTGTTGCGGCTCACCAAACCGGAGCTGGTGAATCAAGATCAACCTAGGTTAGGTTAGGTTGTGAATCCTTCTCAGCGAGCCTCACGGGCACATGCTCGCCTCCGAGGATGATGGGTGACCTAGGTAGGGTCAGCGAATATAATCTAGTTGTACTAAGCCGATGACTTTATACTAATCGGGAAGTCAGCGCTCTCAACTATAGTGATCCTTCTCTGTGAAGATCTCTCAGAATATCCTTCACCACCACCTGGGCACAATGTTGATCAACGTCTGTCCATTTCTCCGATCAGACCAGTAGACAGACCAAAGCGTTCCTGAACAAGAACACCAATAGTACCACTACCAGAAGCGGTAATTATAGGAAAGCTTACTTCATCGCGAAGGATATGTTGGAAAAGAAACCGCAGAACAGCAGCTTCTTCTCCCATCCAGTCACCTTATGAATATACTACAACGTCCCTAGTCCTCATTGACATTGTGGTCCTCGATGTGTCCAAGAACTGCGAAGATACTAACTGGAACCAAATAAGATTTTTCGTACTTAAATAACTTCTTGAAGATGATGCTAAGCTGTTTCAATTTTAGTTTCGGGGTGGTTCTTGATCTCTATATTACGACTGATTCAAAGATAATACTACCAAACGCCGGCTATATTCTCAAACAAAAAAAAGTGAAGCTAGTTGCTGCTGTTCGGCTTCGGACAAGGTCTCAATCCAAACAATTGCGACCACCTTCCAGACATCGTTGGGGAAACCTGGCTGTGCTATTCCCGTAGTCTAGAAACCACGCTATCGACGCTGAGCCAGCGTCCCCGACTTCGGAATTGACGACTTTTCGCGATCATTAGATCATGAGGTACAACTTGTAGATAATTTGTATCTTCTGAATCTGATTCATAAAAATTAGGAGAAGATTTTAAGCTACCAATAATAATAAATACTTCATTTTACAACCCATTGTATTGCTCAGCAAGCCTTAAGAGAAGGAGAAATATCCTCTCGAGTCCACGCAGCGCGCGCCCCGCACATAAGCACGCTGTGCGAGTGCTACCATGGTGGAATGCAAAAGAGCAGAGGGAGAAGATGCTCCAGAGGACACGACTGATGAGGACGCAGAGGACGTCTCAGCAGCATCAACAGGGAAACCATCCTGACCTTCGTCTTCCGCAGATATCAATGGCACACCCCCAAGACATGTAGTCGACTTAGACGTACTTGTTCCAGTTCCAGATGGAGCAGAAGAGGTCATTTCTACAACTGGTTCTACTCTGCGCATGCTGCATTGGTACAACGCGCGATACTCAGGTGTCCGAAACTTGGGTGCCTTGAGCAATTCCCCAGTCGTGGAATAGCTCACAACCATGGCATCCGTGGCCAGTTCCTCCCCATCTACTGGACAGAGACCGCGATAACGCCACCGATGCACCCTGAAAATCTCGCGCGCAGTGAGTGAGTGCGTCACGAATCTGCACTTACGCGCTGGCTGCTCCTTGGTGCGGAACGCGAAATGTCTCCTTGTGTCTGTCGAAAATTCACTGTCCAATCCGTATTGCGCGACTGGGATTAGAGCATTTCTAATGTGCTGCAGTAGGTTAATGGTCCTTGCTAGTTAGCGTCCTTCTTTTGGTTCTTCCTAGTTAGGGCTCCACCACTACGATAGAAGGTTAGCGGTAAAAGCAGAAGGACCTTTATATCACAGATATAGCATCGTTTGCGAGTGCCATCCATGGCTAACTCGGTTTATTCTCAAACAAACAAGTCCTCATAACTGCACATGCCCCCACTTTCTTAGGCAGCCTGCAAACAAGACATCCTCCATGCCTGCTCCGCCGACACCTCTGATACTTTCCAACAAGCAGAAAGAGCTCCACACACCTGCCTTTTGCACTAGACCTCTGGATAGAAAGTAGCCGCCACCACATAGGTTAGAAGAATGGGAATGACAATGGGTCCTGTTTCTACACAAATTAAAATTTAAATTTTTGCCTTCTCGGAAAACATCTTCTCTAGTACTGGACACATATTCACACGTGCTTACTTACTATTGCAACTGAACTTCTAAGAATGTTCTTAGGGATGCATCAGCATCAGAACGTCGAATGATGAGGACTTATTCGCGACAGTCACACCTAGCCATAACAGAAGCAAAAAAGCTATTCCGTCCGTAGCGACCTTCCGCGACCTGCGGAACGCCAACAAACCAATGCCTGCGCGTGTCTCCAAAACAGGTCAGGCGCTCTAGTCAACTTAGACGAGAAGGAGAAGACAAGGCAAGGATAAAGGTAAGAGCAAGGACGCCCAAATCTCTTCAACTCTTATAAATATATTCAATGTTGTAAGTTCCTCGTGACAGTGACAGTGAGAGTCAACGACCGCTGAAGCTGATGCATACAACATGTCATGTCGTGTCATGTCATGTCATGTCATGGTACCTCTTGTGGTTGTGTAGCTATTAGCGTCTACTTGCGAGGCCAACCAGTAAGCTAGTACCTCCAGAGGAGCGCTAAAGTACCGGTATAAGGGTATTTGTATTTACCAAAGCCTTAACAACGCTTGCGTGTGTACGTGGCTGTCCGCGTCAGCCTTCATGTACCAATGACACATGTCTCTGTAGACTGGATGTCTGCCCAAAACCTCGAACATACGAAGCTTAGACCTCTCCAGCATCTTCTCGGGTCATTTTCGTTCCACTTCATAAAGATAAAAGTCATGGAACCAAAATAAATGTAGTTGGAAAAGATGGACTTTCTCAAGCCTTAAGAAAGGTCCGCAAAGGCAGGTGTGCATAGTCGGTCTCCAGGTCTTCAGGGAAAACTACAGTGGGAATATCGTCGTGCGCGATTGACGAAGAAACAGAAGAGATGCCGCCAGGTGGCTCGAGGAAGAACACACGCACGTCAGTGGAGTTTTCCATTAGAGCAGGAAGAGGCTCATCTCTCGGTTTGAAGGAGGAGATCGATTTTGATTTAGATGTAAGAATCATGTTGCATGCTGTTGTCCCTGTTGCCATCGTTCATGATGACTGTAGAGACGTGGTCTGACAGTATTTCCATGATGCTGGCAGCTCCCGACAAACCTTTAGGTAAGCAAAAATAATAATAATGTTTAGAATCATGTTAAAAAGTAGTACACCACGGCAAGATCATATTGTTGAAGAATATGAGTGCCATCAGGATCTTTGAAAGGTATCCCATCGTCTCTCAGGCTAAACCGGGCATGACTTCAAATCGATGACCCTAAGTTGTACTTGTAAAAATGCGATTTCAAAACCAAATAAGTACTCCTGTGTATACGCAAAGCATAACTTCGCCCACGTATCTCGTGCTGCACGTGCCGTTTCGACGTAAGCTGTCTTCCGAAAAGACACAGGCACAAATATGCACAGAAAGTATGGCGGCTCTGGCTTCAACTCAGCTTGCAAGCCTAAGGAATTCAGTTCCCCAGAACTCACAGGACGAAAGGGACCAGACTGAACGTCAGTAGAAGCGATCTTGATCTTCTGGTCATCTTCTTCACTATTACCGTTCTTGGAAATGCTCAGACCTGCGCTAGAAGACTGCTTTGAGGAAGAGGAAAGTGTCGATGGGCTTGAAGATGCAGCTCCTTCAGGACTGTAGGAGAAAACTTGTCGAGCAGCTTCTCGAAAGTCATTGATGTGTTCCTTCGTTGCTAAGGGCAACCCACTAGCTGCTGCTTGAATGCCGATAATATGAAAGCGAGAAGAAGTATCTGTAATGCAGCGCAACAAGTTCAGGTTCATGTTCAAAAGAGGTAATCAACGAAGGTACTTACACTGATGTAGAAATAACCTGAACGGGGGCGAGTGGGAGTACTCATGAATGGTTCTAGTATTTGGTAGCCTGATTTTGATCATAAGGAAAACAAGAAGAGAATCCTTGCGATCGAATTCAGGTTACCAAATACCGGAACCACTCAACTTGAGGTACTTAGATGAAGAATTCAAATGCCTCCATAAAACAAGTCCGACCCATTGAAGACGCCTTTCCTACTTTCTGGTTCTGCCACTGTGCTCCTTCCTGTCGCAACCAGTACGATCGGTGCTGAAGACGGTTGGAGTTCCGACACCAAGGGCTCCTCAGTTGTATTTGGCGATGAACCTACTTCACCATCCGATGAAGAAGAAGATGCTATCTTGCCATTTTCTACGCCTAAAGCTGCACTCGTCATTGTTGTTGTATCGTTCGACTTGTTCCCACCCTCTACAACCTCCTCCTGATCCCCTTTCGGCTCTGCTAGTGCAACCTCCTTCACGACATTGAGGTAGCCTACGGGACTACGCGAGAACATCGGCACATCGACACTGTGTGACGGTAGCAATTGTACCGCGTAGACTGAAGGATCGATGCCTCGTGTGCGCTCAGCCTGATACTGTAGTAATTCCCCGGCACTGGAAAAGGAAGGCGATGACTCAACAAGGAGGCTTTGCATAGTTCTTAGAGATTCTTGACATGTTTCAAAGGTTTCAGCTTCCATGGAGAATTTAAATACTTAAATTTCGGATATGAATTTGAAGACTGACAAGTGAAGAGGCCAGTTGTAAATACTTACTTACAAAGAAGCTCCCCAGCACATGGTAAGAACCATAATGCTGAACCACTTGCTCCACCTAGAAGAAGTTCCTCATCCAGTATAGACCCACTCCTGCTTCCAGTTTGCACGAGCACTCGTGTGTCGGATGCACCCGCACCTCCGGAGGTTCTGCGCAGGTTCCGTAATGCGAGAGCTTCTTCAGGGGACTTTTTACCTCTAGTCTGTTTCATCTGCCTGATCTGTTGTTCTGTGGTCGTTTCGCGAGTAGTTCCTCCCCCTCCAGCACTTCTATTTTGCTCTAGTACGACCTGCATTTTGCGCTGCAGCTGTGGATCAAGACGAGGACGATAGTCTTTTTTCGCAACTATACGCGTGTCAAAAAAAACTTCTTCTCGGACACTGCCCTCACCCTCTCGCGGACTACGCGCTGCACAGTATTTGTCCACTTCTTGCGTGTCCAGACGTTGATAACGGTCCTGACCACAGCGCCAAATCGCCAACTTCACTTCGTCCGAGTAGTAGGGCTGAACGTTACCTGCCAGATCTTTGAATGTATAGCGACCAAGATCTGTGTCTCCTTTGCAATCTACGCCCTGGTGCCAGCGGGCCCAAGTAATTAGACCGAGGACCTCTTCGCAATTGTTCATCTTGCCTTCTTGCAACTGCATGCATCCTTGAAGAGTATAGCCCGAACAAGAGTACCGAACAAAGGTACAATACTTACCTCGAGGCTCGAGCATACTTTTCAGAAACGAATGGGAGTGCAGTCAAAGATGAATTTGTAAGAACGACCTCCTTAAAGTAAGGTTGCTTTCGATGTCGTAGTACATCCGATTTCCAGCTCTTCCCTTTGGCAGTGGACCAATCGCAAACAGACACTTGCGCATGATGGGGTTCGTTTCCTCGAAAAATTCCCGACCGGCTTCTGGTCCATGAACAAAGTTGCGTCTTTCGTCTGCGAAGTTTTTCATTAGAGATAGTATAGCAGGACTGTGTCTGTCATTTTTCTACACATCATGTGTAAAGTTGTAACCTCTTGACGATGCTAGTAAGAGAAAGAATCCATATCGAGCACCCAGAAATACACTGCTCATACCTCTACCGAAACGTGGCCCAAGTCGCTCAGGCACGTCGCAAAGACATAGCCGATGCCTTGACGGGTATACGGTTGCGCAGGTATCATTTTCAAGCACACACCCGTCCAATAATAAGCTAGAGACGCCAACTCACGGCTGAGCAACAGGCCTCTTGTTAGAAGATGATGAGGTCTATCACAAGCGAGCAACATGCTAGTGATTAGGCTTAGATCTACCTACGTGCAAATAAAGCATAAGCAAATCAATGCTGCATACTCTAGTAATATAGCGCATCTCCCACGAGCCATAACATGTCCCTATTATGCATGAGGAAGTTTTCGCCAGTCTCATGGTTCTGCATGCCAGCCAGCAGGCCAAATTAGAAATACCGTATTGGCATCCTTGGGAACATCCCTGGGAACATCCTTTTCCCGTTGCAGAAGACAAAGCCAGGAATCGACCTCGTTTCCCCTTTGCAGAAAACAAAGGCAAGAATCAAACAACGTAGTTAAAAAGGATGCATGTGGTGCGGCACTAGCCTTAACCAAAATAATGCGGTCTAGAGTGGTTCAGGCAGCCAACGCGTTCCTCTAAGGCTGGGACGTTTACGTACGTATTCGGATCGATCCAATAGAACCACTTGCACAAAGGCACCAACCAGGGATAGAAGGCGACGAATGAAATGAAGAATCAAGTTTATTGCATACTCTAGCACATCATGTCGTGTCGAGATTGTTGATGCTCTAATTCTACAATAAGGTACCAGCAAGCGCAACAAAATGAGGATCTTTGTCTTTCTATTAGGAATAGGATTCTTGCAAATTCATAACTCTAAATGGATCAGATTTCAATAGTAGTTCTTGAGGGTTCATCTTCGTCTTTGAGGAGAATGACAACTGCTTAACTACTTCTACACAACAAAAGAAACACCAATCCATCAGTCATACGTTGATGCCAGAAATAGAGCAGCTCTCGACTGTCTCTGAAAGTCGGGAGAGACAAGACGCGATTGGCGAATCCAGAAGGCAGCGTTGCGGCGGATCTGGCCACTAGACCGGAAGGCAATTGCGTCGCCGCAGATGAGTAGTGTCTTAGATGGGAAGAAGTAGTGGTCTTAGATGAGCACAAGGGTCTTACTAGATGGGAAGAAGTAGTGGTCTTAGATGAGAACAAGGGTCTTACTAGATGGGAAGAAGTAGTGGTCTTAGATGACGAGAACAAGGGTCTTACTAGATGGGAAGAAGTAGTGATCTTAGATGACGAGAACAAGGGTCTTACTAGAACTAGATGAGAAGAAGTAGTGGTCTTAGATGAGAACAAGGGTCTTACTAGAACTAGATGAGAAGAAGTAGTGGTCTTAGATGAGAACAAGGGTCTTACTAGAACTAGATGAGAAGAAGTAGTGGTCTTAGATGAGAACAAGGGTCTTACTAGAACTAGATGAGAAGAAGTATTGATCTTAGATGAGAACAAGGGTCTTACTAGAACTAGATGAGAAGAAGTATTGATCTTAGATGAGAACAAGGGTCTTACTAGAACTAGATGGGAAGAAGTAGTGGTCTTCGATGAGAGCAAGGGTCTTAGATGAGAGGACCAGGTGAGTACTACGTCTTAGAGTTAGATGAGATTGAGAACCAGTACATCATAACTCTGGATGTTCTTCCTCTACTTCTTCATTTCCCGTACCCGTATCAGCATCATCCTCTTCACTAGACATATCGTAACCATCGTGACCACTGGCACGATAAAAGAAGAGACTTTCTGTGGTTTTGGCCCATGTGTCACGGATCGCCAAAATCCGTTCATAGGATAGATGGTCGATTTGCGCGAACATTAGATGAAGAGACTTCTGAAAACAAGTAGACTTAATATCGTGAGAATTCGAACTTCTATGGGATACAGATACTAGTATGGGTTACTACAGTAGATGCACATGTCTTAAATCACTTTTTACACCTTCTAATTCGAGTTCAGTTCCACCTTGTAGTTGATGAATAATTTTCATTTTCATTTTGCACAACTACAAGTGGATCAGGTCCATAAGAATATGCAGAGATCTCTCTCCTGCGTCAATCTGGACTCGAGTTAGAGGTAGGTTCTTGGTGCTCGCGGGTTCTCCCGCTTGTTATGCCTTTCTCCCTTAGGAGAGGCATGAAAAGCGGTAAGAAAAGCACCTTCAACCTACCCTTAATCGAGCACCTGCCATTCCAGGAATGCACCAGGAAGCAACGGCTCCACCACTAGAGCCGCTAGCGATGTCGCACTTTTGTCGTACTGATTCGAGGCGAGGTGCTATGAAAGGAATCACTAAAACATAACGATTGCATGCTTCATTATTAGCCCTGTGCTTGAAGTGGGTGTACAGGTTGAGGAATCAGTCGGTACTAGGGCGATCGTTCCTTTTGAGGGGTAAACTGCAGAACTTCTAAGCGGTGATTTTGAGAGTGTGGGGTCATTGTATTTCATGATAATGACGTCAGGTTGAGGTTGAACACTACAAGTGTGAATCTTTTATCACGACTTTTTTCGCAAAAAAGTAGAAAAGTTTCAACTTCCTGTCATAGATATTCAGTTGGTAGCATTTGAACTTCGACACGGTTTTTCGACTTTTCTTCGCGGGCAGCATCTGTATCATGTACTTCAAGATCGGGTGCTGATATTAAGCTACCACTTTCTTCCCATTCAGCAAGACAGGTTGTATCTTCGACAAGTGAAGGGAGCGCGGAGGATGAGCTGGAGACGTCCGCTGCCTTAGTTGATGCTGGTTCCGTTTCTTGAAGATTAGAGTGGTGCTGCACAAGTAAGTCGTGTCGAGTATGCGTTGATGTCCTAGCTGTGGTTTCGTACAGCTACTTTTCTCGAGGCCACGACAAAAATAAAGGAAATACGAAGTGCTGGCAAGAAACAACTTATGGATGCTTCCAACTAGGTTGTACATGACTATCACACACGGGACCGGGAGCCTTAATAGCTTCTGCATTTCCTTGGTCATTTCCTTGATTACCCCGACGCAGTGCCGCCGCGACAATCTTACGCACCAAAACAGAAGCAAATAATCTCTCGTCAGCCTCCTTGAGCGCGTCTTCTTCGGAAAGTGACTTTCGGACTTCCTTCTCAACTTGCTTGATATCCATACTCGTAGAACCAGGAGGAGGGCTTGGATCCACTATGAGACCCATCTTTTGCGTCTTATGCTCGTCCACACTGGATGCCGGCACGGACGCTGTCGAGGTCGTGTCTTCTGATGTGCTGGAGGTGGTCGTGTCTGATGCTTGTTCATCTGACGCTTGCACTAACAATCCATTTAGATTTACTTTGCAGCCTTGTCGTCGCAGGCGGTGAGCTAGGCGAATAGCGAGAGCGCTTACATCGACAACCCTTGCTAACAACTGCAAGCCGGTCACTAGAAACCGTTCTTTTTGTTTTTCCACGTCATCCTCTTGTTGACTCCGTCTGGGCGAACGGCGTGCGTCGGTCCCTAGCCGCACCCGTCGAGCCATCTCTGTCGACAAATCCAGAACTGACGAGGAGCCACGCTCTTGATGTACAACTGGCGAAGAATCTCGTGCTTGTTTGAGAAAAAGGACATCTCCGAAATGATCCTGTTCAGACTGGTGGCGCAACAGAAAGCGCTTCAATCCAGGAAAATTGACATATGCATCTCCACTTAACTCCACAATATGCGTGCAAGATGTGGTCGTCTTAGCTGTAGTAGTCTTTAGCTCAGGTGTTGGTGATGTTTCAGACGCACTACTAGAAGAGGCAGAAGCTGAAGAATTCAGTGTCCCACTAGATGATCCAGAAGATCTTGTCGTGGTGGCAAAGCGAGAGCCAGAAGAAGCGGCGTCCACTATCGTCGAAGGCGTCGAAGATTCTGGGACGAGAACGACAACCTCTCGATCTGCCCAGTAGTTTACCCCTATGCGGTCCGCTGGTGGCAACCAAGCAGAGCCCGCGAGAAGGCAAAAACGCACCATTTCTTGAATTGCAGACAGTCCGAGGCAACAAGGGCGATCTTGATGGATTCCTGCCACTCTGTCACGATGCGGACTGGTGGTCGCGACAATCCTCCTGGTGGATACTATTTCTCTTCCTCAAGCATTATCAGCAACGGCATTTCTACACCCCCTCTGTCAAGCGCGTGGTTGTCTGATCAGCATCTAAACTCCCAGCTCCGTCAATCCTCGCGTAGAAGTAGTTTCCTGTTCATCATCATTTGTGGCAAAGCTCAATGCACGTCTCCGGACAAACAGCTTGCGCACCCACAAAAAGGCCCAAAAGGCTAGTAGAATGAGCCCAACCGCGGTCAAGGTAGCCCCAAGAAAGACACAGAGCTGTCGCGTGGATAGATCGGTCGCGTTCTGCAACCAGCTGGAGGAGTTTAGCGGCAGAGGCAGTGCACCTCCTTCTCACAGTGAATTAATGCTTGTGAGTCGTGTCTCTGTCTGTTCCACCATCAAGAGCAGGAAGGAACAAATTTAAAGTGAGAAGAAAAACACCTTATTTCTTCTTTTGCCATCATGTACGATATTTTTACGGGAACATCATCAGAACTCAACATCATCAGAACTCAGACCAATCAAACGAAAAGAAAAACAGACACCTCTAGCTACAAGTCGAAGCAATAGCCTTAAAAACGGAAGATATTGACAAAGTCCAGAATTCGCGAGGAACAGTAGTACGGATCCGCATCCAAGACAAAAAACTGCTGTGAGCCAAAGCGGACGGTTGATGCCGGATGAGCTGGATGTCGTAGCAGGGCTCACGAGTGGTGTGCTGGAGCCACCTAGATCAGACATGATTATGCCATCGTCGATCCCTATACAACATGATGAAGACGAGCACGGCACTTCATCCTTGTTTTTCTCCAGTTTCTTTGTATTTCAAATGATAATGATGTAGAGATAGAAGCTCTACTAGTAGTTGGTTCGATATACTACAACATAGTAGAGCAGTCGAGTAGGGTTGGGAACATCAGTAGGGTGGGGTGGCCAACAACTCAGCCTAAAGCAGAAGTAGTTCTTGTAAGAAATAGCGAGTGCGTGGTTAACGGACGAAGTGACTAGAAGTAGCCGCATGGTGGCGATAGCGAGCTTCAAGATGCTGGATCGCGTCATGATTGCTAGTTCGCCAAATTAACAAAAGTCTCCTTGTAAAATTCAAATTGTGACTGCCATGATCTTTAAAGCTCGCTTCAATCAAAACCATGTTGGGGCAGTTCTTCCACAAAACTTGCTCTCTACTTCTTCCGAGACCTGCTATTGATAAGGTCATGTCAAGCCGTGCACCCTCGTCTGAAGGAGGCTGCTTTAATTATTTCTTTATTAGTCATTCCCGGTACCGAGGTTAGAAGATCGCTCACTCATGCTTCGCCTCCTCGCCGTCTTACTTCGGTCCCCATGCGCAGTCGGTCCATCCTCGGACGCCACAATGCCAACATGTACAGGACTCCAATACGGTTATGGCTCTCGCACTCAGCTACTTTCTTACACAGCACGAACAGTCAGGCAGGTAAATGTTCAGGCAGGTAAATGTTAGACCGAATAGCCTTGATTTTCGTATGTTTTTGCGGAATAAAATTCTTTCTTCTTTCACAACTTTCCATATCATTATTCTTGGTCGCCTGCATACAGGTGTCTCTATGTATTTTGAAATAAAAAACTGTCGTTGGTGAAGAGAACAATACAGAATGTTTTATCCTTGGAATCATGTATACTTTGAAACAGAATTTTCCGTCCTTGGTGAAGAGAATAGCGCCAGGAACGAGACTACAAGGGAAGCGGTTTTTTGAAGATTTTTGTGGCCAAATTCAGGAGCGGCGAAAATGCCAGAGTTGTAAATGACTAGTCTATTATCCCAGCCAGCAGCGGCGAGCGGGAGCGAGAAGGACATCTTTATCTTTTGAAAGGTAAATATAAAGCCAGATGATATTGATAAGCGGGATATACATATTGCGTGGGATAAACCTAGGTTAGAAGAAGAGGAAGAGCGAGCCGGTTGTTTTATTTAGTGCTTTGAGCGTCACTGGGCCTAACCCTTTGCCTTTTTACAGGCAAAAGCCAATCAAGATTTGCAGCGCACCTCTTAACTTAAGCCGAAACCTTAAAACGTCCTGCTATGAATAATAAATAATAAGAAAGCAGTGAACATGTGCTGGATAACCTTTAACCCCCCTCATCGTCGAGAGCCTAAGACGAATCAAGGACAACACCGGCACCATCGATCATGGACTAACTCCGCCATACGTAGGATCTGCCGATTGGGAACCAAATCCGGATAAAAATTTCCCCTTCCGTCCTACTTCTGCGTTCTTGTTCCCCGTATTTACTATAGAAGCTCCCTTGTTATATATTATAGCTATCTTGACGAGAAAGCGCTCGAGGTCCTCGAGTAGTTGCCACGCTTGGAGAAAGGGTACCAGATAGTCATTGCGCGCGACGGTGAGCTGCTTCCAGATTACGAGCGGATGCAGCCCACCGCCGACGCGCGTTCCGTCTAGCGCCAACAAAACGGCGTCGTCCCTCTCCGCTTCATCCAGCCACCGCGCCAGTTCCTGCGTGTCCACCTCAGTCATCTCATCACGGGCCCGTTCCTGCGCATCTTCGCTCCGTGTCCCCGCCGCGTTCCGCCAGGCCCGGGCCCGCACCGCGAGGTGGTCCGCGTGCCGGAAGTACAGGTTCAAGGCTATCTGCTTGCGGCCGAATCTCTTCTCGACCTCCTTTATCTCCTTTAGGATGTCAACCTGGGTCGCAACGACGCTGGGGAACACCACCTCCAAAATGTGGTTCACTGGGTCGTCCAGGATCCCTGCGACCATCTGCTCGGAAAACGCTATCATGCTCAGCAACGGATCCATGGCCAAGTACGCCTGCTTCATCTCGGGATCTACATCCAGGCTCGATGAGGTGGCTAGCTGGACGCGGGCCTTCTCGACCTCGTCGTCGTCGTCAATGATATCCTCGAGAGTCATCCGCGAGATGTCGGGCTTCTCCCCGTCCTCCGAGGACAAGGCTAGGAGCTTGAGAGTGCGAATCTTCTCCAAGTGATAGTCTACGCGTCTGCGCTGTTCGCTTTTCAACATGCCACACCGCCTCGTGGCCATCTCCGATACATGGGAGAAAACGCGAGCCCCAAAAACTGCAGGCCCCACGGCATCTTTCCAAACCCGTAGTTCGGTTGGAGACCTTGAACCGTCTTCATCGAGACCTTGGGCACTCCTTGCCGAAGCCACCACTTTCTGCAGCTTTTTGATCATCCCTGCCTTCCCCAAAAGGCTGTCGGCAGAGGCAGACTCTTCTCCTGGTGAGGTCGTGGTCGTGAGCACCTCTTTCAGAAGGTGCTTGACCGGGTCGTGGTTGATCTTAGCGGCCGTTACGGCTGCCTGCATCTCTCGATGTAAACGACGCGCGGCTGCCAAAGGCTGGATCCCGAAGACGTTCTTTAGCGTTTTCTCCCAAAATCCTCCGTCATTTTCCAACTCGTAGACGACCTCCTTCAAGCAATGGTAATGCAGCAGCTGATCGTCTTCGGGAAAGAAATCGTTCAACGAACTCAGGTCGAATTGGTCCTCGCCACTTGCGGTAGCCATGTACACAGCATCCTTAGAGCACTGCTCATCTAAGATCCTCCTATTAATCCCTCTACCTCTTCTTCTCTATGACCATCAGAAGACCTTCCTTCATCACGTAGAAATCCCTCTTGTTCTCTATGACCATCAGAAGAAGACCTTCCTTCATCACGTAGACAAGGCTTTCTCCGATCCTCTGGAAGATGGATGAGGGCAAGCCTTAACAAGAGGAGAAGCACCAGCTGCTGTGCCTCCTTCAATCTGAGTATCAACTGCGCTCTCTCGTGCTGCTCTTCTTTCAAGCTGCCTTCGTACTCTGAGACTTTGCATCACAGTTCGGACGTGCCCATCCGGCAGTGCCGGTTTTTCAGGAATGCCGTTTTCCTCAAGATTTCCCAGCCACTTTTTCGGCTTGGACTCCTGCAGACCTGCACCCACCACGTCTACCGAGGAGCCTGGCGCAGCCGGTCCCGGGGAAAAACCTGCAGCGGCCTCCAGCTGCATCTTTGTCAACGTCGCCATGGCTTCCGCTTTGCCATCACGGAGGGCTTTACTCTCGAGCTCGGCTTGGCGTTTGCGCTCCTCCTTCTGCTGGCGCCGCGCCTCCATCGCAGCTTCACGCAGGGCCACCTCTCGGTCTCTCCGATACCGGGCAAGCCTCGCTGCGCGCCTCTCGTCTTCTTGTCTCTCCTCCTCGCGCTCGGCCTCAAGCTGCTTCTGGTAAAAGGCATCGTGTTCGTCCGACCCCGAGGCCACCGCGTCGTGCTTAGTCAGCACCACACCCACAACTGGCACTTCTCTTGGCACGAAGGATCCTGCTTCAGCTTTTTTGTGTTTGTTCCATCTGTTTGTCCCATCTGCGCTTGCGCTTCTCTGTGTGTTGTACACGCGGAGTGCCTCTTTGACGTATGGCAGCACTTCCTCCACGAAAAAGTGGTCAGCATGCATATGCTTTTCCTCGTCCTCGAGACTCGCGAAAGTCGGCAGCACCCGCTTGCAGTTGTGACTCAGCATCGCCTTGCGAGCCTCCAGACAGGGCCCTGCTGCCTTGAGAGCGCTGACCGCCAGTCTTTGCGCTCGCTTCGCTCCCTCTGCGTCTGCTATTCCTCTCCGCTCATTCTACTTAGAACGCTTCGCGCACCTTTCGAGCATTACAATTGTTCCTTGAATTAAATAAATCCTCACGACCGGTAGGGAAGACGTTCGTGACCGTGATTAGAGCATCATGGTTCAAACTAAAATCTTCTAGATTAGAGCCTTAATGTATTCTAGCACAGCGGGCACAATATGTTCTTTGAACAAGTCGCCGATCCTCGCGAGAGGGGCCACGCGGTGCTTTGCAGGGGAGTTCCCGTTGTTCAGGTCCTTCACTTAGACCAACCAGAAATCTATCCTCAACCGAATCTTCTTGGTAAAACAAGATGGTGAAGGATGTTCGGTAAATAAACAAGATGTTCCATCTCCATCTTGGACGGAGGGTTCTTTCCGAAGCAGATCGATGGAGGGTTCTTTCCGAAGCAGATCGATGGAGGGTTCTTTCCGAAGCAGATCATGGAGGGTTCTTTCCGAAGCAGATGGAGGGTTCTTTCCGAAACAGATGGAGGGTTCTTTCCGAAACAGATGGAGGGTTCTTTCCGAAGATGGGTTCTTACTTTCCGAAGCAGATGGAGATTTCTGGAACCTACCCGCCTTAATTCACGTATGTTCCCTTGAGCCCTTCCGGAAGGTGGTCTTGCGCAAAGCGAAGCAAGATACGATCCAAACCGTCATCCGCATTGTGGCAGAAAGATTGCACGTTCAGTTGCTCTTTGCGGCAAATTTGCTCCAGCGATTCGTTGTGGGCTCGGCTCGTCGAAATGTTGTGAATGGTTCCGGTATTCAGTAACCTGAGTTTGATCATAAGGAAAACAAGAAGAGAATCCTTGTGATCAAAATCAGGTTACCAGATACCAGAACCATACATGTTGGCAACTAGCAACAGGAGAGCACATCGAAAATAAAACATCGAAAACACCAGTTGGGGAAGACACATCGTCCGAGGATGTCTGCCACGAAACACACTGCAAACAGAAAACATCATATTGGATCTCTAGTGAAAACTTGAAATGATTGATTCTATTGATAATATGTCTCTACCTCTACATACATACTTCTACTTCCTTCCCCGAACAGGACAATGACATATAGTCTTAGTCTAATATTGTTCATATTAAGTACAAATACAATGAAAATAAACTGAAATATTCTTAACCACACCGAAGAACCGTGAGGGACGGACGGAGTTAGCATGCAGTTTGTGTATCTTTCACAACTCTATCAAAATAAGAAGGCGAACTTTAACTCATGTAATAACCCATTGTTCATATTCGCGCTGATTCTGAAATTATAGTATATAGTCGCGGCTTCGCATAATTCTGGGCTTTCGAATAGTGCAAGGTCTCCCAGTAAAAATGTAGTGGTAGTAGTAGCAACAGCAGCAGTTGTATTAGTAGCAGCAGCAGTGGTATTAGTAATAGCAGTAGTGGTAGTAGTAGTAGTGAAGTGTGCCCATTCATGCTAATCCGATCTGCAAGAAGTGTAAAAGCCCAGCTATATTCCAGTACTAGGAGAAGTAACAGAAGTAGTAGTATTAGTAGTAGCGTAAAAGTACAACTAACTATCTGCAAGACACGACCTCCACTGGCTTTGTCTTGTTTTCGTATCTACAAGACAAAAATGACTACAAGCACGATCTCCAAAAAAAAAACAAAAAATTTCTGCGCATTATTCCTGAAAGTGAATCAGAAGAGTAGAGGCGATCTGCTTAAGAGCAAGCTGCTGGCAGGCCCTCCCTGGGCTCATTCCTCTGCTCATCATCATCATCATCATCATCATCATTGCGCCGCAAATGATCGCACAAGATCATCGGCAAGACTGTTCTCGCTTTGACTTGCTTGGTCTACTAGTCGTACATTTTTTTTCGCAAGAAGTTCTACAATTAGTCTACCAGCAAGTGGACGAAGTAGAACTTTCTTCTACAAGTGCCAACTCTGCAAAGTAGCTGCTTCCTCTGGAAAAAAAATCCAAAAAATTTCTGCGCATTTTTCCTGAGAGAGAAGCTGGATATCGCAGACTTCTTTCTCGCAGGTCATTGAAGATTTATGGTAATGAAGATACGACGCTGATTTGCATTTAGAGTGGCTTCCGCCTGAGCAGCCCTGCGCGTCAAGCACCGGATCGGCAGAAATTACGATTGGACCGCGGTAGAACAAAATTACTCTGATTGAAGACCGATTGTTCTCTCAGTCATGGTCCGAATTGTGCAGAGTAGTCCAAGGCGACCAAAGCAAACCCGGCCGGCAACTTAGGCCCACGAGCTGCAACCGAAGCAGCGCCAGCCCGGACGGAACAGTTGCTGAAGACCGATTGTTCTCTCAGTCATGTGATAATGAGTAATCTGTAATCTTCAGCAAGCCTCTCGATGGCGGTGGCCATGCATGCATATACTGCCGTAGAGATGATCATGACTATCTGCGTCATGCTGATGTTCTTGCTCTTCAACAACAACTACAACTTTTAGTCATATAAAACAAATTCATCCCCTACTGCTGGGTCATTTCCAGAATAAAAAATGCTAAGTACAAGCACCATAAAAGCCACCTGCATCCATGTTTCAAATTTCCCAGAAAGAGCCAAAAAAATTTTTCGTGATTCTTCATGAAGAGGAGCTTCTTAATCTTCATCTTCATTCATTCATTGGCGAACCACGTGACAACTTACGCTCCCCCGGAGCATTACACAAAATGAAAAACACGAATCAAGAATTCCTAAATCTGTATAGCATCAACCGCGAAGTGAGATCCGACGGCCTCGTAGATGAAAAAGCTAACAATGGCCATCCTTTATGAACCAAACTATTGCTAATCAAAGAATAGCACCGCTATTGGTCTTTCTAATCCTAATTCTAAATGCGGACACGAATGCTAATCATAAATACTAATCAGTTGTACCGTAAGAAACCACAAGGCTTAGCCCCTCGATGGACACAACAAGCACAACAGGTCTAGAAACGAATGCTAATCAATGCCGTGAAACGCAGTAGCATGTTATACCTTGCTCGTGGTGGTACTCATGTTATTCGTAACGATTTACTTGTCAGTTTCCTCTTTGGTATCTCATCAACATCAACATTCTTTTTTGTCTAAAACATGGGTTCAACGAATTCTACTTCGGTGAAAAAGTGAAAGTCCTTTTTGTCTCATGTAAAAGTCTTGATGATGGTCCTGTTTTTACTGCGGAGAAAGTACGTATTTCTCTTGACGAGAAAAGTGGCCCCCTCTGATTTGCTGATTATTTCATTGTAAATTCATCGCCTATAGGACTTTGATGTTCCTAATCTCTCCAACTCTTTGATGATGTTCCTGCTGTCTTTAAGTGATTCCATTGTAAATTCATTGGCATAATAATTGGCGTGCGCATGCAGCCTACAAAAGATTAAGATGCTGTCTGCGACGTACTTATAAAAAAGTTCTTTCAACATCTTCTAAGTACTCATTCTCAAGATTTATTGTTACTCTTCAGGTGCAGTCGACTGCGTTAATTTCTCCTCCTCCCCTCCCATACTGGACTTCGCGTCGCTCCTGCTATGTTGCCCCTGGAATTTCCCAGCTATTATTCAGCATAAGCCGACATCGAATCGCAGGAATGAGATCTTAGAACAAAAGAACCCGAGCATAAGCAGGACTAAACAAGATAGAAGTAGAACTACCAACATGGGATATTATTATTAAGTACTTACTATAACAAGAGCTAGTAGATCTTGATCTTCATTGTGTGACTATTCTTCCACTACAAGGAGTACATCCACCTCAATATCTCAACTTCTCTACTGATGTGTTAGATAGGATGGGATCAATAACCTGTCTTCTAATAACTCCAACTCTTCCTCATCAAGATTGAGTCTGCAGTTCTACATCATGAAAGAAGTGATTAGAAAGAGTAGAAATGTGTACGTTCTTCTTAACCGCATTACATAGTTCTTGCTCTAAGATGTTCTTGCTCTCAGAGAGTAAGAGTCTTCGATACCCTGAAATAAGCAAGTATCTGAAGTAAGGGAAAGCAAGTAACAATAATCGGAATGACCGAGAAGACACTGAACCTGAAGCAGGACCAGTTGCACTACCACTAGCCTGATGACGAGAGAACCTCTCCTACTTCAGTCTCCACTGACTCGGCTATTTTTTCTAGTAAACGAGTTGTCCGTCGAAGTCCCTGATATTCTGGTGATTTTCTAGTGATAAATTTCGAATATCATCATTTTCTCTAGAACTACTAGGTTCTTCATAATATTCATCCTTCGTCTTGCCGCTCCAATATTGGACTAAGACGAGGTAGTCCTTCGGGTCCCCGCTCTCGCTAGGCACGACGCCTTTCACACTCCCTTGCTCCGGTTGAGGATCGTTCAACTCGCGGAAGACCAAAGCTTAGAACAGGAAGTTCATATGTCATGTCAGGATGCCTCGTAGGAGTTGGTCTGTATATCAATGAAGCAGGATCTCTCTCTTTGGATTGTAGTTTACCCTCACATTTACCAGAACCAGGTTGTACTGTACGAGAATTTGGATGGTAGGGCTAGAATATGGAGGTTAAGGAAGGACACAAGGATGAGCAAGAGGAGCCTTGCCAATAGTATGAGCAACATGATAGGAAATCCTACAACTGAGTTGTAATAGACTCAATGATGAAAAACTGACTCTGTGCAGAGCTGTGTTTTCGGATGGTGCGTATACTTACACAGGTATGTATAGTCCTCATTACCTTACGACCCCTTATTTTGTCTTCTATCATCTAAGATCATCGATCCATAGCAGACGTTATCCTTCTCTTGCAATTGCCGTTCGGTCTGTGCTAATTCCGAAACGCCCATCGACTTGCGGAGAAGGTGGAGAGTTTTCTCTCGTTTCCGAACGTCCGCCATTTGGAATTAGAAGTTGTAATAGAAGTGGTGAAAGCAGGACTATTCTACTTCTTACTGCGCCAAAGGACTATTCTTCTTACTGTGAAAGTGAATACAACTACTAAGCTCAACACAGATTCAGATGAAAGGTGGAGAACTACTTTAACTTTGCTCTTCTACCTAAACCTATGATGTTTATTACTATTATAAGCAGGAAGGTGGTGCACGTGCATTGAAGGTGGATGTGCATCCACTTTCTGTTTGTCTTTCTCTTTCATCCTGAAAAAAAGTGTCCGTGGTACCTAGCTAGGAAGACCCTGTCACTTGCTTTATGAACATGCAGAGCGATTGTTCCAGGTTCGAAAATTTGGCACAATTTGGCGAAAAATTTGGATGAAAGTAGCTTTTTCGGTAGTTTTCTGTGGTTCAGAAGTTGGTGCGAAAAATTAGTTTTTTAGGATATGAGTACTTGTGTAGGAAGTCTTTTTTTTACATGCTTGCCGTACCCCACTGGGTTCGGGTTTTTCACGAATAACAACAGGCACAGCGAAAGTTCGAAACTGCGGATAGTGGAGCAGGGTCGAAAAGCTGGATAGGTGGAATGTCGGGACAGTCGTGAAAATCTAGAAAACGCCGGCTCTGCTATGCGTTGGATAAACGCAACTTCTGGCCGTTGTAGACTTGTGCGCGACAGTGTGTGCCTGTGTTCTCCTGCGTTGCGTGGTGAAGTGAGAAATCTCCGGAGCACCTCTACGGCCTTGGTTTGCGACTTTTGCGGCGTTAACATCGTGCGAGTTTTATGGTAGTGATGGGAGGCAAAAACCCTATAGGTACGTCCCCCACGCGGGCGCCTCCTGGATCGTGAAGCAGCCAACACGGGGCAACTTGTTCGCGTTGGTTGCTTCATGAACTAACAGAAGCAATTCTCCTGATTCTTATAGGCCGGGTTGCGGTAGTGGTATGAGGTTGAGAGTTGGGGCGAGTAGATGATGTAAGCTGAGGGTTGAGAGATGGAATCATCGGAGAAATAGCCTGCCAGTCAGTCTCGAGTGAAGTGCGCACTTCTTCGTTTACATCGTGAATCTTGATCGACAGCGTCGGCGTGCAGTGCTTATTCGATCCTGGTGGTTCTTCGTTGTCGTGATCCTGGTGGTGTTTCGTAGGAGATTTAGTGGAGAGCTGAGTTGCCGTTATGGCTTGTTTCGGGTCATCTTTTCCGTCTCAGTCGCCTACTGTGCTCCGTCTCAGTCTCTTATCTTCAAGGGGAAAACTTTCGGGCATTTCGTCTGTGGCTTGTTTCGTGTCATGTTTTCCGCCTCAGTCGCCTATTGTGCTCCGTCTCAGTCTCTTATCTTCAGGGAGAAAATGCGCGGGCTTTTCGTCTGTGGCTTGTTTCGGGTCATCTTTTCCGTCTCAGTCGCCTACTGTGCTCCGTCTCAGTCTCTTATCTTCAAGGGGAAAACTTTCGGGCTTTTCGTCTGTGGCTTGTTTCGTGTCATGTTTTCCGTCTCAGTCGCCTATTGTGCTCCGTCTCAGTCTCTTATCTTCAGGGAGAAAATGCGCGGGCTTTTCGTCTGTGGCTTGTTTCGGGTCATCTTTTCCGTCTCAGTCGCCTACTGTGCTCCGTCTCAGTCTCTTATCTTCAAGGGGAAAACTTTCGGGCTTTTCGTCTGTGGCTTGTTTCGTGTCATGTTTTCCGTCTCAGTCGCCTATTGTGCTCCGTCTCAGTCTCTTATCTTCAGGGAGAAAATGCGCGGGCTTTTCGTCTGTGGCTTGTTTCGGGTCATCTTTTCCGTCTCAGTCGCCTACTGTGCTCCGTCTCAGTCTCTTATCTTCAAGGGGAAAACTTTCGGGCTTTTCGTCTGTGGCTTGTTTCGTGTCATGTTTTCCGTCTCAGTCGCCTATTGTGCTCCGTCTCAGTCTCTTATCTTCAGGGAGAAAATGCGCGGGCTTTTCGTCTGTGGCTTGTTTCGGGTCATCTTTTCCGTCTCAGTCGCCTACTGTGCTCCGTCTCAGTCTCTTATCTTCAAGGGGAAAACTTTCGGGCTTTTCGTCTGTGGCTTGTTTCGTGTCATGTTTTCCGTCTCAGTCGCCTATTGTGCTCCGTCTCAGTCTCTTATCTTCAGGGAGAAAATGCGCGGGCTTTTCGTCTGTGGCTTGTTTCGGGTCATCTTTTCCGTCTCAGTCGCCTACTGTGCTCCGTCCTGGGCTTGGTAACCTGATTCCAAGAGATCAAGATCAGGGCGCGCGTTTCTCTAGTTTTTGATGTTTCCTGACTGTCTTGACGAGTGGAAGAGGTGAGCTTACTGCAGCGAAGTGACGGGTCCACCATCTGAATTTTTACCGAGGAGTCAGAGAGTCGAGATTGCAACTTTTTCATCGAGTCTGATGCGTTCGCGTTTTTTTGGTTTTTGGTAGCGCTCCAGCGATGTCGGGACTTGCGGTTCTTTGCCACGGTTTGCGACTCGCGAATTCATCACTCTGATCACCTATGGGCTGTTGTGTGATTTTCGAACTCATGGTAGCGTCTTGCTGTTTGCAGGAATTGGGAACTTTGTTAAGGTTCTGCGAAGTCCAGACTCAGGACTTCGCCTAGAGTGTTTTAGCATTAAGAATTTACTTCAATTTTTAGTTTTTCACCAAATTCCCAGCCAAATTGTGCCAAATTTTTGTCCCCACATTCAATCACTCTGTATGTTTGTAATTGCTGCATTATGTCGTGGCACCTACCAAGAAAAAAGAGAACCTTTCTCTATCATCATGAATAAGTGTCGTGGTACCTAAGTCAAAGCGTCGTGGTACCTAGCTAGAAAAACCCTCTTTCATCTTATATCAATCATGTCGTATTGTATAAAGCCTTAATTTAAGAGGGTGTCTCCGCCTCCATTCCTCCAACCGAGCCAGATCTTGCAATCTAAATCTGGTGTCAAAAAAGCAGGCAAATAAGATTCAAATCTCATCTCATGTAAGTAAACATTGGCCTTGTTGATGTGGATCAAGAAGTGTAGCAGGAAGTGTAGCCTATGTATTGATTCTGAAACATGGAAACACGTACTTGAAGATGTTGTAGTACCTCGTATGATTTTTCCGAGAGCCACGTCGTCGTCTTTGCCTACTGCCCTAAAGGCTTGCTGCTTCTTAGAACAGCAAAATATTTACATGGCAACATGAGTTTGTGGTGCTGTGCCTTCCCATCTAATGATTTCGACATGACTTCGAAACTCAGACTACTTACTTAAATACACGATTGAATTCACCCTCGTTAGTCTCTGATAATACTCAGCAGGTCGTTGACATTGACGTTGCCTCAATTACTGTTCGCAGTAGTTTCACGCTACAAGTAAATGTCCTGTCTTTTTTTGACCCTGTCAGTCGCAGTTCAACAAGTAAATTGGAATCATCCGCTTCATAATTTTTAGCTCCTTGCCTTCCTCTGTTTCAGGGACTGTGGTTGCTATACCCGAGTCAGAACTTACTCTCTTCGGCGGCGACGTACTTGAGCGTTCTGACTGTTGCTCCGACGGCCTCTCGCTGCCTTCTACAACTTAGAGGACGATTAAACGTCTCTCTTGAGATCATGCTGTTCATCATGCTATCGGTTCTTAGTACATGATCAACATGGGTACGCCCTGTGCTAGTACGTGGTGGTTGCTGTTACTACTTTGTTTTTGTTGCTCGACGACGGTAAACCTAGTACGTGGTGGTTAATATTGTTGATGGTTGTCACGTGATGCTGTTGCTAATTATGGTGGCTGTTCATGTTCCTATTGTTCCTCAGCATAAGAGTCAGTGATCTCCTCGCCTTCTAGCAGATTCGCTATCTTGAATTTATGCCCTGCAGCGGCTTTTTCTGCTTTTCTTGTCATCATCGTGCTCTCACGGGATGGAGCGACTGGCAAATCTCGTAACCTGATTTGAGAATGTTGCCGCGTTCATGGATATTGAAGGCGAAACACTATCACTAATACGAGAAAGAAGGAAGAAAAAACTTGATTATCTCACCAGCCGAATATCCAATAACATCGAGATACTCATGATCGTTCTTCCATCTTATTCTCTTACTTATTTTTCTGCCTCAAATAAATATAAAAAAATGGTGCGCTGAGTCAACTTTTGTTCCAGCACTTCTGGGGGCTTGCTAATCATACATAATATGGCCATTGTAATAGTACCACATAGAGTCTCCTATGAGCCGGTCCTTGTCTAGCGCATTCTGGGCATCCTCCTGCTGTTATTAGAGGGAGAATGTCTAGTGATAACATAAACTTTACTCCGATTATTTCGTACACTCGATAAACTGAAATACGCGAGTAATCTAGAAGATGACAATCTCAGATACTCGGTTATTGTATTTGTTACTCGCTGCCTTACTTTCACTTTTCGCATAAACTACCTAGCCATAATCTTTGTTTAGTTTATCGAGCTTCTGCATTAGCCTTTCTCGCTCATGCTGAATCCGTGTCAGCGTAGATGCCTGGGGAGACCCGCCGCCTGACCCTGAAGGAGAAACAGGCTGCTCCTCAATGTCACCTAAATGAGTTTTGTTATCAAAGTAGGTAAACAGCAGTGATTTTTTCTCACTATCAGCATTAAAGATGATGGTCTTGTTGAGTAGTTCTTTTCCTAAAGAAGTGACTGAACATCTACGAATTGCTAGAACATACAGTACCTCCTGTTATGTGCCTCCCATTTGCTAATTTCGTTTTTTGTTCCAGCGTTTCGCTGTGTTTCCGCCAGTACTCTACTTGTCCCTGTAATTCCGTGACCCGTTCTTCCAGAGGTTTCTGTCGAGCGGTCATGTCGTTCGCCTGATAAAGTAGTAGTTGTCGACGAAAAAATACTTCCAGTAGAGCTACTTTCAAGAATTTGGTTTACAAGATTGAACCTGAGGGAGGTCGTAGGACTTTCTCCTTAGAAAGACAAAGATAATACTCGAAACTGCACAGTCTGGAGCTCTTCCTTTAGCTTAGCTTCGCCTGCTTTTAACCGGTCGACGTCCTTCTTGTTCTCCAGCTGCGCTTAGAAGAATATCAGTATCAGGATCAGATGGGCATGGGCAAACTCAATATGAACAACAAGGACAAGAAAGGGATGGAAAGTGAACATCTTCAACGAGGATGTATGAGGATGATGATGAAAACGAAGATGGTAAAAATGCTAATGCATGCTGATGATAAGCCCTTCTAAACCGACAATGATGATCGCGAAGATCTGAGAACTCTCAATCCCTTCTGTGCTCTTAACATTGCTGCTCCATTTTTTTGTACATGCGATGCAATTCTTCATTCTCCGCCTCCAAATTTCCGTGGCCACTTGCTGCACTGAGACGTCCTTTGACAACCCGAACCTCTTGCCGTAACTGCTCGTTCTCGCTTGCGCTTAGAGGTGTACCAAATAAACAGAGAAGGGTGGAAGCTGTTGCTCTTGCTCCTCGCATTCTGGAATATATTTACTTCTTTCTAGTTCATTGCAACGTATAGTCTCGTATTTCGATCTAGATACCAAGAAAGACAAGCCAGCCACTCCTTCATTCACTTACATCACCGATTCTTCTAGCTGCTTAATCCCGTAACCAATCAAAAATTCAAGAAATCAGACCCACCATAACCTGAGGTCTGCTAGCACTTTATTATCACCCTGGATCACCGAGATCTGATCCTGGTACCCGTCTATTTCAAGCACGAGTCGATTCACCGTACTCCGTTGCTTCTCTTAGACGAGGTGAGTGTCATCTCTGGAGAATTACAACACTCGTATCTTCGTGACAGGGACAGGGTACTATTATGGCTGAAAAAAACAACCTAGCTGGTGAGTGCCAAAGCCTATAGAGGTTGAAGTGTCTCTGGAAAACATTCAAACTGCAAACAGCATTCATCACCAGGTACCTACTAGAGTTAACGTCTAGAAGGCTCACAGCCTTTCATTTCTCATCGAATTTCTCTTTCGCGCCCCCTCGTTGAGTTCAATAGGAATTTTTGTCCCTCCGGTCTTATTCTGGTATGTCATGAGTCAGTGACTCTTTCATTCTAGTATCCCAAAGTCTGAAATTATAGAACCAGTCATAATTTTCTCCTTCTGCGCGTTGTCTTTCTACTTTGGCTAGAAGGCTGTCCCTCTCCCGCACTAATTCGTCGACCGCTACTGAAGAGGAAGAGCCTCTTGGAGGTGGACTAAAGGCGGTATTTTTAGAAGGCGACCTTGAATAAGATTCTGAATCAACAAGTGTTGCTTTAAGGAGGTCACGAGTGATGGGGATGGCGTCGAAGTCAAAAAAATTAATGTTCTTGTTGTGCGAGGCGAAAGCACGCACAACAAGGTTTCCGTGACGTAGCGGCCAGTGATCGAATGCTCGGGTATGGAGAACGAAGCCAAAAAAACTAAGTTCCCTGCTTCGCATCCCATCAGTTAGTACAATAACTGCACTATCTAAAAAGAGGTTACAATATTAATATAGTACTGCTTGACGAAGGAGACTGTCACACTTTTCATCCTGACCATAATGCTGCTACTGGCAGAAGAGGTTCCGACTTGTATTTTAGACGTTTTTGACGAGGATTTCCTTGGCGGACTGGGAGAGGATTTTGGACTTCGAGATGACCCAAAACCAACTGCATTCCCTAGAGCACTGAACATTAGAACAGTGGCACTATAGCATATTAAGAGCCAAAGCTACTAAATGGATAGATACTGATGAGAGACACGATCTGGATCTGATTACGTACTTTGCAATCTTCTTCATCACCTACTCACTAGCGCTAGCCTGATAGCTTTAGCTTCTATTAATTTGCTTAGTCTCTAAATCAAACTAGAGAGAGACTGACTAGGAATAAAGAAGGAAGATGAAGTCTCTAAAATCTTAAAAGCAATCCCTGCGTCGTTTTACGCGGTGCCTCTACCATAGGCTCACTAGAACTGCTTGACGTTGTATCGTCTCCGGGTGACGCAAAACTTGATGAGTCTTGCTGCAACTGTCAACGATTGCATTGTTGTGGTGAAAGAACTTTTGTAGATCATATAATCATATTTTTCATCCATGCTCCAGACGTTTGAATCTAAATATGAAAACAGAGGCACGGGATGCTGTAAGTACTATCGCAATTACAACAAGCGATACCTTCGTTCTTCTCTGCAATACCGATATCAAAAACAGAAGTAAAAGTATCTATAAATACCGTATCTCGTCCGCGCACGCCTTTACTACTCGTCGCTGCATCCGGTGACATATACCGATCCTCAGTGGGTTTATTAGAGGATATCATGATAGTGATGCAACTTTTCCTCTTCTTACTACCTAGTGTTCGTAGCTCCAACTTGAAAACATTGTTCTTGAAACGAGCAGAGTAAAAAAAATTAATATATATGGTTATATCTTAACCTTACTCGTGGCTGCAAGAAGCTCTGCATTCAGAGCCTCTGCTGCGTCCTTTTCTTGTAAGAGCCTCTGCTTCTCTTCTTCAAGCACACCCTTCTTTAGAGCTACCGCGTCGCATCCTTGAGTTCATCCCTGAGCCCTTTTCCCCTTGGGAAAGCAGCCAAGGATGACATTAAGGATATGCTTCAGCGATAGCCTTAACTTCTCACGCTTCCAGTCCTTTCTCTCTTGCTCATGCTGCCTTGACTCGTCAACCATCTCACCAAGCCGTCTCTCATACTGGCTATTCGCAACCTGAGAAGTCGTCCTAGAAGTTCTAGAACTACAAGGCTAGGCTAGAACTAGAGCTACTGCTTAGCTTTATTCATCGCGACTTCACTGACTGGTCCCGGTACTTCTCTGTCTTGAAACACTTGTTTATCATGATATGAGGTGCGGTGAATCAGTACTCCCTATCCTTTAGGTTTCCAATATAATAAATTCCAGTGGAGCCCTAATTATACAAATTAGAAAAAAGAAGTAAATGTAAATGCAATCGATTGTCCAATGTAATCAAAATTGATGAGTGGTGGAGGTCACCGGAATATATTAGTACCTTCTCCGTATTACAACTCTGAGTTGCTCTCTCGAGTTTGTTCTGCAGGTCTGATATTTGTCTGTCTTGCAGTTGTATTTAGACCTTGCCGAAATCGATCTTGGTGAGCATCTTCTTGGTGCCTCTTTCGTTCCTTTCAAAAACAGGAAGGCTAAGTAAGATGCCTGTGAAGATGGATTTCCTCAAGCCTTAATGTATCCTCTCTTGGCTGGAGACGTCCTTAGATGCCCATTGCATATCGTAGGCGGTCGCCTTTGATGTATATGTTGGTGTGGTAAAATCAAGAGGAATTTAATAAATCGTCCAATACAACTTGTTGTTCCAAATGATCCGATGTTGAAAAAAGTTACTTATACCTGTTCTTCCTTTTCTCTTCTAAGGGCATCCTTCTCCTGACCGAGGCGGCCGATGACTCTACGCGCATCCGCCAGATCTCGCTCGAGCTCCTCATTTCTGCCGCTTGCAATTAGCGAAGATATACCCAAATCTATTTTTGACTAGAAGTACAACTCTGCTGTGGGTCTGGGTTCCTCCTCCTCGTCCTTCACGTTCACACCAAAGACCTCAACGTGGAACAATGAAAATTTATTACTAGAAGTTTATAGTCCAAGTTGTGCTTAGTGATAGTACAAAGTTCTCAGAAGCAATGAAGAATGACTGATTTCGACTACTATAGCAACCAAGAAGACCATAACAATTCTTCAATCAGATCACGATGGTGCATGTCTGTTTCCTTCAAAGCACGTCTTTCGTTTTCTATCTGTGCATCTCGCTCAGCCACTAATGCCGTATATTTCTTCGCCTGTAGGAGTTTATAGATTGTGGTCGACCGGCTCCTGTAGGTGTTTATCATTTAGATGCTGAAGAGCGGCATCTTCAAGATACATAGATGTTGAGGGTCAATCTTGAACCACCTGCTCATGACCAGATTTCTCTGTGACAAGATAAAACCTGCTGCATTGATGAATTTCAGGATAGAAAAATGTTAAACAGAACAGAGAGGGTTAAGTACTTAACTGAATTCGTTGAGATAGAAAGGATGATGCCTCGAGCATCTTAATTACTATCAGCAGCAAAGGGGCTTGTATCAGTGTCTCCAACTGCCCTCTTGCAAACGTCAGCATGTATACAAACATTTTTTCAAGATACAAACCACATTTCGTTATTAATGAGAAAGGTAGTAAGAAAGAAGAATCGAACTTCTTTGGTACACCGAGAAAATCAAAACTTGAGGACGAGAAGTCGTAGAATCAACGCGAACAACATGATTCTGAAACTTCTGACTACTTAGATCGACTATGAGGGCAAAAAAAGTCTGCAAATCTCTAATCGATTGAGTGCGTCTTTAATGTTTTCCAGCAATTATGATGAGTAAATATGCTGCAGTGGTAACGCAAGCAGTTGCAATTGATGCAGCTGCAGCTGTTAGAAAGTGCAGCCGCAGCTACTCGCACACACGCCTCTCCAAACTTTGTGAAGTGTGACGACGCTGCGACACAAAAATCTTTTTTGACTTTCGCACGCACAAGCTTAGATAAAAAAAAAAGCGATGAGGACAAACGAGGAAAGCAAACCTGCTGGACTACTAAGAGTCAGTCTAAAGGCCAAAAACTTCTATCTAAGTTTTCTTCATCATTCAGTCAAACATGATTCTACCTGCGCCACTAGTTGCAATTCGAGGTCCTCTGCGGAACGAAACCTATGCCCCACTACAGGACCGGTGCTCGGACGTCGAGGAGGAGGAAGATTCGCTAAAAGATCGGACGATGGTCTGGTACTCGAAGAATGTCGACGGAGGATATGAACGAGTACGAGGGTGAGGAGGAGGTGGTGGAATATTCAACATTGCTCTTGTGATAGATTATGTGATTTCGTTTTGCACCAGACGACTCCTCTTACAAAATAATATATGGTGTGAGGAAAAAATTTTACAGTGAAAAGACGTTGAAAATCTATGGAACTACAGATCCTGCACTGCAGGACCTGCAGGATATGATAAGATAAGATAGTGGTCGCAGATGCGGTTTTTCATACCCAAGAAATATTCATACTTATAACAACATATTTATCAATGATGCAGTAAAGTAAGTTACGAGTACTAGTTGTACTTGTGCTAGAAGTAGTAGATGCTAATACAGCGACTCCGGCAACTCCTAGACGAAATAAGCTTGTCACCCTTCATAAGGTGGTAAATCAGCGTAGCCCCCTAATCCTTGCGTGCTAGTGGTCTTTTCCCACTGCGCTATGAGGCAAGAAATACCGCTCATTCGCTCATCTCAGAAGTTCTACGTAAACTTCTTGCTCTGTATGACCAGTAAGACCAGTCGTGGTTTGTAGTCGCTACGGCAAAGTGTTGTGGTCGTTACTAGTAAGCGGAATGCGCGAAGTCTCACTTTGATGACGATGTTCACTTGGAAGATTCAATTTCTGCACAGTACGTAGTATGATTGCGAGACAGAGATCCTGCCCTCGTCTGCTGCACACGTCTATATCGTTTTTGAGGTTGAACTCTTTCGCTAAGCTACTTACTAGCTTCCCACAGTAGTCGATACAGGGTGAAACGTCACTGGTCGAGAAACGATGTCGGAGTAGCTTTTAGTTACAGCGTGAGTGTGAAGAGACATGAACAAGGAAAATGAATGTTCTCGAAGAGCTTGGTGCTTCGGAGAGCGTCGGGATCGACGAGGATGCCGTTCAACGACTGCTCGATACAACGTTGACGCTGTCCTAGGTGTCGTTGAAATAGTCAAGGACACTGAAGTACTTGGGCGCTCAGGAGGACCTCGTTGAACTAGGTGAAACGGGTCTGGTTGAAAAAGTCGAGGACGTTGTAGTCGGGGTGGACCTTGTTTAAGTAGTCGAGGTGTTCAACTGCGTAGTTGAGGTAGTCGTGAGTGACGTGGTCTTCGACTAGGCCTGAATCGAAGATAGAACTTCGTTGTCCTGCGTTCTCCTTGTTGTGGAAGATAAAGCAAAAAGGCAAAGCAAAAACTGTGTTGATTCAAACTCTACAACTACAATGTCAATGAATTGCGCGAGTTGCTCGTCTGACTCGTAATGACAATTGTTCACCTCGAAGCGTCTTCGGTGGTCACCAGGAGTCGCACGAAGATTCACTGCATTCAACTACACAGGTCCTCACGTTGTAATTCACTACAACGTGGTCACAGCAGATTCCTTGTCCACGAATGTAAGGCGTAAAAGCGCTGTGTCGAGGGTCACCAGGCTGCTCTCAGAGAAACATTTATTTTTGCAAATAGAGTTCGTTGGTCTTGCTCATCGATTATGCAAAAATGTCATCAATTTCTCGCAGCTATAGATGAAGACAATCTCTAACTCTGCCTATTCAATCTTTCCTCACTTAAAAAGGCCAAAAGTCGAGTTACATTCACAATTATCTGTAGTCGTCTATTCTTCTGATCTTTCTATATCGGTAGCGGTACTAGAAGCTGCTATGTTACTTCATCACTGCTCACAACATTTTTACCATGTGTGCGATCGTCTTCATCCCGCTGCCAGGATGAAACTCAGGCTACTTTTACTACAGATTGACAGTTGTAAATATCTATGTGATCGAGTCCTCACTAGCACGTAAATCCTCTTACTTTCTCTTTTAGGTCATGTGTAGTATGCCCCTGGTATTACTGTTCATAGCAGCACCCGTACTCTTTTACACCAAGCTGCACGTAGAAGGACATGGACATTGGCGTGAATACTTTCTCATTGTTGAATGTTCTTCTTGACGCATTATCTTCAACACTTTCAGTCACGGTTCGCTCGATAGAAGTTTTTATGACGTACTCGATCAGAGGACGATGAACATCATGGACAGTGACAGGGGACTCCCGTCTCAAATTAGCATCGGAGACCTGCTCCAGAGCCAGAGGAGGAGGACTTGGACTTCTTAAAATGCTTCATATTCAGATATATGCCACGCGGTCTCTAGCGAGACCAGCAGCTGTTAGGAATGGTCGTAGTCAATATGGGATGATATGAGGGGAAGGTGGGATGAGGAGGAGGAGAAGGACAAAGTCAAGGAGTCAGTGGAATAACAACCACAAGAAGGGGGCGCAAGCGAGTGTTCACACGGTCACAGTATCATCAAGTGTAAGGAGACACAAGACTAAAAAGTTGTCACCAGGAAAATTGATTGAAGTTGTAGTGTCGTTGATGACCACAAAGCTAGGAGTGTCTAGCAAGGGCAGCACCGCGTACTGATGATATTTTTCCCACGCACTTGCTTCCCTACTTAGAGGGAATGGCGTGATTCACAGTTTTCTGCCTTCCAGGTAACTTACTTGTGTGAATTCATCATCGCCACAGACTGCTTTAGCAACTCGCACCCGCAGTCTCCACACACGAGCTAGACAACGTTTCATCTTCGTTATTGCCTCCTTGATGCGCGCATCCTAGGAAATGCCACGACTCCTTGTTCTAGCTTACTCCAGCATGACCCGCGTGATGATGCTTGCTTCTATGCTGCGCCAGCAACAACTTCTTGTGCTTCATCCATGCTGCTCCGGTAACACTTTCTTCAGAATCAGAAAGTAGACCACCGTATGTTGACCTTTTGTTAGCGCCTTATCATGAACATGATCTTCCCTGCTGAGCTCCTCATCTACGCTCCAGCAACAACTTCAATAATCTTTTCTCAGCCGCACTTCCTCTATGCTCCAGCAACAACTTCAATAATCTTTTCTTGCCCAAGTATTCCCAATACAACAACTTTGAACTCTTCTCCTGCTTCAAAACGCTTCTTCACTTCCTCCCCCACCTCATCGAGTAGTCCGTTCTCGCCTTTGGGCAGGTTCAAATCATCCTTCATCTCGCCTTGTGCTGTGAGGACAGAGACAGAGCTGCCATCTACGTCCATCACACTGAACTCCTCTTTCGTGACGTCCGGTACCTGTGCGCAGTATTCGACGTGTCTACAGTCTATTCATCCAGATAATTTCAATTCCTGAATCATTCTAAAAATCTCAGTAGCAGTACCCAACACACGATTACAGGTATCCTCGGAAAATCGATTGTAGCCCTAGACGAATAAGTACCTGCACTTGACTTCCGGTTCCCGCAGTAAGATTTAACGTGTCTTCGTACTTCTTCCCCGTGAACACGTGCGTGCCTACTATGTGTAACCTATCGTTCCCTTTCACAGTCGCCTTTGGCTTTTGATTCAACTCCAGAATCTTACAGGGTTGCCCCTTGATCATAACATAGCCCGGCTTTTTCAAGCTAGAAGCCGCTACCGTGGGAATGTCATCACTCGCAGCGCCCATCTTTTCAAAGGGAAGTCAAAGTCAATCAACTGCAAAAATTGATTCACGACAACATAATCATGATTGCCTCTGGGGGATACAACAGTCGTGCAGCTGCAAGAAGACATTCACATTTATAAGTACCATCGTTGAAGAGGTGCAACAAAAGGAAAAGTATCGATGTGTTTCCTCTAACTATGGTTACCAATACGAGGAGCATACATCAATCTTATTCTCTTTCTCAATGATCAATCTCATAAAATGTTGCAGAAGGATCTACTGCGTCGGTCTCAAAAATAAAAGTACTAGGATCTGACTTTGATCTGAGCTTGTCGTTCTTGATCTGATCCTAAATATCACACCGCTGCTCCAGCAATGGAATCAGCACCAGCGCAGAATGATGATCCTCTTCAGCCTGTTCTTGATCTTCACGTTGCAACCTCAAGCTCAACCAGCTCGATAACTACAGAACAGCAGAAGCCACCGCCTACATGGACGACTCGTGACAGTCGTCGACGTGTCCTCACGCCAACGCCTTCATCCATGCGTTGGCTTTCTTCATCAATTTCTTTGTTTTTGTTGTGCTGCACTCCTGGTTTCACAAAATTATTCGCTTCTCAATGATCATGTGTCATTTTTTCTAGAAGTCATTTCCCCATGTGCAGATACACTTGTCCCAATGATGATTGACAGTTACAGATAGACATTGTCGTTTGATTGTTTGCGATCGAAAAAACTATTCCTATTTCCCAAAGCATCTGCTCGTGCTGCTTGCGGCAGCTGATACATAAGTAATTTCTCACTAAGTTTGTTTCTGTTTGTCTCTACTTTATTCTCATGAACATGATCACACTACATTTTGTCATCGCTAGACGACACATCAAGTTGTGATACATTTTGTCATCGCTAGACGACACATCAAGTTGTGCTAGATTTTGTCATTGCCAGATGACATAAGAAAGCCCTTGAGAAAATTTCTGGCTCGTTGCGCGTAGTTTTCTATTTCTGCTGTGATGTATTCTTCAGCTTCCTCTGTCTGTGAAGAATGGACCTTCTGTCTCTGTGTCATATTAACAAATTCGAGCTGCGTGTCTCCGCGAGGTCCAGCACAGTCTGAAAGAACGCCATGAACATGATCCTTGCAATGCCTACTAGTACTCGATTTCCTGATGAACCGCAGTTCTAGGATCTTATCCAGGGCTCGAATTTGCTTCAATTCGTACCCAACACCAGCACTGCGACGCGAAGAGGCCAGCAACAGACCACGATCTAAGTCTAGCAAACCTCCTTTCTCTGATGGCTGCTGTGATGTTAGACAAAGATCGAATCCCACTGGCAGGAGTTGTCAGAGATCATGGAAGATATTTCCAAGCTTACAAGTAAAGTAGAGTGATCTCAAACAACAAAATTGGAGAATCGATCCTACGCTTCTGCTCTACTCCGCCAGCGACATAAAAACAACGACAATCTACTTCACTGAAACATTATCCTTGTCATGTGAACGCTCCGTGTTGCGCTTGCGATCCTTACTTGATCATCTAAGGAGCTGTATAATCACGTAGAAGTTCTAGAGAACTAGCACCTAACATTATCATTTCAACGCCTTAAGTAGACTGGTCGCCCATCATCAAAAACCCGCCGCGGGTCGCTACCTCCTCTGCACAAGGCATGTTCTAACGCATCACACCCCAAGACGTCGCGCAAGTGGTATAGACTCAAGACAACGACATTGAGCGATGCGAGGTCTCGTGAATGCGTGGTAATTAGAAGAGGCAGGTGTTGCGGGTTTCTTCGGAATCGAAACTACTACTACCAAAATAAGAAATCTACCAATATCATGAATTCGAATCCTGCTGTATGAAATTGAACAATCAAGAGACTCTTTAAATTGTTGATAGACACGACTTTGGCCTTAATGGAAGAGACGCCAAGAGATCAACACAATCCCGAACTAGTTCCACGCCACGTGCTCCGAACGCTGGCACCCGACTGAGGGACTCAAGGAATAGTTAGAGGCTGCGCCATTGCATTCTTCAGACCATCCCTTGACTTGTTTCCCGGTAGGAAAAAAACAAGTCAAGAATGTTAGGGGAAATTGCAATGTTGGCAACTCTTAAAGTAAAGCCACGTCACGGAAAGGAGCATTCAACTGGAGCTGCCGAAGCTGGGCTCGAAAACGAGGGAGTCAGGCTTAGAAGTCGTACCATAGTCGTTCTATCATGTTCCTGCTCTACAACGCAAAGCTGACTTGAATTATCATAGTCGTTCTATCATGTTCCACCTGCTCTACAACGCAAAGTCTAGAAGTACTTGAACTTGACACGTCGGAAAAATACAACAAGCCCCCTATCAACCTCCACGTGCTACAACTCTACCTAGTAGAGTACAAACCCGAATACAATCTATCAAGCCTTAAAGCTTGTTGTGGAAGAGTAGGACGTCAAACTTCTCCTGTCCTCGCTGCAGGCACCGCAGAAGTGCGACCATGTCGTGAAAAGCTAGCTGTCCCAATCCAAAGGACGTCAAATGCTGCACCAAACTAGCTTCCGCGCTTTGAACTGACACGTTTTTTGATGGCAAATTAGATTCATCAGCTTCTAGTCCCTCATGCATAAGGGAAGATGCGTAACCGGAAGATGTTGTACTTGAAAAGACCTTTTTCGCAGTTTCGTCTACGACTTGTTCATCTCCACTCGAACACGAGTCGTTCGTTGCTGGTTTCTGAGTATCTCGACCTCGACGCTCCAAAGATGATCCGCCCAGTGCGAATTCGGCTGTCTCCACTTTGGTGCTCTTCCTTCTAGTTGATCTATTATCTAGTACTTTCTGAGGAACCGACGCAGCTTTTACTTTGAAACTTTTCAAAGTATCGTCAACTGTACTTTTACGCGGAATCAACAGAGATGTAGAACCGCTCTTGTCCACCTCGTTTGCCCGTCCACCACAAGTCTTGGTTGCAGTATGCAAAGCGTCGTCGTCGTCGTGATGCTCATGTTCTCCTTCTACTACTTCTTCTTCTACACGGAGTAGAAGATTACCGGCGCTGTGGTTCCCACTTACAGAATCTAGGGCAGCATCAGCTTTGCCCGTACTAGCTGCTCTCGAGGATAGTTCCTGCAGCTTCGTCCAGGCATCTATCACGCGTAAGACATCTTTAATCGGAAACTCCCGTAACCGCTTACTGCTCTCCACAAGCACCGCTTGACAGGCAAGGTCGTCCACAACGCCAAGGTCAAAGAGGCTCTCCAGACACAGAGTCAAGTCAGGCGGCGAAAGCTCATGCGCATCTTCAGCTATGATCTGACACATTTCTCGCAGAACTTGTGCTCTGACGCAAATAGCCGAAGAGGTCCCTTTCTCGATAGATTTCGGTCGCATCGACGTGGCCGACAGAGTGGAATAGTTGTCACGCTTTTCCCCAAGGCCACCAGCCACAGAAGCCACTGACGTAGTTCCTGTGGCTGCTGCGCTATCGGATGAATCGTCTTGCCCAGTAGGATGTGAAGTCGGTGTCTCTATCCTGGCACTATCGGAACCTTCTTGCCTCGTCGTCGTTGTGGGCGTTCGTTCAGACTGTTCTATCACAGGCAGTTTGAGTTGTGCATATGCTCGCAAAATGTGCACACAGTCACGCGCAGACCACTCACCCAGTGGGCCCTGGAGTAAGTGCGCTTCGCAATTTAGAACGTTCAAAAGCCAAGTATGTGAGCTTCAGGTCGTTGTCTATTCAGGAAATCTAATGCAGGAGAGCGAAGGACCTACTAGGACCTCAGGCTATTTCCCAGTTTTCATTTCAGGCGATGGGAGATTGAGAACACAATAGGATACAATAGAAGTGAAGAAGAACTGCCGTGCATAGCAAACGTGCAACTAAGGCCGAGTCGACCATACGCAAGCGTGCGAACGCCAACAAGAGCTTCTTTGCATCGGACGAGGAAATCAAAGATGGCGAATCGTCGGCACTTCCAGTCCACTTCCCAAGTGAGATTAGACGGAGATAGAAGAAAAGATACAGACTCTTTGCTTCAGGTGAAGTTCTTGTTGTAGGAGTTAAATGCTCAACGTTCCAACACAGTCGTGCCTAGTTTTACCTTCAATCATGAGTGACTGAGCAAAGGTCCGATCTTTTCTTACAAGGAAGGTATGGATAACAGAAACATCAAGAAAAGCGGCAGAGGAAAGAATCAATGAACCAGTGTGAATGACATGTCTTAAATGGCAGTGGAGGGCCTCGCAGCACGAGTGAAAAAGCGTTAAGTCGCAAAGCTGTGAGGACGAAGATGTTCCACTAGATGAAGATTGAAAAGACTCTACTCCATCTTGCAGACCTGCTTGTCGTTCAGCATCGTCATGCTGATGTAGTTGTTGAAGGTTATGAGTGCTAGAACCAGAATTCCTTTGTTGAGAAGATGGTATCCTTCCTGAGTTGGCAGAGATGGCGACGAGTCCTTCAGCTACCGATAAGGAAGCGAGAATCTGAGATATCTGAGGAGGAGATAGAGTCGGAAGGAGTTGTGTCGTTTTACGGACGACACTGTTCCAAAAATCTCGAGATTCGACTCCTTCTCGCACGGCTCGTTTGGCGTTCAACGCCAGAGCCTGTCCCAGCGTGCCGCGCTGGGCGCTCGCGGCGGACATGGAAGCCACCATGGTACGGTCGACGCACTTATTCTCACAGACCACGCGAAGGGCGAATACCATGGAGCATCGTCATCCTCGTGATCATGATGATGCAAGAAGTGAACCAGACAGTGACAGTAGACATCCAAAGAAATATAAAACTTCTAAATTTTCTGAAAGAAAAAAACAGAAACTCTAAAGATCCAAAATCACATCTTTTCGGAACCAACTCAACACGCATCAAAAACTAAAAATTTTCATAGGACCTGAACAAAACCCGTGCCCCATGCGCCTCACACTCGGGCAAGAATTGCAGCACTAGGATCTTTCTGGATCACAACACCACTTGGCGAGCCCATATCTGAATCACTGAGATCATTTTCTTTCTTGGTCCGTCTAGGAAGTGGCCCTTGATCGAGTGTAGGACATGTGCATGCGCATGGCCATGTCAGAGTCCTGCAGAACATAAAATAGTAAGAAGATGATGTGTGGTAGAATGTTGGTCGTAAAGGAAGTAGATATTTATCAAAAGGCCAACACCAACATGGGTCTCGGTCACCTCCAAGCCGAAATAACAGGATTAATGGTAAGCTCGTATAATTTGTGGAAACTTGTGGGTTCGTATAGGATAGAATGCTTCGACTTCGTCTCTATCTCAAGCATGATGGCGGGTCGGCTCTGCTGCAAGCTCATACGTGATGCAAGATTGAAATACAAATATCTAAATTCTCATCGACTGTGCAGTATAGATACAAGACGTTGAAAAAAAAAAATCTGAAAAGCAACAGGCGCCCCACCTTGTTTCATAAAACCATGTCTGTATCCTATCCTTCCTAGAAATAAATTTTCGCTGATATGTTGTGTATCAGGGTGTCTCAACGAGACACCGTGTCAAAAGACGGGTTCAAATGCACCACATATGAAGTAGTAAGCTACTTAGTTTGTGCGACGAGAGTCTCATTGTCAAAGACAGTGGAGAGTGGTTTTCTTCATTATCACTTCTAGCATCGTTTATGTAAAGTTATTATGACCGAAAAGAAAACCTCTGATGTCTGTGTGCGTACACACACCACTCAAAAAAAGCGTTCCATCGTCTGCCCTTTTGCGACTCAGCTATGCCTATTTCTATGTAAGTAAAAATTCATCTACGCGTTGAACGACAACTCTGCGTCTAGCCTACATCCAAGACATCCTTCCAAGTCATCCACTGCTCAAACACCACACGGAAGTATCTCCCTTAAGTGTTTGTCACTCACTGCCCCAAACGCCTAATAAAGGCGGTTTGAAACTAAACCCACATTACCCCTCTTCCCCAAGTTGCCTGCTGTTAATGCAATTTCATTCAAACCGTGCTTCCGCAGTGCTTGTCTCCAGCACAGGCACAGCAAGAGCCCTTAGATGCACTCCCTTCCACACCCACAGAAACGGAAGTGCCAGGCGACATCACATTGTTCATCTGCGCCGTCGGCGAAATAAACTCCTCGTACTTGCAGCTGTCGTTAGAACCAAAGTTGAGAAAAATATTGACTGATCCTGTTTCTAATTCTACAACTACCTAGTGCAAAAAATGCCGTGCTTTATTGATTATTTCTCAGATAAACAAGCCAGGCGACGCTTGCTTCGCTTTCACATTGAATTGTCACGGATCCCTGATGATCCCACCTCGATATCAGGGAAAAATCCACACGTCTGACAGTCCAATGTCGGCGTTTACATCAATACATACTGGTGAAGTAGTACTTTAAGTACTTGGTTCACATTTCCAACAAAACTACGGTGAAAAGGAAGCCATAACTTTTTCGTCATTTGCCACCGACTCCTCTGGGTAAGCAAAGAGGGCTTCGAGTCGCAACAATCCTCCGTAGATCAATTGTCCGAAAATTAGTACGATGAAGCCCAACAGTTGCAGGTACGAATACACCGTCCATGGCTGAGGTTGCGGAGTTTAGTATTTTTTTCCACATCTCGACGATGCAAACAGCCAGTCTCATTCGAGAAAAGAGGAACTGTTCTCTAGCTCACTCATGTGAATCGACACGAAGATTGAATTTGTTGACTTGCCGTCGCATACTAGTTGAAATACGATCCCACATTAGATTTTTGCTAGGTCACTGTTTCAAGTCAATATCGAACCTCTCCGAAATCGCTGGTAGGATCGACTGCGTAATAGTAGACGATTCCAACGAGCCAAACGACCATGGTACGCCACGCATCCAACATCGTTCGATGCACTGCGCTAAGATATCGCGTGATGCTCATACCGCAAAAGTTATGTAGATTAGAGTGGATCGCGTCAGTGTGGGTCACGTCATTTCAGGGCTACGACTACAGGAGCTAGCAAAAGCTACAACAAACCTCTCTCCTTCTAATCATCAAACAAACCAAACTACGAGAGAAATTGAAATCCTAGGACAGTTTGCTGAGTCTTCTGCAGGTAACTATGCTACATCTTCATAGATAGGAGTAGTATTGTACTACCATCATTATTAGGAGAGTAGTAGTACTGTACTAGTACTACCCAATCATGGGGTATAGAGACATTTATATACAGATTTGCATTTCAGTACTATGAGAGAGAAAGCCATAGAGAGACTGCAGGTAATGCAATACAGGAATGTGAGAAAGAGAAGGCTGCTGCTGTTTTTCAGCATCACGAAGGTATCCAGCAAGTTCTCCTGCGTACCTCCGTAGTCATTTCCAGGCAGTACGTACAGAAGGGGAGACATTAGAGAGATGCTGGGGGGTCAATATCAGTTGTATGCGAAGGGGAGGTTTCCTGCAGTTCATTATACGTGCAAGATACAAAATTCACGTGTTCACTACACTGGTCGCGTTGTTGTAGGTGATGAATTCATCTAATTGTAATTCATTTTGAAGTCAAGAATGACAATGAAGAACTACTCGCGATCCGTCTCAACCTAACTTCTTACTAGCAATAAGTGTCCAGATGGACTCGTCTTGAAGCTCATTCTCATAAGAAGCCTATGAGGGTGAGAATCGCGAATCCCCAGGCACCCTCAATGCCTACGACGACAGCTGGTGGCAACGAGGCTGCCGCACTGCCTTTGAGGATGAACTCTTCCGTCACGACTTGAATGGCAGAAATAAACTGCCCAACAAGCACGATGCCGGTGCTTAGAGGACCACTTACTCTTACTTGGATGAAGAAGGACAACCACTTCAGCAGGTTGGTTCCAATTACTGCTGATTGTTTTTGTTTTGCAGTCGTTCTTACGTTTTTGCTGCTATTCGTTCTTGCTGCTGAGCAAACAAACAATTTGAATAACAAAGTTTGTCCTCTCTGTCCCCTCCTCAAATAGAACTATCACTAGCCTTAGCATACCGAACAATCGGCCACTGCCGTCGTCTGTTGATTGCGCTACCTCAGTAGAAGTAGTAGTGTGAGCGGAAGCGGCCAGCATATTTGCAGTCCCGACCAGGATTATCCCTGCAACCACAAGGCCTATACCAGCCCAATTGTACGCGAGGAGAGTGCGCTTTAAAAAAAGAACCGACAATACACCGCTGAAAACGACCATACCTGGTTAAGGAGCACTACAAGTGACGTCGGTGATGACGTGAGGCTGAAAACGACTAGATCTGTGGTTTTAAAAGGGCGCACATGAGATGTCGCACCAACAAACCACCACAGCTGTTCAACTTTTGTAAATGTAGTACCGCATGGCAGTAAGTAGCATGAAGAAGTCGCTAAGCCCATATGATATCGTTTTACCATTGGAGATAGGTGTTTTTACTCCACAACCATATAATATTTTCATTTGCTAAGAATACTTCCTCTCAGCATCTGCCAAACTGAAGCCGAAATGTGCAACAATCCTATCATGCTGAGCGAGGTGCTAGTCAAGTCGCAACATGCAGGAATCGCCATGTTTAGAGGTACCACACGGGCATGCTTAGGAGCATCCTTGGCTCCTTTTGAACTGATGCCTTTTTCAAGTACTTTCTTACATAAGGAGCCAAGGAAGGAAGATCGATGGGGTGGAAACCGATGCTTCAGTGGTAGCCTTAATATGAGTGATGACGTTTTCATCGTCACGCCCTCATCGAGAAGGATCGAAATCCACGAGTTCGAGCTGCTGAAATTGCATCCTTAGAGAGGATAGGCTTCCAGACACAAGTGGAATTAAAACTTGATGCTGATGCTCTTTTTAGTCGATTCGATTTGGACATCAAACTTGAAATAAGAAAGAGAATTGCTTATGCTGGTTGGTAACAGTTATAGCGAAACAGGAAGAGAACAGGAGTGATGCTTCTCTGTTAGTTTAAGGCTAGATTCCATTTGACAAGAGTTAAAGCTGACGTGATGGAAGATACCGCTACAGTGTGTGCGTAGGTTAGCGAGCTTCACCTCATAAGAAGACGACTGATCGCGACCCGGTGAGTCTGCCACTAAAAGTGGCTTCGCCTTGGCTCCGGCAGCACGAGTTTGGAGCCACCGGTAAAATCGAAAGACCATGAAAGAGTACAGGACAAGCGTCATCGCAAAAAACATTCGGTAAGAGCCGTCGATTAGAGAAGAGAAGAATTCATCAGAAAGTAGAAGAGAACAGGAGGAGGAAAGCCCGGGACGAGTACGCAGAAGCGAAGGAGGGAAAGGTCGCAAAGTGAAGAGCACGCACGAGTATTTAGGACAAAGAAAGGAGCACGTTTCCAAATGGACCCGTTCGGAAATGCGAGGCTCCGAGAGGAAAGCAGTGCCAACGAAGGGTCGGTACGAGCAGCTTCGGCAGTTTGTGCGGTTTGTGCACAAAGTACCAACGAAGGGTCTGTACGAGCAGGCAGTTCGTTTGAGGACAATAAACTCGATTATCCTCAACGCCTTCATCGTCAATGTCAATGATTCCAGTCTGCGTTTTATCGATTCCATTGTCCACCACAGTCCATCTCTGCGTAGACCCCAACAACCAGAGTCTATCTCTACTGTCTCAAGAGTTACTGAGTTAAGTCCATGCTTTACTGAGTTAAGCTCATGCTCACGCTATTGCTTGCACATGAGGACTTCCACCCACGCAAGCATTCTGTAGTAAAGAGGAACCTGCGTAAGACCTCATCCACAAGTCTTCAAACAACTGTCCACCATAAGAAGAAAGGCTTCTTGAACTCGTGCTCTTGACCGCTGAGACCGACGGATTCTATAGAAAACTGCAGTTTCGTGGATAGCGTGTTCAGCGATCCGAAGACCATAAAACCAGCGATGAACGCTGTAGCTTCCGACATTTTTTTGGTGGCGTGTAGAATACGGAAAGCGGCTAGAGGAAAGTATGGAGTGAGCTTCAGAAAGAAGCTGATATCCAGAATAGTGATGGAAGAAGTCAAACATATATCCGTGGGACAGTCCAGGCAGATTATAGGAAAAGAACAACTGCGGTGGAGGCAGGGGAAGAAAGGTTAGAAACACGGTCTGTGAAGTTAGAGAATTTGTCTTCCAAAATTCGTCAAGTTGGGTCTGGGATTAGGGGAATTTTCTCCTCTAGATCTGAAATGGGATTCAAAAATGCCTTGCCTTTTTCGTGGCTTTGGGAATATTCCTTGTGGTCTCTCATCTCTCTCCTTCCATCTTCTGAATAACATCGCTTCTTTTTAAGTTCATTGTTTTTCATAATCAGGCTTTCCGTTTCACAACACCGACAACTGCTGTCTACATAAATTCCGAATTCACTGTAGAACTTTGGGACAAACTTCCGGTATCTGTCTAGCTAGTCTTACACCGACGTTTGTTATGGTTAACCGAAAGTAAGAAGTCTTATGAGGATTGATGATACACCTCTTTTGTCCAGACCTTCAGCGGTTGAGGTCGTAACAACCTCCGCATGCGCAAACACGATCGCATTCTAAATCTGCTAACAAACACGTCGCGACGCGTGAGATCACATATGTAGGTGTGACCACGAGCTTGCTTTAGGCCTTCCTCGCTTCTAGAGCTTTAGACTCACATCCGTGGGGCAAAAAGATGACATGTCCGCTGTTGATTTGAGAACGATTCTTCATTTGACAACAGCCAAATCGTCTCAACAGCATGTTCTCAACGCCTCCCTAGTTCCCCTCAGGAGACCTATCTTCAGGGATCTCCTAAAATCTTACTAAAGGCTTCCGAGCAGAGGGACGACACTTAATCGAAGAGATCGAATTCCATGTCATCTTCTTCCTCCTCTGGAGGAGCCTCTTCCTTCTTCTCCTCAGCAGCTGCGCCACCGGCAGCAGCAGCACCGCCAGCAGCGGCACCACCGCCGCCACCGCCTCCGCCGCCGAGCTTGAGCATATCTCCGAGGTCCTGTGAGAAATATCAAAAAAAATCAACGTCAATGAGGCTTACGATGGCAATAACCAGATCCCACATATTTAGGTGAAGTAGAAGAAAACACCATCTTGGGCTTTCGACATCGCTGTCCTATCAATGTACCGTAGGTAATTGCACCTTGGACCATTTCCTAAAGAAGACGGCAGGAAACTCCAAATTGATTCCTACCCGATTAATCACACATTTTTATCCTCTTACTTATATGCCATACCAAGGGCTCAACCTTCCAACCTTCAATCTAAATTTCTTGATATTATATCGAACTAAAGAACTGAAAATTTCTTAGTAATTTCTTAGTTTTACCTTTCCTTCGACCATCTTTGCGAACAAAGTGGTCCAGTACGGTTCGACGGAGAGTCCCGCGGCCTTGATGACCTTGTTCATGTTGTCCGAAGAGATTTCGGCATCCTCAGTGTCGTGGAGGATCAACGCGGCGTAGGTGCACACCAACTCGTCCTTCTCAGCGACGCTGAGTTCAGAAACCGGAACTGCTGCCATTTTGTTCTTTTGAGAGGAGTCTAAAAGACTTAAGCGGTATGAAGGCCTGTAGGTCCAGTGAGGAATCCAATAGGTTCGTCCCACCGAATTTAGTTTTCCCTGAGAAATTTAGCGTGTAGGGACTAGATCTTTGGACCTGTGCAGCTGGTGCCACATCTTACTTAGACAACCCTTGCGGAGGTCTAGGCCGCCATACTAGGATCGTTTCCGCGAACTAAATAATCTTTTTTTTAGGGCTCCAGTTTAGATCCGAGACTCGTGGGAACGTTGACGGTGGAGGAACTAAAAAGTAGATCTAGTCCAATATGGATCGGACGGAGAACTGAGTTCCATACATCTTTTGCGTTTGTATCTTCGTCGCAGGTACATTTAGATCAGATGTGAGCTCGAAAAGATATTATCTCTTGGATCCGTAGTGCAGTTGAGAATTTAGATCAGGTGTTAGAAGAGTCGATTTAGATCATTTCCGGGCCAGAAACAAGCAACAGAGTGAGACCACTGCGTAGGACTACTCTGAGTTCACTGCGTAGGACTACTCTGAGTCCACTGCGTAGGACTACTCCGAGTCCACTGTGTAGGACTACTCTGAGTCCACTGTGTAAGACTACTCTGTGTAGGCCACAGCAAAAGGAATAGGACTCCTGTGAACGAGGATGGCTATGCTGGCGGCGTGCTCCGGTGTTAGAAAATAAATGTTTTCGATTTCTTTGAAAAAATGATCTTTCTGGTACCGCTTTTAGGATCGTGATTTCAATTTTATGAGCAAAATAGAGAACCCCAATGGGTTTTGCGAAAGCGGTTATGCGAAATCTTAGAAGAGTTGATACATGTAGGATTCGATCTAAACGGACACCAGTCGGCATCGTTGATTATGACACAATATGAGAATGAGAACATAAGAACTTCTCCAAATGTTGTATACTTGAATCGGCAATGGGGCCCAGGAGCCCCCAAGCATCGAGGGGACAAGGTATGGCAGAATTTGAGTCCAAAATTGGTTTGGTACATGCTACTTCTTTCCAGTAGACGCCGGTTTCTTCTAAAAACGAAGCACGTGAAAAGTCCCTCAAAATTTTCTTTCTCTAAAGTGAACCCAAACTTGTTCCAAATACAGCTTCTAGCATTATTTTTATGTTCGAATATGTCACCCTAAAATACCAATGATCCTCCAGATCATCTAGAAGATACTGATCCAGATAATCTAGAAAAGCAAAACCTCTAGATCTGAATCTCCCCAAGAACAGAGTCGGACGATACCTTCTCTACACTGGCTGCGGTTGCCATGCCAGTGATCAGACAAGAGTTCTCGTCAGTGGAAAGACGGATGTAGCCCTCCTCACCCCATCCTGTGGTCCACGAGTTGCGGACGACCCAGTAGCTGCCGCCGGATTGGTTTGGAAAAGGTGTGGGATTTCAATGGGATTTGGGTATACGTAGGAAATGTCAACATCGGGGATCTAAATCTAAACCTCGTTCGAGAAAGACCGTCTTCTGAAAGCTTTGACTGTGAGGGCTCGAGGCGCGCAAGTCAAAAATGCAACTACTTTCTCCTACGTTTTGATAAAAATTGTTCTACTAAATAGTAGACAAGAACACCTAAACTACTCATTTCGGCCACCACATCCAATGTCCTCCATAACTCAGCCGCTTTCAATTCGTCTTGGTTCAAGGCAACGACCTGAACAGCATGGTCGATCTGGGCAGCTCCGCAGGCCTCAGCGTCCAAAATGCCTTCCTGGTACGTCTGCCACGCCGTGGCATCCACACCAATACTCATCGGACCCTTGGCCAAAATGTATGCCTTCATGTTCTTCTCACCACGCGAGACGGTCCACGGGAAAATGCGCATTCCGTGTGCAACGCGCTCGTAGGCGGTGACCTGTACGAGGAAGTGCGGGTTTAAGTACTATAATATTTTCTCCCTTTCTAATACACAGTACAACAATATGAGGTCGAATCTACAGCCTGAAAACGCAACAAATTAATCTACAAATTGGAAGTCCGCCTATGTCCCGACTTGAAACCGCTTCAGTATTAGTTAGCCCTCGAACAACGTACTTTCCACTTCCCCTTACTCGCATCGAGCTTGCACGTTCCCGACTTTCTCGTGGTGCCACCAGTCTTAGAGCTTCCTTAAATTCATTTCCGGAGGCATCTGTGTGCTTCCCCTTGAACGCGAGTGAAAAAAGCTCCGTCTGATGAATTAAGAAAAGCCGTAATGGTGTAGGGATAGTCTTCCTCAGATTCCAAAGCGTTTTTCTCCAGATATCCATAAGCGCGAGTTGGCAATCCACCGTTACACCCCAAATCCATGTTGTGGTCGCAAGACACCAATTCTTGCGGAGCACCGATGAAAGTGGTGGTTGGGTCGACCTGGAGGAGAAATAACAGTAAGCGTTGGGTCAACCTGAAGGAGGAGGGGTGATCCAGGGAAACGAAACCGGGGTTGAGAGGAGCTTGAGAAGAATGGCGAAACCTCGAAAGCTATCGGACGAAGAAAAAATTCTTTGTCGTTCTTTTACTTTTTCGAAAAGTCTTATTACTTCTGGGGTAGAAGAACAGGAACCATTAGAATTTGAATTACATCCCATCTATGAAGGGATAACATCAGTGACCCTATCAATCTCTATAATCAATGCAAATAGAAGACAATTCACAATTGTGGTCTCACCAATCTCGCCGCAGCCTCCACGGTCTCCACAGTCGAGAAAGCCCAGCAGCTGCCGCATTGTCCCTGATCCTTGATCGGAGTGATCACGCCTTCCTTGCGCCAGTCCCGCGAAGAAGTAGTCAGGTTCAGGGAAGGACTTAGATGAAACTACAACACGCACAATGATCATCATCATTGCGTACAATGAATGACTTCTTGCAAGATAGTTGTAGTCAGTTTCAGGGAATAAGAAGAATTGAATTTAGATGAAACTACAGGTAGATGATGCCAGTCCGCAGTGTTATGCGAGAGTGTGTCAAGCACTGCTATGGGTGTATCTCACCCGACGCCCAGCTATGTCTTGGCTCATGGGTCGTCGGGTCAGATACACCCATAACAGTGTTTGACACACACTCTCGTCCCATAAGCTCCGGGCCGTAGTCTCTCTGCAAGCAGCGACATTCCAGGCCATTCCGGGACATCGTTCATCATGTCGCTCACCATCTGGTCGGTGAAGACTTGACCTCCATTTTAGAGCTCACTCTGGTCGTCCATCCTGAGACCCACGCCCATCTTGGAGCTGTGTTGTACGTTTTCCCCTGCTTATGGGCCATTTCCTGCAAGATGCATTAACTATCGTGCCTCCGGGAGGTACTATCTGAAGGTAGACCATTACGGGAAGCCTTAACCATTCTTATGTAACTTGCGGAACTCATGCTCTGTAAGGTCCATAAAGCGGGTGACTCCAAAAACGGCACGCCCATTCGATTTCAGATTCAGTTGGATCGCTGGAGGATGGTGGAAGAAGTAGATTCCTACATAAGGGAGTGCAGATATTAAGAGATGGGGAACTATTTACAGGGCCGAATCGGCTTCAGGAATAAGGAATCTAAGATGATCCTGGAGAGGCATTACCCTTCTTCACATTTTCCCGAAAAATTTCAAAGCGATGATCACGCTCCACGCCATTGGCATAGCTCTTTCCATTTTCCGATAGGAAATTCTCGAAAGTTTCGGTTGCGATATCATCGGAAGCCATCAAGGCAGAGAGCTCCTGCAAGCGTTTGCCCCAAAGAATACGGGTCTCCATTGCAGTAGGCGGAGCTAGCACATCGGTTTTGCCGCTCGCACCCACAGCGAGAATGGCAGCAACCTTAGCACTCTTCGTCAACATCACTGTTATTTTTCGTACGGGTGACGAAAAGGAAAATGGTCGTATTAAACAGTTGTTGGTGACTGTGACAGATTTCGGTTAAAATAACTGTGTGAGTGTCCTAAAAGGAAAAGAACAAGTCTCTCAGATTCTCTCAGGTGAAAAGGAGTCTCGCAGACCATGTGTTGTAGCCTGTGGGGGATCACATCAACCTCTCCCAGTCACAGTGTATCCCTCCTCCATATCGAAGAACAACACGCGACACAGGAGAGCGAAATTCATTCGTGATTCTTTCTTTTCCTAATACATAGGCTTTTCAACAAAACCCACGTACTGCGCAATTGAGAAAGTTATGAAGCTATAAGCGAAAGTTTGTCCTCTTTTGACTTTGCGACTCTTTTTCCGATTCCCACTTTGCGATCCACATCACCCTGGTGCAGCAACTGTACCTAGCTACTAATATACTTACAAAAGTCGTTCTCCTCTTCCTCTTTTTCAGTACAAAATCGAGTCGTTCTTGACCCGATGTACCAGGTAGCTGTGAAAGTCTGCGTTGGGAACGTCTTTTCCGCCAAGATACCGAGGCAATTGCGATGAATCGCAAAACGCTTCGTACCAACGCTGGTCGCTGGCTTGGAGAGGGGAAAATGCTCTTTATGTTGTAGTGAAAAAAGTGAAAAATTGACTGCACGACGACCATCTTTTGACTTTGTTGAAATAAAAATCCTGCTAGGATAGGATAGGATAGGATGCCGCCGCTTCGCCTCCACGCCTGGTGGGACTACAAGCTTTAGCAGATCGCTAGTCCTAGGTTAGTAAGTATAATACAAATTCACATCACACCCGATGTACCAACGCTGGTCGCTGGGTTAGAGATGTTGTACTGTTGTATCCTCTACAGAACGAACTGAAAAAAGTGAAAAATTGAAATATTAAAATCTGATCATAACCATGCGTCTCGACGAAACTAACAACCCGCTTCAGTTTCTTCGGTACAATTGCTTGACCCAGTTGCCAACAATGCCGCAATAGTGGAGGAGCGTCCAGAAAGACGACGCTGGCAATCACGCTAGGATGCGAGAAGGCGACTGCGGATATGGCGTCTTTGAATTCCCAGGGTCTCGCTGAGGCTACGTTATTCAACCGCAGATTGTTGAAATCGTAGACTAAACGCACACCTTTCTGGATAGAAGGCAATTAGATGATGATGTTGGGAATTCATAGTTGTACCAGATCATACTGAAGTCATGATTCAGATTCTCTGGGTACTTACTACGTTTCACTTTCTTCCTCTTTCCTGCTTCCAGACGACTTTCTTTGTCTTTGGACATGAATTGGGTAATTTCACACGAATAGACCCATAAGGTAAGTCTTGAAGTGCGGCGTCGATAGAGAGCCAGGTGCTTTTGATGCCTATCGGAATCTTGATTTCACTGGGATTAATAAAGCGAAACTTGATCCAAATCATCGGTCTCCCCTCCAAATCCCGACCGGCAAGGCAGCAAAATCCCCGAGCATAATTTCGACGCACGTCTTCGTCCGAGACCTGTAGTTGTTCGTTGGATCTAAACAAACATATGAACAGCAGCACACACATCAAAAACTCTTCGCAGTTCTAAGAAAAGAAGCACGCTAGAACAAGAAAAGTACGTCTCTCAACTTCATCTTCTGGATCATGCGAATATGGGAGTCCAACAGCCTTTTCGCCTCCACTGGAGACATCTTGGAGGAGTAGAGGAAACGCAGCATACATCTTTGCGTTAAAAAGAAGTCCGGTTGTAGAGATGCTGCTTGCGTAGAGCCAGATGATGCTGATGGCTGTGATTGCGGACGGAGATTAGAAAACCACACAAGTATTGCTTTTTGCTTGCGAAAGACAGTTCTTTTTGTCGGCTTATAATTCCATGCAATATAATATTTTGCAAGTGTTCATCTTCTTACTCGATGGTAGATGTGGCCTTGGCCATGTAAGTAGTTGCAACACCAAAACAGATATGAAAGGCCTTAACAACACGCTGATTTTGCATTTCCTCGTCTTGCTCTGTCGTTCCTTCAACGTCTCCAGCAGCTGTGGCAATCTTAGTGCTTGTTGCGCTCAAAGCATTAGCCCGCCAGACCTTTGACTCCCGATACTGAGAATTGGCTGCCACCTCTTTGCCTAGAGCATCGTTGAAGTGGTAATAGGCATTCGTGTTGCCTTTCAAGTACTGAAAAAGCCGCTCCCGATCTTCGGAAAATAACAACCTGGCGTTGGGAAAAGTAGAAAGTTAACAATCTTGCGCCGCTTGTTGACGTGTCGAGCCCTTGTAGCTTCTTCCATATCATACACGTTCATATGCTGAATTCTCCAAGACAACAATCCACTATTACCTCTGAAATTCCGACAATGCTGCTCTATCTCGCCAGGACAGATTCAAGTCCGCGTCGGTCTGTCGTCGATGCACACTGGGCCATATCAGTCGTCTTGATATATTCACCAGTCGTGTCAAATCACCACCTCCCACTTGTAGTTGGTCACCTCCAAAAGACGAAGATACACTGCTCGTCGCAGACCGTTGCTGCTCTAAGGACACCGCACTACTTGCTTGATGTGGTGTTGTCCCTTGATCACGCATGAACTCAGTCTCCCATGTTGAACCACTCACTCTAGATGTTGACGTCCCACAACTAGCCTGTTCACGTGCTGTCAACATTGCTCCTTCTGTCGAAGCTCCTGAGCTGCTCTTGGAAACTTCAACTTGTTTACTAGAGAAGGACACTGCGACATTGGCATTCATGCCTTGATGAAGATGACTTTGATAGGAAGCAGAAGATCCTTCAGCGCCCATTGCTCCAACAACATTGCTCTCCTCCAAGGCATGATGTTCAGAACTAGTACCTCCTTCTTGACATATTGAGGGTGAAGCACCAGATCCCACCTCTTGAAATGGGGTAAACCTTAGTGGGTGATTGCGCCGGCCAGTCGGTCCTGGTGAGGGTTCTGGACCAAAAGAGACAAATGGCGGACAATCGGCCACCATTGACTCGTCGAATATTGTTAGAGCTGCAACACGTCGCGTCCAGTCCATCCTTGAGCCCATCCCTGAGTCCTTTCCTATCCTTAAAAAAGCCTCTTCTATCATAAAAAAGACCCCTCAGATGACGATGGCTTATTGGGCCAATAATGGTGTTGAGAGAGTTTTGATAGCGTTAGCCTTAATATTGGAAGATTTTCAGACACCCCTTGCGACCCCGTCTCTATGCCACCAGGACTACGAATGGGTGGTGAATCTTGACTCCTACAACTCGTTCTTGCTGCACCAGGTGTTTGGAAAAGCACCTCGTCTGGACTTCCAGGTTGTCGTGGGGTATTTAGTGAGGACCTCGATCCTCCCGCAAGAAGTGCTTAGAAAAAATAGTAGAGAAGATGAGAGAGGAAGGTGGTAGCTGCAAACTAGTACGACGGGAGACCTCCATCTTTTGGCACCCGAACCTCTATCTGCTGATCAATCATTCTAACAAGCAAGAAAGTGCAACTGGCCGGTAAATAAAGATGTAGCAAAAGTGAAAGATGGCTTCTTGTACCTAGTTTTCTACGATGCACGACACTCCTTAAGATCCACTTGAATCCCAATCCGCAGACAGTAATAGAGTGTTGTTGTTCGCATTCCCCAAAGGTCCTCCTCCTCCAGGTATGTTGTACGAACCTCTACCACCCTGTTGCAGCGGCACTCCAGGAGGGAAATACGTAGGACGTCCTCCAGTCTTCATCTGATGTAGTTTGTTACTGCTCCCGTTCGTCCCTCCACTGAAGTTGTTAGTATTTGTGGCAGAGGAGCTGGAGGTACTGCGCGAACGAGGACTACTACTGTTTTCACGCGCCATGAATTCTTCGTCCACTACTATTGTATCAGCCTCGCCTTCAGCTGCTGCCCTCCGCTTAGAGAGACGAGTGCCTGTAACTCGACTACTACTTGTGCCTAGAGTGCCAAAAAAATTATGCAAGACCAGTTGCACATGTTTTTGGTGTTCGTGTTCAATCTTGCTAGGAAACTAGTTACCTTTGTTCGTTATGGTTATGGTTGTTGAATGTTCTTTTTCTTTCACGTTAATAGTTAATATTTATGGAATCACTAAAAGACGAACGCCATAAGAAACAACCTCGGCCACGCTAGCCCTGAGAAGAATGAGCCTCTAGACTCGGCTTGAAACGACGCTGAAGTGCCACCTCTTGGAGTGAGGGACAAAGGCGTTGCGAACGGCTCGAAGCTGTCGGTCGCAGTCAATAGGGGATGATGTCTGGAATCTTTGCGGACTGGCATTACCTGGCTTTCGACCACGTTTTCCCATCGGAACAAGAGTAAGGAGAGTTAGACGTAGAGCTTGGTACTAAGCTGGAGATCCAAAAAATTTAGAAGCAAGTTGCATTTTCACAATCTGAGGACCACTCAACATGAACATGTAGTTCCATAATTAACATTTTCCGGCAGATCCTCGTCGAAAATGTACTCTGTCAGTACTGCGAAACAGCCACGGAGGAACATCAGATTCACGAAGGACATCATCAAATAGGCAATCTCCGCAAGTATATGAAAACTCTCGCTCGCTTGCATAGCTTCCCACATTGCGGCTGCGAGATGGCTTAAACACGTCTTTGCTGATGCATTAGCGGTTTGGAGTAGTTGGACGGCTTGTGAATGGGCGTCCACTGCTCGACCTTCGGAGGATGGATGATACTTAAAAATGAGTAGTATGAGACTCCGCCCAATTCCACCTAAACCACATCAAAGAAATATTTATAATGATTTTGTTCTTTTTAGAACATCGATCTTATAAGCCGTAATTGGTAGGACTATGTCCCAAACCTCAGGAGGGGGTGCAACTTCGTCTCCACCACCTGAGGTAGACGTTGGCGACGCGAAGGTTGAGGACGAGGAGTCGTTCTTCGGTCTGATCTCATTATGATGATGATGATGTCTCTCCTGTGCAGCTGCAGTGCGTCCGACATCTTTCAACGCCAAGGACACCGCAACAACGCAACGCAATCCGAGTGAAAACGGTACGACTAGGAGACTCAACGTGAAGATCGATAGGCCAAGCAAGTAGACGAACCTCGTACCCCATAAAGCTCCGACAAGACGGGAAATGAAAAGAGGAGATTTTCTCCAATATATTCATGTGAGGCGTTTTCTCATTCAGATGCAGCTGTGTCGAATTTTAGTATCTATACAGGAGTCGCTGGTGCTGGACGATGGGTCCCCAACCTCATAATTGACCCGTCTAACACAAGCCCTCGTGAATTGTCAATCTCAGATGAAATCACATAACGAAGATGCCTCCAACCAAGAGCGCGACATCCCGATAGCATTCCAGGACGTCTACACCCGAGTTTGCGTTCACAAACGTGAAACTGTTCTGTATGATGTGCGCATGTTAGACGCTGTAATTTTTCACTACCCGGATTTGAGAGAATTTCTCTTTTTTGCGCGCGGACGTCACTTATCAAAGCACCTGCACCCAAAGATAGTTGTGTCTATAGACCACCATGATAGAAAATTATATTATAATTTAATTTGCAGTTGCATACTGGCAGTTACACAACTAGTAGTGGATCTTGAAGATAGTGTAAAGCTAAAGGCGACAAGCATAGGATACCTCTTTACTCATGAAAGAGAAAAACTTCAGTCCTCACCCATAATCATGCAGCTGGCCACTGGGTGTGGAAGCCACCTCCTGCAAGAACCAAACGCTGGTCGCTATCCAGAAAAGCGCGAATCCACACAGAGTCGCCCTTTGGATATTGATCAAAGGAGAACGTCTCATCTTCTAGAGAGTTGGTCGTGCACGCATGACGGCTTAGGTTTGAGTGTTCCCATCAATTTTGTCCAATCAAGAAATGAGATGAAATTGAGGGAATTTTTAGTCTTCAGACTTCAGAAGAACGAGTAGGAGTAGTAGGGGATCAACTTTCTGCTTATACATCATGATCGGTCTTCTATCTTATCCTGTTACTAATTCTTTTGCCTCAAAACAATAGACCTTTCCTTCAAGAACAAGAAGCGGGCCAATAACATATTCAAGATCAAGACGAGAGCAGGTACCTTTTCCTTCATAAAATGTGCGGATCGGATCTTAGACCACCTGTGAGGCCGCCTGCGTAGTATTACCTACACAGGAGTGAGGGAACGCTCTAGCAAACAAGTCTTGGCAGATGATCATGTCCTGCACGTTGATGATCGATGTCTACCTGCTTTAGACGTAGGTCTTTTATCTAGTGCACGACGTGCTCTCATCTGTACTAGTCATCATTCAAGGGGGGTCTCCTCCGCACTCCGCAGCGGCCGCGTGCGCACTGCTTCGTAACAATATGAACACCCATCATTTTCATCCATCAAGAAGCCGATGTCAGTGTAGTCAGTCTTCCTCCTTGCAAGCAACTTGTAGAACATTTCTTCGCGTCGTGGGGGTGGGAGTAGGGCTAGGTTAGGTGTGGGCCCCGTAGAAAAACTAGCAGACATAGTTGGCTACTCCTGAAGAGCCAAAAACAAAACTACGACCAAGAGTAGTTCTAATAACTGGTAAGTGAAGCGTAAGAGGAGAGCCAGGAGATACCTACGAGAAGTTGTTAAGACCTACTCGCTAGAATGATCACGTAGAAGTTGTGCTATACAGTACTACAGCTCGCAGCTGTATGAGAGCACGTGAGCCTAGAGTAATTACAAGAACAATACGCCAGCCTTAACATCTTCGTAGCATACTGGACTACTGCGGGTGTGTATTCTCAGAAAACACTCACGCCGAGGCTGCACCTGCAGCAAGTGCCTCTGTTTTGTCACCCATGGGCTCTTTTTCTTTTACTCACTGGCATAACTTCATAAAATGTTAGAGGGGGGCGAGCATTCTTTCTCTTCTTCTACTCAATTAAAAAAGCAGGGACGCCGAATGCGCCCGTTATACGCTTAACACTTAGTCAGTGTCGCCACCCCTGAAACCTGACCTCCCGCCTTAGAACAACGGCAACAAGGTGCGAGAAAACACTCCCTACACAAAACATAGATGTCATGTCTGCAGAAGAACTCACTGACTTATAACTTTTTTTTTTCGATCATCTAATATCTTGAGGATTTTTATCCAACCAGTACCGACCCAAATCCATTTCAATCTTATAACGGCGATACTTGTGCTCCTATCTTCATTCAGATTGATCTCCCTCGATGTCGCCCCGGGCCTCAGGCCGGTGCTGTTCTCCGCAAGGTACTAGTAAGTTGGTGCCCTATAGATAGATAGATAGATAGATAGATAGATGTACCCACTCGTGGGGTGTAAGATCTTTTAATTAGAGGTTCATATGCTCTTACCACAGGAAAATGAAATCGAAATATATGCTTTGAAGCGGAGAGAACAGTGCTAGGAGGAAGACGAACATGATCAGAAGTAGAAACAATAGATGCAACAAGCAGCTGTGAAAGATGCTCTGTTAAAAACCCTTCATGTTGCTGCTCTTCTTCGGTTGCATACGGCAGAAGCCCCCTTACTGTGGAGCAAATATACACTATGGCAAGCTTAAAGTATTATTTCAGGTTATATTAAAAAAAAACTTTTTGAATTTTTAATAGCTATTAAATAGCGAATTAACTAGACTAGATTTAGGGTTAGACTCTCTTGGGAGAGTCCTTTGGAAGGTTCCGGAGAAGGCAGGAGCGGTGGTCGGAGGAGAGAGGGATCCAAGGTCCTGGAGCTGGCCTGTCGAGTCACGGCCTCGTGTCGGAACGGGTGGCAAAGGCGCTGCATTTTTATGGTCAAATCTGATGGATTCTAGTCTAGTACAAGCCTACAACTCTAAACCTAGCTCCTAAAGGCGTCCTGAGGTGGTAGAGGTCAAGACTATGACGAGAGAAGAGGTGGAACCGCAGAGATTCAAGTAGGAATAGATGATTAGAACCTTAAACCCTAAACCTTAGGCGATCACGAGAGCGAGGGACTTGCAAGACGGTACTGGGAGGCCATTTTGTTCAAGATCTTCCCCTGCGATATTCAAGAAGGGCGACGAGAATCTTACGCGAGATACCTCGATAGAGTATAGGCAGACCTTAGATCTAGTCTCATTATCATTCTACGCAGAGACAAACAGGATAAGATAGTAAGGACCTCAGTCCCTCACCTCGTACAGAATGGGCTCTCATCCTCGTAGTGTAGAGGCCGAATGCCGAAGAGCCCTCGAGAAGTTATTAAAAGGCCAATTTTTCATCAAGTCAACTCCCGAGTCTTATAGTGATTTCGCTATAGCTCCAAAACAGAACACCATCCTCGACCCAGATGAGGTAGATAGCTGGCCACTCGTTCAATTTAAAGGAACAGCATCGCGATCCTCGTCGTGGTTTCGTAAGATGAGATACGTTTTGAACCATCAGAAAGGTCACTTACATGGAATGATCTTTATTGGTTTCTGTAGCACCTCTGAAAATGAGACGCTGCGCATCCCAGTGCACCAAGCGGCTGACTACAGCGCAGCTGATCTGCAGTCGAATGATGTGACCTTTACAAGCCAAGGACTGGCACAGCGGCTTCGCGAACTTTACGCGAACGGCCATGGGACGAAACGCGACCAAATTCTGATAGGACCAGCATACACGTCGGCTACTCTCCGAGAGAAAAGCGCACGGGAATCTTTCCAAAGACTCCTGACAGGGACTAGCTTGCGACACACAACGGCAGCAGCTGAGTTCGCAGCTGTGGCTGGATGGCTCTCCTTATCGGAAGAGCCCGAAAAGCAGTACAGCGCGCAGGAGAAGCTGCTCTCATGTCGGCGCATCGGGAATAAGTCCAGTGGACTCCGGGCATCTTTAAGAAGGTAGCACGAAACTCTTTCAACTACTTGCTTACCACTAGAGTCGTGGCCTCTCAACGCAGTCCGCTCCTACTCTCGAAGACAACAATAACAAATAACCCAGGCCCAGTGGGGAAATCTACTCGGAGCATGTGGTTGATTTTTTCCTCTTACACGCTCGCACCGATATAGAGTCACCCAACCTTGATGCTATAGGCATCGAATTGCACGGCAGTGCACTTATACCGGCCGCAGTCCTTTCCCAGTGCGGATACCTCGCAAAAGAAGGGCAATAGTCTTGATATTTAGATCGAGGCCTTACGACCAGGATGGAAGAGGTTGCTTTTTCAGTGGTTATTTTCAGTGTGATAAGTTTGATTTTGAAAGTGTAGACGAAGTTTGTAGTTGTATAAAATTGATTCCATCGTCTAGTTTAATCACATCCATTCAAAGACTCATCCTCTAACTCAGGCACGACGATCCTGCCCGAACGAATGGGAAAAATAGCATCTATCTACACCCAGCAGCGCCGGGCGTCAGAAATGCGAGACCTCTCGGAATATTGGAGAGGTATTACGTGGAAGCAGACAGCGAGTATGTGAGCAAAATGAAAGACATTATCCATAATAGTTAGGACCTGGGTCCTGATTCAACTCCTACTTATGACTGATCTACTTTTTTATTGATGTAAAAAATTCAAAACGGACTGCGTGATAGGTTGCTTTTGAAGACAACAAAAAAACTACTCGTAATTACTGTTTTTTTATGATAGATCTCCACTAAGATACTACACCCGAGAAGGAATTCGGCTACTTACTTGAGACACCTACTGGAAAGCGAGAATCTTAATTGGATTCACTATAAGGATGCGTTTTGGCTGCAGTCTGCTCGTGAATATATCTAGATGAGAAAATCAAATCAACTGCTATGAATCACGACCGAAATAAGTGAAACTATATCGAAACACATCTAACGAAACAGGAAAGCCCCCTCCTCGGGCATGTGGAAGAGAGTGGAACTGTTCCAACGAGTTGAAAACTATGATGAATAATCTGTGGCATCTTCGGACGCTAATACATTTTCAAATACGGTCCTCCCCAAGAATCTCGTCGAACTCCGCATCCGTGAGCGGCTTCCGCTGCGATGGTGCAGCGGATGACTTCTTTCCGTTCTTCTTCTTTACTTGCCCAGAGGTAGAACTACTAGAAGACGAAGACGCAGCTGCTTTTGGATTGTTCGACTTCCCGCGCGGTGCTGTACTACTAGAAGACTTCGTCACACTAGATGACGCCTCGACGGTGGTGCCCACTCCGTTTCCATACTTAAACGCAGACTCTGGGATCGGGATCTTGGTGTTCATTTCCTCACCCATCTTATCTAGGACGGAGCGGTAGAGGTTGCAGTCGCCCATCTGCAGCTTGTGCTCGTAAGCCACATACTGCGCCAGCTCGTGGGCCACACGATTGTCGATGTCACCTACAGCAGGAACTTCAGGAGCCAATTTGGCCAGCAGCGGAGCCATTCCTTTCGGATACCAGTGCGCACGAATCTGGTCTGGAAGTTCTCCCTGGGCGCATCGATGACTGCGAAACTCCGCTAGTAGTTTCTGACTCTTTTTGAGGCCAGACTTCTTCATGTTGTCGGACGATCGCTCGAGGACGTACCCGTGAGTTGGAGTCTGGCGCGAATTGCCGGAGGTGTGCTTGGTTGAAAGGCCCTCCGGGCGGCCAGTCTTGTCATCACCCTTCTCGACGACGCGCTTCTTCGGTGCCGCATGCTCAGCAAGTTCATCTAGACCTCCTTCGCCTGCAACGCGTTTCTTCGGACTTGCCATTTCACGAACAGCGTCGGCGAATCTGTCAGGGAGGGCGCCGCGCTTCATCTTCTCAAAGATGGCGCATCGCTCGGCAGCCGGAATGCAACGCAGCTCCAGCTCCGTGATCTTCGTGTACTTCTCGATGATCGGGCGGAGTGCACCAACTTGCACCTCCGCTGACAAGGCCGGAAAGAACGCGATCTGCGTATTTGCAGCTGTTAGCCACGATTCGTTCGTCAGCTCGAGCTTGTAGCCTTTCCCGTCGCGGAGACGCTTCTCTGAAGCGCGACCATCATAGACGTCATGCCGGCCGATGAATCCCTGCGCGAACAAGACGAGATCTGGATCAGTCGGCGCGTACAGAGTGGTAGCCGCATTGTTGTAGAGTTTGTACATGAAGTAACCCATGAACCAGCCCGGCTTCCTCAACTTCGTGATGCGAATGAACTTGCGTGGATCACGTGTGCGCAACAGCAGAACCTCACGCTTGGCCAGACATCGCTCATCGATCAGACGCTCCCCGCAATTCTCATAGAAGCGCATCTCCGCCTTGGATTCGATGTCCGAAGTCGCTAAAGCAAGCACCTGAGCGCCACGGAAACCAAGCTCATGCGCAGGATAAGAGACAAAACCAGCGGAGCCTGCTACGGTATCAGCGTCGGCCTGCTGTTGATTCGGTGGGCCATTGTTCCAGCGGTCACCGCAGATGTCCTTGAGCTTATGCATCTCCGCCGCTAAGATGGTTTGCCGCGTTTGTCCGTTTGCGCAACGCTGCCGGAGCTGCTCTTGGAGGATGTTGCGGATGTCATCTACTTCTTTGTCGTCATCTACTGTCAGCTGCGCAATTTCTTCTAGTTCTTGTATGGTGCATGGCGTCATGTACTGGGAGTTTGGAGCAGATGGAAAAGCCTGGCATCGAGGATGCTTCGCCCCGTGCTGTAGTCTTGCTAATTGTTTTGACCACATACTACCTGCTGCCGAAACCCACAACCCCTCTAGAATCTTCTTCTCCTTCCACATCGTCTCCGCCTCTTTCTCCGATAAAGGTTCTGCCTTGTTCCTGCGGTCGACATAGTCGCACAGAACACCCAACTTGCCGAGCTTCATGCACTTCATTCCCCTCTTCGCAGTCACAGACAGGGGGCACGGTACTAAACGCACAGCACGATCCACCTGCTCGGACGTAAACGCCGGCTGCTTGTTGTACCGAATGCTTTCAAGGAGAACAAACTGCGGGTCCAAACATTCAAGGCGGTAGCTGTTCACGATGTTGGCTAGTAACTTGTGAGAAGATTTGAGACGCTCGTCGCTATTGCTTACAGCCTTGATCACACCTGCGAAAAGCTGCTGCCACTTCGACATTCTCCGCTCGGCAAACAACAGCTGCAGCTTCGGCGTAGTGTACGTTGAGGTCTCATCCGCAGCGGGGTCCAGAAATTTCTTAGCTGCAAGACGAAGCGCTTCAGAGTCAAGCGGAGGAGTAGTTGCGGATGCTGCACCAAGACGCTCAAGGAGCTTAAAGAGCGCAAAGTGCCCCGCTGCCAAATCCAGCACCACCCGGTACTGGATGGGCGGGCACGCCGCAAGTATCTTGTCGCAATCCGTAGCGTAGCCCACCCATCCGGCTGGAGGAGGGTTTTCTTCGTCTTCCGAGTCGATGACGACATGTTGAGCCCATGCAACGTCGAGCGGGTGGCTGATATCACGATGACCAGTTTGGCGCTCTGCTTTCTCCACGGTCTTGCACATATCCAAAATGTATCGAGTTCTAAAGTGGTCACGGTCCATTCTATGGGCAAACTGCACCTCGCGGAACCATCTTGCGTCTGTTCCGTGCACGCAGCTAGGATCTGATATGTGCAACAGATAGCAGACGAATTCGCGAAGGGGCCATCAAGTTAAGAATAAAAGTTGAGGCTTCTAGTGTGGTACGAAGAAAGGTCCATACTTTTAAGGGTCTCCACGGCTAGAATTAATAGATTCTTTCTCAGTAGGATCATCAAGAGGAAACCATCGAAAAAATGAACAAAAAAGTCCCTTTTTGACTCGAGTAATATAATTGACGAAGATTTGTATCATTAGCCTGACAAAAATCTTCGTCAATTATATTATTCCAAATCTGAGGTACCTCCTGAGGCCCTTTTTTAAGGGGAGCCTCAGGATGCACCTCAGCGGGAGAGTCAAAAAGTGGGAAGGTCGTATCTCAGTCGAGTATAGCTAAAAATGGAAAAGTGAATACCTTTCTCTAGCGCATCCGTCAGCGATGGAGCGTCCATCTGAGCCAGCATCTCGTCGCGAAATGCTCGCTTTGCGCCTCCATTGTATGGCCCAGCAGCCTCCAAACGCAGCGAGGCGATCGATTTCTTGAATTTGGCCTGATTTTGACGACTACCACGTGGGCCCATACAATATCGTCGCCAGGCAGCTGCTGCAGCAGAAACTTGGGATGAGATGGCCTTCACGTCATTCGACAACCGATGACAAGGCGGATTGTCCCAAGTACCAGGGTAGAAGCGCGCCAAAACCTGTGCTGCTCTGAGTTCTGCACTACCTTGGTCAGGTAACAAGTGCAGCTCAAGGCGCTGCCGAGCAGCATCGTCGGGGTCTAAATCGTCAGGATGCTCCCAGGCCACGACATCGATGGAGTCAACAGTCTCCGAATCGCTCCTGTAGACATCATCACAGGCTTGCTTTCCGAAGAGCTGCTGCAGGAATTCCATATAGGCAGCACACGAGTATCTGGCTGCATCCTTCGTCTGCCTGCCCTTGAGGAAACTCTGCTCCGCGTCTTGGAGGGGCAAAGGCAACCATCGCAAATCCTCCTCCTCCGTTCCGTTCGGCATGGCACAGTCATCAGCGTAGAAAAGCTGAAGGAGGAGCGACTTTGAAAATATTTAAGATGATGAAGAATATGAACTACGACGCTAGGGAGCTAAGGAGACAACAAGACGAGACACAAGCTCCACGATAGCAAAACGAGTTTTTTCCATGTCAGCATTAGAAAACGACATCACTGAAGTAGAGGAGTCGCGGCATTTGCTTGACTAGAAAGGTGCCTCGTCAGCTCGTAGAAGAAGTTAGTACGTTTCCGCCCCACAGTTTTCGTTTTCTTACTGTGGAGTAATCGTATCCGAGCCAGTACATGCTGAACAACGAGCCGGATTGCAAATTGAGAAACTTTCCCAAACGCTCAAGGTGAGGACAATCAAGAGCCTCAAAAACCCGCAAAGACGCAAAGGCCGTTGTCCACGTTACCAGGCAGCGCCGCAATTATGAGAGGTAGATGAACTATGAAGAGCGCGCTCCTGTAAAAAAAGTCTGATTGAAGGTTAAAAAAATATAAACCCCGACTGCTACCCCATAAAACACGAGGGCGCTACCTACTATGAGAATCAGACTGGAGCTATAGGCTCTCCCTAACTGCAATCCTTGGACATCCTTCCTGGTGTTATGCTGGTTGTTGCGGTTCTTGATGGCGCTATCCACATATTCCCTAAAGGCCGTCTTCTTCGCGTAGTAGTTGAAACGGTCGAGATCGACCAGCAGGTTGCGAAACGGTGCCCCATTCAAACGCACCTCGAAAGTGTCAGGCTCCTTGAGTTTCTCATACAAGAGAGTAGTCACCTGCAGGGGGCGCGGGGAGGTGAAATAAGTAAGAAAGAACCCAAGTTCTATTGCAAGTAGATGCTTCAAAGTTTTTTTCATACCAGATAAACCACATCAGTTGGGGATAACCTATATCACTGCAGCCACGCTAGTCTACGCAAACACCTTAAGGATAAGCATCTTCTATAACACGCCACGTCGTCCGGAGTAGCAGTGAGTGCCGGGCATTTAACCACGACGCCCTCTGCACCAAGCTCCTTCTGGATACGTTTGCACCAATTGGCGCCGTTATTTCCATCACCCGGCAACAGCCGTCGGATTTTGAAGGTCGGATCACCAGTGATCTGGTCAACGTGGATCGCGTGCCAGGCCAAGGTCTCACGAACCCGCTTAGAACCACCACCATTCCCGCCTGCGATCGCGGGACTCGCAACAAAAGCTCCGACCTGCATTTTTATGAAACACCTCCTGACTCACTTTAAGACATGGCTTTAATTATTTCCACTCTCTTGGAAAGATTTACTTTTTACTTGGGCCCACCGATATTCTTATCTTAGTTACCTTCTCAGTCTTTCTTGGCATCGGGGAGCTTGATGCATTGACTCCTTCTTTACTGTGCCACTTCATAAACCTCGCGCTTATTCGGAGTAAGCTCCTCACTCTTTTATTCGTCATCCTCTCGCACATGCCAAGCCACAGAATCTCGGGAGACAAACGGGAACGCAGACAAAGCTATCATCGCAAGAATGCAAGCGAAGAGAATCTGCTGGAGATGCTTGCGTAAATCGATAAGGATTACGCGAAAGCATTTGTGTTTCTATTTGGTTGCGCACTAGAGCTCAACGAGCAAAGTGCACAGAGATCGCAGATGGGGATCTGCGTCGAAACATCTTCAATGTTCATAAATTCAAACATTCTTACTTTCATCTTGTAGAAAGAAGCTCCCCTTCCCTCCCGGAGGCAAGGCCTCCCATCAACAACCAGGCGTGAGTTATTTTTTTGAATAGTTCTACCCACTAGATACCCAAGTACTCAAGTGAGTAAAACTATTCGAAACCAGCTACGACAGGGACGAGGTACAAACGTACTACATCATTTGAGAAATAAGAAGAAATTCTTTAAACAGTATAAGAGTTCATATATTGTAAGGGTAGATCAGTCGTGATGAGGAAAATTTCAAAAATTAAATCTAAAACAAGTGGCTCGTAGGGTGCACATAGATAGAAAAGAACTGAAGGAGTAGCAATCGTGGTAGTGTAATTGAAACACGAGGGAAACGAGGTAAGATAAGTCAATCAATATTCTCTAAAATAGGCAACGGCGTTGATCTCTCTCCAAGTAGATACTAGCCTACTCCCCCCCGCTAGTAAAGTAAAGTAGTTGCTCATATGGCCCCCCCTGCCATTTTCTCTCATTCAGTGCTTACTTCTTCGCGTTACCCTTGCGGGCCATCTTCATCGGCTTCTTATTCTCTTCCGGAACCTCCTCTACTTCTTCGGCAGCCGGAGCAGCTGGCGGAGCCGGTGGTACAGCGGTCGACGATGAGGACGAGGAGGAAGAAGAGCTAGTCGCAGCAGCGACAGCCGGTGTAGCGGGGAAATCCGGAAGCGCCAGCGCGCCAGTGGATAGCTGGGTCACCTCTTCCGGGACTGAGTTGCGAGCGCCAGAAGCGGAACATCCTCCCGTGGAAACACCAAAAGCGCGAGCCATCATCTGGTATAGAATTTGAGATAAGATGAGAAGAGGACGAAGAAGGGGACTGTTTGATAGGATGAGGCTTCTTGTGTTTCAACAGCAAGGTATAGGCTCAACTCGAGGAGACAAGAAACTCATGCAGAAACGACATCACTTCGTCATCAAATAGTCTAAATCTAAAGAAGTCGGCACGTCTTGCAGAGATCCCGCAGCCGAAGCACCACCGGAGCCAGCCACGCTAGCACGGTTCTGCAGCGAGTCCATGGCGCCGCCACAGATTGCGCCACCAAGTCCATCAGCAGAAACGCGCGCGAAAGAAGGCCCATTTCCCAGAGCCAGCTGCGGCATGGAAGTGTTGGGGTTCAGCTGCTTCAAACTCTGCAAAAACATCTCGCCGGCGGCTATCATACAAACACCAGCCGCATCCGGAAGTTCACTGTAGCGCAACTTCAAAACCACAGCTAAGAACTCACTGCGCAAAGCCTTAGCAGTGGCGCGTTGGTTCTTAGCAGCCGGCAGCTGTAGTGGAGTTTGAGTGGGTGACGAAGAGATGAATTGATGGAAGAGGATTTTGAGGAGTGGACTTTTATGAAACAAGACGAAAGTGCTTCACTTTAGATCTCTCGACTGTGATAAGTGCCTACGTTGAATATCACGACTGACTTCCAGCACATTCAATCTAGCCATCAATCTGAATAGTCTAAATCTAACGAATAAGCGGCACCTTCTTCGTTTTCGGCTCCTTCACGCCCAAAGACTTCAAAAAGTATTCGATCTGAATCCCGTCGGTGACCTTCTGCTCCACATTGGTCTGGCGCTCTTTGCAGATGGAAGCCAAGATCTCATGGAACTCCGGCAGCGACAGGTCACCCAGATCTGTAAGGTGGAGAAGGATAGTTATGAGGATGAAGAACTTGGGAGCCATTTATTCAGAATATTTGAGTTCTATTCTAGAACTGTACCTAAATCCGAGGCGAGTGATGAAAAAGTGAGCCTATCTGGAAACTGTTTGAATTCCACCCCGATGAACTTCATAAACCCGACCAGCATCTAAAGACGAAGCGCAAGTCTTTCCAGTGTAGCAAGCCTGGCCGAGGGCCTCGATGGCCTTGTATCCTCCGGCCTCAGCGATAAGCGCATCCTGGTGCTCCCCGAGAATACGAAGCCCCAAGGCGACAGCGTCCAAGCTGAGGTGACGAGCACGGTTGCGAAGATTCTCCTCGTAGTTGACCATATTGAGCATTTTCGGCGCCATCTTTTTTGATGTCTGTCGTGAGACAAGAGCAGCTCACAGCTTGATGTAAGGTGGGTCTTTAAGTGCAACTTACTTACTTCCTAGTTAGCCTAATGCTAGAGATAAGCCGCGGCCTCCTCTCCTTATACCGTTATCATCAAGGTCTTAAGTTAGTCACCACAGTAGAAACCTAAATACCTCGGGCAAGTGCAAGTCCTCTCTTATCACTCGACTCCTGATCTTCCGGGCAGAGCAACTGAACGAATCTCCCTGAGCACCACACTGCACAGCGCTACTATCTCCCCGGAGTCGTGGTCTGCAATGCATTACGTTTCTAGTCATCTACTCACTTTCTTCTTCTTGCGGTTCCACCTCTATTCAGTGCCGAATTCTGCATCATGATCAACACGCTTCTAGTCACAAATCAACAAGCACAAGCTCACAGCCTGCACTAGAATCTCCACAGCTCCTCCAGTCCCTGGGGTTCAGGGATTAAGCCGCTCCGACACGAGGCCGTGACTCGACAGGCCAGCTCCAGGACCTTGAGTCCCTCTCTCCTCCGACCACCGCTCCTGCCTTCTCCGGAACCTTCCAAAGGACTCTCCCAAGAGAGTCTAACCCTAAATCTAGTCTAGTTAATTCGCTATTTAATAGCTATTAAAAATTCAAAAAGTTTTTTTTTAATATAACCTGAAATAATACTTTAAGCTTGCCATATACACTTATACACTTATACAACCAAACATCAGTCACTACTAAAAACCACGATCACGATCGGATAAATAAGAGGCACTTCTTTTTAGAATTTCTGCATGCGATGGAGATTGCAAGTTTTTTTACACGTGGAGATTTCCTATTCTTTGAAACTTACTCCATTCCATGAAGCCTATCACTGGCTAGCATACCACCACCTAGACTATGCGACGCTCTGCGCCTGCAGAAGAGAAGGCACAAGACACAAGACGCGAGATTTCAGATTTTAAAATCTAGCAAAATCTATCAGATTCAAGACCACAAAATTTATCATTCATTCATTCACTCACTCATTCACTCATTTACCTAGCATGAGGCGTGAGTGTTTAGAATGCATAGAAAAGCAAGAAGATAAACAAAAAAACTGTGTTACACAAGGCTATGTTGACTCATTTACTATCAAAGAATTATATCTTAAGCATACAAAATGAGAAGAAAAAACACTGTCCAGATGTTGAAGCAAAACACATATCAAAAATGCAAACAAGCATGAAAAGCCTATATATAACATCGGTGGAGCACACCTAACTAGGAAACAAAAATACAAAAGAGCCAAGTAATCCAATTATCAAAAAAAAGAACTATAGTGGCCACGTTTATATTAGGATCCGTTTATTTTAGGCGCCGCGAGCTCGTCCATCTACCCTGGAGGTCTTCTCATCCAAGGCGGCCGAAGCCTGTGCATGCCTCAGAGAAGTGCTCGGTTCTCGCGCCATGTGCACCCACTAGTTCGCCCCAGGGTACCGGTACCAAACTAGTGCACAGCGCGAGAAGTACTAGGACTTACTTTACACTCTATCACTATTTCTAGCGCTAGGCCTAGCTTGTTCTATATAAATATACTATTAATATATCCTTCTATTTTATTCCAGTTTTTTATCTGCTACACTGTGTTTTGTATGCTCACAAGCATGAAAAGCCTACAACTAATAATTGGCATTTTATATATGACGCAGGGCCACTCGCAAAAGAAGGGAAGGGCGAGCCCATCTATCTCGCGCCACTCACAACAGAAGGGAGGGGTGAGCGGATCTATCTCGCGCCACCCTCAACAGAAGGGAGCCCGAGTAGTAGTAGTAGTAGTGGGAGTAGTAGTAGTAGTAGTAGTAGGAGGAGTAGTAGTAGTAGTAGTAGTTAGCCCAAAAACTCAAAGCTCGAAACTGTTAGAAGCCACAACTTCAGAGGCTTCAAATAAGCATCGATAGTTATACTGCTCAAGGAGAAAACCAAATAATACGAAGGAATCTTTGTGATGAAGACTAGCTGATGCTCCCTACTTGATACCTACTTAGAGACTTAAGTAAGTCAAGAGAGGATAGTTGGTAAGTCTCTACCAACTAGCGCCAAGTTAAGAGATAAAGATATCCCTCTCGCGCCAAGTTGGGTATCTCTTAAGTCAAGTTAATCTTACCAACTAGTCTTTACCAATGAATGATACCAACTAGTCTAGTAATCCTACCAACCTAGCTAGTTTACCAACTTAAGTAGAGATATCCAACTTAAGACTTACCAAAGTAGCGCAAGTCTCTGCTTAGAGACTTATCCAACTCGGGATCCCAAGTTGGTACTTGATACCCACTTGCGCTACCAACTTGGGATCCCTACTTGATATAGTGGTAGTAAAGCTAAACATGAGTGCTCGGCACATTCTACCTGCGTATGGGACGCACTGATGAGCTCGGCCTATTCGAGTACAGCCTGCCTAGAATTTTCTGGCACACGCCTGCACCAAGTTGTCAGGCTAAGAGACCGAGACGCAAGAAAATATATCATTTCTTAACATCTTCAATCATGAAAACTCTAGAGCCGCTAACAACCCTAATCTCAGGCAACCTTCATGATGTTGTCCTATCTCTTACTACATTAGTACTGTTGCCGAAGCTCCTGCACAGCTCCGCTCTGAACTCCGTTAGTCCATATTTCTTGTACTCCTCCATGAAAGAATAGTAAGCAAAATAAACTACAAATCTTCTGTTAGTATGACTGTAAAAAAGTCCTTGTAATATCTTCCGCGAGCTTGTCTCTTGCAGTCTGACCACCTTCGCTACTAGTTCTAACTACAATAGCAATCGTATCTACCAGTATGATCACGACCTTCGCTACAACTACCCCAAATTTTTCTGCACCTAACTGCAGCCATGTCCACGTGTGTGCCCCTGATGGTACTCACTATTCAGAGAACCCGTAGAGACAAGTTCCTGCAAAAAAAGTTCGAAAAAATGAGTAGTAGAAGTTCGAAATATCACATTTACTCCGTCTCATGCTGACCATTGAAGTGGTCGTAGAAGCATCGTTCTTCACAGTAATCCTCGCCATTCTTACCACCTTGAGGGCTGCAGACCTGTTGTTGATGATCAGCAGGCTCTGCACTTGTAACTTCTGCGATTAGTGCGGCGGGTTGTCGTACTAGTAGGTTTTCATTATCCTAAAAATTTTGACTCACCTCTTCTTGTCTCACTTCTTGTTGTGTAGGATCATCCTCTTGGGAAGCAAGCAAAAGTGTGCAAGAAGCAAGTGACAAAAATAGAAGGTTGGCTGAAACTGAACAAGTAAAATGTCTGGCCTTAACACGAGCTGTGTCTGCTGATCGTTGGTGTACTGATATCCACTTTGGTTGTGGTCAGCATGAAGAACATTGTTGGAGTTATACTTGCATCCTACTTCGTTATTTTAGAGCTCACGACCGCAATCCATCCATCCCAAGATGAAGATCTATCTCGGATCTATTTATTTGTTCCCTTTATTTGTATGATGCCACTCATTGATAACCTGAGTTATGGGGGAATGTCGTCCCTAAGTACGGCATTCCCCCCTTTGCCAATTCTCAATGAGTGGAAGCATTCATGATTGTGTTCTTCGGATCAATCTATCATTTTCCCTCTATGGGTATGGGACGATAGCTTCTTCCCTCGAAATGCTTCTGGACATGGATCGATTATGTTGCCTCCACCAGAGATGGATTGGTACAATTAGGAGAAGCCATAATTGTTGTAGCCTTGGCCTTCCCCTTGGTAGAAGTCGTAGGAGTCTACGTAGTTCTCGTAATATGGCCAGCACCTCTCGCCATTGTTCTCGTAATTGTTCTGCTGATTCCAGTAGTCAGCACTGTGCGACTGGTTGTTGCGCTTGCTTCCGTATCTTAGATTAAAGCTCAGCATCCATTGGTCACTGATGCTGAAAGAAAAGGGCCCTTTACCCCTCTACTTGTTCTCCCTGTGTTTTCCCCTGTTTTCCAAGGAGAGCCTCGCTGCGATCCCAGTGACCAACACCAATGACCATTGAAAGTTGAGCCTTAATTAGAGCTCGAAGCGATTCGCTTCTTGCCTTTTGTCTTGCCTCCAATCCTAAGAAGGAAACAGAAAGAACGAAATGACTTGCACAAATGAAAAGGAATTGCATTCAGCCTTAAGTATCCAGATGTTGAAGGCTCGTTGTTGAGGTTGCGGCTTCGGTTCTGGTTTCCATGATGGTTGATATTATTTCCATGACGATGACCATGCCCATTGTAGTTGCGGTATTAGAGCTCACCCTAATCCATCTTGAGACTCATCCTGACCTCCTCTTATCCCTTCAACTTGACAAGCCTCTTGCTGTTCAGAATACTGTGAAAATGGAAGACGAATTATAAGGAAAGCCTCCTTCTGAGGATGCTTGGGAAGGCGAATTAGGGGAAGCCTTAAGGTACATGTCCATGTCCGTTGCCGTCTCCATGTCCATTGTAGTTGTTGTAGTTGAATTTCTGACCATAGTCGCCCCAGTTGTTTTTGCCTTGCTGTTTCCAGTTGTTCTCCTGTCGCGAGTTCCGTCGCATTAGCGCATGTTTGCGGACCTCAGCGTCAGTCATTAGAAGTAGAAGTACGGAGGGAAAATAAACAAAGGACGAAGAGAGTATTAAATAATAAAGAGGACCCTATATCAATATCATGAATCACTTCGAACAGTAAATTTGAGTGTTTGTTACCACCTTGTGTTGTTTCTACTTTCTTTTGGAAATATTCCTTTCCATTGAGTCTATCACTGGCAAGCACGTCAGCAGCTGGAAAAAACAACGCATGTTTATGTTAACAAAGACAAGCAACCGTAACGAAAATCCTTCGCGCTGAAATACTTCGTCGATCTTTCTGCGCATCAGTAGGACCGCACGACCTTTCTCTTCCTCGAACGCGACTGGGCAAGCATCAATGTACTGATACTTGTCACGGGCAACGTACAGGTTCATCAAATTTGCCCTCCATCCTTGGCAACGGGAGCGTTCAACAGTGAGAACCTGTAATAGAGAAGTAATTCTAGGAAATACTGGTGCTTCTACCTCTACATGGTTTCTCTTTTCACTTTAATAACGTAAACGGCCACGCTGGACAAAAATCGGCTTTGAAGCGGAGAGATCCGTGGTCGTTGAACATGTGATTTAAATCTACAGCTAGAGCTATAATTAATTTACTCAAAACAGATAATTGTGATTTAAATCTACAACAGCTAGAGCTACAGAAAATTGTCCATGTACCTTCTTCGTCCAATGTCGATTAAACTGTCCACCATGGATGAATTGGGCAGCGAATAGGGCGTCCTCAGGCTCGCGAAAGCAGATGTGGCAATAGCCGAGAGATTGGCTACTAGAATTAGAACCGGACCACTCGGACCACTCGGGAGTGAGTCTACTTAATTGATTGATCGAACACAACGTTAAGTAAGTCTAACCATAATGTTGATATCAACCGGTGCGTAGAGCATGGCAATGCACTTGCGGTCCAAACCAATGGACTCAATCAAATCGATCATCAATTCGTCACGCCAGTACCTGTACTGTGGAACGGTGACGGTGTGAAGGAACTTTTGTATTTGTATGCAGCGTGTTGATTGCTTCTACACTCTACTACTTGAGGAAAAGAACAGAAGATGAACCTCTTGTCGTGGAGGGAGCCGAAAGAAAGAATGATCAAGATAGAGATAGATAGATGTACCCACTCGTGGGGTGTAAGATCTTTTAATTACGATAAAAAACCCCAAAGATTAGGAGGCTTTTTACCTGTTGGAGATATTGCGAATGATGATCGTGTCCGTGTCTGTTGGAAGTTTTAACTCGGGAATAGGTGCGGCCCATTTCTCGTACCATTCTCCACTCGGTTGCCACTCCTCCCATCGCGTAAAGAGCTCGTACCCTCGTGACTTTCTGGTTTCGTTCAATCGACTGCGGATGGCCTGGTGTTGGAGACAGTGGAGTTAAAAGGCTTTCGTTTTAGCTCGTCTATTTCAAAGTAGTGAGCGCCTTCTTCTACCCAAAAAATTTAGTACATGAGAATCCCCATGCAAGTCTTGACAAGACCCACCAATAAAAAAAACCAAAAAATACCACTCGATATTCGGCAAATGCAGAGTGAACTTGCTGCAGAGAATAGTTTTCCTCGTTGGTGGGGGTGCCGGTAGTTAGATTGGCTTGCTCCATAATCTCGTCATCCAAGTGCCAGAATTTCCCCTGATGCTGCATATTGCGAAAACTCCTTTACGGAAGGTGATTCGGAAGGGTGAGGATGAAGATGAATATGATGAGGAATACAAGACAACGCAATGCAATTTATCTCGCCCCTTCAGGGGTTTTGTTTTCCTTCGTAAGAACATCCGCGGCGGCAGCAGTGAGAGAAAGTTCTCTACTTTTTCCTTTTATCTATCTTGTGCACAAACCTACAAACCCGCTGGGTGATGACAACAAAATTTGAGTCCATCGAACTTGTTGATTGGATGTAAATTGGAGCTCAAATTCATGCGAAGCTGACATATGTGTAACGTTCCTTCGGTGCATCAAGTGCGCGCGCCCTTTTTCATGAGGGCCCTCCCGTGCCTTTTCTCGCGACGGTTTGGGCTATGCCTTGGCAGAGGCGTACTCCCCCTTTCACGCTTGCCCTTTCTCTTTGTTGTCATCCTGTTATGCCGCTTTCGGTCGCGGACGACCTGAGGTTTCTTGTGCACAGCGGCGCTTTCGTCGTCGCTCGGGGTAAGGCTGAGTCCTTGCCAGTATTTTATCTCTTGCTCAAAGAAATTTCCCAGTCCACCACCCTCGATGGCGCTGAGGTAGTCCTTACCCCAAATGCGTTCGCACTTTTCGTGCGGACATAATAGCGCCACGATATCCGGCGGGACGTCGCGGACGTGCTCGGCCTGCCTGCCCCACAGTGCTGTGGCGTGGTGGATGAGGTCCATCCTCGTGAGCGGATCCGCCGGGTTACGTGCTGTTTGCACGTAGCGATGCCACATTCTGCAATCCAGATCCACGCTCCGTTTCGCCGCCCAGGTGGCCAGACGGGCCGCGTGCGCGTTCCTAGCGCTAGTTTTTATTAGCGCGTATAACTCTCCGGCGTTGTCGATGCTACAGATGCAAGTCGCGCTGCGGAGCTGGTGCTGAAAGTGATGCTGGGCCAGGCGCACTGCCATGGTTTCATATTCTATTGTTCGACTGTCCAAACCCCCGCAGGGGCTGCTGAAGCGAACGTGTGCGGACTGCCTTGCGCGTCTAGTAGTAGACCGCCGAGCATGGGCTCGCCGTGTAGTCCATCTGTGCTCGCGTCAAGGTAGAGGAAGACGTAACTTGCCGTAGTCCAGGAAAGTGGCTGCGGTGGCAGTTGCGTTGCGTGTGCAACTGCTGCTTTGGTTAATCTTGCAAGTGAGGCGCGTTCCTGCTTGTTGGCTTTCAAGAAGTCGAAGCTATCGGTCGTCCACGCATACATTCCTCTCAGGAATTCTGCGCCGATTCTGGTGGTGTGGCAGATGACGAAGCTCAGCATGCCCAGTACTTTTTGAGCTTGCTTCTTCTTGATGGCTTTTGACTTGATTTGCTGTAGCAGGAGGTTGCCGGCTTTGAGGAGCTTCGCGAGGTTCTTGTAAGAAGTGTAGGCGTAGACGGCCGCATTTGTGCGGTCGTACAGGTACCAGACTCCAAGCACCTTGACGGCGTTTGTAGCCGTGCTAATCTGGTTTCCATCGGCTTTTTCGGCCAGTGCCATGCCGCAACACGCCGACAATGCGTCGCATGTTTGGCGCATGAGTTCGGCGGTCTCGTTATTTGGTCCGAGCAGGAAAGCGTCGTCGATGTAAATAAGCGCAGGCATCGTGGTTTTGTCCAAGATGGTCGTGAAGGCCTCCGAGATTCTGCAGAAATTTGGCACTGACAAAGTGTTGCCCATGTTGAGCACTGCGGCGTGGTAGTACTGCCAGTCGCCTCTACTAGGTGCGTAGAAGGCGGCGCTGTTGTGCTCGGGCCGCGATACTCCGAACAGGTAGTAGGCCTTTGACCAGTCGCGCACGACTGCTTCCGGCAGCGTTGCTGTCGTTACTGCCGGTGGGGTCTCCTGGTTGACTGAGACTTCTGATTTGCTCCGCCAGTTGCTCTGGGGTTGCATCTGCTGTCGGCTGCTTTGAGTTGCGATGCTGCTCAGCTTGTTTCCACGCTTCATTTGCTGTGTGGCTGGACGGAAGTCGTGTTGACGTGGCTTCATCTAGCCCCAGCGGGGCGAGGTATGCCGCGCACATCTCCTGTATCATGCGAGTGCCATGCAGCCGGACTTTTTCCGGCAATGTTGAGTACTCGTTTTGAGGCCTTGCGTCGATGATTTGTCGGATTTTCAGCTCTTCCTCCTTTGGGAACGCGTAGGACGGGTTCGTTAGTGACGAGTTGCTGTTGCGTGGTGCGAATGTAGCTACCCGCATCTGCCATTTTTTCCGCGTCCTCGAACATGGACTCTAGCACGGCATCATCGAAACGCGGCGCGGCGCGCTTGACGATGGAGACGTTGTCAAAGAATTCCTGGAGTTGCTGGCCGGTGATTGGAGTGGCGCGGGGGTCCGTTTCCCACACGTTGGCCCGGGTCGCGTTGCCCACTGCGGGGAAGCCTGTGACGATTTCCACACACAGGCGCGCGCCCTTGTGACCCGCCCACTTGCGGAGCTTTTCCAGTGCGATGACGTTGCGACAGCACGTCGCGCCTACCCCTAGCACGGGCCATAGATGCGCTGGCGCGTGTGTGCGCAGGAGTTTGTCGCTCTTCGCCTGCGTTTTTTGTTGTAGGTGCTCAAACTTCTTCTTCATTTTTCGCACATTTTTTGCCCATGCGCTTGGGTCGGATTTGGCTTTATAGATGTCGGCGGCGACCGCGGGTCGCAGCGTTGTCGTGGAGGCCAGTCTGGCCACTTGGCGAAATGTTGTGATAGTGTCGAAGATCTCGGCTCGATGGAGCCGCAATTTCTCCTGTTGCAACTCCTCCTCCACGCGGTGGAGGGTTTCCCGAGCGGAGGCATTGGGGTGGCAATGGGGCTCGGAAAACACCGCGATGGCGCTGAGAACGAGCTTACTCATCTTGACCTATACTACACACCAATCTAGTGCGCCAGAATCTAGTTACACGGATTTTAGTAGAAGATAAGTTCACTCACCACCATCACGTCACCCCTAGAAGGGGCGAGGTACCCCTTCAGGGGTTTTGTTTTCCTTCGTAAGAACATCCGCGGCGGCAGCAGTGAGAGAAAGTTCTTTACTTTTTCCTTTTATCTATCTTGTGCACAAACCTACAAACCCGCTGGGTGATGACAACAAAACTTGAGTCCATCGAACTTGTTGATTGGATGTAGATTTGAGCTCAAATTCATGCGAAGCTGACATATGTGTAACGTTCGTTCGGTGCATCAAGTGCGCACGCCCTTTTTCATGAGGGCCCTCCCGTGCCTTTTCTCGCGACGGTTTGGGCTATGCCTTTTCTCCAACCGTTATCGACGTCCTTCTGCTATGGTCCACATGGTAAGGACGCCCGTCGGGCGCTCTAGCCGTCCGCGACGGCTTGACGAAGGAAGGCGCGGAGGGTAACGTTCTTGCTCTTGCGCTGCTCGAAGGTTCGCTTGGTCTCCTGCATCACGTCCCAGTGTCGTTCTGGGGTCTGCCAATGGCCCATGAGATAGTTGCATTTTGCTGGAACTCCCAGCATACTCCAGTGTGCTACTGGGCCTCTGCTCTTTTTCGGCAAGACTGCTTCTGACGGCTTGGCGCTGCTAGCCCCCGCTTTTGGCTGCAATATTTTCGCTGGCTTTCTGACTTTTGTGGCCGGTGTGGGCTTTCCGCTGGTTTCACCTTTTGGGAAGGCTCGCCCGGCGACGTGCACGTGGACGTAGCCCTTCTTACCCATCGCGAGGCTGTGCGCTTTCGATGTGTAGAAGGTGATGCTCTTATCGCTGGCGGATACCGGTGGCGCGCTGGATGACGACGCGGTCGCCGCACCCTCGCGAAGACCAGGCGCAGAGGCCGACTGGCTCTGTAGGATCTGTTTTGCCAGTTCCTTGATTTGCTCACTTGCTTGGTAGTCTTCGCCATCTTCTTCATCTCGGGCCATGCGCGCCGCGATGGTAGCCTTGGTCATCTCTGCCTTGTCGTAGAATTCCATCGCTTGGGTTGTGAGGACAGTGTTGTCGGTGATGCGCGGCCATACGCTTCGCACACGCGGTAGTTTGTGGTGGAGCGCGGTGAAGTCCTTGTAATCGCACGCGTAGTTGCGCAGCTGGTGCGGGCCGTCCCAGCCGCGCTGTTGGAGGAAGACTGGTAGGTCTGCGCGCATGCCGTCTTGGATGCGCTTGCGCGCCGCAAAAGCCAAAGCCCGTCGGGCTGAGTGTTCCGTCCATCCGCGTTTCTCAATGTGGGTTTTGATGTTTTTGTAGTCTAGTGGAAACCTAAAGGGAAGTAGCTTGCCGCTCGCTCCGTGTAGTAGACATTGCTCTCGTGGATGGTCTAGCTCAGGTTCACAATTGCAGCCTACTTCAATGACTCTGCCCTGAGCTGCTTTAACTTTGTCTTTCCGTACGTGTACAAAAGTTGTCTGATGGTTAAACTTGTCTACGCCAATCCAAGTGCCGTCCTCTCTCAGTTCAGAAAAGGAATCCCCTCTCAGCCCCAACTGTGGATAAAGTAATAACCATGCTCGCGCTTGGAGCTCCACTGCATATAGGTCTTCATGGACGAGGGCTGGAGGTGCTTTGGCCGTCTTGTCGCGCTCGGGGCCCGCGGCCCTTTTGAGGTCCTGTTCGATGTCGTAGGACGCGCGAAGCGCAAGTCCGCTGCTGTCGTCCTCCATGACCTTGCTACGCTTTCCGTCTTTGAGCGGCGGACTGGCGCAGAACATCAGGACTCTCTTGAATTCGTCCACCGTCTGCTTATAGCCGCAGTGGGCTCGGAAGAGGGAGTAGCTGTGCAGGTGGCGCAGCGTGATTGGTTGGGGCACCGGGTGCGGCGGCACATGGTGGCGCGCCAACCAAGACCGGAACCGGTCGTAGTCGTAGAGCTTCTGGTTGAGCGTCGACCGTTCGGTTGCCGCCAACTGAAGATCAAGTTGGAACACGTCGAAATACTTTTCTTCGATCTTGGTGAGACCTCCTCGTTGAAGCCGGAGGAGTTTGTCGGCCTCCTTATCCGATATCCGTGGAGGTATCGTCTGCCTTGCGGCTAGACTGTACCTGTCCGAGGTTGCGTCCTGTGCCGCCGCGGGCGACACATACTTGCCATGAGAGAAGACCGTGCGGGGCATTTTGCAATCTCTCACACGCTTCCCGACGATCACTCTACAGTTTATTGCTGAGGTGATGATAAGGGTACTTGGCGCTTGTACCGGCGGCCGCGCCTGCACCTTATCTAAGATTTAGATGATTGCTTCATCGGTAATTATGCTCATACGAGGCCACTTAGCTCACTTATTGTAGTTTTACTTGCGGCACTCATAGTCTGACAGCTCTTGCTGCGCTCAGCGTCTCTCGGTGTCGCGCACTTGAGCTCGCGGCTCGTTGAGTGGTCCTGATGTAAATGCTCACTACTCTCTCGCCACGTGTGCTGTCTGCCACCTCTCAGGACTACCATACTGCAGCGCAATGCCTTCAAAATTACAGCGGCAACACTGGAGCTCTCACGCCCCATTGGAATTTGAGGACTACGCGGTAGCGATCTTGTTTACACGATCCACACGCTAGACGGCCTCATCCGCGGATCAGATTACCGATTCGACTTTACGTCAGTAGTGAACAGACAACTACAGCCTCCGCTGCTCTGCGCGCGGCAGTTTACCCGTGAACGCGTCGCTACGCGCGAATACCCCCGACGGGGGTATTGGTTTTGGAGGTTTTTCATCTACACACTCGCTCTTCTTGTATAGATATGTTTTCGCAGGAGCTTTCTCCTTTTTAGCTCAGGCTGGTGGGAGCTGCATTAGCGCAGATTGTTGTAATGTGCGCATGATGCTACATGCTAGATCCTCCTCTCGAGGCAACTCCACGGGTTATAGCGCCCGTCGCCGCTTTTAGGTCGCAAAGTCCGTGCTTTATGCGTTAAGCGCCTTCTTGTAGCTGTCCTCCTCGGTGCGATCCACCGGCAAGCAGATGGCCTTCTTTTTTGTGGAGGTGACGAAGTGTTGGCCTTTCGCCTTGCATACCTGGCAGGTTATGACCCAGCGCCATGCTCCGTCCGCCGCCATGTCTTGACTGGCATCCGGATCCGACGTGTAGACCCAGCGTTGCGGGATTTTGTGGTAGTATTTGCATCTTCTGTGGCCGCAGTTTCCAGACTGGTAGAAGCGTTTGCAGACTCCTGCCGGCAGCGCAGCGCCCTGGGCGATGGAGTCCTCGATGATGAATTGGCGGCCCACCACCCATGGGATTCCGCACTCATCGAGCACGGAGCCCATGTGCTTTCCGAAAGCGCGGCCGATGCACGGGTCGGAGTGCGTATCGTTTCTGTTCTTCAGCTCGCGGCTGATGGTGTCCGCGGCACGCTTCTCCGTGTAGTAGGAAGTTCGGTGGATGCGTTTGTCATCACCGGCCACCGGCGCGTCGAGCCCGCGGTTGTAGTTTCCCGCGATTCGTCCAGAACCGTTGTTGTTGAAATCTGGCGCGTAGTAAAGTGGTTGCTCTTCCTCCTGCCACTTTCCGTAGCCGTCGCCGCCGTTTCCACCGTAGCCGGTGTTGGATTTCTTGTTGTAGCCGTCGCCAGCGTTCCAGCCGCCACCGTACTCCCAGTCTCCTCCGCCGTAGGATCCACCGCTGTACGAACCGCCGCTCCAGCTTCCTCCACTGTAGGAGCCTTTTCCGCCTGTTGCTCCCGATCCGGAGCCGGATCCTGACCCTCCGCCGCCACCGCCGTTTGGGCGATGATGCTTGTTTCCGGGGCCGTCGCCATCGTCGTTTCCGCGCTTCTTGGCCTGGTAGTGGCGTTTGCCTTTGCGTGCTTCGATGTTAGCTGTGATGATCTGCCATCCGTGCATGAGCAGATACGGAGTCGTACGCTCGTCGTTGCTAGCTGGTGAGCCCGGGAAGGTTGACGGCTGTTGTGGCGCGTGCAGCAGGAAAATCAAGGCTGGGATGATGTGGTAGACCAACTCTCCCATTGTGACGGAGCGCAGTTTGTGCGTATGTGCGTCGATTAACCGTTCCGCCTCGTGCAAGGTGTCGGCCTCGCCAAGCGCGAGCAGCATGCGACACATGACCTGCATGCTGTCCGGCTTGTGGTCGTCTTTGACGAAGGAGGTGTCGACGATAGCTTCTTCCAGCTTGCGAGTCTCGCCGTTTCGGCACTTCGCAATGAGCACGAGCAGCGGCTCCATGTTGTCTTCGCGGTTGTTCGTGGCGGTGACGTAGGTGGACAGGCATCCCGTGTACTCTTTGATGATGTCCGTGAGGCACGCGCGTGCACGCCCTTGCGTGATGTTATCCTCCGCTTTGACTCCGTCGCCCATCCACGCCACGTTTTTTGCTGTGGTGGCCGCCTTTTTGGACCAGTTGTTCGTCGGTTCCCAGGTCGCGGCATGCTCTACCAGTTGCTGTTCGGAGGAGATTCCGCTGATCATGGTGAGGACGATGGCCTGTCTCATGACGCCTGCGTTAACACCGCTCTCGGCGATCAACTTGCGCGCAAACGTGTCCGGCATGATGAACATGCTGCAGGCCACCGCACGAAACTTGTCCGCATCGAGGTATGCGCTGTGGCCCACGCAGATGGCGCGCACATTTGCGCGCATTTTGGCCTCGTCCGTGACCAGCGCAGTGCTGTGCTTGTTGCGCCAAGCCACCGCGTGTTGCGGGTCGTGCATGTCGACCCAGTTCATGGCGCGGCCCTGCACCCATTGATGTGCATTTCCAAGCACGTTTCCAGGGTCGTACGGTGATGTTTCCGCGTTGACCTGCGCCGGGCCTGCTCCGAGCAGCCCTGGCGGTGGGAGGGCCGGGCTCTGCGGGACCAGTGCAATCGCCGCTGCGATTGCCTGCTGCGCCTGTTGTTGATTTTGCTGCTGCATGAACAACAACTGTTGACTCATTTGCTGCTGCATGTTTTGCATCTGATACTGGATGGCCGCTTGGGTTTGGCCATGATCTTGCGGTTGCGCCGCCGGCTGCGGTGGTGCCGGTGCCATCGGGTGATGCTGGTCAAAGACTGCCGGCTGCGGTGCCGGATTCTGGTTTGCTGGCCCCTCCACCGCTTGCGCAACTTGGTTGTTGCTTCCGTCGGCGTAGATGACGAAGCTATAGCAGCCGATCGCGTAGTCCGCCGGTGGCTGCCCGTCGGCGCCGATCTGTTGGACGCGTGCCAAGATGCGTTGCATGATGGCCGGCTTTGTTCCTCCCGTGGGTAGGCCCCACGCTTGGCAGACCGCGATGAGCCGTTGGCGCGTGTTGACCGTTGCGAAGTCCATGTTTGGATTTTGGTTGCCTCCTTGATTCGCGATCGAAGCGTTTCCGAGGATCGCCACAACTGTGATGCGATCTGCCGCTGCTGCATCGATCGCATGACCGTCGTCATTGGCCGCGACAAGCGCGGCTTGTTTGACGGTGTCAGCCGCATACCATGGCGCGACGATGTTGACCAACTGCGGGTCTCGCATGATTGCGATCCAGATGCTCATCTGGTTTTTGACTGCGTCGCTGCAGTTTTCCAACGCCGTGGCGCACGGCTTGATGTGGTCGGGCAACTCGTTCTGGTTCCAGCGGGCGTTGAGTTGCGCCATTTTGTGTTTTACTCGAGGTTATCGACGCCTCCTACCAGCGGAGAGGTTATTTACTCGCTATATTTACAGCGTTTGGCGCGTTGAGACTATATATCCACTGGTAGTTCTCCAAGCATAGTCTTTAGCAGACTATTGTTTGGAATCGTTCCTCAAGGCCCAGACTCTCCAGCCGAACTACAGTGGGAATATAGGTAATCCACGATTACTCTAATCTATCTTGATAGTGACGACTAATTCGCGAATTACAGGGGGGGGCTTGCCAACATACTGACAATCATAAATAATCAAAATTCTTTCACTTTACTCGAAATAGGTATGATTTCATCATATATTTCGAGACCTAATTAATCTTACGGCGTGATAAGGCCATATCAAGCACGTACGAGAGACATATCTAGATCTACGACAGACCACATCAAGATCACACTCTAGAAGAGATCGTCCTAGAGATCGGAGAGTGCGGATCTGCTAGACTAGATAGCTCAGGAGAGAGCGAAAAGATCGCCCCATTCCAAAAGGGTGCAAAAGAGCATTACATAAACAAAATGTCTTCAAGATCTGAAACAGAAGCTCCAGATCTTTATTGAAGAAGGACCTACTGAAAAAAAAGCAATACAAATAGTCGCTATTTTATCGAACAAAGGAGGCTCGAGATCGCTTCACTAAGTAGCATTCGTTTGATCGCGTATGGAAATCGCGTTTGATCTCTCACCTATTCGCTCGACAAGTTAACATGATTCAAAGATCGACACTTGACTCATTTAATATCTTTCGGATAATACGGAGTACACGAGTGAAAAGATGCATTTGGATCCTACGCTATGTGAGTAGAAGAGTGGCGGAGTGGTCATTTAAGATAAGCGACCCCATGTTTACATAATTATACAAATCAAGGCAAGTTGGCCCGTCTATCACAAGCATTGTTTTCTTTGTCAAGCACGCATGATTTACGGCCGATTTGCCACAAGACTCCCAAGATTCAGGATTGTACTCAAGGTCATCCGCATATAGCGCCTGGCTTCTCATTTGTGTTGATTGTGTATTGGTCAGACCAGCCACAATCCGAAAGTACATTTATTTGCGACATTTGTCGACGAGAAACCTTTAGAGGTGCCTTTGTGCTACATTTGTCGCCATCGAATATTTGTGCCGGAATTATCCATATTTTATAAGACGCGAGATGCACGCCTTTCTAGGTAGTGTTGCCATTAGGGACGCACCCCCATTTTAGATGTCTTAAGTTAACTGTGTGTTCTTAATTGGTTCAGCGTAGCTCTTTACTTTCCTACAAAATTCTTTCAGCAGCTTGCTTTTCTTTATATTTACGCTTCGTGTTCTCCGTGGAGAATTTCCCTGCGACTATTTTTTGAGGGAGCGAAAGTGATGAGGTTCTTTTAAGCGCTGCGGCGTAATATTGATCCGCTTTTTGCATGATTTTCATTTTATACATCGCTTTTCAGCGAGCCTTTGATCCTCAACACGCGGTGTTGTGGTGGGCTCACCAACCTCACCGGGCACGCTGGTGCCACGCCTTTCGGCAAGATCCTTGTAGCCCTCCCTCGATTTCTGGACGGCTGCGTCCTGGGGAGAGCTCTTGCTGCCAACGCGGTCCCGGTTCGGGACCTCGATGTCACCTGAATTCCCTACGGGACTTCCTGGTGGTGAGACATCGCGTTGGCCCCTGCCGCGGCGTACCCGCAGGGTCTCGCTAATCTCCCAGCGCCAGGCGTTTTCAGCGGAAAACACCGTGATGGCGCTGAGAACGAGCTTACTCATCTTGACCTATACTACACACCAATCTAGTACGCCAGAATCTAGCTACACGGATTTTAGTAGAAGATAAGTTCACTCACCACCATCACGTCACCCCTAGAAGGGGCGAGGTACACAAAGTTCAGTGCAGACTGCCACAAGGGCAAAAAACTGCAGCCACCAAACGGTGTTCGTGCTTCATGGTGAGAGTCATGCTACCAAATATGATTATATCCTGTTTTGATCATGAAAATGCGACCAAATATGGTGTTTCCTTCAAAGAGGCGATCTGTTGTTGTGATGTCGCTAACTATATAACGCGCCTATATCACATTTTCAAACAAGTAGTACCCGTCCTCGTTTGGCAGTGCGACGGCATCTCGCTGATCATTGTAGGCGATACTTGCTGTCATGTCGGTGAATGCTGGAGTGAGTCGCGTCATCAGGGCTGGCGACAAAGCAGCCAATTCCGCATTAATATCAGCTCTATTGCGATGCGGGGTTTTTCCGTTCTCAGGGGTCGTTGACCCGGCAAAAGAAGTCGCCGGCGTAGTGGGTTGCAAAGAGAGTAAGTCTCGGTCGGATGGGGGATTAGACATGGTGCTAGTTGTAGTTACAATGAGTGTTGGTTAAGGTTCAAGTAAAGAGGACGTGTCCGAAGAAGGACAGCAAAAACCGAATCACGAAATAGCTAAGTAATGGTAATCCGATCTCACGTACATGATCGACAGTGTACTACCAACATGATAGCGATGAAGATTCATCAATCTACTTATACTTTGTACTTCTTGTATCTAACGTTCAAGTTCAACATCAACTTCTAGGAAGTTAAAGCCATAAAATCCACGATGTTGCTGCTGTTATTTCCGACCATCCAGGACGAGTTGTTGTCAGCAGTCTGTGTGAGTCCCTGGCTCTGCACATTGTTATTCGTCGCGTACTGATCTCCCGAGAGAGAACAATTGTTCGTGTTGTACTGATTTCCGAAAGCTGTCCCGAGGTTGTTTCATATTAGAGCTAGTACAGCAACACCAGGTGGGTGGGTGGCGATTGAATCTTCTTATTTTAGCTATAATGTTGAAGATAAGGTTGAGTTCACTCAAAATCCGATGAAGGTCAACTTCAACATAATACAACCAAAACTGATTTGAATCATTCTTGCCAGTTTATCAAGCCATAAGTTGTTCATGTTCACAGCACCCAGATCGCATTGTTGCTGCGCTTGCGGAGAAGTTAAACCTGCCATATTCATCAAGAGAGAAGTATCTCCACCTCCAGCACCGTTGTTCAACAGCAACATACTCCTGTAGTTGCTGTCTATTCCTGCTCCAGCACCCAGTCCTAGCAGTTGTTGTTGAAGGCAAGAATTGTTGTCGATGTGGTTAGCAATCAAGAGAATGTTGGCGTTACGCGTGGCATGATTTGGCGATGTGTTTTGTTGAACGGGGCCTCCTGGCGTAGCACTGAGATGAACATTGATGTTACTGGCTGTAGTGTTGTAAGCTCCCATCTGCTGTTGAGGCTGTTTCTGCTGTTGTTCCTGCTGCATGCCTGTTGTCTTCGTTCCAACATCTTCTGATCCACAACTTCCATATAGAACACTGCGCACGCTAGTAGGAGGGAACAAGCTGTTTTGCTGCTGGATAGAAGAAGCAAGACCGTTCAATGAGGTAGTTGTCGGCAGCATACTGGTGGCTGGTGGTGGCGTGTTCATCAAATTATTGTTGATGTTTACAGCCCCAGTAACACTTCCTGCAGAATTCCCGAGCATTCCATTCATCTTGGTACCAGTAGTTGCACCAGCAAGCAGATGTTGATTATTCATGTTCGTGATGGTATTCAGCATCAGGTTGTTCAGGGTGTTACACACGGAAATGGTGTTCAGATTGGTCGATTGAGCACCTCCACAAGGACTAGAATTGATACTGCTGTCCCACGAACACCGGCTACTATTACTATTAGACACCTCATAAATCCGTCTACTTCAAGAGCATCTTGGTGCTCGTTTTCACTTGAGAAGTGGGAGCGACCATGGTGTTCGGGAAGATGAAGAAGTTGGATTTATATATTGTGGCCTTAAGACTAGTGCGAGCACTTGCGTTGACAGCCGTGGCCATCGTGTCTACAGTTGTATCTTCAGAGCCAGAACGCACAGCGTTAACGATATTCGGCACATGTTGCTTTTTGCCGATACCTGGATGGAGTAAGTTCTCCCTGAGTTGTCCTCAGTCTTATGTGCCATGAAATCCAGATGGACGAGGTAGGAGGTGAAGACGAATATCGATATAAATTTCAACAAGTTCATGATTTTGTAATTACAACGAACAACCCGCGACTCGAACTCCAAGATAGAGCAAAGAAATTCGAACAACTCCGATCTTCAAAGAAATTTAGGAGAACAAACTAAGAATACCATCCGTCTGCTGTTCTTCCGGAGTGATGGGGACGTAGGCTGCTGGCAACGCTCCCAAAGCCCCTGGCGCAAGCGGAGGCGAAGACGGCAAACAATTACTAAGTAAATTGTAGTTGATGTTGTTGATGGCCGCAAGTAGGACATTGTTAGTGTTTGTGTTGATGTTCTCGACGATGGAGGTACTAGTATAATTGTTGTTCACCAAAGAACCATTGTTGTTGATCATATTCATGTTGTTCATCACGATAGTCGTACCATTGTTCAAGTTGTTCGTCCCAGTTGCAGCAGTAGCACAAGCAGCCGCAGAAGTAGTGTTATCAGTCGTGTTCGCTGCAGTGCCAAGTAGTGGGTTACTCAACAATAAGCTGGCAGCACCTCCGAGGTTTACGTACTGACTCACGATGTTGTTGTTCGGAGGAAGGATATCTTAGAGTAGAAGCTGTAGGATCACTATTTTTTGTAATCACGCTCTACTTCGGTGCATAGGTTGTTCAGAATTCTTGCTTCTTTTGAACAATGATAGGTGGGAAGTAAATCAAATTTCATTATTGAGAAGATGCTTCTGTAACAATAATCTCTTCATCGCCGTTTCTGAATCTACCAATACCTTCATATTGATAATGACTATAAAACTACGACCGCCGAAGCCTTAAGTATTCGTGTTTACCTCATCCGTACCAGCACCTCCACCGCTGTAGTTGTTGATAATATTGTTCGTAATGCCTCCATTCATGAAGATGTTGTTGTAGTTATCGTTTGTACTGGTAGCAATATTTCTGGTCGCATTATTAGGGCTAGAAGGGCCTTCGCATCCCTGAGAGCATCGATCCTTGCCTTCTATTTCAAGAGGAAAAAAACCAAGGACTATGAATGCTGAAGATACTGAGGAAGCCGATCATGCACATGGACATGCGGTAGCCATAACATTATTCACCACGCAATGATTTGTAGCATTGCTGATGTTGTTGTTTGCCATCACATTGATGCACGTATTCATCACGTGGACGACCGGTTTGTTGCCATGATTTCCTTTTTCGCTTGTTGTCTTAGAAGAGGTTAATAGCTAAAAAACTTGGCATAATTTTAGGGCGTACTTTCAATATCAGATTCTAGGTTAATAGCTAGTTTGAGTCCTCTAGTAGGGTTGTGAAGTAGAAGCCTGTCACGATACTGTGTAGCCATACCCATAGTGCTGGCTACTTACAAACGCCGTAGAACGAAGGAGGACATCTGTCTGATTGATCAAGAGCATCGTGGACGACACAGAACGTAGATATCAAGACATAAACAACATTCATTGATTCAATGACGAAAACAAAAACACTACTAGGTACCCTGGTAAGCCTTAAAAATATTCGTCGTCCCTCCAGCAGCAGCAGTGTTGTTCATCGTATTGATCATCGTGTTCCCCACTCCAGTGCAATTGTTGACGCCAGCCGCTTGGGCACACGATCCCTGTTGGTATTCTTGACCGCCAATATTTTGGAAGTTCGCATTCAGATTAATGCCCATCAAAGCATTACCAATAATTTGTTGCTGAATCGTGTCAACGTTGTTGTTACCAGGATTGACCATGTGATTGCTGTAGTTGTTACCAGAGAAAGCAGTAGCTGTAGCAGTAGTAGTTCCCGCAGTACCCTTATTCTTCATGTTCATCAAACTTCCAGCATTACTGAAAATGTTGGGATTCATCGTCGTATGGTTCACGTTGACCAAGTTGTTGATGGTGTTGTTGCAGAAGTTGTTGTTCCCAGCAAACTGTTGATGAACGGCGTTCGCAACGTTGTTCAACATGCTGTTGTTCTGGCCTGCTTGAGCAAATGATTCGTTGTTCTGTTGATACAGCATATTGCTAACATCTTGTTCCGCACTCAACGGGGGCAGAGAAATTCCTTAGAAGAGAAGGAAAGTAGTCAAGATTCGGTGCTTCAGCTTCTTCGCGCAAAGCAATTCCAATTTCTCATGTCTTTCAAAACAACAACAAGCTATGCTTGTCAATATCGACGTCGAATATTGCTAAGTTCTAGTAGGTAAAAGTATTTCTTTTTCATAATTCCCCAGCAAACCAGCAGAGGCATCGAATGAGTTAGTATCGGAGTAACTGGACTGTTCACGCAATGCCGGCGTAGCAGAGCAGCACGACATCGTCGAGCCTTCGCTCACTGCTTTCGCCTGCAAGAACGTAGTACAGGTAGAAGTGGAACATTTCGAGAGTGCCAGTACGTAATCAATAAAGTATCTCTATTTCCACTTGATGACGATGATGATGATACATATACCCAGATCAATCGGATCGGGTAAATAAAACGTCCTGTACTATTACTTATTCTATGTATAGTACCATTGATTCAAATGTCATCGTGACGATACAGGGTTCTGAAGTACCTGGTCACCAGCAGTCATCGTGACGATCGGAGACGATGCGAAAACTGGTACTTCGGGAGTAGCGTGCTTGTCTCGACCTGAATGGTGTTGGAGGACAGTGAATTATATGATAGTATGTCTATCATGTTGCCTCAACAATCTTCATTTGAATTTGCATGTGCATAGTCGTTCGGAGAATTCAAAGTCTTCACATGGATGTATATAATTTTCTGAGAGTATGTAGTGCAGAAAAAATTATGATACTAGTAATTTTCCAAATTCCAAGTTCCAAAATTCCAAGTACAAATTCGATATTGTCGTGCTTCGCGGAGTATTTACGACCACAGCTTGCTGTTTGGACACCACTGGAGCTTGGAGAGTTGAGTTCTTTCGATGAATTGTCGTTTAGTGTGCCTGACTTGAACCGTACTGATAATGAAATTAGTAAAAAATCTATCGCGATAAGAACCAAAAAGAAAATTCGACACCTAATTGTATCAAAACCTTTACTGTAGTATCTGAGCAGAACAAAGAAGAAAGAAAGAACAAACCAATAAATTAGTAAAAAATCTATCGCGATGAAAACCAAAGTGAACAAAATTCTATCTAATTCTAGTTGTATCAAAATAAACCTTTCCAGTGTCTGAGCAGAAAGAACTTAGTTCAACTAGAAGTTGATCTTGGTCTAGCTTCTTGCTATTACTGTTTATCAGTAGAAAAACGGATGAACAAGGACAACGTCAAAACAAGAACTCTGTCAAACAAGAACTTAAGAACTTTCGAAAGGTTGAAGAACTGTCAATTCTTTATGATTAATATTTTTATAAAACGCCGTACACATACTGCAATGTTAAAAGCAATACGATGAATATTCAAGTATAACCTTAGTTTGTGAGTACTACATTAGAAATTCCTAACAGTCGATCAATTTTCCAATTCGCATAAATTCATTCATTCATTCATTTACCTAGCAAGAGGTCGTTCGCAGGACTTAATTGTTGCAGTTAACCTTTTTATTTTCTAACCTTTTTGATGCACTTCTCTTTGTGGCTTTTATATAAGTCAATCCTTTTATATAAATGAAAAACAAAAAGAAAAACTATATTAATGTTGACCACCCAATTTCAATCATTGATCCTAATACGTCAGTACGAGTGAATGAATGAGTGAATGAATGAATTTGCCTAGCAAGAGGATTTCGATACCAACTAGAACTAAGTACACAAAAATTATCTTAATATTAGGTGGGTTGTCCTAGTTGTCCCGGCTTGATGTCCTCTTAACCTTAATCTTCTAGAAACGCGAAAGCTCTCTTTTTGAAGGCATGAATCAGCTCCAAGCCCCTATGAATTTTGTTTGGAAGGAAAAGATTAAAAAGCCGCCAAGCTGGAGATGAAGGTTCACTCTTCTAGTACTCAGAGAATGAGTATCATCAAAAGACACAATCAAAACTCAACTACACTGACAACACAACACAACCACGACCCATCAACTACATCCACATGTGACGGACCACAGACTCACATGGCAGTGTTTAGGTGACCAGAATCAATAGGACTGACCAGACCCACAAGACAGTCCTTAAGAAGTAATGGTAATCAGAAAAGAGCAATTATCTTCCTACAGATCTTGTTGTGTTTGGCGTACCACGTTCAGTTACGAGACACTTGTCTTCAACATGTGACGTTACTAGGTAGGATGCACCAAGTTCAACAACCATCAAGCTCTGTCTAAGAACGCGAGTTTATACTCCAGCTGCTAGGAAGATGCAGCTCGTCCGGTGCAGAGACCACGATCGTGGTACACCAACACAATCAATAGGTTGTCAGAGAACACAAATTATATGCTCACGAGTACGTGTAAAAAATGTTACCAGAGCAAGATAAGGAAGCAAAAGCCGGCTTTTTCTTTTTCTTTCAACATCAATTCTTGTGCGTCGGTAAGCGTGAGTTCATTACATGAGTGCGCTTAGATGACTTGGAACAGTGTTGTTGTTTGATTTCAAATCCGATGCGACATGCGTCAATTAATAACTGATGCGTCATTATTTGGTAAATGAAATAGAAATGTGCGGCGGAAGTAGATACTATTTGCGTGCTTTCATCTAATCGTCGCTATCTCCATCTTCAATATCATCATGTATGAGGCGTACTCTACCTTTCTCAACTTTCTTTATCAGATTTTGCGAATCCAAAGCCTCAACGTCGCCTGGCTTGCGCTGACGGATGCTTAAAGTTGAGGAGTTTACTGTGTGTTTATTCCCATCTATCTTCTCACCTCCTCTATCCCTAGTACCTTCCGCCTTCGGATCGAAGCTGAATTCTTCGTCGCGAAATTTTTCAGCCAACTGCGTGATTCTATGCAGCGCAGGCACGGGCAGAGCCGGGATTCTGCCACACGTGTTCCGCAAAATCTGATCTACAGCGCAAAACGTTTCGAAATGGCCGTAATGTGAGTTAGAAGATCACTAGGATGTTGGCCTATGTCCATGTTTCTATATAATTCTTCTAGCAATCATAACTAAACTAGCCTCTGCTCCTTCCGCCATTCCTCTCGAAGACAATTCGGCACTTTCCCAGTGCATTTCTGCTCGACTTCGCTGTATCGCGCGATCCACGTCGGCTATCCGGCTCCGACGAAATTGGTAGAGGCCGCCAGGCTTGCATGAATGCACATTAGCATCTAAGTAACCGCGGCAGCAAAGTTCCAAGTCATTCCCATCCCAAAAATTGTAACGACCTCAATGTTTAGTGCTATTGAAATTGATGCATCCTCGTCAAGAGTAGATTACAAGGATAGAAATCAACGATTGAGTTGTACTGAAAAGAACTAGTAGATTATAATTTATAATAGAATATCCGGCAACTTCCCAACTTCTGGATTGCATGGCATGGATGGCATGCATTGCATGGATGGACCACCCAAAAAGCAATACATTTTTCGCGGCGCCCTTCAGGCGCCATACTTCCTCCGCAGTACCGGGCTGCTCCGCCGAAGAATTACTTTACGATACACGAACACAAACACGGCCCCACTGTGACCTCGCCCCAGAAACAAGCAAGGAGCAGCGCAAACGCCGCGGCCTGTGTGCGCAAGGGAACAGTGAGCAAGACGGTCGAGATCACAGGCAAGCTAGCCTAGTCGAGCTACTTACAATAGCTAGTACGTGCCAGCACTATTCGAGTACTCCTCCAACGGAGCCAAGTATTCCTATGCCGCGCCCTGAGTCTTCGCCCCCGTGTCGCTCCCTTAAGAAGGTCGCACTCTGGCCCCCTCGGCTCATGCAATGCATGCAATGCCATGCAATCCAACATCCTTCTTAAGAAATGTTCTATTTTTATAAGTACTTAAAACTAGAGTAGTAAAAACGCTAAAAAGTACCTCGATTCGCATGCGCGCTGACATTACATACTGTATCGAGAAAGGCTGAGGCGTCGTTGATATCGGACATGAATTTGGGCGCGTTGGTGAAAAGGAAGTGTGAAAACATTCTGGGTTCTTGCACTTCGATCAACTGCGGCAAATCGAAGTACAGAGGTGGTCGGATACTTTTGCAAATTTGCTCTCTAGATGTGGTCAGAGATGTCAGTATCATGTCAGTCTGCTGAACAGTGTACTCATGGGGAAATACTTGCCGCGCGTTGTCCTCAATGAGCTTGTGTTGAGATTTTTTGTTGCCACGTTTCTGCTCGTACTCCTTATGCAATGGCGGACGAGGTAGAGTCACTATTGGGTCGTTGGTGTTCGTGTTGCTGTTGTTTTGGTCTACTACGTTTATCCTCCTGATGTTGTCGTGCTCGTGATCTACCAATCTGTCCAGTACAACTACAACATTTTCATCAGCACCCGTCTCCATGAGTCTGGGCTTTTTCAAAGCAGGGCCTCCAACAGCTGTTCCTTCTGGTTCTGAGTCGCTGAGCAAGTCAATAATATCGTCTTTCATGGCCGCTCCTTTGGCATTTGGAGGGCGTTTGGATGATGATATTGGAGCTTGTTGGACTCGTTGTTCTTGTTCTATCTTCACCAAAGGCTTCCCACTTCTGCTACTCGGGAAATCCTGGTCCTGCGCGTGTCGTCCAGAGTTGTAAGCAGAGTTCCTATTTTTACCCATCATGCTCCTGCTAGAAGAAGTTGTTGTATTTCTATTACTTTCCTGCTTACGATACTTCTCCCAAAACATCTTCGTCTCCGCTTCTTTCCAGGTAGTAAACTCCTGTAATAAAATCTCTGGTCTAGCACGTGGCTCGCATCTTTTACAGTAAAGAACCCGACCTAGAGCGTGGAAGAAGTGCAAGCTATCTAGTCGCTGTGTGCGAGCCTCTAAAGCTGAGTCGGGATTGGGATCGTCAGTGCTGTGACCGATGCCAGAAGGGTCTACAACTACTGCTGCACTACTAGTGGACGAAGATAATAGAGAATGCGGCTGTCCTAAAGGATTCTGTTGTCCTACAGGTAGTTCTCCTGTGTTAGAAGTTTGTTCCTCGTTTATCGTTGGAAAAAATATACCAGACAAGGACTTGCACTTGGCCTTGGCTTTTCCTATTGCAGCACTAAAAGTAGAACTTGACGAACCTCCACCTACAGCACCTGTACTTTGCGATGGATCTAGTTGGGAGCCATCAGTTTGCGATACCTGTTCAGACGATGTGCCTGCACCAATACCGAAACGCTTCTTTCCTCGACCACCTCCACCACGCTTAGCTGTGGTACGAGGCACTGCTTGAGCAGTTGTACTTGCATTTTGCGTCTGAATGCTCGCTGGTTGATGTTGTGTCTTAGAGGAAGTAGTATGCAATGGAAGTAAGATGTTGTAGTACAACAGGATGAAGACCATGGCCCTGTCACTTATGGACAAAAACATTGACTACCAATGCAACAAGAATATTGACCAAGACCAAGGCTAATACATCGAAAGTAGGCATTAAACCACCAGTATCTATCAAGCAAACAACGTTCAAAGTCAACAAACACACCAACCAAAACCATAATAGCACTCTTCTTCCCTCCAACTCCACTAGGAGTTGCGTCTAGAGCGTAAAACTGCAGATTGACACAAGCCTGTCGGACATCACCACATTGCTGCAAACTGTCACGCATCCCTTGTCCAACAGTAGTGCCTGTCAAGGTCAGGATCCGTGTAATGGCCTTGCCCAAATATGTCGGAGCCACAGGATTAAACTTGATGATGTGCAATTGCGGGAGTCGTGAGGGTGCTGCATTGGTATGAAGGCGGAAAGGGATCATTCGGTCTTAGTTGTATCAGATACATCTAAATATTCTTGATCTGCCTCGTGTGTCTAAGGGCTTAAGTGTCTAGCTCAGGGCAATTAGCCAAGCTAGCTATTTAGTTTCAACTCCCCTCACCTTGAGGGCCTTGGGCCGGGATCCTGCTTCTACGACGTCAGACCACTGCGCTCTAGTACTCGCAGCATGGGGTAAGTTCACCAAGGCGTGAAAATTTTTGAAGGACTTCGAAATGAAATTTTTTATCTGGTCATAGATAGGGATTCGGGCTTAGTATCTAAATGTTCTTGCCGTTAGTGAGTATTTCTAGTCATATCGGAACGAAGGCAAAGCTAACTCCAACAGGAAAAGTCAATCACTATCTATGAAAATGAATCTCCCCCGACTAACTATAATCCCATTCTTGCAGCATCTTGACTCCAGGCCTTCTAGGTGTGAGTAAGTCCTCAGATGCAAATACAAATACTTACTCCTCATTTCATAATGAATATAATGATCCAGCAATACGCGATCCTGCGACGTCTGGAAGATCCTGCGAAAGAAAAAGTCTTCCTGATCGTTCCCCAGTAGCGCTAGTCTATAATGCCTGCGCCGCGCCAGAACTTCCGCGAGTCTTTCTCTGAAGCGGACAGGATCATGCTCCACTAATCCGAATGGAAAATCTTTAAGGACTAGAAGATTTTTTGTCGCAGCATTTCCACGTCCAAGGAAGGAACTTGAACAAGACGAAGCAGAAGAAGATGCACTTGAAGATGTTGGGGGAATTATACCTGGAATGACCTTTCCTCCTGATTGTTCTTTCGAGTTCGGTGGATCGGCAAAAAAGTCATCTTCCCATGTCCTTGTTCGAAAAGCACCAACTTCGTCCTCCTGGTGCTGGTGCTGGTCAGCAGGTTTTATCGAAGATGAACAAGTGAATTGTAGTTGATGTCCTTGTTGTGCTTGTTGTAGTTGTGCTGTAGTTTGTTGATGTAGTATATGTTGTGCTTGTGCTTCTTCTCTACTTTTGGCAAGCGGTTTAGAGTCCCCGTTTGCTAAAAACTCAAAAAAACTTTCTCCAATCCTTTCTGATGGGCTCAGCCATTGCCTATAATTATAGCCTAATTCGGACGCAATGAGGCGTAGACAAGCCGCTTTGGCGCTGCCGGGAGGACCTATGAGGAGAAGCACGCTGCGATTACCTCCAGGCGTTGACAGGTAGTCCCGAACTTCAGCGACCTTGTTCTTGTGCACTGCTAGATCCTCTGCGGTCAGCGGGCGGCAAAACTCTGTCCAAGGTCCGCGGTCGACAGCCGTAGTAGAGGTCGTTGGGCCGCTTCTCCTGCTGTTGCTCATGGCGGACTTCATCATGGTGTTCCACGATCGAATGCTTTTTCACCAGAAAGCGCGAAGACTAGCAGCACGACTAGCTGCACATACTTAGAAGTTCTTAGGGTAGAAGTGCTCGCGGGTCCAGAGGAGACCTCCAGGGCAAACGCCAAAGGCGTCTTCAGGTAGATGAAGATATGCCTCAGACCAGGATTACCAGTTTTGTGCAGCATTTTCGTGGGAGAACGATAACGACGACATTTTTTTTTGTTCTGTCGGAACTGCTACATCGAAAAAGGAATAAGCGGCGTGTTATTAGAAGTTGTGGTGTATAATCATGTTGTTGTGTGCTCTTCTGGGAGTTTGTCTATCAAACAACAGAAATATCAACAATCAACCAACAAGAGGATGGAAACTGGATCGATCTAGGAATGGGGATTGATCAATCGAGCCTGTCCTTGTTCGCTCGTTTGCGTCTATCATCAGAAGAAGTTGCCAACATCGTGAGAAGGAAGAGTATCTGTAGAAAGATGCACTGCCTGGTCGAACTTAAAAATAATGGTACGTATGTAGTTTATTGCCAAAATTATGTTGTGAGAACTGAAGATACTGCTTCCACTCGAAAAACTGCGTCAAGAACGGTTTTTTTAGAACGACCGAAGCAACAGCAACGAGTTTGGGATTGGGATGGCATACGTGATGAAAGTCACATCTGCCGCTTCAACATCCTGTTCGAAACACCACTTGCTGACCGGTGAGTGACGGGCACAGCTTGTCCCGACTAAAATGACACGACTCGGTAGTCAGCTTATTCCATGCAGAACTATGCTGAGGAGCCAGCAGGATAGTGGTGGATAATTTTCTTGCGACAGGAAGAGTCCCACTTCACAATCGTATCATTTGTTACAACCTCCGCGGTTAATTAAGGATAATAGGTTCTTGTTGAAATAAATGGCAAATTAATTGGGATGATGATGTTCTTCATACTGTATCATGACGCGTTGGAATCGATTATTGGCGAATGTAATAGAATTAGCTTTAGCACGAGAAAAATCCAATGAATTAATTTCAGAGGCAACCAAAAAGGAGAATCCACCTGTTGGAGCCTGCACACTTACACCCTTTGCAACAGATAAAAATCTTGCAAAATTATATACGAATTATGAGTATTCTTGCATTCGGACACCATCTTCATCTACCAGGAGTCCTTCCTTCCATCTCCCCGTGAGTCCTCCTCCAAATCCAAAACCACAAACTACTACACACTCTGAATTTTTATATACTTACACCTTATACAGCATGAATGCATGTTGTCCGATGTAGAAGTAGATGAACTTGTGCTGTTGGTGAATGGCATATGAACCGAAGTTCTTGCCGCACACCACTATCCATCCCATGCCCCACTTCTCGTCAAAATGCTCCTTAATCGCCGAACAAATCTCGGCTCCGTCTTTGTCTGGGTTTTTCCTGTTGTGGATGTGAGTGTGTGAGCAGGAATTAGGAAAGTAGGAAGAATTCAATCGTCTTTCAAAGGAGTCTTTATTTATGGATGATCATGTTCTTGTGACGAGTTATGTTAAATATTATGCAAATGGAGTTAATCTTTTTCGTAGAAAGAAGAAATTTGATTTTTCACTTCATAGCTGCCATAATCCGCACGGTGTTAGGTCGTTGAGTTTTTTTGAGAGACTAGTAGAAATTTACAACATCTTTTTAGAGTGAGATCGTATGAAAACTCGAACCCGAAGAAAGTAGTTCAGACACCTCCAAGAGTACTTCAAGTACGTAGTTCGTAGAAAAACAAATACCCTTCCAACTGCCCTATTGCTTGGTTTACTGCATCTTCCATCATGTCATCTCCCATGTCGGAAGGCCATAGGACTCTGGCTCCCCATAGAGTCCTAAACTCCTCTTTGATCTGATCTTTGTTATCTTGCGCCATTGTTTTCTTGTTGGGTTGGTGCTTGATGAATCAAAACTCTAAGACTTGACGCGGTTGCATGGAGCGGACGAGCGATTATGGGTTGTGAAGAAGCTTACTACGCTAGTGGTCCCCAGAAGAATTAATAGGTCTTTTCTCATTATCCAAAAGTGAAAGGAGACGACTTTTTTCCTTTTTCTCGATGAATTCTCCACTCCCTATCCACCTCACTCAAAGACGCACTAGTAGCACTTCTCCCTTTATCTCTCCTTCGAAGTCCCTTGACTCCGAATCCGACTTCGCTGGATCCGACTTCTCCGGATCCGAAACTGTGATTGATTCAAACAAAACACATCCAAATCGCCTGTGCTCGACGACATCCTACGAGTGCAACGAAGACCAATTAATATCCTAACATTTTCACTAATAACAATTTCACCTAAAGATCCTCGTGATGAGGTGTGCTTTGGGAGGTCAGTTTCTGGGATAAGAGGTGAGAGGATAGGTTTATTCTTTCCAATCGTCATGTATTCGAGGAAGGGGAATTCACTTGATGTATCCTGCCATGGATCATCATTATTTCTAGTACAGAGCTAAATATAAGTGTACAAAAACTCAGATGGAAGTCTCTCTGTCTCGTGACATAGTTACATGTTAAAGAGATCTATCATGATCATCTGGTTTACTTATGGCGTTAAAAGTTGAGTTATCAATATGATGTCGAACTCACTTTACTTGTTCTCGCTTTCAATTCTTCGAATGTTGACTCATGCTGAAGATGTACATGGTAGCGAACGGTAAGAAGCACTCAGTAAGCAGTTATGATGTGGTTGGGCCATACACTAGATCATAGCATCATCGTTGTCCCCCAGCACCATACCCACCTCCCGCAGCATACATTTGCATCTGCTCGGGCGTCCATTGTTGTTGAAGCTGTTGCTGTCGAAGTGCCACTAGCTGCGGTTGTTAAAGGTAGTTTCTCACTATCCCGAGTCGACTGGGTTGCCCTCTTTGCCACGTAGCTTCCCCTTTTCAAAAAAACGGAGAGGACTCCACGACTCAGCATAGGAGTCCTCCACTCAGCAATAGTGATAAACTACCCTTAATGTTGGTATGCTGCCATCTGTTGCTGGTAATATGCTGCCTGTTGCTGTTGAAAAGCGGCTTGCTGATGAGGCGGTGTAGAAGATGCGGCACCTGGTGCCCAACTTTGTTGCTGCTGATTATATGTAGAAGCTCCGTTTCCTGCTGATGTAGTTGCGTTCGCTGCTGCAGCCCACGACGAAGTCTGCTGTTGACTACTTTGAGTTGCGCCACGCCCGGTCATCATGTTACTTTTAGTTGTACTATTACTTGTCCCAGAATTTGTCGTGTGATTACTACTCGAAGCTGAAGCTGCTCCTGACGTGCTTTTTGTCATATTTGACTGCTGCGCTGTAGGCCCAACATCCCAACCAGACGAGCGTTTCGGTTGATGGCCCTGCGCGTTTTTGTGTTGATAACCCTGACTTGGTGCAGACCCATTTCTCGTGTAGTTGTTGGAATTTGTATTGGTATTTGCGTTCTTGTTTTGTCTGTTATTGGAAGAGGAACTACCACCTGCACCAGCTCCACCTGTTGTCGCTGTTCCGGTTCCCCTAGACGGATACGCATTCAACGAAGACCCTGACGAAGCTGCATGCCTTCCAGGTGAGGGTGATGGCCGTCCACCTGCACCTCTAGTCCCAGTCTGACGCGTCTGATATTGGTTCTTACTGTTGTTGTTGTAGCTAGTACTATTTCTAGCAGCAGCGTTCCCACCAGAAGATGTTGAGGTAGATGAAGATGTAGTCGGTAAAGTGAGATTATCTTTCCTTGGTCCAAGTGGAATATTGTTTGAACCGGTTGCGGAAGGATCGACCATGTCGTCTTTTTTTCCACCCTTCCCACGACCACCAGCATCACGACCCTTATTGTTTTTACTGTTCTTGCCAGTGCCTCCATCATTTTTATTGTTGTTCTTATTGTCTTTCCTGCTGTGGTCTTTGCTGGTGCTGTTGTGGCTGTTTTTCCCGCCCTTGTTGTTGTCTTTGTCCTTGCCGCTGCCTCCTCCAGAAGAATTCTTACCGGCTTTAGTACTGTCGGAATTATTCTGCTGCTGCCATCCACCACTAGAAGATGACGATTCTTTTCCACCTCCCTTTTGAGGTTTTCCACGACTATTTTGAGGTGACGAAGATGGACCATAGTCGTGTTGCTGGTTGCCTTGGTATCCTCTAGCAGTTGACTGCGCCGCAAGCCTTTGACCGCTAGCGTTACCGTAAGGACCAGGACGACTGTAGGAGCTAGAAGAGTTGGCGTTTGAGGGCCCTCCATGATTCTTGTTGGAGTTGGAATTCGACTGCGATGTCGTGCCAGCAGCAACAGCAGCTTGCGGTTGTGACGTCGTGTTGTTGTAACTATGAAGGTTACCTTTTCCACCACCAGCAGCTGCAGCGTTGTTGTAAGAAGTACTAGTAGCATATTGATTCTTGCCGGTGGCTGTTGATGTTGAAGTGTTAGTCGTAGCACTCGTTGACGTACCGAAAATGTTAGTGGTACTGTTACCTCCTTTATTGTTGGTCCTCGTTGACGAGGAGTTGTTACTGTTGTTGTTCCTCACATTAAGAATACCTCCACCAGCTCCCAAGCTACTGGTCTGCCATCTAAAATTCGGATCATAGCCTGGCGAACCAGGCTTAGGCGCTAAGATATTCGCGATTTTGTCCAAGTTCTGTTCAAACTGACAGAATTTTTCCTTGAAAATTTCGATATTTTCGGTCACCACGGACTCTTTGCTGGAATTCCCTTCGGAGATCATATTGCATTGTCGTTCCATGTAAGCTCGAATGTCCGGCTCGCACAACGCCGGAACGGAACGCTGAAACATGTCTAAGACCGCCAAACCAAGTCCGGTCGGAACCATGTGTCTCGATGCTGGCCAGGAGTGATCCTTCAACTTGCCCTTGTTCATCCCTTTGGTCAGGATGCGCGGTCCAGCCTCCTTCTGACCTCGCTGACCCGGGCCACAGACGACGACGTAATTCCGCGTGACGACGTTCTCGATGTGCTGTGCCATGGATGCGTCAGTGCCAATCCTGTTTTTGTCCATCAAGTCTACCAATTCGCCTTCTGTCAAGTAGGCTGGTGGCTCGGTCCACCCCTCTTTGAATCGGAGCTGGACATTGTGTAGTCTTTGGCCTTCGCGGAGTTGGGTAGACCTGATGCGTGCAGAAAGAACTGATTTCAATTTTCCCCTTCTTCCCTTAGATTTCCCGTGTTGTCTCAAGGGGTCTACGCTTCGGTGTCTTCAGTGACAGTGTTGACCAACTACTTCAATGTTGACTAATGAAAGTTGGGCCTTAAAGCTATGTCCCGGCAGAAAAGATAAACAAACGTGAGAGATGTTGAGTGTCTAATCAAGGCTCTAGAAGTACGAGCATCGACCTTCACAAGCAAAGCTGGAAAATACTACCTTCCCGCATCCTTCAAAAACTTGCCCATGTGGTCCATTACGCTCAAGAAGCCCCTGTCCGGCACTGAGTGAAACACTGCCTCAAAATCTAGTTGGCTATGTCTCCTATCCTCAAGGCGTGAGGTAACTTTGTACTCCGTGTACTCCACGTTATGGTGCAAGCTCGCCACGAAGTGTCGTACAACATAGTCGAAAAGTTTGTAGGCTTTCGGTTTCAGGTCTCCGCGATTCCACACTGCTCTCATCGGCGTTACCGGTGGATGGTCGCCAGCATCGTAGCCGTCGCTGGGTGGTCTGATTTGCCCATTGTTGCGCTGTAGTAAAGCATTCAACGTTCGACTGACATCTGCTGAGTGTCCATGATGCCCATCCTGACCCGCGAAAAGGCGGGCTACCTCAGTTACGTTGAAAGACGGCGCATATTTCGTGCTTTCCGTTCTGGGGTAAGAAATGTAGCCTTGGGAATAGAGCTCTTCCGCAGTTTTCATGGCACTGGCAGGTGAAATCCCTAATTTCGAAGCTGCTTTCAGTAAATTCACAGTGTTCAAGCCTGGTGGTTTCTTGATCCACTTCCGCTCCTGCCGCACACTGCTAACGACAGCATTCACGGTGACGCTCGGTCGACTTTCGGTGGCGTTCGCGTGCCTACCTTGATTTTTACCTCCAGAACCTCGGTTCTTTCCACCTTGGTGACCACCCCCTTTACCGCCACCGCCTTTGTTGTTCTTACCATGTTGACCTCCTCCAGCACCAGAAGCAGAACTGTCATTCTCGTTCTCTTCTTCCGCTGCACCACCTTCTAAAAATTCCACTTGGCCGTAATGAAACGTGGCTTGTTCCCACTTTACGGATTGAAAATTCTGGATTTCTCTATGCCGTTGGACGCAGAAGTACAAGGTCGGCGTCTGGCAGGGTCCGTAGCTCAACACTGTCAACTCGCTCTTCGGGAACTTCAGTTGGGCAAACTTGAGAAAATTCCACGTGAGCATACGCGTGAAGGAACAGCCAACTTTGAGGTCAAGCTCTTGTCTTGCGTCGACTGACATCGACAAAAACTTATTCGGTCTTTTCAGGGTAGAAACAGCTTCCTTTAAAGCGGGACCGGTGATGGCAGAAAAATGAGCGCGATAAACGTTATCATCCGTTGGGAACTGGTCTCGCAGAAGAGAAATCACCTCGTAGCAGATGTTTTCACCTGGAGAAAGATATTTTCATTGAGAGAGTTTCGTGATCTTTAGATTTAGAACAAATGCAAATGGATAGCGATAGATGATAGCAGATGTTTTCACCTCGTAGCAAATCTTCATCTCACCTGGAAAAAGATACATATTTTCATTGAAAGTTATTTAGAACAAATGCAAATGGGTACATATTACGACTGAAAAAGTACTAGACTGATAATAGATCAAATGCATAGCGATTGAGTTGCTGGAAAAAAGCTACGTCATCGAGTACCTTCTCTATCGCAATCGAGCCACAGCACTAGGTAGTCGCTCTCCGCAGCTAATTGCTGTAGATGCTCCGGTAGTCGCATCTTCACTGAGCTGTCTTCTATTAAAGATTTCCACATTACATTCTTCAGAACATCCTTCACCTACTTGTATTTTCTGTACTTGAAAAAAGGCCAAGGATGTTGTTATTGGGGGATGTAATGTCGAAACCCTTAATTCTAGTTCTTTTACTGTTTCTGCGTCGTACATTCCGAAGGGTTTTAGGCCTTTCTGCTGTTTAAACGTAATGCGAAACAAGTGGCCAATCGTAGACGTCACAACAAAACGGCAGTTTCTGCCAGCTTCCTTGAAATACCCGTTGTACTCAAAAGTTGCAATGCCTTTTGCCACCGTGTTGCGTCGTTGCCATGGTTGCCGGCCTTGAGGACCTAGTTGCTCAGCTAAAACTTTGGCGATAGAGGGTTTTTCGGCGATCATCAAAACCGTTGGGGTGTGACGGCGGTTCTCGGCTTTCTGCTCCTGCGCTATCACGTTGCCCTGCTCGTGTGCTTTGTGGTGTCGTGCGAGGTAGTAATAATGTCCGAGGTACTGCTGCTGCCTGGAGAAGGAGAGGCAGAGGGAGATTATTATTGTCAGTATCTCAGTGAAAGCTGATAGAATTCCAGGCGAGATGAGGAGGTATCAATTACTTAATATGACGCTGACATCACGAAATCTAAAATATTCAAGACAACTGGCGAAAACGCGAAAAAGAAATACTTGTAAAGTTGATTCGCCTTGTTTGCATCGTACACATCCCGAGATGCTCCAAGCGCACTCAACAAATCCTCTTCCGAGGTAGCATCGCAACCAAAATTGTGCATTGACTCTGTGTCCTTGATGCCTCGCCAATTTTGCACTATCTCTTCTGACTGCCGTTCTTCTTCGCTACTAAACTGTGTTGGCACACTCCTAGATCCCAACAGCTCCCCCATACACGCGAAGCCATCAAAAATGCGACCTAGTGCGGCTTTGGGGTTGCGACCTCCGGTGATGGCCGATGAGAGCAGTTGTGGCGTGACGTAGGACGGCCCGCACAGGTTCACCAATGTTTTCGGAAAGGTCTTCGCGACAGGATGATGCAGTAGTTTTTGATACACTAGCTGACCACTAGCGAGTGCCCCAGAGTAGTCGTGCCAAGGTGGATTGCCATTTGATGCTAGTCGACAAGGTGTGATTATAGTACTAACTTTGTGGAGAGCAGCACCACTAGAGTTTGAACTAGAGGAGGAAGATGGAGTTGCTTGAGTTACATTAGTGTATGATGTTGAGGCAGAAGAAGTCGTTGGAGGAGGTAGGATCTTCATACCAACAGTCGCATTCGTCTTAGAACTACTGCAGTTGTTGTAGTTCATCGTCTGATGTTGTCGTTGACTGCCAAAATTATTGCTCGTTTTATGATCGTCTACGCCTTTTTCATCATATGCAGACCATCTGAGACACTCGCCATCTTCGCCTGCATATGTTTCACCATCTTCGTCGTCCTCGTCACCATCCTCATCGGTCATCTGGATCTGATTGCCACCTAAAACTACAGAAGAGTCCGTCTTTGCAAGTTTTGTAACTTCTAGAGTGCCAACAGCCCTACTGCCACCTGCAGATCCAGGCCTTTTCAGAGCGGCACCACCAGCTCCACCAGAAACCGCATGCTGACCATTCGTTGTGCCATGAATGCCATGAATTCTTTGAAGAGCAGCTGGACCTGGTGGCGGGGGAACGGCGGCGCGTGGTGGAGACGGCGCTGGACGTCGAGTAGTTCTCTCATCAGCTTTTTCAGCTTCAGCATTGATTTCCGAGAGACGCCTTTTGACAGTACCATCATCCTTGGCAACCACACGGCGAAAGGGAATCACTGCTTTTGGTTTTGCTTTCGAAATCACAGCACTGTTAATATTGGAATTTGTAGCTGCAGTTGGAAGGGCTTTGACGCCCATTTGCTGCTGGTGTGCACCTTGAGATACGACGCCACCTTGCTGTCCTCTTGCAATAGCCTGTAGTTGTTGCCTACCCCCACCGACTCTGGCAACTTCAACTTGTTCATCTTGTCCTCCTCCTACTTGTACTACTTCACCTTGTTCTTGTCCTCCTCCTACTTGTCCTCCTCCTACAACTTGTTCACGTTGGCCTACAGCTGATACAATCGGAGGAAGCACTCGTAGTTTCTTCATTAACGGTGGAACAACAGGTGGAGCTTGTTCAGCACCAGGGTGCTCAAGCACAGCACTCTGCTGACCACGAACTGGAAGAGGTTTCAAACCATTATTAACTGCTGTGGTTGTACACTGTGTCGGAACAACAGGTGGTGGCGCGGACCAATCCATACTAGCTGCTGTCGATACTGCTTCAGGTACCGCCACGAATGGCGCTGTTGTCGCCGGCACTGTACTTGGAGGTGCTGCGGCTTTGGATGTGGCTTTAGACATCAAGCCCGCCTTTGGCTTTTTCGCCGCTGGCTCTCCAACCAAGAAGGAAGCAGGATCTAGACGCTTCATTTTCAAGCTTTGTTGGTAAAACCAAGTTGTGAACGAAGTTTTATAGCATAAGCATAACTATTAAGCACACACACCTAAGTGTAGTAAAAATGACTAAGACTAGGACGATGAAATCAGTATTCGTATAAAGACTAGGACCTCTCTACTACGTTCTTCCTCCTTGATCCACTGGGTGAACCTAGAACTATTGGTAACGGTAACCACCGCCATGCTCGTCCAAGACAAAACTGTGGTATACGAGACAACGATCTCAGATTACCAGCGAATAATCCTGATCCACCAGCATCGTCAGATCTTTCGCTTGGACGTGCACCGCAAAGGATCAGGTCTCAAACTGTAACCTCTGCTTTGCATGCCTCCTACAGATTCAGCATGGAAAATTTCGAAAGATGCTGATGCAGCACATCTCTCATCAGTATCTCTGCACCTCCTCAACATACTCATGCGATCCGGAACCACACCTTCTCAAACTACATCAAAATCGCACCATTGTTTCGCAAGCACACAACAAATGTGAACACGGAATGCAAAAAGATGTTGCCTATTATAGACCACCAACAACTCTACTGGAATCCGCGGCCTTCCATATTTTGTACGAAGGAGCGTTACCCTGTGAAATTCTAAGACATTTAAGAAAACTTTATATTCAAGACATTTACTCATCATCTGCCATTCTTTCTCTATAACTTTTGTGCTCCACGTCGTCGCAGAGGATTATTCAAAGATGTATCTATAACATCGTTAAGAACTTCTACATCAACTGCACATCTCCTGTGCAACATGGGCTTTACTAAAAACAGTAGGGAAAATATACGAAGCCGCGGTGCTTGGTTACTTGCTACCTAGTTGTCGAAGCGATCATAGCAATAAAAATGCGAAGCCGGTGTTTTTAGCCGGTTGTTTACTTGCTAGTTGTAATTGTTTTTGTTCAGAAAAAATTCATCTGTAATTTTGAAAACGCAGACCTCCTGGTCCGTTGATATAGCAAAATTTGACTCTAAAATTGATACTGAAAAGTTCTGATTTTGAATGTAATTCCAACTATTTCCATCTTTATCATACCAGTTGAGCTGCAGAATTCCATTCCCGCCGCCTCTTTTTCTTTGCAAGTATCAAATCACAGGAGTCACAAAAAGAATTTTTACACCAAGAACATCTTTATCTTGTATATCTTGTATACGGGTACGGGACCTGTAGCTGCACCAGACACTTAAGGAATGTCTAACCTCGGGACAAGTGCCGCAGTATGGCCTGCGTAGTACTCGCAACTTGCGGGTGCGGTGATATCGAATGTCGTAAACGAGTAGTTCTCGTATCCGCACTTCTTGATGTACGGAACCTAATAGCAAGAATGGGATGAAATTAGAGAAGAGATTATACCTATGGAAAGAGATTATACCTATGTATGGAAAGTACTTCGTTCCTTTCTTGGACGAGCACGACAACGACATACATAGTGCCATCAACAGTGTTTCATTAAAATAAATGGCCGTAAGGATTTAAATCTACTACAATCTGCAGGAGTCAGATACTACAATGTGAGAAGCAAGATCTGTACAACTCTGGTACAACAAGTAGTACCTGAGTCTCCGTCCACAGGTCTTCCCACTTTTCGTGTCGGCCCTTCAATACACCGATGCTGGTCAAATTGCAGTAGGTCAAAACACCACCTGACTTCAATTTCGGGCGAACCTTCTCGATAAAGTCGAACTGATGTGTGTGCTGTTCAGCCGAGTTCAACGGGTATGGGTCGTACCTGTAGTTTTTGGTGGGGTCGTCTGTAGCTCCTCCTCCTCCATGATGCAAGGTGTGTGGAGAGTTGATGCCTGTGTGAAGGGAGTGAGTATGATTTTCAGAGGGAGAAGATTTGTAAGCAGGTTAATTATTTTGATGATTGTAGTTTGTTTACTGATTCGGAATCACTCTCTGTTTCACGACCACCCAGAGCAAACGAATTATACGCCTACAAGAACTTCTACTAGACTCTAAAAAATACAAGACTCCATCGATTGAGTTGTCTGGTAGACTTGCGACGACGTCCTGCCAAAGTCCGTGCATAAAAGTGACCTTGTTAGGCTGTGATTCGGCCCACTTTTTGCCTCTTTCGACCACTCCTGCATTGGCTTCGATTATGATGTGCTCATCAATCTTATTTCGCTGGATCTGCGAAGCGGAGAGGCTGGAGGGGGGTGGGGTGGTTCTGGTTGTGGTTCTTGTAGGAAGCAGATAAAGATATTATGAGATAAATGCGTGACAAGATCTACCACAAGAACCACCTCGAGTACTCATCGTCCCTCTAACGTGAAGATCAACAACATGTTGTAGGAAGGCTTTCTTCAGATAGGAGCTGCCTATGCATATGATCAAATTACCCCAATCCAAATCCGACTTCGAGAACTCTTCCACCTTTGCTGGTTGCAACTTGCGCAAGGGCCTCCATGTAGGGTTGCTCCCATTGTTCCATCACTGGATGGCCATCGATAAGGAGGACCTTGAACAATTTTAGAAAGAAAATAGAGGAAGAAATAACAATAAGAACGTCAAAATTGATGAAATTCACATCTTGTTACTTCTTCTACTTCCACTGCCAAATCATGAATCAGTCTTCTTCTAACTAGTTCTACTGACAAATAAATTATCAGAACAAGAGTAGATTGATATCAAGTCCAACACCAACGTACGAAGTAAAAATAGTACTTCCCCTCGTTCTCCCTCATCATGGTAATCTGCTTTCAGAGCAGTCCAATCGGCATGCTTGGAATCGTCCTTGAGGCCGTGGTAGCCGGTTTCATTAGCGTTCTTCGTGTCGGATTCTCCCATCTTGTAGTTGTCGTCTTGTGGAACTAGTACAAGTACAATCAAGAACAATTATGTTACACGGTGACCACTACGAGTACGACTAGTTGTACCTATGATCATAAACATTGATGTTGTTGGTTGCGTTATGGAACAGATGATCATGCCATGCATGAAGATGCTTGTTGATTTAAGAACTGGTAAGCGAGATATAAGAGCCGGGAAATACAGGCAAACTCAGGTTAGCACTTACCTAGTATGGTCACTTTGTGCTAACTTGTGGCAAAGCAGGATCTCTGTACGGCAGCACCTAACCCAAGAGTACATAGCTTTTAATCAAGCCGTAGCATTCCATATGAATGTTCGCAGACCTACTAGTAGGAAGGAGGGGTACTCTCAGAAAAAACAGAAAAACAACCGAGCGGAAGCCTCAGCCTCTGTCATTCCAAAGAAAACACAAAAATGACCACTCGAAGAGTCACTCTTTCGTTTCTGATCTTTCAACTCGGGGACGCTTCTCAAATGAGATTCATGAAATGTGTGTGAGGAGAAAGGTCTCTTATGATCTGCATCTTCATCGGGGTGAAAGACGCGATCATAGTCCGCTGGTGTAGTTGAAGAGGATGAGATAATGATAAGACAAATATAGTACTGAGTTTGTTGTATTAAGCAGGTTTAGGTTTTTCTGAAGGTCAGCTGCACGTCTGCATTTGTTACACGGACGTAGTGAAGGTTAAGGTTAATAAAACTGTCGTAGCATATAATTCACATGCGAAGAAGTCCTCCCCATCCGAGAGCGAGAGGATATATATATAAGAATCTTTAGATTTATTGCCTAAGAAAGAAAAGCACTACACCACCTAGGAGAGCTAGTACACGACTCATTGTTGAGTCTAGCAATGTGAAGTCGTCCCACTTTTTATGTACCTTCTCGTCTTTGACACGTAAAATAACCGATGCTCATCTCCGCCCTGTCAATTTTGCTGAACACAAAAGTTGTCCACCATCCAAGCATGGTTCTTCTCCAACAAGCCAACAGCATACACCTACAACTGTCCACATGCCACAACCGTAATCGTCTCCTTCGGAACATCGGAAGCGCCGACTGGTGCCTGCTCAACACGATTCACCGCAGCAAAGCCCTCGATGACCTCACCAAAGACAACGTGCTTTCCATCCAAATGAGGCGTTTCGGTAAAAGTGATGAAGAACTGAGATCCATTAGTATCCGGACCCGCGTTTGCCATGGATAGAAGGTGTTTGCGGTCGTGGATGTCGTGGAAGTTCTCATCCGGGAACTTCTCACCATAGATAGATTCGCCGCCGGTACCTTGTGGTCGTAAACAAGTTGAAGTTTCAAAAGAACGAACAAGTACAAGTGGAAGTTGTTGTTTCTAAACAATTTCATTGGCCTTAGAATTCAAGAAACTTACTCAAAAACATACAACTAAGACTAACTGCAAATTGAAATTCACAAATCCGCCCCCAGCAAAGCTCAAAATTATGCAAGTTATATACATAAACTATCACAGTACCATTAGCATTCGTGAAGTCGCCACCCTGCATCATGAACCCAGCGATAACTCGGTGAAAAATGCTTCCTTCGTAGGTCTTCTTCTTGCCGCACTTCGTCAGACTTTCGTTTTCTCCTGTACACAATTGTCGGAAATTCTCTGCGGTTTTTGGCACTGTATCGGAATACAAAGCCATAGTGATACGATGAGTCTTCGGCTTTCCTTCCGTCTCGCCTTCTGCAGGGTCTTCTTTCTCGTCTCCAAACTGCACATCCATATACACCTTCGGCAAATCCGTCAGATTGCGTGGGTGGCGGACAAAGACGTCCTCTTTTTCGGTATAGAGATTCTTCGCGAACATGTTAGCCATTTGGGCTTTTGATCGCTTCTTGTAGGCATCATACTTGGTCTTGTACTCGGTCCACTTGGCGCGAATCTCCGCACTCTTCGGGTCGATCTCCAAGGCGAGCTTGAGATCCGCTTTGGCCTAGAAGAATCACATAGATAGTCATCCTTTTTGTATTTGAATTGTTCCGTCTTACTTTCTTACTCCTGGTGGCGAACCAGCAACCAACCTAAATTATTTAGTCTACAAGTTGTAAACCCAGGTGGTAAGTGATCTGTTGATATCTTTGTAGTAGAAGTTGATCTAAGAAACCAACTCGTCTGTAAAGAAAAGTCTTACCTCATCAAACTCCTCGACTTCAATGCACGCGCATGCGCGTCGAAAGAGTGCTTTCGTATTGGCTGGGTCAATATCGAGTGCTGACGTCGCTGCCTCCTTAGCCATATCCCAGTTTTTGAGCTTCAAGCCGCATTGTGCCACATTCAAGCTACAGCTCTTTTTCACGGCGTTCACCTCGTCCAGCATATCACCTTCCCAATAGCCTTCGTCGAGGTAGGAACGCGCTTCCTGGTAGTGCCCGACTGCAGTGGGGTAGTCACCGGATTGGCAATTAGACGAGGATGGATATTAATAAAGATGTGACGAAGCCGATCCATCGTTCAGATTTGAGACAATTATTGAAAAGCTAGAAGTACTACTTCAATTTCTTCTGATAGTACAGGATAGTGATCAGCGCTAGTAAGAGCCCGTGAACCAACAGCAGGAAGAGGTCGTAAGTAGAAGCACTTCGTGTCTAACAAACTGCTTAGGTATAGGCACAACTACAATGGCAATCACTATGCTTGTGAACCTTAGATAGTCAAAAACCATATTCCACTAGAGAATCAATATTTCCAATTATATTGAAGCAATTCCTGTCTTCATAATGAAAGAGACGTTTCCTGCTTCTTTTTCTTCTTTCGCTTTAGCAAATTTCTCATCTTCAGTGTACTCCCACTTTTCCTTCTGTCTAGGGCCAAAGTCAACGAGTTCAATATCGAAGTCCAAATCCGCCATCTCCGGAATCGCTGGTGGCGATCCAGACTCGCCATAAGCCTTTTCATACGGGATCGTGAACTTTGCGCGTTCACCTAAAATTGTGGATGGATGTAAGAAAGTGCTAGAAGATGTTGAAGGAACAAATGGGTAGAACAACTACGCGGAGAGTAGATGAATGAAGACGTTGACGTAGACGTATTTAAACGTGAAGGTCAAATCAACGTCAAATACCATACTGCCTGCATGGAAAAGGGATCGATATATATAACGAGGATAACGTCAAACTTCTTACCTTTCTTCATTCCTCCTACAGCTTCTTCCCATCCCTTGATAACACGGCCGGCTCCTAGTTCGAAATCAAAGAGCTTGTTGCGGTCTCGGCTAGAATCAAACTTGCTGCCGTCTTGCAAGGTACCGGTGTAGTGCACCTTTACTTGATCTCCCTTCTGCGGCACTGCTGCATCCTCCGGAGCAGCAGCGATGATAGTCTTCACGAGTTCACGACCCTCACCCATTTTCTTGATCTATTTGGAGTAACAAACTGATGAAAACTGATGAAAGAAAGCAAAAAAAGCAACAGCGCTCAACTACAAATATGTTGTTGGATGCTCTGTTTGTAATAGGGTGACAAGCACCTTCTAGGGTTAAGACTGTGCGGAGGTAGCAGGTGGTAGTAAAGTAGTGTATTCGAATTTCAGAGAGAAAATCGAAAATGAAAATCTTGGAAGATAGCCGTTGTAGTCTTCCATGCTCCCATTTACATCATTTCCCACAGGAGCGAGACACGTACATAAAGGAGCTCATAGACCAGTTGATCTTCAATTCCACATGCATTTCAGGATTGAGTTAGAGACTGCTGGTGAAACTTGGAGCCACTTTCATCTGAAAACCAGGAGCAGCGAAGCCACAAAGAGAAAGGGTGTAAGAAAGATGCATAAAGGATCAGAGTGGACTTCTCAAGAAGTTCTTCTTGTAGAAGCAGTAGCTTGGGATCAACATTGTCTTGTTTTGTGGAAGGGATTGAACACACGGTACTCACGTGATTTTCAAAAGCTGCTTCCGTTCTTTGATCTCTTATTTGTTTCTTCTGATTCTCAGAAACTACACACAACGCTTAATATCGATATTATCATCGCTATCTGTGGTTATAAAAACATGATCTTGTTAATCTTTCATTCTATCCATACTATCCATATTCCTTACCCTTCAGTTTCAGTCCGCTAGTCCTGTATCCCCTGGCGTAGTCTACATGTTCTTTTTTGAGTTAGGACTATATGCCACCGCCCTTCTAAACAATTATACACAGGTCTATGCATATCCGCGCATCGGACCTTGTTGTACGACTCTCCACTGCAACTGGTACTAATATCCAAACTTTTACTGCAAAAGTGTCACCTACAATAACAATGTATGTACAACATTTTAGCCATGCCAAATTCTTTCCCACGAAATTTTTCATCATTCAAATAGCAGCCCGAATCAAGTAGAATATGTTAATTGTGCAGCCAAAGAAAGAATATTATAGTACAGGATTTTGATGCTAGCGGTACTAGAGTTGTAATACAGCGACTTCCAGCATAGAGGTCCTCGCATGTCTTCAGTATGTTTCATCTTCCGTTTTGTAGAGGTGAGTTTGTAGCAGAATGACTTTGTTGAGTTTTGAAATACGATCAGTCGTTCTATCTTTTTAGCATTCTATTTTCGTGTCACTGTTATCGGTGTTGAGAAATCTACTTAATCTGTTCATTACTTAGGTACAACATGCGAATCTCTCATCTTTCTTCGTTACGAAAATTCCAAACAAAATACAAGTGTGTATGATCATTGATTACTTCGTAGCAATTCTCTGTTTAATTTTGAAGCTAAGTTTCTACGTACTCCTAGTTTATGTTATTCATCCTTGGCCTTACTAGTTAGGTTTCATGGCCTAAAAATCCCCTAAACGACCTAGCCCTGGTTGTTCAACGAGGACCTAGCACTGGTAGCCTACTGCTCCCCGGCTCTCCTAGTTGTTCAGCGACCTAGCGCTTGTCGATTTGTACATACCTCCTAGTGAGGAGCCTGACCGCGCTGATGCGCCTCCGGACCTTGGCGTTGCGGTTGATGACCTGGCAGATTTATTCGCTGACCCTACGGACCCAGTTCTGCAGAACCCATCCGCGACTTGACCTCGCATACTTGCTGGCGTAGTTTAGACCTTGTTACATGTATTCATCTTCTTGGAAAGCATCTTTATTCCTTCGTACGTTTTCTTTCCCTTAAAGAGAAGGAGGGCATAGAAGATGCTTCTTAAGATGAATTACGGCGAGTCTTAAGTACTATCGAAGCGTCCGAATCTTGGCACCAATTGATCGTTGGCGTTCTTTTCAAGTGGGTAGCGCGGGATCGGCGCACAGTACTTGCGAACTAAGGGCCAGTAGCCCTGCGAAACGGCAGGTGTCGCATAGATGGCGACCTTGCTTTGGCGATCTTCAGAGCAAGCACGCCTACGAGCGGACCACTCTGGGCCATCGGTTGGTGGAACGCGGCAAACCTCGCGCGAAGGCGGGATTCCTGAGGAGTGTAGGGATACGGAGGTCGTTGTATGACGAGGATAAAAGAATGAACTATCGTTACCCGGAGGTCGATGTGCATCCGTTTGAAAGCGTCAAGAGAATCAAAAGGTGGTAACTAAAGAACTAGAAGATCAGCTCCAGTTTATTACAAACACTTCATGAAGAACAATCAAGCAAGCTGTTGAACTAACCAACTTACTAGAACAATAAATCGAACTCTAAATATGAAACGAAAATCTGTTATCATTATCAAGTTTCTTAAGTAGAAAAGTACGATAATGATAAGAGATTTTGGTTCCATACTAAAAAATACTCGGTCCCACAGGGTCGCCCATTTCGTTATGAGCCTCATTGCGAAAGAAGGTCTGGCGTTGCTGATTACTCACGTTCCACCAGTCAAATTCTGGCTTTGATCTCCACCAATCAAAACTTCCTGCTGCTGTACCAAACTGTCTGCCTGGGTAGACCTGGTGGTTTGAATCCGAGTTTTCAAGAATGGGATTTTTGAAGAATGGGAGTTTTGAACGGGGGTGGGGCCTGAAGGTGGCCTTTTGAGTGGGGTCGGAGAGACTTCTACGGTGATGTAGCTAGTGGTTTCCTATTTTGAGCATCTTCTTGCACCCGGATCAGCTGGTGATGTTTAATAAATCCATATTAATAAGATGAACCTAGGACTTTCTAAGATCAGTATTTCGGTGGAGTAAGAGTGTAGAAAGGACATCAGTCTAGTCTCATCACTACACGACAGTACTCAGAAGTAGTACCTTATGCGGCGCCTTAAAGAGTCCAGGATAATAATCCTCGAAGTTTCGGGTGTTCTTCCACTCCTCGAATGTTGAGTACTTGTCTAAAATCGTGTCCGAAACGACATCCTCTTTGTACAAATGAGCTGCCGGTGCGCCAGATGCGTCGAAGTTCTTAGGCCACATAGGGTCGGATGTGGGGACACTGTGGTTTCAGTTGAAGTTAGTGATTCGTTGGAGTTGAAAAAAATGTGAAAAAAGAACACTATCTTCTAAGACAAGCACTAAAAAAGTTTTCCTCGTACCTAGTTGCATTTAAAAACTTTGCGCGGTGGCGGATACAGCCATGTAATTCCACCAACATATTGATTCCATCACGAGTCAACATGAACCAAAATCTCTGCCACCCCTGAAGACTTCTAGTACAAGAGAAGTCCGAATTCTGGAAAACTGAATTCATAGTAAATCCACTTCTAGTACTGCAGGACGAAAAATCAAATACAGTGGTTTCGAGAATAATCTGGGTCCACGTTCTGCCATTGCATAGGTGGGTGGGTCCCTGCGTTCGCCCAATGAATGGTCGCAGTTGGACACCACGCGTTGTCCATGGTACACTTGTGCGTAGTACTTGTTGTCTAGACTGTTGTTTACCTCTGGTGGAGGCGCATAGCCGCGAACGGCCTTTTTTTCGGGAGCAGCCTTCATTTTTTGTTGTTTCTAATTCTAAGCTAGTAAGTATGTTGATAGCTAAAAGTGAAATTATCGTAGATCTAGATGATGCTTGGATGTAATGATCACCGCCTGTTGTATTAAAAAAGTAGTCCTCTCACCATATAGATACTTCAAAAAGTAGAGGTAACTGACGCCTTCCTGATTTTTACAAAAAACGGTCCTGCTAATGCTCCTTCACAATCACATACTTTCTTCACAAAAACGAAAAGAAAACCTGGTGACTGTTTGCTTGGCGGGGAAAGAGTTAAACACGAGCCAGATGCATTCCATAAAAAACCTCATAAAATTCTTCCAACACGTCTTCATTCTCTATGTATCAAGCACGTCGTTCTCTATTCAACTTCAACACATAGACAGATTGATAGCATCAAACAGATGATGAGTGTAACAACACAGTATTCAGAAATTGATTCATCCCAGCAGCTCTCCAACAGAGATGATATTGAACCACATGTTGGCTTAGTCTCTCAGCGACAGATATTAAGAAGTTATATCAACATAAGTAAGTGGAGACACTCTGACAGACTCAAAAATGCAGTGCTTCACTCTTGTTACAGACATAAAAAAATTCACACAAAGCAAGTTGAAGGCGGAATGCTCTCAGGCACAGATGTTTTTCTTAGCGGACTCGATGATCTTTTTATGATGACGGTATTGTCGGCATAACTTAGAGCATTTCGAGATCATGCATCGTGAAACAACAAGACGAGGCATGACAGCCATCGAAGCTACTCTGCGCTGGCGAATGGAAAGTCCGATAGAGTTGTTGTTGACTGTGCTCTATTCACCATTAACATTTTTCTAATGCGTAAACTGTTTTCAAATAGGAAACGACGTCGAGGTAGTTCACTATTTTGCTTTGACGGGGAGGACGGGGAAGATACAGGCCTCTGTGGACCTGCGGCATTTACAATGACTTTTCATTTCATGTAGGTGGCTAGTCGGTGTCCGTGTTCACTGTCCGCGTCCCCTTCAGAATCAACGTCATAGCATGGCGATTCAACAAGAAATTAATAATGATAGAAGGCAAATCGCTCCCAAAAACCGACTAGAAACCGACTGGCGTCCAGGTCTTTGGAAAGGCTTCCGAGCACACAGATCCGCACGGTTCTAGAGCAGCCGGCACCTCTTTCAGACTCCCAGAACCTCCCAAGAGCCACGAGCAAGAAACCCGGAGGATTCCCTTACAAGGTCGCCAAGCCGTGCCGGGCTGTCCAATTTTGGACAGGACTAGAAACAACCCACACGGACCAAAGCAAGCTGGACGGACAAAGCAAGTTGGACAAAGCAAGGTGGACAAAGCAAGTTGGCCAAAGCAAGTTGGACAAAGCAAGTTGGACAAAGCAAGTTGGACAAAGCAAGTTGGACAAAGCAAGCTGGACAAAGCGACGAAGCAAGTTGGACGAAACGAGTGGGACTGACAGAGCAAGCGAGCGCAGCAAGCTGGACGAAGCAAGTTGGACCAAGCAAGCTGATCAAAGCAAGCAAGACAAAGCTGTGGGGCGAAGGAAATGAGACTACCAAAGGCCGAAGCAATGCAAGTTGGACAAAGCAAGTTGGACGCGCACAAAGCAACTTGGACAAAGGCGAAGCAAGTTGGACGCGGATAGAGCAAGTCGGGCGCAGACAAAGAAAGTTGGACCGAGCAAGTTGGACACGGCAAGGTGAACGAAGCGAGTTGGGCGAAGCAACTCAGTGGCACGAAGCTGGTTCGTTGGGCGAAGTAGCTCTAGCTAGTCAGATTCAGGCAGAGCAAGTTGGACAAAACAAGTTGGACAAAACTAGCCAGGCGAAGCAAGGAAGCTGGACAACACAAAGCAAGCCAGACAAAGCATGGGCGCTGGAGACGGAAAGACAAAGCAAGTGGGACAAAGCAAGTCAGACCACAAGGGGGCAAGTTTGGCGCACAGACGAAAGGGGCGGGACAGAGCAAGCGGGACAAGAATAAAGCAACAGCAAGCGGGGCAAAGCCAGCCTTCCCTACAACCAACACCAAGACCAGCAAGCCGCGCTAAGCTGTCCAATTTTGGACAACGCTAGAAGCAACCCACACCAAGACAAAGCGAAAGAGCCAATTAGCTAAGTAAAAAAAGCTAGGCGAAGCAAGTTGGGCGAAGCAAATTAAGCAAAGCAAGCCCTTCAGACAAAGCAAGACAAACGACAAAAAAAGCGGCGCGACAGCGAGCACAGCCTCGAGGGCGAGGCGGAGCAGGCGCTGCGCCTCATAGTCAGTCAGCTTGGCCAGATCGCAGCCAAGGTGAAGCGACTACTAGACAGAACCAAACACAGAACCGAGGCCGCGAGCCTCTGCCCCCTCTCTCCCTCTGCCTCCAGCGCGTCAGCCTGGTTAATTTTTTCTACGAGCCCGGCCCCAACACGAAGACACGCGCAGAAACAAGGACCAAAGCCCGCCAGCGCCCTTCGTGTGGGCGCGGGTGAGGGAAAGTGAGTGCCACGCAGTCACCAGCGCGCAGGGGCCAGGGCATCAAGCTGAAACCACAAGCACAACCCACACCCCGCTGACAGAAAACCACACCAAGCAGCGAAACCCTCCGCGAACTCCAGCCCAACAGCGCCAGCCCCCCCCAAGCTGACCAACGACCAGCCAAGCGAATGCGAAACACAAAGGGGGCACACGCTGGCGGCGGCGCTGGGCTGTGGTCTTCTTGCTCCCCCTGCTCCAGGCCCCCCCAGGTCTGAAAGACGAACCACAGACAGCGGCAAAACCATCACGCGAAATCTTGCTGGAAGGAGTGAGTCCAGCCACCTCCTGACTCACTGACGCCGAGGCGAGCTTGTTACCCCAGCAAAATCCCACAAGCAGGCGGCACCCTCCTGGAACACTCCAGACGAGAAGAACAAGAACAGAAGAAACGAGCAGCCAGCCGAACCCATTCGCGACGCCTTTTGCCGTGGACCATATCACGTTCCAGACGGCCGCTCGAACTATGCAGCTCCGGCCTGCGGTCGGTGTCCTTTCGGGGTGTCCCTGTCTCAAGCTCCATCTTGTTCCCCATTGTCTCGAGCCTTCCCGAGGTGGGAGGCTTCTCAAGTTGCACGACTTCACACACATCAGACACCGCAAGCAAACACACTCAACACACACCAAGCCCCACACTTGCCAGAAAGGTGGTCTCCCAACAACAGAGAAGAGGAGCAGACGCAACACAACAATCAAACCGCCGAAGCTCAGCAGCCAGCAGCAGCCCCCCAGCCAGGCCACCCACCTCCACCGCCATCCCCATTCTGCGGCCAAACGACACACACGAGCTGGAGCGGCCCCGAATCTGTACTGACGTCCCCAAACCCGGCGGCTTTTTGTCTGTTCTCCCCCCAAAGTGCTTGCACCGCGCACAGGCGGCCCTCCTCTTGTACCGCTTTGCCGCTGCTTCCAACCGTGGCAGGCGTCACCGCTTCAAGAATGCTAGCAGATGACTGACCTACCACACAAAAAGAGCACAGCTCGCGCCCCACCCAGTGAATTAATACCGAAAAGAACACACCCAAGCCGCGAATCCAAGTGCGCCACCCCTTGCATACTTTAACGCACCCACTCGCAACGCAAGGACTACCCAAACCATCAGGCAGCGAACACATCACAACACGACGCACACCACTCACACCCGACGGCATGCGCTACGAATGTGGGAAACACCCCGCCCGCCGAGCAACACCCAGCGAGCTGGCTCGCCAGCTGCTTGGCCATGGTTGACTTCACACGCGGAGCGACACGCCCACCACCGAGAAAGAACACGACACCAAACGCAAGCAGAGGCGAAGACAGCCGCGAAGCTGCTGGCCTGGCGCTGTGTGTGTGTTTCTCTCTTTGGTTGGTTTTCGTCTTGGGTTGGGGCACACTTATGCCCAGCCCCCGCGGGCCGGTTTTGCGCTTTTGTCTAATGAATGCGATGGACTTCCCTTGGGGCTCACTCTCTGTCCCAGAACGAAGACGACTTTGACCACAAAAACGAAAAGCCGGCGGGCCATTAGAGTGCTAGCCTAAATTCCCTCCACGCACCTTCTTGCAGGGGGCGGGAGGATACACAAGGGCAAACCCACTCGCAGAGCCCCTTAGCTATGTGCTAGCCCTCTTGTCTTCGTTCACTACTCAAGAGAGCCACGAGCACAAGTGCACCCGCCATACCTTTGCCCAATGCCGCCACTGAAGCCGAAGCCGATGGATGGCGCTCGGATCTCAGCAGCGGCAGAAGCGAGCCCACTTACTTGCAAACTGACTGGGTTACACAATTCAAGCACGCGCCATGACTGAAACAAAGACGAGGCAGCAAATGCATGCGACTGAGTGAAGCGCCAGCCCCTGGCGATGGTGCACGCCCATGCCTTCTAGATCACGACAGCAACAGAACGAGCGCCGCCCGTCTCTTCAGAAAAAAGCTATGGGCTGAGAGGCATGGAGGTGCTCAGCCTGTCCAATTTTGGACAGCACGGATTTCACGCACCAAGCCCCCCTTTGCCTTTACCCTTGTCCCAATAGTTACTGGCCCGACGCTTCTCGAAAACTCACCCGGGGCCCCCCTTGCTTTGCCTAATGATGAAGCCCCTCACCGAGTGAGCCTGGCGCTTAATTGGGAAGCGTGGGCGCTGGCTGGTGGGTGGGTGAGCTCGCGCGGGGGCTGGCTGAGTCCGAGTGACTGAGTGCCTTGGGAATCATCAAGACAAGGAAAAACGTGGGCCGGCTTCGAAAGTTCTTGGCAATTCTAAAACAAGACGAACGGCCTCGAGGTGATAGGGAGCGTCGCGCAGTAAGAGGCCCACCGGCTGCCCCTGGCGAGCCCATGCCCTTTGGCCACCGAGTAAGAAGCTCAGGCGCTACCAATTCCAAAGGCTGAAGGCCAACCGCTTCAGAGGCTTCAATAAGGGAAAAGGGCGACGCTTCTGATCAAATACCCATGCTGTCGCGTCGATTCTTAAGGGGACGCGGACACCTGACAAGGACACCGACTCCGCACCTACATTTCATTCATAATGTCTATCTTGGTCCTTAATATCATCATATTTTCTTTCTATTTTCTACTACACAGACATGACCGTACTTCCAGTTCTACTTTAAGTGTGTGGACCTACTACTATCCACCAGATGACAAGAGGAGTAGAACTAGGCAGTTCTCTGTCTATGAAATCTGAATTCCCATAGCCTCCATGTCATCAACACAGTCATCCAAGTGCTCGTCCTTGCCCATCGCGGCACCGTCAGCCGCGTCTTGTGCGGCAGTCAACTGCTCTGCACTGAAGTTGCCATACGTACCATCATCTTCTACGTCAAGGCGTTGGTAGATCAGCACAGATTAGAGCAGATAATGGAGGACAATCACCAATCACGTACTCACTTTCAGACTACTTGAAGAGTTCTCTTCTGAGCAGAAAGCTACAGTATGAGAGAGTGCGTTGAATTGATTCTCGATGAAAGAGTATCATCATTGTAGTATGTAGAACATGTCGTGCGAATTACAATTATAATTCTTTGTTTCTCTAACTTCTACTCTAGTGTTAGTACTACTACTACTACTACTAGAAGCAGAAATGCTACTAGTTCAAATAAAAATGACCGTAAATGTAAGCTTCCGCTAACGCCACAGCTTGCGGCAACACCTCTGTAACACGCAAATCTTGGATCTCGTGCCATTTTTCCAAGGCTTTATGCGATACATGGATTTTGTATGCACCGCCCTTTGGCTTCCCTTCGTGAGTCACGGAAGCAACCAGATTATACCGCGTTTCCGGATTCAAGGCGACTGCAGCGGGCTGGAGATCTGATGATTTGGGTGAAGATGTTCCTTATTCAGTCTGAATAGAGGACCAGCACTTTGTTCAAAAATCAACTTATGAAATGAGGAAAACAAATTAGACGAATTTCAGAAGTTGATTGAACAAAGTCGCGAAGATGAATTCACATTATATTCTGTGTCATTATAGGAGCACGAGCACGAGGACATTCGGACTTGCATCTTGAAATCGAATACCAACAAGTACATAAACTACATATTGACTGGCTAGGTTAGGTGAGGCTATGGATCCTGCACAACGGGTTAGGTATTTCATGAATTGTTTAGATTGTAGGTGCTTTCATTAGTTAGTCATTAGAGCAAGTTGAAAAATATATTAATTTCTTGACTTAGTCATTAATATATTTCTTGATCATTATTTCTTGAGTTGATAGAGAAGCGGCACGGTTACGTCTGTTTTGGAAAAAAAAAAGTACAATTCCTCAAATCCAGGTCTTTCAGTGGGAAATTCACGATTGTCGGATTCTTCTCCACAAAGTAACCGTTGTGCTTGAAACGCTTGATCTGAAAGATCAGGTAGGGGGGTAGCTTTCGGAGGGAAAACTTTCGAATTTGACGTGCCTCTCCAGACTTGGCAATCGACTCATGCGCTTTTTCTCCGTTGTATTTTTCCAGTAAGGAAAAAAGGTTCACTTGCGGAATCTGAAAATCATCCTTGAACAAAGGTGCGTCCGGAAGGTCGAGTTGGACGACGCTGTATTGGTTGTATTGGACATGGAGGAGGACATAATTCAAAATATTATTTGTTATTATAAAATGGGAATGAATGAAGATTCTGTTTGTTCATCTAGGGGAGGATGGAAGATTCTAATACAAACTTGAAGTATGTAAAGTATATATTTCTAAGTAATACACACTGGGATGCACTGAGTCGGTCCACTTTCGGTCGCCCTCTAGTTTCGCTACTTTCACCAAGATCTGGCCTTCTAGGATGTCCGCAATCGGCAGTTGATTCTTCAATTTCTTCCTCAAATACTGGTACAACCAGGAAATCAGCGCTACCGGATCATGCTGTGCTCCGTAAAATTTCTTATTAGATGCCCGTCCTATGGCCTGAAACACTTCATGGGGTGAAGCCAAGCCCTTAAAATTCTTCGGATTATATTGCTTCTTGATTAAATCAGCCAAACTCTTGACTAGCTGATCCGGTTTCTGTTTGAAAAGTAGGAGATTTTTGTGTTGAGAAGATGTTGTTGAGTTGTGTACGAGGATTTCGAGCAGTTCGTTGGAGAAGTTAATGGTGATTTGAAGGACAAGAGAGTACTAGTAAGCAGGAACACTACAACAAGCTGTCGTAAACTACGAACAAAACTACATTGCAATCAATCGAAACGACCGTATTTGCCTTTACCTGTGGCGGTTCGTACAACAGCAAGAAATTCCTCAGCGGGATAATCGCACACATGAGCTGCAGAACCACATTGAGGTAATCGGAATTTTTGATGATGTTGAGACCAATGCACCCAGGGATAAAATCCACGCCATCTAGGGATTTGGCATGATACGTGCCAGCTTCGCCACGTGCGATTTTCAGGACCTGGAGTTGTAATCATGCTGAGTAATTTCGCACGCTAAGGGGCCAGAATCAATGTGAGGAAAACGGTTCCTATGTTGAGAAGCTTCCTACACTACTCGATCTGCAACCTGAAGAGACGCCAATATCCATAAGTAACCTCCAAGCAAGCCAATAAGAGTGGCCCCTGTGGTTCTTACTTGACTGTTGCTGCTGTCTCACCTTTTATACTGATAAGAGGCAAGGCGCAAACGATACCCAAGCGAGGCACGCTAGCACTACAGGGGTCCAGACTGTTGCCCCTTATTGTCAAAACCGAGCAGCTGGACCCTGTCAGGACGTTTTTCATGTGGGTGCCTGCTGAAGCCCGCGCGTGTGATCCGGCGTCGAGCCCCGCCGCCTCATAGAGCTAAGCGCCCGCTCTCTCATACCCCGCACCAATCTCCGCAGAGGCCCCAGCCTCCTAGAACGCCAGGCCCCCTGCAGATACAGCGGACATTGAGATGACCAGCCCGAGCCATGCCCTTCGTTATCCTTCACGCACCTAGGCAGTTCACCCTCGCACACATAAACACAGAGGCGACGCCACTCCAAAAGGCGCGCCTTTCTGGCAGACTCGACTGAGATCCTGCCCGGCGCTGTTCTACCTATGCGGCGCGGGGTGCCGCGGCGCGCTGGCTCCGGGTTTCCCCCCAGGAGCTGCCGCAGCTGCTCTACTTTTTCCCGTGTGCAAGAATCAACACCAAAGCCCAAGCCCGTGGGCACCTTGCTCCGATCATATCACGCAGCCCGACGTATCGCTTACGCCCCCACTCACACACTGGCAGCGAAGACCCATGGCGACGCCGAAGCCAGTGGCCGCCTCTCAGGTGTGGCGTCTGCGATCGCCTCCCCTTCCCCGTGTGGCTACTCCTACCCTGCACAGCACAGACATACGCCAGAGCCCTCCCAGGTCCCCCCCCCTCATACGTGCCTCGTCTATCTCCTCGGCGGCCCAGAGTGGGCAGCCCCCAGCCATTAAGCAAATCATCCGCCAGATTTGTCCCCAGGTCCTTGGCCGCGCCCGCTAGCAACAGCAGGCCAGCAGCCTTCTTCTCCGGTCTGCCGTCGTTGGCGGAGGCCGGGCTAGGTAATGTTGGTATAACTTGTAGCCACGTACTCCCCAGGCAAGGATCCCAGCACGCTCCTGGGATGAGAAGAGGCGAGGGAGCGCCGGCCTGAGACCCAAGCGCGGGCGAGGCGCCGCATGTGTCTCGCTGGCTCTAGCGGCGTCACCGCCATGCCCTTGCCCTTCATCAGCAAAGACTGGCGAACTGTCCACATCCTTCGGGCGTAGGGTGTCCGAGCCGCGGCGCCTGGGCCTTGTGCTATCGTTTCAAGTGACTTGGCTGATGCGTCACATCCTTCACACGTGGAGCGCAGGGCCCACCCCCCAGCCCTTCACGCATAAAATTCCAAGAACTTGCGCACAAGGGCGCCGGCGTGCTGGTGCCCTCCGAAGTATCCGAGTCCTAAAATTGGGCACGCGTTGCATCTCCTCAAAGTTCGCGGTGGAGGAGTTGCCCCCTCCGGCGGACTAGATTGGCCACATAGCGCCGGGGGGCAGCGCCATCCATTATGCCCGCCTCCCACTTCATTTGCTGTATTTCCTCTTCCTAGTCGTACGATCACAAAGCCAGAGGAGAGTTTTACCTGTTCCTGGGTATAGTTTGGCTTCAGGTTGTATTTCACGTCGTTCAAGCTCGCATCAGTAATTTCATAGTCTTCTGGCAGGCAATAAGCCTGTGTCGATTCTAGGTTGACAAACACATAATGCTGCTGCTCCAAGGCATGCTGATACGCTGTTGTGCCTCGTCCTCGACCTAAAAATGGTGGATTTGGGGAAGGTTCGTACTTCTTTTAGGTGATTCCATCTAAGTACTTCCACTAAATGTAAAAAGCTGCAGATGCACATGTAAGATTAGACTCACCTGGTCGAATACTGATGAACATAAGGTGAAAGAGAAATCATACCTTGAAAAAATTTTCCACATACTAGGCACGCATAGATGTTCTGATCTGACAGGGTGACGGAGCAAACGCGTTCAAAATCGAAATCTAAAACGTTGCGGTTCACTGTCGAGAGGTAGGGACATTCCCTCTTCTGTCGTTTGTTTCGTCTTGATAAGGCCGTGTCGTCTTCTACTCCATTACCATTAGCCGAGCCATTAGTTGCAGGTGGAGCAAAGGGCCGCTTGGATGACGAGCTACTGGGCGTAGGCTCATCACCGGCAGCATTTGTTGATGTTGAGGTCTTCATGTTTTTGATTTTGTTCTTGTTTCTTGCGACCTGAACTTATGACTTGTATTTCTAACTTCGTGGTTAGTAAAACACGAAACAAAGAGGTTGCGAACGATCGGGAATGTTGGTTTCTCCTTAGGAAAACAAATGTGTCGCTAAGTAGTCGTTGTACATTGTCTTCGTCGTGATAAAAATTCGGCCAACCAGAGTGAGATTTTACAAAAAAAAACTGTTTACATACATCACAATCATAATTCGCCTGTAGTTTGTTAATATCCATACCACGAAGAAACCAGCACACCATCCGCACAGCGCACCACCTAGGGACCAGGAGATCAGCTTTTTCTTATTCGCTAGAATCAGAATTATCTCATCCAGCAGGGATCACTTGCAAGCATGCCACTTACAACTGGATGACGAGTTCCGGTGCCCTCCTTCACTATTCGTCATTCCATGGTGGATACGCACAAGACCCGATGCAACTTCAATCTATCAGAGAACAAGCACACATTTTTGGTATTCTGAAAAACTCAATCGAGCGAGGCACCTCGTCCCGCCGCAAGAGGACGATGCCTATGAGTCGCATTTTATTCTTTCTTCTGCTCCATTTTTCTTTTCAGTTTACTCTTTCACACTTTCACATTCATGGCCATTCCATCGAAATCGAAAATCACGGTAGTTACAATTCACTCAAGCGTTCATGCCCATAGTCTGGGTTCATTTTCATTTGCAACGTAAGATTTGGTGGACAAACTATAGGAATCTTTTATCATGCTAGGATTCTCATTGAAGATGAGTCTAATTTTCACTTTCACATTTACCGACCAAGTCTTGGTAATACAGAGGACGGCTTGATGGTGCCCGACCTGTATTATTAACTCGTGTAGTAAAAAATACAACGGATAACAAACTACGAGACCTGTTGGTGTGACGTCAGCACGACACCTACCTGTGTCATTACACTTTAACAGATCGACAAGAAGACTAAGTTAATTCTAGACCAACCAGCAGTGCGGCTGCTACCAGTACTGATGCGTACCTTTGTAAATAGAAGACTAAGACCAAGGAGACTAAGTTATTTAGGTATACTTTTTACGCGTAGTACAACGCATAGATAGGACATCAGATGAAAATACTTTCGACAACGACAACGTCTTAAACATGTCGTTTTGTTAATACAGATACAGCAGAAGTAGATGTAGCATTATAGACCACTAACACCTCTGCCTATTTCTTCTGCCACATGGCCGCAAGACGAGGGTCTTCGGCGAGTGCGTTTTCAAGTTCAACGAACTTCTTGACACTGTGAATTTCGTGTCTTGCAAGTCGCTGTTCCAAGATCTGGATGCGGAACATGGCCTGACTCTGAAATTGCTCCCAAGCACGCTCGTCCTGAAGAAGGGTTTATGTTGTCCGTTGATGTAGTGAGTTGTGGGATTTTTAGTCTATCTACTTCGCCCTCTTACAGTGTAATATTTTTTTTTATTATCTATCAAGCATCTATGCAGTTCCGAGGCAAAAGCCAATTGCGAAGTTATACTGTCAAACATCATAGCTTAAACTACATGCTACCTAGATGATTTATAAAAAATCCGAAGAACAAGATGAAGAAGTTCATGGTGCTACATCAGTACCTTCTCCACGTTATCCCCTCCTCTTCTTTGCATTTGTGCTCTTTTCTTCTTGAGATTCTCCTGCTCCGCCTCGAGCCTCCTCTGAATGATCTGCGCACGGTCCAGAAGCCGTTTTCGAAAGTCGTTTTTGCACTTTTTCGCCACAAACTCTGCCTGCAGTGCATCCAACGGCTTGGCTTGGAAATCGACCAAATATCGAGCCAAGAAATCCACTTTGGAATCAACGTAAGGTGCGGGATTAGAGCGGGGAAACAGATCAATTACAGTATCTTTGGAATCAATGTAGGGTGAGGGACTCGAGCGGGGAGCTCCCGGGAACGCGGGGAAACAGTAGATCAATTTAGAAGTGTGGTGTAATTTAGTGCTTGTGAAGCCCCCGGGAACAACAGATCAATTACAAATTTGGTGTACCTTAGTGCTTGTTCCTTCTTGATGCAATCAATCTATACGGTGGAGGTCTAAAGGAAACAGGTGCTCATTCTTGGTACTATTTCGATTGAATTATTCCTGAATTTTTTGTGGGGTACCAAAGTGAGGTTCCTTGGTCTACCGGAGAATGTTTCCGAACAAAATCTTCATCCAAGAAAAAGAATCAAACTATACATAGCCATAAAAGCAGCTGCTTGGTCTTGTTCGGCACTCTTGCTCTCGCTTTTGCTTTTGTCTAGCGTTTGCTGTTGCAATTTCGATTGTGCCTCTTCAGCTTCGGCTTTTTCTCTAGCGATGTCATAGACATTCTTCTCTAGTACTGGTTCTACACTTCTGTCGCCCGCTGCGGCCGCACCCTGCCGCAAAAGCTTTATGTTATTCTCCTGCTTCTTTCGTGCGCCGTACTCAGCATAGACTTTGCTTGCTACGTCTTGGTGGTATGAAGAGTGGGAGAGGGACAGAGAGAGAGACGCGCATGAAACGAAGCGAGAAAAGAGAGAATGATACACTAGGGAACAGGAAGTATTTTCTTATGCTGCAGAATCAAGAGTAGCACTAGCAGATCAAGAAACCACAACCTACTACTTACACAGGGACGAAGACGATCGGGTGAAGATGCCAAGAATCGATTCCGAAAATGAATCTAACATCATAGAAAGGTGACTTTGCAGTTTTTTTCCATGGCGACCAAGTCGTGCAGCTGTTGGTCCGACAGCCTTCCCGTCGGCGCTGATAAAGGTCGCAAACTATTGTCTTCCTTGATATAGATCAAGCTCTCGTCTACTATCTTCGTTTGAAGGCCGTAGATGTCGACCTGAGAGGAGTTTTTAGGGGGATGAAGATGAACAAGGTGTTGTATGACTCATATTTTTCCACTTAAGCCATGTCTGCGCTCGAGATGCGGAAGCTCCAGCATTTCGGCCCCTAGGCGCACACTTGGGGGCTACGCTATTTTTCAGTGGGGCACCTTGCGTTGGGCGGCCGCTGCTGCTCGTGCGTCGTCGCAGTGGCCATGCCGTAACTATTGACACAGACGAGGAGCCTGTCAGCTTCGCTGTCGGGCTCTCTGTCAACAGAATACCGTGGGGAGAAGGGTCACGGACTCGGACCCCCCGTCAGCCCTCTCCGCCAGCACCTTTCAACACCTTGTTCATCGTCATCCCTCTCCGTTTTTAGGGGGATGAAGATGAACAACGTGTTGAAAGGTGCTGGTTGAGGAAAATTTTTACATTGCTGCTCGAGTAGTTCAGAGAATGGTTCTTGCTCTGCTTATCTCTACTGCTTATCCATCGAAACAAACATTCTTGTTCTAGTAGTTCTAGTCCCAGCCCTGCTTTCCTAAGAACAAAGAAATCAAAATCAACAGCAACAAAATGAAACATGGATCATACCCTTATCTTCCCCTCTGCGCAGTAGAAAACTATCTTGTGATAGTCTGGGTCTGGCGCGCCTCTTGAATACTTCAGCGTCATCTTCACTATTGCCAACTCACCTGAATGCAGGAAGGTTCAAGTGGGTTGCGAATCAATTTCGTACTTCCGCACACACCAGAACGAAGCTACGGCTTAGAAAATAAGTCAGAATACCAACTCCTTCTACGTCTCGTATCTGTTGTACCAAATCCTTCTAAGTAAATGAAAATGTGACTAGAAGGATCAATCTAATAATAATAGTATCGAGTAGTCCTTCTATGACAGACTACTGTCTGTACCGAGTCCTTCGATGACTAGTGTGGGCTGTTTCCCCGCTTGCATGGGGTCTACGGGTCCAAGCTTGACACTGTGATATATGAGCCGATCGTCCCTGTCTCGAAAGAACTCGCTGATCTTGTCTTGGAGCTCAAAACAGTTCATATCAATAACCTGCATATAATCCTCTCTGCCAATCCCAACAACGAAGGAAACTAACAGAGAGAAATGGCTCGTTGTAGAAATGAATTGTATTGACGAGCCTTAATTGTGCCCTATTTCCTCTACCGTCTTTTCTAAGCCGTCTAGGCGCGACGAAGGATAATATGTGAGGATTCGACGGGTACCGAAAACCTGGATAATGGTGGGAGGTTTGGAATCACGTACTTGGAAGGGAGCGGTATACAACTTGAGTAACTATGTTGTATGGTGGTAAGCGGATGCAGATGCAGATATCATCAAAAAGTACACCTGCAGCAGTGAATTTTGAAGCTCTACTAACATTCTGTACCCCTACTGCACTTTACGAGCATTATTTTCCATCTTCATGCTGGATACGAGCATGAAGGAAAACTACTAACATTCTGTACCTCTCTAAGTAACGCGCTATTCGATACCTACTCTATGGCTATGGAGGTATAGTACCTCTACTACACGAAAATCGACTACAACTCGATACCTCCTACTCTATGACTAATATGGAGGTCGTATAATACCTCTTCTATTTCCTTCAGCGCGTTACTTCTTCCTGCTACGAAGCTTTCTAAAGCTCGGTTCTCGAAGGGATATTTCAGCCTTCGGATCAGCTTGTCCTTCCTAAATTGGAACAACTCCTCGATCAGTCTTGGCCGCATTCTCCTAATGTCCTTGAATTTCGTTATTCTTCGGACTACGCCGTCTACCTGTAGTGTTGAAACACGCTGTGAGGACGGAAGGATTTTTCACGAAGCTGATGTTGATACTGCAGCTAAAATAAGTGTAAGGTTTGAAGTCGTCTTAGTTGTCCAGTCGGGCCAGTTGATGGTGAGTGAGGCATCGCACGGTGCCAAAGAAGAAGCTACTGCAGCTAAAAAATCAATAGCCTCGCTAACCTCCTTAGATAGCTGCTAAAAAAGTAATAGTTGTAATAGATAGAGATACAACAGTTCTCGTCTCTTTTTACCTGTGTATATGGCGAGTATCGCTCCACTTTGCACTTCATGTAGTATGAAGTTTTTTCGCCATGATAATATCGCGCCTGAAAATCCGCTGGAGCAATCTCTGTTGTAGGGGAAAATCAAAATCTTCAAGAAATTGTAATAACTATAATAGGTAGATTTACTTTTACTACACACGATAAATATACTTGAGTACAAAGTAGATTATATATATATCTCTATCTTCTAAGCATGTATGGTCCAGACACAATTCTGCAGATTAGAGACATGCAGATTCATCACGTAAAGGCGCTAGAAAAACATATACAAGTTGTTCTACATACAATCAGCTCAAAAATTTCAAAGTTATTCAGATGCAAGTGCAAGATGAAAAGACCTATTTTCTTGCTCCATGGTGGTGGCGTGTCCAGATACTGTACTGCAAGGTTTTTGCCGGCACCCTCCGCTGTCTCTGTGGCGTTCAACGCTTCATCTGCAATTTTGTTAGATGGTGATTGAGATTGACTTGAAGTTTTACCTCTTCTACTTTACAACTTACTTATTTACATCGGAGATTGATCCCTGTTCTTAACTTCCTCTCCCTTCTCTTCTGCATCTCCTTCGTCTGCTGCATCGGCAGTGACTAGGACGAACTCGAAGAACCGAGGGTCGTTTAAGGCTAATTCAATTTGCGTTGCAGGCGTGTCGATTTGCATATTCACCCATAAGTTTTTGTGGTTCCATATCAAGTCGACCTGGGAGAAGGTGAACAGGCGATGGTCATTATAGTATCGGTGGAGCACACCTAACTAGGAAACAAAAAACCAACTAGCGACAAGCAGAACAGCTGCACTTACGTTGAGTTCTAAAACGACTCCAAACGATAGTCCTGAGCAAGTGATAGAAGGAGTAGATTTGATGGTAATGTGACTCTTTCACTTTCTCAAAACGAGGACTGCTCAAAAAATATAAATATGATGTCTATTTACACATCATACTAGTGGAGTACTTTCAAATATGGACTCGACGCCACGGGATAACATCGACCCGTGCTGCACTCGATGTAGACGTCTTCGGTCATTAGACGCGATCCTTTCCGTATAAGGACCCAACAATGCACTCGGTTTCCCGCGTCCTCTGGCGCGTCCTGGTCCGTTAGGTTAGATTTGATCAATTATATAGGTTAGATTTCTATGGGATTCCTGTAGATAGTAGACTGACACTGACGTCACAATTCAGGCTCGTCATCAACGGTACCTCTTGTGGAATCTGGTAGAGTTCCTTTGGGATAGGGTCGTCGTTGTTGAGGAAAATAGAGAAAGAACTTGGTGGTTGCTCGTGGAGGTAAAACTGTAAAAAATGCAACTTCTGTTGAAAATGGTTTAAAAATATGCAATGACAACATGGACAGATTAGAGGGTAAAAATGATCGAAGGAAGAAGAAAATAAGACAAAGTACATCTGCACCAGCACCTCCGCCACGAAAACTTACAACAGTCGTAGTACCTCTTCATCGTCACTATCACTGCACATTGCTTCCTCCTCTTTTTTCTTTTCTTCTAGCCTCTTTTTCTCTGCTTGCTCGGTTATAAAGCCGCTCTTGTTGTATGCTGCTCTTTTCGGGATACCCTCTAATATGCTTGATGAGGACGATGCTGCACCAGATGCGGCATTCGTCACTACCTCATTCCTCTCATTCAACACCGCCAAATCCACAGCACAGTGCTCCATCGTCTCCGTCTTTGTTGCGATGTACCTGTAAGAAAAGTAAGGATCATGGGTCTCAACAAAATGGAAAATTTTCACTCTGAGACGAATAATGTACAAAAAAGCGCTTTTTTTCCGTTTTTTGTACGTTATTCGTCTCATAGGAGGTCGTCCACAGAGGTCGAGGCATCGTATCTAGTATACTAAGAAAAGAGAAGAAAAACCTTGGCGCGAATCCACTGACACAGTAGGCATCGTATCCGACGCCAAGGAGCATAGAACAGAGGAGTATGCTGAAATCAAAGCTATCTCCGGCTCGCCAGTCGAGGACCGTTGCAGGACTTGGTATCACAGGGATTAGAGAAGCTTTTTCTTTTTTTTCATAATAGTTACAGAGATCGATCATAGAATGCTAGTATTATACAAGTACAACTGTGGGTAATTATTGGTTAAGAAATGCCTGTACTTCATCTCGACAACGTTGTTAGTTCTTCAATGAAGGGACTAATGTTATGATTCTTGCATGATGATTCAACATAACTTCGGATACTTGTCTGTCGGCAGCAATTCCTCGTAATTCAGCCTGTCGGCCACGTAATCTGCGCATGTCTTGTAATCGTACAATTCTCGGTATGGAAGGTGCGTAGGTCTTAACGTTGTAACTAAAAATTTCGGTACTTCGCACTCATTCGGAGGGCACAAAAAGAGAAACCGGTTGCCGTAGACCTTGTGGTCGTTGTAGTGGTTGTGGACTTTGTGTGAGTGGAGGCTGTACGGTGAAATACTAGAAATTATGTAGTATTGCGACTACAGTGAACGATGTAGATTCATGTGAACTCTATTTGAAGAAATGAAATTTATCTTTACCTACTTACAGGACGAAATTGACGGATAAGAGACGCATAAGACAACAAGCTAATCCCAAGTATCGCTATCCTGTTCCGACCAACAAGAACTGCTAGATCGGTTTCATCAACAAGCTAATCCCAAGTATCGCTATCCTGTTCCGACCAACATGAACTGCTAGATCGGTTTCATCATCAAGCACAAGGTAGGAAATTACCGATATGAACTGCTGTTCGAATTCTGAGACGTGCTGGAGCAGAAGTTCTTCCTTCGGTGTGTTCCCTTTATAGCTTGGAGGTATATTTTCCGTTGTCGAGTCCTTAAAACGCCTTGAGCGTACTTCTTTCTGGTTGACGTTTGCTTTCTTGCGCGCCTGCGCCTGAATCTCCTCTGGGCTAGGCTTTTGCTCCGCAGGAGCGGCAGCCGGAGCAGCCCCTTCCGCGGGGGCAGCTGCTGCAGACATGATGATCTACTTATCTTCTCTGTGGAGCAGGTACTACAGGAGTTAGTACAGAAGTTAACTAGAACTGCCAAGTTACCACTGCCGCAGCTACCTGTTCTTTGAATGAGAAAGGAGAAAGAATCAATTAGATGGAGAATCATGTCACATTCTGCTCCGCTTGTAATTGTGGAGCAGGTACTACTGGAGTTAGTACAGAAGTTCTTCTTCTTGATGAAGATGTAGATGATAATCTACTGGAGCAAGTACTACTGGGGTTAGGGCAGGTTACAACTTCCCCTTGTAGTTACGATGTAAATAATTGGTATTCGTACCAAGACGAAGAAGTTAGATCCAAAACTCGAGGGCAACAAAAAATCCAAGCTAGCATAACACTGTTTAACATTTTGTGGTTTTTATGTGAATCACAAATGACGGATGTTCAGTGTTCGCATGTGCCGGTTACCTTAGGGTTAGGGCAAGCACCAGTGGTGTTTTAGAAGGTACTCGGCAGTCGGGTCTTCTCTCACTCTTCTGCTTCATCTATCTCATTCATTGTCAAAACGAGTCAATTACTCTCTTCGTAGCCGATCTAAGAGTGTTCTTACAAGAACCGAGTAGAGAGTAGAATTTCAAGAACTTCTACAGATCCGCCTGTGTCCGCAAGATTTTCACAAGTAGACTTCCAAAGTCACATGAACATCATACGACAGAGAATTATTGAAAACGCTGCGAATCAAGCATGCACGACTTCTTCATTCTTTCAGCACTGTCTCACTCTCAGAAGACCGATATGATGGGAAAGCACCGACCAGCCACCTCCTACTCATTGTATGACAGCAGACTGAAGATTTCTATAATCACTATCTTAGAAAAAGGGTCGTGCAATCAGTTTTCATCGACCCTTATACTTTGTTGTAAGTAAATTATTTGCATACTGTAGTAGCATTGTCTGTGTTCTTGGTAATGGTATCACTCGTGAAGAGTTCTTGGGTATCACTATGAATTCTAAGTACCTGTACTAGACGAGTAGTAGATCATTTAAACTTAAGATTTTGTTTTCGACCTGGTGCTATTCAATCGATCTTCACATGTTCACAATTTTGCTTTTTTGTCATAGTATTTTAGTAAAGTCGAAAATTCTTACCTTCAAAACCCAAGTTCTTAGGGGTAGCGTTTTAATTTTGTTAGGACGTCTTGGTCTTCATAACGAAAGGATAACGATAAGGATCTTGTTGATTTTGTCTAAATATTTAGTTCAATGTCAGTGGTTGTTCTTGGAATTGCGTGTCAAACTTCGATGTGGTTGATCTTTCTTTGCATTAGCAATTCTTTATTGCAAACAGTCTACTTCATGACTGTTGCATTAAGTAGTGAAAATGGTCTTAATGCTAATCTCGATCTCGTACTAGAAGTATAACTAAACGAGGTTCACCTCACTTACATTACAGCAAGAGAGCAGTCAGTTGATAACAATGTTGGCGACGAGACACCGATTCTGTGGATGAGTTCAACATGTCTCAAATGACCGTTTTCGGTCATCGGCAATCCTCAGTGGATGAGTTCATCAACAGCATTTGCCTTTCGCCTCTTGTTAGAGCTCAAAATTGGAACTCAACGGAAGCTTGCAAGAAGATTCTAAGAAGGATAAGAAGTATGTCAGTTACTACGTACTTCCCAGTTACAAAGAGAAAGAAAAATTACTCTTGGAATGATTAGACTAAAAAGTTGTAAACCCAGGCGGTAAGTGATCTGTTGATATCCTTGTAGTAGAAGTTGATCTTCAGAAGATGAAAGCTACTTATTTCAGACTCCATGCACCATGCGTGCTATAAACTACTCTTGGGCATCACTATGAATTCTAAGTACCTGTACTAGACGAGTAGTAGATCATTTCATTCAAACCTGTAGTAGAAGTTGATCTTCAGAAGAAAGCTAATTATTTGAACCTTAATCTTGAGGAGCCTCCAGGCCTTGAGCCTCTGGTCCGTCGACGTCGTGGACTTCGTGGTCTAGGTCTTCGCCCGGTTGATCCGTAGCACCATCATGCTCCTCGTCCTTATCCTCTGCTGGCATGTCTCCTGCGTTAGAGCTTGATGCTTCATCACGGTGCCCCATATAGTGCTACAAGCCTATAGGCAGGACAAAACAGTTCCAGCAGTAATATGTCAATTACTTATAAAGTACATTATATTAAGTGGCTGGAAGGTACAAAAAATTTACTAGCCCTAACTATATGAATGAATAAGAGTTGTTTACCCCGATACCCTGACGTATGTCTTGAAGGGAAGGTCGTTGCGCAACATGTATAGTACAACGAGTGGCAAACGACTCTCACGCTCGTGTCCCTCTAACGAAAGGTGAAAGAATCAGGGCTAAGCACAAAGGACTGATGCTGCTTAACTAAAATAAGAAGAAAAAGAATGATGGAATCTTCTAGATCCCGTAGGTGAATAAGTCAAGGGGAAGCCATAACTGCAGATCGAGTTTCGACAGATTGTTGTTGTGGCCTTATCCCGGAAGAGACCTCACTGGTTCTACCAGGCTCTTCAGCTGTGTCTGCGCCTGCACCACCATCTTCAGCAGGCTGTCCATCAGCGTCGGCGCTCGGCTCTCCCCCGTTATCGCTACGCTTTCTCTGATCGCCTGCGCCTGCACCACCATCTTCAGCAGACTGTCCATCAGGTGAGGAGCTAGCAGTCGACGTACCTGTGGTGCCATCACCACGCTGTGCTCCATCGGCTTCCTTTATTCCTGTCGTGGCCGGATGTCTACCTCCACCCTCTGTCGGTCCATTGGTACTCGTGCTAGGTTGTTGGACTGCTGTCCCGTCTGCGGTCACACTTGTTCCATCACCAGCTTGCCGATCTTGTCGGCTAGGATGAGGTTGCAGTCCTCCATCCGCTGCAGCACTGGTCTCAGCTTTACGACCTGGTGCCACTCCTCCATCCCCCTGCTTAGCTTGTGGGGCAGCGATGCGATCCTCACGATTCTCCACGGAAGCAACGTCTACTCCTGCGCTGGCAGCTGCCCCCGCCTCGCGGTCGCGGCTATGAAGATTAGCGCTAGTTGCGGTCTTTATTCAATTGAAGCTCAGCATTCATTAGTCACTGACTCTGAACGGAAAAGGCCCCCTTCAAAGCTCTCCCCTTTCCCTTCGTTTTCTCCTGTTCTCTCAAGGGGTCGCCTCTTCGATCTCAGTGACCAACCCCAATGACCATTGAAAGCTGAGCCTTAATTCAAGTAATTGGTGGTGTGAATCTATTCGGCAATCTGCCTAAGATTATTCTGGTTGAAGGGAGTGAATAAAGGCACGACGTAGGACTATTAAGAGTGAGACAAGTAGTGTAGTATTACAGTAAGAGAGTAAAACTAAAACGAGGGGAAGTTCAACTTATGATGTTCTAAAGTTTGTAAACCTGTACCGATGATCAAAAACGTCTTCTTCCCTGCAGCATAATAGAATCAGGTCCCGCCGCGCTCTTCCTCTGGTTCCATGTTAGAGCTACCGCGCTCACATCCCTGAGGCCCGCTCCTGAGCTTCTTTATTCATTCGTCATGGCTACTCATCTCTCTTTTTCTTTTTTTGTTCCCAGGGTATACATTCTCGTCTCCCCTCCTATGACGAGCCTGAAGCACGACTGACAGGCATCTAAAAACTAAGCAAATGGGTTATTTTGTTATTCGATAAACTGAAATAAGCAAGCAACTTCTGATCAGAATAACAGACATACTGAACAAGGAAGAGTAGCCCGCTAAAGCTACCTCCCATATTTCAGTCAGGAACTCCCTTATTTTATACCTCTAGTTTTCGAATACGCTCCTACATTCACATGTCGAAAAAGAGTCGGTGGATTATGGTGCTAAGAAGGACATCCTTGCTCTCTCACTCGTCGATATTGTGTAAGTATAACTATAATGCCATTTCTCATTGAGAACGAGATCAGGGAATGCGAATGTCGTTCCTCCGTAAGAAGGTGAAGAGGGGACGACAATCCCCTATCAACATTCTCAATGAGTGGCAGCATTCATATTGCCTTAACAAAAGCCCACTCCCCATCGCCCCCGCTGCTGTCTGGAAATCGGCTGCTGCATTGGTTCTCGCCATCATCGCCTCCTTATCCATTTTCGCTCTCCTGTCCATTTTCCTTTTCCGCAGTTCTTGGGCTTATTAGTAGTAGTAGTGTACCCAGTCTAGAGGTGTAAAAATAAAGGAAAGCACTCTAATTCTTGGAAGTTAATATAATCATCATCATGTACGCCTGCAAAGTAGAAGAGACTTATTCTCTATGATACAGGAGTACGCTGAGGACGTGGACTAGGACTATCGGCTATCAGCGAGATGAGTCAGTTCCTGAAGCGGTTAGGTTAGGTTAGGTTAGGGATCCTTCACAAACTAGGTTAGGTTAGTTTAGGTTAGCGGTCAGCCGTCCACTAAAAAGTAGCCAAACTTGTATTACATTTCTTGGATCATGAAGGCAGGCACTCAGACGATGGAAATAAGTAAGCCGGTTAGTACTACTCGGTATGAATTTGTGTAGTAGTGGTAGTATCGAAGGTAGTAGTACAGGGTACTTATCAGAGACTCTAACTCTCTGGAAATAATGATGAGCGAAGAATAGATGAGGCTTGTACTGTCGTAGTACTTCCAAAAACGGTGAAAAGAAAATGAATGAAAGTTGTATGCACTACTTTAGGTAACTGTTACATGAATTATCGTGAGCCTTAACGTTGTTTCGTCTGCGTCGAGCGTGTCCTCGTCGTTGCTACGGCAGAATCTTCTACGTTAGACAAGACCGCAAAAGTGGGCAAAAACCGGATCTAGTACTTCTAATATCTACTTGCTTGTAGCACGTAGTTGTAAGTACTTATTCATCATTTCTCAACGAACAGTCATGTTAATGTTCCAACATAGGACAACAACATCGAAGAACTGTGTTAGTTTTTCTTCATTTCTACAAAAGAAAGTTGGAGGATGAAAAAGTTACGGCCTCACAAGCAGGCTGAGTGACGTGTTCTGGACTGTGTCCGAAGTGGCATCATCGTCATTGCGTCGCAAATGACCGTACGTGGTCACCGGCAAGACGAAACAATTCCTGCGACCGACGATGTCTGGAACAATGACTTCTAGTAGTTGTATTCCATAACATACAAACAGCACTTTCCTCTAATATTCTCCCTGATGAGTCTCCTGGTCTTCTTTTCGACTATACGACGCCCAGGTACCCACTTCGGAACCCCTCCACTGTAGTGATTAGAAGAAAGTACTCAGCATGTCGATCTTCTTGAATCATTTTCCCTTTCTTCAAGAAGGTGGTACTAGCTTAACTCGTAGGATAAATATACATAGGATAGGATATAATTACTGCTCGTAAGAAGATGGAGTACAACTCGTGGGATTCAGAGAATACTTCAACTGTAATATATGTATTTACTCAGTTATCTTCTCGAAAAATGGAGAAATGGTGCTGGTAAAACTTCTTTGATCATGAAATAGTGAAAATAATCGTGGTTTCTTCTCAATCTACTCAAGTAGCTAGTATATAATTACGTTGCCTGATGATCTCCAACTGTCTTTGAAGACATAGAAAGATTGATACTGTACCTCAAGTTAACGATCCTTGAAGAGGCGACCCAGCATTGTTTCCGTTCATATCTTCCACTTGAAAGCTGCTGAAATCCTTGTACGTGTAGTGGAGTGGTTCGTCCTCGAAGGCTACGCCCTCCTTCATTAGAAAGCAGGTACAAGTATCGAAAGAACGCGGCCACATCATGGCATGTTGTCACTTCAGAGGAGTATGACGAGGAAGGAATGGTCCCAAGTAGTACATACGATACTCAGCCACTTCTTGCGAGGACTATATTGACGAGGTGAGTAGTTGCTCTGATCAGTACAACTCGGAAACTGTCGATGGGTTTAAAGTCATGCGACGTATAAATTAACAAGTGAAGTGAAATGACATAAGTTAAAAGTTGTGAAGTCGCCGGCCCCGCAAAGTGTTGTACTGTCCATGTATTCGAGCATTTCGGTACAACTTTTCACTTCTCTTACCATTAGAAGTAGGAATCATGATCAAGTGGAACGCGTGTCCTTATTGCTTCTCCTGCTAGGTGTAGCATGATATAGAATCATTATTGTCCTTAGTGCTGCTAGCTCCATACTTCTCAATCACAAGTTGTACCCTTCTTTGGTGTGTTCTTGGTGTCTTCGACACTGACTCTAAATCTTAATGTCAAGGTGTAATTTAGTAGGCCTTAATGTCCTCGGCGGTGATTCTGAAGTCTCACCTCCCCCGCAGCAGATCTCTATTAGCGGAAAAGCCACGATTTGCAGCTAGACCAATGGCTAACTACCAAGTTATTAATCAAACTACGTACTAACCCCTTGTAGTACAGCAGAAGAAATTTTGCCACTGGCGCAGCTAGTTGGAGATTCAGGCTATCGGCATTTCACTGGTTAACCGATGGCAGTCGCAGCGGTATAAGCTAGACGGGATAAGCTAGACGTCGGAAATAAGTAATGTAACGTAGTAAAAGTGCTTCTATTTCGGAAGTAAGTATTAACGCGGCAGAAGTAATTCTATTTCGGAAATAAGTAACGTAGTAAAAGTACTTCTATTTCGGAAATAAGTAACGTAGTAAAAGTGCTTCTCTTTCGGAAATAAGTAACGCGGTAGATGTACTTCTACTTCGGAAAGAAGTAACGTAGTAAAAGTACTTCTATTTCGGACGGAAAAAATATGTAACGTAGTAAGATGAGTAAAAGTACTTCTAGTATTTCGGAAAAAATAAGTTGTAACGTAGTAAGATTAAAAGTATGTTGTTGGAAGGCCTAATATTCTAGAGTACTAAAAGTGGTGCTTCTATTTCAGACAAAATATGTAACGCGGTAGCTGTTTCGGAAGAGCCTTAAATCCAGGATATCCGACGTGCCTTGGTAGGCTGAGCTTTATTAGAGCTTGTCGACGAGTCCATCGGAAGGTAATTTGATGCTCTGCTTCTTCTATACAACGTTGAGGAGCATCTTCATAAGTAGTTAGTGCATTACTTAGAAAAGGTTCTGCGGCAACAATAGTGTCAAGAATCAGCTACTTCTAGAAAAGGTTCTGCTTCAACTTTCGGTCGATGCCGCGTCCTCGATAAGTCTCATGGGCCATTGAAGATGCAAGGATATCATCTCGCTTCTTAAGGAGACGTCTCTGTGTCGAGGTCTCGCCTCTTCATCCTCGTCGCCCAGATGGAATGCATGCCATCCTCTTCTTCTCCAACTATTTCATCCCTCCACCAGCGTGCGCATTGCTGTAAAGGATCCGAATACGATGTTCCCACGTCGTCTTTTAGAAGGCGGTACTCATGATCAACATGAAGATTATAAGTAAGTACTTCCTAACGTTGCCAAGAACAGATATCCACTAGTGGATGCTACTAAAATATCCTCAAACCTTAACTCTCCTGGACGTCGCAGCAAGGGCGTCAATTTAGAGCAGAGGAGCGTTAATTCAACGAAGGAAGTCATCAATAACCAAAGTTGATGTCACCCTTGGCCGCGGCCGAGTAGATTCCCCTTCTTGACTATCTCAAAACCCCTTCGAATGTCAACCTTGACAGACTTCTACGGGAAAACCCACTCACGATTCCCATGGCTCACCGACCCTTCGAGTCCTCGTGACAGACTCCTACGGGGAAGACCTCCTGCTCCCTCCACTCAGCTGCATGGAAAGATAGTTCATACTAGATAATGATTGACGCGCCTTAACTATTTCATTCGGACCTGGAGGTTCGTGCGCGTAAAAATCGCCACACGTAACTTAGATGAAGGACGACTTTGTAAACATTGTCGTGGAACCATCGGGTTTGATTGACTGACATCCCGACTAATTCTCCTCGTCTACCCTCGGGAATGCCAACCTGCTAAGTACTTTGTTCTTGTAAGTGGATGTATCCAAACTACCGAGAGAAAGTTATAACAAACCCCCTGGGCGACGTAAATAATTCTATTCAGTAATTCCTTATCCTTTTTCACCTAAAGAACATTTTTTTACATTACTTTTCTCCATCTTGGTGAACGTGAAGATGAAGGCGAGTCAAGGGGTGGGTGAGCCTTAAGTATTGATCTCGATCACCTTCTGCTCGTCATTTTCCTCCGCTGTCGACGACCGGCCTGCATCTCCTGCGTCTGCGTCTTCTTCTAGTTTTTCTTCCAAGAACGATCCTGTTTAGATGATTGAAGACAAAGAACGACGATTGATGCCTGTTGCTTCCTCGTATTTCAAGAAGCCTGTTCTTGCTTCCTAGAATGTATACTATTATAGCATTTTATGAACTTACAATGAATACATACCTGAACCTGACTAGAAAAAAAGAAAGAAAGAATATTATAAGCAGAAGAAGGTCGTGACATGTAAGCACCTCGAGCGCTATTTGCAGGTCTCGGGTATGAAAGGGACGAAAATTATGAGGGACGTTTGTATGAAAGGGACGTTTGTGTGTCTCGTCTACAATAAGCAGAAGAAGGTCGTGACATGTAAGCTTAGATGGGAACAACTGCTGTAGGGGGTTTCAAGACGTACTTCATCAACTTGTGGTCACACATCACCAGAATGATCATGAATGGGAAGTCATAATGAATGAATAAAACTTCTATGCATGCAACAAAATGTAAATGATACACCAAAGCCAAAGTGAAGTAACAAACGAAAAGTATATTGCTTGAAGGGATAAGTTTACGAGATAGAGGGACACAAACGACAAGTAAATAGGATTTGGATTTAAAAACGAGCAGACAAAGTTACTCTTATTTTTCTAGTTGAGAAGTAGACTAAATCCAAATCCTATACTTGTCGTTGAGTAGAACAACTACAAGTAGCATGATGTTCTTAATCGCCATTTCCTTGAACTGACGTCGTCGCACGACTCTGTTGATCGCCATCTTGTCCAACTGGCGTCGTCTGACCTTCCTGTTGTTTCTGATCATCTACTCGACGCGCAGAGATTACTAGTATGACGGCAGCGGCCATAAGCCGCGTGGCTTTCCCCCAATCTAGTAGAGGACGAGAAGCGGGGGCGGCTGTCATCTTACGACGTTTCACCTTGCTGCTCTTTCTCGACATACTGCTGATGATGTTAGTCGGTTCGGGTTGGACCTACGAATTCCCGGACGTACTATTACATTAGTAGTACTTGGAATAGATTGGTAGTTTTACCGAGGAAGCTCCTAAACTTAGCGAGAAGTATAGTAGAAGAAGTAGAAGCATTAGTACTAGTACTTAGAAGCCCATTCATGGGGTACAGCCTGAAATGCATCGGGAGGAACGAAACTGTGGTGCCATGACTCTGAATAGGATAGGAGTTGGCTCACCTTCCACGGGGTGAACCTGTATCCGACCTCCAGAGAAGCCTGAGAAGCTATACTACATAGTCGCTCCTTCTAGGCAGTCTCGGCGTCGGCATGTCATCATTATGGCGCTCCTTTGGGTAGCTCTACAACTACTCTACCGGAACCTGGTGGATGATGTGGATGTCGCTGATACAAAGGTCGTTTATTACTTCTAGCGTGCAATGTATGATCAAGGATTTACATCTAGGGTCGTCCTGGGTCTGGGCATCGAGTTTTTGCAGTGTAGGCTTAGCTTCGGGGGTTTTGAGGAGGTAGTATTTTGCTGTTGAGAAGAAATTCCAGGGTGGATCGAAAGCCAAATCTAAAACCTCCAAGAGGTGGACAGAGATGCCGACCGATTCTTGTGATACGACTTCTTGCCGCACTTTTTATTTTTGAAACCCTTTTACGTTTTTGAAAACACCCTTTTTAGGACCTCTCCCTCTGCGTAGTGAGTCTTCATGTCAGGATAGTGCCTCTGTTTACGTCCAAACTATAAGGTTCTTGAGAAGCCCCCTGGCATGCGGAACCGAGGTGAAAGCCTGCTGGGTCTAAACCGAAAACACTATTAGTTATAGTTCCACGTACATTTATAGTTTGTTAGATCATTCTTTGTCCTCGTGTTTGAGCGCTTGCTAAAAAGAAAGTCAATTTTTACTTAACGTTCTGAACTCGAACAATAATACAACTTAATCTTAACAGTAGAAGTAGATAAAGATAAAGATTAAGATAAGTATTTCAATCATTCATATTTCATAGAAGATATCTACAGCTCTCGACCTCTTTACGACCACAGATGTTGAGGTCTGGTGGTGCCCTGTAGTTCCTAATTTCTAGATGAGCGGTCTAAGTACAATTTTTGAGTGAAATATGAAGTAGTAAAAAAATCCCTCGTAGTCAGATCTCAAATTCAAGCCAGCAGAAGCGCGAGCATCCGCAGTAGCTTTCTTCGAGGGGATAGCTAGCTCCAGAGAGATGGCACATCCATGCAAGGAGTAGCAAACCCCAGCAATGTCATCACCACACATTCAATGAAGAGAAAGTAGAGTATGAATGTCGAGAAGAACCTCGAGGATGGTTATCTATAAGGAGAAAGAGTATGAATGTAGACGAGAGCGTCGTCGTCGATAGTTATCGATAAGAAAAAATCATGCTTGATGAAGGTGCGCTTCGGCGGAATGGACATCAATGCCTCGTCTGAAAAAAATGAGTATTCCAATTCTTGTAGTATGTGTGGGAAAAGTCAAAGGTAAACCTAGGCACAACACAGGGTTTTACGCAATCAAATGGATAAAACTCTTCAGCATCAGTGACAATATTAACTTCAAGAGTAGTTGTGTCTAGTACTATTAAAGGACTACTCATAATGTTGGAAGGGCTACGACTCTAGAGGTAAAAACTAACCTGTCCGTTGTTCTATTTAGTGCTTTGAGCGCCGACTACTTATAAAAAAATATTGACAACAAGAACAAAGTAATTTCTTCGATGCATAGTGAATCGTCCCTAGTTGACGACAGTCACTCCCACAGAGTGACTGGTAGTTTAATGCATAAATCTTGACTTCCACAGCGTCACTATCATGTTGGCGTCTCGAGCAGTTCTTATGTAGCTGCCCCCTGCTTTCATCTTAGTTAAAAAGCATGTTGTGCTACAGTGTCACTTTCTATTATAGAATCTATTACAGCTACTTCACCTTAAGCTTAAATCGTGTCTACACCTAATCTACCACAACAAACTTACCCTCAAGTTCTTGCCACCTTACAGTTACACCTTCAGCGTCACCTTAAACTCACCTTAATATTGATTTGTTCTTCACCTCAAAGAAGTACTTGCACCTTACCGATGATCGGCCTCAGTCAATTGTCGGTCAACAAGAGCCCAAGTACTGCCAAAAATCCATAATCTAATACAAATAGTACAGGAGAACATCTTCACCGTTCGTTGATCCTCGTTTCGTTTCCCTTGAGAAACAAACGGAACGACGACGAACTACCAATGGTGATGAAGATATTCCACGACTTTGAGAATGGACAATGGATTCTTCATGTGCGCTGCCTTAACAACAGCGTCGTCCAGGGTGTCACCATCCTCGTGAAGATGCTCCAACTCCAACTCCAGACCTTGTTCTATAATCTTAGACTGCTCATCGAGTCCACTTTTTGCCTCAACATGCTCCTCGAGAGCGTATCATCTGCCAGTTCAGGAGAAACATACTCCACCCCATGTCTTTGGAAGAGGAAGACGATGTTTAGCGCTAGATTATCACTATCACTGGCTGAGCTAGTTAGTTGCCCTTTGGTTTCGTCCCCTTGATTTGTTTCCCTTTAACTCAAGCAGAACGCCACTCAGCATAGTCCACATGGGATAGTGACATAGACTTCTAGCCTTGAGATCCATTGCCTCTTTTTTTATGGTCTAGTAGTGTCTACACGCTCACACGCTTGCCAAGATTCACTTACTCACTTACCGCACGATCCTCTCAGCACAGAGATTCTATGTCTATTAGTCTGCTCGGTATGTCAGAGATTCTGCATCCTCAGGCCACGCTTATCTCAAGGCCATCTCTTACTTGCGGATGATCATCTCTCATACTTACAATGCTTTAATTCTAATACTTCAGATGGTGGCCATCTCACTTGCAGATGCTTGCAGATCCTACCTTCCCCGAGACGTATAACTCCTTATTTACTCACAGCCACCTCACACTACTAGTACGCTTGATATGGTGTTGCTCGACCACTTCAAGGATCTTGATGACGGACAAGAAGAATCTTGATGATTTTTGATTCAGGTTCTTGATTGTGCATGCATCCATGCATGTTGAATGCGCAAGTTGTAGCTGTAGATGGTCTGCTGTTATATATGTTGACTCTTTTTGCCGTGTTATGTGGACGTACTAGCTCTAGTACCATTTTTGTTTCCTGTAGCTGTCGCTGTGTAGTTGTTGCGTTTCTTGTTCTAGTACTCTTTTCGTCGATTTATTATCTTCTAGATGTAGATCAACACCAATTTTTGCAGAATTATATATATAAGACGCTGTTCTGTTCACGAATCACAATTATTTCCCTAGACAAATTACAATTACCAATCCTCATATACATATTTCGAGGTCATCTGAATATTTATCATTTAGGCCACTTCTTCTGGCTCTTCCAATGATGGATATCTATCATATTTTCCATATTTACAATTTGTTGGCGCAGCTATTATATTTCTATCTGCCAGATGAATAACAACTATTTTCTAAGCAAGTCACGTCGACTATCATATTACGCCCATACTTAATATCAATCCAAATGTAATATAAGTACTTCGTTCTTTTTATCTACCGCAAGAGTTTGACTTTCCTTGGAATTATAACGTTCATAGAGAAGATTCCACTTTGTAGTTCCCAACATATTTTTTCATCATTCTTGTGCTAATATTCCACTTGTACTACTCATGTGGTCCGATTCACTGCAAGAAGTTCGAAGATTTGAGTTTCTGTTTGCGTCAATATCCAGTACCATAGTAGTTGTCTTCGTGCTTCATTTGCTTGCAGCTTCATGCGTAATACCCATGACGGCCCTTCGCCCTCATAAGTACAAGAAACCGGGGTCGCCCCTTGGGCGGCCCCTCCTTGATAACAGCACGCTCCTCTGGTAGATTATTTCGATCCCTTCTTCAACGAAAAAGTCGGGTCCTCTCGCAGTCACCTGACGAGAACGAGAAGTGAGTTCGTTGAGATTCAATATCAACATTCTTGGGAGGACTAATGTAATAAAATTGATAATGAAGCACGTAGTAAAAATATTACCGTGATCATCGAAGAAAGCCTCCAAATGGTCCTCTTGATGTTCATTCTCTCGAGTTCGTCCTTCATCCTCCTTACCTGGGAAGTGGTTTGATGAGATGCAGAATAGAATTGTTGACGACAAATGAATCGTTTGTAGGATCAGTCAATGCTTCTAAAAATACTAGTTGTGATTGCATCAGACATGTACTAGCACCAGAATGGCAAAGACCCGCAGTCTGACAAACAGTCAGCACGCTCGTAGCTGCAGGTACTCGTGGAACAGGTGACTGAGAAAAGTGCCCTTTATTTTTACTCCTAAAAAAAGTGGAGCAGCATATTAGTGGCGAGGTTAGAATTCCTATATATGATCCAGGGCCCAGGGCTACGGCGGCCCCCCTAGCGTAGGGGGGGCACCGGTGGCCCCATACTTCTCCCAAAAGCGTCTGCCGGGGGTGGAAGGCCTCAAAAGGGAGCCAAGTGACCTCACCCGCCCCCTTCCAGCTGCCGGGCTGTTCCCTACAAGAGGCCTCCGATGTAGGCGGGAGGCTTCAAAAGGGGCCCAGGGAACCGCCTGCGCCCCCTTGCCTTCCAGGTGCCTGCCTGTGGGCTGAGTGCCCCCTATGTATAAATATATATGCTTCGCCGCCGCAGCAGTGCGCCGGTTGTGTTGTCTGTGGAAGACCTCCGAAGGCCGCAAAAGGCGAGGGGCTGGACCCCCTGAGCCGTGCAGCCTGTGCCCTCCAGGTCCTTGGTCATCGGCTTGCTTGCTCTTGAGACCGTGGCCGCCTTCGGCGGCCTTTTACCCCGGAGGCCTCCCGCCTGCGAGGGCCAGCAGAGGCCAGGAGGCCCCCAAAGAACACGCAGAGAGGCGCAAGGGGATGCCCGCGCCAAGTTTTGACACCTTTCACCACTAAAACCTACAAAAATCAGCGCGGAGAAGCGCGCGCGCGCCACCACAGACCATACCACAAGGTAAGACCTGGCGAGCGTCCTATACACCGCAGACCAAAGTAAGCCTTCCCCCCTTCCGTTCCCCCCCTATTATAAGGGCGAAGCACGCGCTTGCCCCTAGTGACACGCCCCGCTTTTAAGCGTGACGCCTGCAGTACGATGATCAGAAGAACGCCCGCGGAAGGGCGGCCTTCTGATCTGAAGAACATCCGAGGGAAGCCTGACGATCTGGGGAGCGTCCGTGGCTGAGAGACCTGACGACGCGAGGAACATCCGTGGACGGTCGCATGATCTGGGGAGCATCCCTCTCCGTGGGTGAGGAGCCTCGCCCGACGATCTAAGGAACATCCAGGGGAGACCTGACGACCTGAGGGACCTCCTTGGGAGACCTAACGACCCCAAGAACAACCGGGGGAGGCCTGGCGACCTCCCTGAGGAACATTCACGAGAGGCCTGATGAACTGAGGAACACCCGCGGGAGACCTGGCGATCTGAGGAACACCCGCGGAGAACCTTATGACCTGAGGAACATCCGCGGGAGCCCTGGCGATCTGAAGAACATCCGGGGGCGACCTGATGATCTGAAGAACATCCGTGGGAGGCCTGGCGATCAATCTAAGGAGGAACGCCCGGGGAAGGCCTGGCGATCTGCGGAGGAACATCCGGGAAAAGCCTGACAATCTGAGGAACATCCGCGGGAGGCCTTACGATCTGAGAAACATCCGTGGGGGCCTTATGATCTTAGGAAATTTTGGGGAGGACGTTATCATCTGAAGAATTTCCATGGGAGGCCTGCCTTATGGTCTGCGGAATTCCGTGGGAGCCCTGCCCTATGATCTGCGGAACATCTGCGGGGTGCCTTGCGATCTGAGCAAGAACACCCAGGGGAGACCTTGCGATCTGAGGTAAGAACATACGCGGGCGACCTTATGATCTGAGGCACATCCGTGGGCGCCCTTATGATCTCAAGAACATCCGGGGGCGACCTTCTGATCTCGAGGACATCTGAGGGCGGCCTCATGATCTCTTCGAGAACATCCGCGGGCGACCTTAGTTATGAGCCCAAGATCATCCGCGGACTGCCTTGTTAGTTATGACCAACCCCAAGAACATCCGGCGAGGCCAGCCCTAGTATGGCCTTCGCGAATACTCTCACGCGCGTCACGCTCCTAAGCGCGCCACACCCTCACGCGCTTCACTAATTATAGACACTACCACGCACGTCACGCTCCGAAGCGCGTCACGCCGCCACGCCTATCCCGAACCGCCTCGAAATGTGCCCGCCCTTCAAAAATGCGCAAGCTTTTTTCATTTTTTAGCTTGCACTCACAAGCACAAGCCCACCAAAACAACCCCAAGAAGAGTCAGAAACCCAACCCCCGCGGGCCGGTCAGCCCTCTCAAGCCAATTCCTAACCAGGTGCAACACGTCCCACCCTGCTCGGATAAGACAGAAGACCAACCCACAACACCAGAGAACCAGCCGCCGCACTTCACCCGCCGAATTCTCCTGGGCTTCAAACTGACAAGAAAAAGCCGGAAGGCTTTTGCTCTTTTTTCTACTTAAGAAAAAAGCGCAAGACTTTCCCCAAGAAGGTTTTTCTTGAAAAAAAAGCCAAAAAAATGCGCGACATTCTGGCAAAAAAACTGCAAAAAGCCAAAAACTTTGAAAAGCCTGGAAATCCTTAAGCATAGCCTAAAGAGCCCACAGACTGAAAGAGCCGACATTTATTTTGGGCAGGTTCTATATTTTGAAAACTTTCCCAAAGCAGACACCCGCAGCAACCTACGCAGGCGAAGTCCTTCGAAACTGAGGGCAAACCTTCACGAAGACGATCGAGCCGGCCCCGGAGCAACACACAAGGCCCAGCGCAGCAGCAAACCCCCAGAGCAACTCGAGCAAGAGCAAGCAAGCCAAACAAGGCCAGGCCACCCTCCCCAGCGCCTTGAGGGCCCCTGCCCTGCACACACGCCAGACACAAGACCAGGAGCCGGCCTGAACTCCTTCCCAGCCTACTCCAACCACGAGCCCGCCACCGGTCAGCGGGGACTAATAAAAAACCTCCCCTGTGCCGTTTTTGGAAATAAGACCCAGCATTTCCGGCGGCGTTTTCTGCTTCGAAGCGGTTCAGCGTAGGGCCGCGCGTCACGCTGCAACCCCCTGGCGCGTCACGCTCCACAGGTGGATACGACGCTCGCAAGGTTCCACGGGGGGGGCACCGTGCAGCCCTAGGAAAAATACAGCAGAATAATTTATAAGGTTTGGCAGCTCGCATGGCATGGGGTGCAGGGATCGCATGGAGCTGCATGGCGCAGGCGCTCCATGCGTGAAAATTTTCTCGGTGCGCCCTTCAGGCGCTCCTTCGTCAGAGCCTACACGCCTACGGCTCGGCACTCCGGGCAGGCACTTCAAGCATACAGGCCGCCAGCCTCTGGGCCAACTGGCTGCTACATCTCCGAGCCCACTCACTCGCGGGCCAGGGCCTTGGGGCGCGCAACAAGTTAACTTGCCGCAGCACCTCCAGCTACGTCACGCCCCCGCATTACGCACAGGGCAGCGCTCCCGCGGCGTCAGTCTAGCCGACCAACCCTGAACTCTACAGCCCGGCGGGCCGGGCGCTTGTTCGTGGCCCATGCACTCCATGCGTTGCGATGCTGTGTCTGCTCCATGCACTCCACGCACACCATCATGCGTGCTACAAACTACATACTCTCATATAAAAACAATGCTTGAAAGTACCTCCTTGCTCTATAACGTCGCTAGTTCACCTCAATTGTCATCTTGGCCTGACAGCACCGCGCGATCCCTGGCACATCTGCCTCAACTTCTTCATCCGTTGCAGCATCTTCACGTTCATCTTCATGGTGCTGGCCTGCGAAGTCGGACCAGTTCGCCTCCTCCTCTGTCATATCCGCTGATCTCCTGGCCTCCTCTGCCTGCTTCGCCGCTGCCTGCGCTTTCGCCGCCGCCTGCGCTTTCGCCGCCGCCTGCGCTTTCGCCGCCGCCTCCCTCTGCTCCTTTGCCTTATCTTCCGCGGCCTGCGCTTGCTGTGCCGCTGCTGTTGCCTGAGCCTCTGCCCCCCCTGCTCTGGTCGCTGCTTGTAGCATCTCCTCCTTCATCCTATGCACTGTGCCCACGATCTCCTTTGCCTGCTCCATCGTCGCTTGCATTTTCGCCGCCACCTCCTTTGCCTCCCTTTCCGCATCCTGCGCTTGCTTCGCCACTGCTGTAGCCTCGGCCTTTGCCTCCCCTGCCCCGCGCGCTGCTTGTAGTGCCTGCTCCTCCCCCGCCGCCTTCTCTACCAGCTGGTGCGCGTCCTGCGCCTGTTTCTCCACCCTTTCCGCATCCCTCGCTGCGGCCGCAGCCGCATGTACCGCGCTTTCCTGCATGCCTCGCATATCTGCTAAATCCCCTACGACTCGCGCGCCCTCTTCCTTGGGCCCTGCCTGCGGATGTCGATCGCTGCTCTTTGTGAGCTCACGGCCATGGCCCACGTTAGAGCCCACGTCGGCACAAAGAGGAACAATAAAAACGACGCTTAATACTTACTTCAGCCAACTGATGAAAAGATAAACCATTCTTTTTTGAATTACTTGAACGAGATCGCGTAAACAGAATCTCATCTCGGCGACGTACTTCTTACCTCAACCAACTGATGCAAAGATCATAGTAGCATTTCCGATTCCGTGTATTTTGAATTGAGTAGTTGAAGTGCCATAATTTCATCTACACGACGTACTTAATTCAAACACACGTTTAAGGTAGTAGCCTATAAATTGCATACTCGTTAGCTGAAGTGCCATTATAATCAACGTTGGCATTGCTACTATATGAAGTTGCATACTAGTTCGTTGAATTTCCATAATCATTGCTACTATAACTTGCATACTAGTTGGTTGAAGTGCCATAACAATCACCACTCCAGCACTCATGAGGCGAGCTGTCATTTTCATTGGACTACTTGTGCCGCTTGCCCGGGTCGTGAATTTACGACTTACTCCTTTCAGGGTTTTCAGACCAAGAACTGGCGTCGGTGTTTGCCCAGCAACTTTAGAGCTACCGCGTCGCACCCCTCAGCCCATCACAGCGCCCCTTTTCCCCTTGAAAAGGGGGCCAAGGATAGTGCTGAGGATGCTTCAGCGATAGCCTTAACAACTCGTGTGGACGTACGACCCACATTATTTGTCGGAGATTTCTTCTCCCCTCGTGTAGTCGGGAATTTCTTCTCCCCTCGTGTAGTCGGGGATTTCTTCTCCCCTCGTGTCGGGGATCTTTTCAGCATCTTTTTTGCTCTTTTCTTGTAGTTGTAAAAAATACTGTTGTAAAAAGTTCAGGTTGTATCCTCGTCGTACTTTAGATACAGGGGAGTTGCATGATGAAGATGAAGCTCGTTGTACTAGAAAAAAGACGCGGCACTAGTAGGCCTTGTTCTACTTAATCGAGGCTCGTGTTGACTTGGATTACTCTCCTCATTTTTCTCTTTTCTTCTCACTTCCACCTTCTTTTTCTACAGTAGCATCTTCTCTACCGCAACACCACCACCCTTCTTCTTCTAAAACCTTCTATCTCCACTGCTTTCATCTTCCTCGTTTGCTTCTACAATACAAAAATGGACACAGCTGTAGTTGCTCATGTATCGTTGGTTGATGTGAGAAAGTGGCTGTTCGTTGTACTCTGTTGATTATCAAGTTGAAATATTTGAAAGGAAAAAGATGGAACAATGGCTACTTATGAAAAAGAACGTATCAAGGGAGAGGTGTGGGGTTCTTGTGGTGCGTCATTATCAACAAGTCGTCTAAGATTTTTTTTGGATTTTTTGATTGGATGGAGTAGTAGACTCGTTTCCTCATGGTCAGGGTCAATAGGAATCGTCCTACATTCTATGGCGAGAGTCTGCTTTATTGCATCTCGGCCCCCTCATCTTGACCCCTTGCGCTGTGCTGTATTTCATGAGAATACAAGGGAAAAGGGTACCGAGAAGCCGAGAAAGATGGACACTAAATGTTGACCTTAATATGGGGCTCGTGGTCAAAATTGGCAATATTAACAATTGACATTCTAACACTTCTATGTGCCCTTCTAGTATGCCTAGTATCAACTGGCATTCATTCTAATTTTATCATTCGATCAAGCATATTCAGGACTTGCTTCACGATTACATAAAGTCAGGAGATGAAAGGATGTTTCGAGGTAGAGCTCAACAGTCAACAAGTTTCGACCTCCAGACTTGTGACTCAACAGACTTGTGACTCAACAGACTTGTGACACTGTTCTTGCCCTCATCTCTTCTTGACATATAGCTTCTAAGACTAAGAACAACTCTCATGACTATCTCACTTCAACACCCAATTTCACGCTCAGCAACTCGTTTAGCATGGACTCGTTATCTTCGTTCCTGCCTACCGACTGCGGACGATGCGAACCCTATCGCAGTCCTCATCTTCATCTCCGTTTTCTATGCATAGGGTGTGACAATAAGATGATTCTCAAAACCAGCAACGATCTCTAGGCATGGAATTATAGGAACGCCCTATAATTATATGGGGCTTATCGCTCCACGGCAAACTTGCTACATGGATGGGGTTCAGACCTTCATCAAAGATGGGTAGGCTCCTTTTCATTTGGAAGAAGTCTCACGTTCTAGCTTCTTTAAGCACAAAACAAAACCCATGTTTGGACTCACGACTGGTCTCTTCGAACGTATCAGGTCCAGAGCAGCATGCAGTTAGAACTTTATCTACTTAGTTCAAAATCCACAGAAATTATTATTAGTTCAAAATCCACAGAACTTTATCTACTTCGTTCAAAATTTAATACAGGAGGTATTGATCATTCATCTACATACCATGTCCATGTAATCGAGATCCATATCCATAATCGAGGAAATTGTATTATAACAGAGCAATTTATAAGGTTTCACGGCTCGCATGGCATGGAGTGCATGGATCACATGGAGTAGCATGGAGCTAAAGGGGGAGCTTCTTGCGCCCCTTAAAGCTCTGCGCTCCATGCACTCCATGCTACTCCATGCACCATGCGTGCTATAAACTACTCTGGCTATAAGTATCACAAAAAACAGGCCATAATCGAAACTGTAGCCACGTCGCAGCACTTATTAGAGTGGGCTCCCCCGTGCTGAGAAAAGCAGAAGAAGCTATAGTCGTGGTCTTTCACAATCAAGTTCAAAAATCGATTTATTCACAATATGGAATAAAGGACATGACTGCAGATCGGCATAATCATAAAGGAGTGAGAAATGAAACTACTTGCTTAAAGTTGTAGACTGATGCAATACCAATAGTTGTAGTTGTAGTTGAATGGTTGTACTATCCTAGAGCAATTGATGCGGTTTTGTCATGTCATGGAACCTCGTTTGTAGTTGCACGTGACTACCGATGAGGTCAGCCAGCAAAAGAGTATCTCCTAGAGGAGCGCTAATTTGCCGGGTATATCACTATTTGTTTTTGACAACCACAGTTCTTGTCTGCTGTCATCTTCCGTGTTGCTTGTTCTTTCCTCCATTTCGTCTACTTCTCAGTAGTTGATGTAGTTGTACGGAACTGTTCCTTCGTTAATGTAGTAGCAATGCTTACAACTGCATAAATCAGAAACGCACAGACCACCGAGACCGAGCGAGAGCGACCTTGGCGACAGCAAACCAAAACGCCTTTATGTGAAGATGTTGAACTTGTCTCAGTCGCAGGCAAGGCCTTGTCGTCGGAACAACAACGTGTCGATTGCTCTGAAGGAGAGGCCGCGCACGCTTCTTTTTAGACCAGAAGAAGAACGAAGTAAAAACTATAAACAACAAGTAAGCATATAGTAGACATTAGAATTTCAGGAAAAGCAATAGGAGTAGGACTACAAAGATGAGTCTTATCGAAGTATAATTAACAACAGCTTCGTCATCTTCTTCTTCAGGTAGTCTGTCACATTCACACAGTACTACGCCATCGACTCAGGAGGAAATGTAACTAAGTGTTACTGTCCTACTTACCAAGAAAAGGAAACCTTGGTGCTATTGTTTTACTAAACACGCAGCTATCTTTACCTAGTCATTGGAGACACTGAGCATACATACTTACACTTACAACAACGTGAGATGAATACAACATCTTGTTCTATACTATGGCCTTAAATTTGTACACCGTCTTCAAAGATTAGAGCGAGGCTGAACGTTGCAGGGTGCTGTGCCTATGCGGTGTAAGTTCAGGTGTAGAAGTAGAACAAGAGCATCATGAATTGATCTTGTTAAGATAAAGCCCAGCATCCTATAAGACACGAGGATTACTATTAATTAGGAGTTTAAAGGTCAGGGAAAATATCAAGGAGCCTCATTTCTGACCATATAACAACCAGGACGAGAAAATCTTAAGATGAAGTCCAGCACCCTGTTTTTATCCAATACGCGTCGCAACTCCGCGAAGTCGCCAGTATCTTTCATGTTGAGATCAAGGACGACCTCTGCCCCCGCTGGTCTCGGAAGGTCTGGCGCACACCGAATCACACGAGTAAATCTTAGTAAACAAGGTAGTCGATCCATCAATATCTTTGATGGAGGCTGCACAAGTGATAAGTTGTAGGAGATAACTTGGAAGCTATGTATGTCCAAGCTATTCATTACAAAGCATCAAGTTGGAATGACAGGCGATTATCCCGGGTCATTGAGTGGCGTGCAACATGCCCTTTACTACTAAAAGATCACCTCAGTTTTTTCCTCTAGAACTAAGGTGTTCTCGTTCATGTTGACTGAACTCGTCTGAGTCAGAGAATAACCCACCCCTTGCCTAAGAGGAAGAAAAACTTCCCATCCCTCTAGCAGGAAGGCCTACCCACCCAACGTGGTCCGTCCATGCCAGACAATGACCGACTAGCAGCCTTAAGAAGCGTCTCTCTGATTCCAAGCTGCCTGCACTCCCAAGGAATAACCCTGGAAGAATTTCCGCAGCTTAGTTTAGAGTCTTACATTAGTACAACTGATCTAGAAGAAGTACTTCAATCCAACATTTACGAGTCTGCCGTGATCAAGTAGATGCACAAGATGATCTCTACGTTGAAGAGACTTAGGCTTAGTTGGAGTTCCTAATGATCACGCAGGTGTTCGAGTTACTTACGAGAAACTTACTCTCTATGATATTAAATGAGTGCACGACTTCCACCTTATCCTTCCTAATCATGAAGGAAATTTCTTAATTCGTTGTCCGCATTCTTCAATCGATGCTGTAAGAGACCACGGACTAGCCCTTTCTTGTTCTTCAGGGGGAATCGAGGTCCAGCAGGCTTACCGTCATCCTTGTCGTCGTCGTCTTTTTGCAACATATTTTTGACATGTAGTTGATGAAACCAGACATAAATAAATCAATGGTCTGTCTGAGGAAGAAGATTAACCTAAATTTAGTCGCACCCAAAGAAAAACAACTAGAAAAATGAAATGAAGAAGGAACACCAACAACAAAGGGTGAAAACAAGAACTACGTGGAACATGCTCAAATTGATTTTTCTGCAAGTGAGCGAAGCAACGGGAGGGTTTGGGTCAGGGCTTCTGAGGGGACCAATCTATCTTTTTGTTCCTCATGGTCATGGTATGTTCAACTCTCTCTGCCTTCTACGATCATCATCAGATTGATTCACTCCATGTTCTCTGATGTGAAGACCATGCTCATCAGTTGGATCCTTTGTTGGCCTGACAGACTTTCATTTCTCGCAACGAGCCATGATTGATTACGTAAAAATTCTAGTGAAACAAGCTTTCTAGCATACCATCTAACATCTCTCCTTCGGCAAGGGATACCCTTGTTCATCTTTGTTCCAGCAGTCCACCGTTCATTTATTTTCCACTTTTATATTTTCGTATGCCAGTTGTAGACGAGATGAGTGTAGAATCTTCATGTTACGAAGAGCGCTCGTTGAAGGGGGGTCGTCGCTCCTTCTGGCTTGTCAGGGGAGTACAATCACAAGGAGCAATCGAATCTGGGTATTGGGTAAGGAGGCCGGATGATTTAAATCTTGTTTTGGAGTCTTGGATGTTGTGACTCATCTGTAAACAATTATGTACAGACGAGGAGTGATGTGGTCGTAAGTAGATATCTATTCCTATGCCGGATGATCATGTGTCGTAGAAGTAAGTACGTAGTTTTGAAGATAAACTACATTTTAATAGTTTCTTCGAAAGTACTATATCCGCACAGAGTAGAACCACGCCCACAGCGTCAGTTGTATATTGATCCAAAACATGTCCATAGATGTTGGGTGAAGGTACTCACCTAAGGTATGTCAAACAATAGATACAAAAAAAGTCTTCATCCTTTTTAGCACGACAATTTATTACATCAGAATACATGGATACTCTTTGGATACAGCTAGTATTCACCAGAGCCTTGAAGGTATCATCCTGCACTGTATTTATCATGTGGGGAATTAGAAGATGTCAGCGAAAAAGCAGAGAAGGTTTCGATTTTTATTAGAAGACTAGTAGTTGTAAACTCTTGAGTATGATTTTGAAACATATCATCATGTGCGGAGCCATGGTACTGGCATCATCCTGAAGAAAGTACCAGTAAATCTAAACATCAGACATTTTTGATGAGATAAAAAAAATGTATGACTCCAACAACTAGCTACATCAACATCGTTATTTTGGTACTGGCATCGATCATGCTGGAGAAAGTACCAGTATATCTAGTCGTTTCTCTGCCATCAGAATTTTTTCCGGAATTCCATGCCCATCACCTGCTTCCCTACCTCGCCAATTCCGCAGACGCTGCACGCTTTCCGCATATGGACGCGCTTGTATTAGAACTTCCTAATGAGGTAGAATATAATAATGTCCATATCATCGCGGCGTGATCTCTTCTTGGGACTAATAAATTGCATAAAATATTATTAGAGTTAGATCTTTCTTCAAGATATAGTTGTAGTTTTACAAAAATAAATATTCTATTGTTCTCATTCTATTGCCTTAATTGTAGATCGCCTGACAGTAGGAACAGCGTTCGAACTGTTCTCCGTCTGGGATCAAAGTGAGGCTCGCGGCGCATATCTTCGCACTCGTTGGCTCGACTCTGGTCACATCAAACCCACAGGAAAGGGCGTTTGTGCCTTTTTCCTCAGCGTTGCGCAAGACGCCACGCGCTTGCTGTACTGTCTTCTCCACATAGCCTCCTGCACTGGCATTCACATTCTTCTGCAAAATCTTGGAGGCAAAATGCGCAGAATCGATAAAATTTTCCGCCTTAAAGGTTGTCGTCATGGCCTGGCGCAGGAAGAGGAACTGATGCGCAGGCTCGAGGCCAGCGACAACAGTCATCAGGTTCACAAGCTCGATACCACGCGCTGCGTCGCTAGCGTCTGAAGAAAGAAAAGACATGACGATGAAGTTGGAGATTTAAGTGTAGTTGTTGCTGTTTCAAGTCGTGGCTCACTTCTTGTAGTCGTATGAGATTTTTCGCAAGTTGTTTTGATTACTTCATCTTAGCGTATAATGTTGACCATTAACGACCGTTCACTACACAAGAATGTCCTCTTTGATAAAATACCTTTTTTGGCCAGCTGCATCATCAGCACAAGAGTGTAGCTTGTCGCCACGCCGACCAAGGCCAGTAGTTCTTTCTCTTCATCGTCGTCTCTTGCTGCGGCTAAAACCAAGCAATGATTAGAGCGTCTCTTTAGGATTAGGATTAGGATTTAGTCCGCCGCCCACAGTTTTACGGCCTGCATACTCGAGCGGATTAACGCAGCCGTAGAACGACTACAATGTTTTAGTCAAACCTCAATTACAATCTTCTGATCTATCACGCCCTGTACTCCCCGCGAGGCTGCTCTTTTTAAGTACGTGGCTCTTTTTTAAGTAGTAGTAGTTCTTGATCATCTACTTTCAAAGGGATGTAAAGGCAGAGATGAACTGTGGAGATGAAGTATCATGAGCCTTAAAGTGAAGCAGTTTCTGGAATATCTGCAGAGCCTCGTCAAATTTGCCTCCCTGTACTTGCTTGTGCCCTTCCCGTTTCTGTAAGGTCGAGGACATAATAACGGTGGACATAATCATAATCCCATCATGTGCATAAAAATGTGGAGATGGATGAACAAAAACTTATCCTGCTAAGCTTCTTTATAATATGCACTTGATGAAAAATGCATGCTTTTGTCTAGGACTACTCGATTGTCCCGCTTATTGATTTTTTAAAAAACAGTAGTACCATGTCTTGCAAAGCCTGCGCGGAGTAGAGGACTCTTGGCGCGCCATCCTGCATCAGAAGATGTAGTTGGCTAGGCGTATTCGGCAGACCCGGGACTGAGCACTGGCTCGCTAAATATTGGTTCTGGGAATTAGAGGTCGGTCGCTGTACAAAAACAAGTTCCATCTTGAAACTACTTCTTTGTCGACGAAGAAAGTTTAAGTCATGATAATCCCTGGCCTCTTTGTTTTATTCCTCTTGTATCGTCAATTCAAGTAAAAGAAGAGCATGAAGGATACTGGCTGTTTTCGTGTTTGAAACAGTCCAAGGATGCTCCAATGTGTGCATCTCTGATGATGATGCTGTTCGTACGCCAAAGACCCTTTACTGGTGGCCAACAATGTCGTACGACTGGTAAGTTCCTCTTAGTTAAGATCAATGGAACGACAATCATGCACATCAAAGAAACTGGTAGTACCTCGCACCTCTTTGTTACAATTCAATGGAATTATGCACAAACAAGCCTTAAGAAAGTATGGCAACAACGGTTTCGCATTGATGAGTCCTATTCTTCTTCTCAAGTAGTCCAGAGCGTCGTCAAATGCTCCCGCAATCACAAGATCGACGCAGAGCTTACCTGATTTTGGTGATAGATGAGATCGAGATGTTGTTGTGAAAAAATATGCTGAAAAAGGTGAAAAAGGAGAGTGATATTAGGAAAGGTAGGAGAGTGATAATCTTTAGTACTGTGACAAGAGTGATTTAGGATTTACACATAATTTGAGAATTCAAGGACGAGGTCCTCCGACAACTACAGTTAGATCAAATACGTTGTTTCAATGCTTTCTGCTGCTGTGTTTCTCCTGGCGCGAGAGCGGGCTTCTTCGCTTCCTTTGAGACCGCGTTCTCCGGAATCGGTTCGATGACGATGTCGTCGATTTCTTCCCAGCCGTCACCCGCATTGATATCTTCATCCTGAAATTCGGCGCCGTCTAATGTATCTCTTAGAGCTCACCGTTCATTCATTCATTCATTCATTCAACCCAAATCAAACAACGTTCATTCATTCATTTAATCAATGTTCCATCTTAAGATAGTTGTACATCTCAGTCTTCCATCTTAAGACACTTAGTACATCCTGGAGGTGGCCGAGGTTTTTCCCCCTGAAATCAAACGAACCCCCTTCTTCAGGATCAGAATGTCTGTGTTCCTCATGAAGATTAGATTAAATAATATCAAGAGAGATAGTAAGGAAACAAGTAGCCGTAAGTCGTGAAATCCGTCTGGCATTGCTTGGTCTGGTTCTATGTATTGCTGTGGAACGTGGTCTGGCACATTATCCATCCGCGTGTGTTCGAAGATCGCGTCTGAGGTTTGCAGATGTGGCCAATTGACGTCGCCACGCGGCACTATCGGTACTGGAGGAAGAAGCAGTCGTCCGCTACCTCTTGCTTCTAGAAAGCGGTCAATCTTCTCCTTATCAACATTACCCTCCAAAGCTTCGCTAAGTTCGCTCAAACCATGCGCTTTCGCGGTCAAATAGGCGAGAGGAACCTAGATATAGTAGTCGGTAATTCAGATGTGCAAAGAAACTTCATCTTCAGACAGTGCGAAGTAATATTTTTCCAGGAAGATCGATTAAGAACTCAGTAAGAGAAATCTTGTGAAGCTTAAATGGTCCAGTAGAAGGTCCTCGGAGTACCTGTCCTGTCTCCGCCAGCACTTTAATCCTGTCCTCGACACTTCCCAGCATCAAAGCGTTGTTGAAGCGTCGCATCGGATCCTGTCTTTTCTCTGCTATGGACAACATCCTCGCCAGCTTCAGTCTATTACCCGTGAGCATATAGTGGAAGCTCAAGGCGTCTAGGTTCTTCGTCTTCTGAAACGCCATCTCCAAGGTCTCTGCGCTGCCCTGTCGACTTGCCTCTGTGCCGAAGGTTAGAAACAACGAGTTTTTGAGTGTGTAACAACGTAGTAGTAGTAGTTCCGAAGGTTAGAAACAACGAGTTTTTGAGTGTGTGACAAAGTAGTTGCAATGATCCATAAAACCACGGCCATTTCTTAATACTATGGAATGCCTTTGCTTTCATCATAACCATACTAGACACTCAATGTTTATTAACTTCTCGAAAGAATCCCTGCTCGGTCTCTTCGGTTCTACTCTTGTGGTGCTACAGCATTATTCTTATTTCGAAAACGAAAAAACTATCAGCCATAAGAGTCTCGTCCAAACACCTGGATCGTTTAGTTCCTGTGCTGCTTTCATGGCTTCGGCGATGTGGCCGTATTCGAGAGAGAGGTTAAACCGCGTCTGCTGGTCTTCGACGAAGTGCAAGGCCACTTCTGGGTAACCTTTTCGCTTGAGGTATCCGATCACAACGTTGCCGCCTAATCTGCCGTTCTTAATCCACATCTTTACATCGTCAAACTTCTTTTCATGAAGAGCTAGCTTAAACAAATACTCCGTACAGTTCAGCCGCTGCTTGTGAACCTTGGTGAAGACGTTGGTTGATAGAGTGCTGAGTGGGACGAGGACGTATTTGTAGAATTACCGCTATACTTGTGTGTGATAAACTACATCACTTCTCTACAGCTTCTCTACACTAGAACTCGAACTATTCTTCCTCTAAATTCCTCCATGATTCTCGGAAGGCCTAACAGCAATACAATTTCAATTCATCTGAAAACTACTCCTGAGATACTAGTACCTCTTGTTTTCCCCTATCGATATAGTAGAGGTGATTACTGAGATAGTACCTCTTGTTTTTCCCTATCGATGTAGTAGAGGTGTTGCTTCCATACGGCTTGGATATAGATTGTCTGGGCCAGCGAGTGAATAATTCCGGAGTCGCCGTTTAGGAGACAATATTTGACGTGTGAGAGCGTCGCATATACGAAGACATTGTTCTGCGCATCCCAAGCACACGAATTAGAGCTATCACAATTTTCTATCCCTCTAGGGTACGGCGTAGTTTATCCCTGTAGTTCGGCCGTGCCTACAGTAGGATTCTAGTTCATCCCTCAGGAATTTTCCACGTCAAAAAACTGCTCTTTCAGTCACTTTCATCATATAATATAATGAGGTTTACCTAGGACTTTTCAAAGTCAGTATTTCTATGGAGTAAGTTTGTAAGAGGACGTCCCTCACGAATTTTCCACGTCAAAAAACTCTTTCAGTCACTTTCATCATATAATATATATAAGTAGAAAATATTGAAAATACTAGTGCTGACAGCCATAACAGACTTGATTCGGATCTGCTCATGGAGAGTATGCATTACCTCAAAGTTCCTATCCACGAGGACTAAATTGTGCTTCGAGAATATAGCACAATACTGGAAATTCGGAGACCAGACGACGTACCTGATTGAAGGAGGAAGAAATGGATATGGATTGAGAGTAGGTTCTGAATTAATTAGGAGATGATTCGGAGACCAGACGACGTACCTGAAGGAAGACTAGAAAATAGATTGAGGGTTCGAAAAAACCAGCCACATCTTCACACTATCATCACCGATTCGCATCTTGCTTACTCATAGTACTCCCTTAACCAACTAAGAGAAAGTCAATTTTGTGTTTCCTTCTTGGTTGCCCTTGCCTTGCCGCGCAGGAAATTATAGAAATTATGACGTTACAATTTCAAGCTTAGAAACATCCATCAACGTCCACGTCCTCTCAAACAATCAAGATCGTATCTATGCCAATCAAAGTCCTCTCAAACAAAGGTCGTATCTATTGCATAGCCCATCAAAGTCCTCTCAAATAAAGGCCGTATCTTTTATTAGAGCTACCCTTAACGACCCATCCCGTGAGTATAATATAGTCCCGTTAGAATAGTACTCGCCCAAGTACTTGCCTCAGTACAGCCCGAGACTCTTCCAGTCACTGCCAGCGCTGTACTTCACGAGGAGATGGGTTCTTTTGAATTTGAGCCATAATCTAACTATTTATATTACAGTTTCCAATACCTGGTCCCACCCAATAGCGTGACTTCGTTGATGACTTTGCGTGAAACAATGTCGTACAAGGCAATTCTATCCTCTGGAGTGTTTTCCCTTCGACATTTGAGGATTATCCTGTTGTTGCCACCCGGAAACAGATTCTCTATGCCAACGCCGGCAAGAGGTGAGTCAAATTTCTTCGTCAGTTCATTCTGGAAATTATAGATGCCAATGCTTCCGGAGTGCTGGAGAGCCTGTGTTGGGGCGTGTGGGAGGTGGGTGATGTTGAGTGAGTGATGGTGTGGGTGTCACGAGTGTCGTGGTTCTAGTTAGAAAGCCAGTGATCTGATGTAGTCATGATTGTATAGCATTCCCGGTATGATGAAAAGCTACTACTTTATGGAACAAGTAGAAGACCCGAATCTTGCGTATTCACAACAACGTTTAACGTTAATGTTGTTTCTGTACCGCGAATCTGTTTCTCTGCACAAAGCAGACTGCCGAGGCGTATCCACTGAGTGGCGGACTATTCCCAATGCAGAGGTCATAGCTGCCGCTCTCGATCGCGTAATGAATGAGCACTGCCGAAGACTCCGAGGGTGAGTATTGGTTTACTTCTATTAGAGTTGTAGTTTTTCAATATCCTTGGTCGGGTGAGTTGCCCTCAAATTTTCCCCTTTAAATCAAGCAGGGGAGCGGCGCTCAGCATACCAGTCCAGCACCACATGGGAAGATTATAGTGAAAAATTATACCTAGCCTTAATTCTAGGGTCTTCATCCCTGCCTGCATAGCGTTCAGAGGACGCCGCAACGTGCAAAGATTCGCCGTCTGGCCACTTCCAGTCTTGTCCAGCGCTTCCACTATCAGATTCCTCTCCGGCCCACGCACATGAAACAGATTCATCCGGGTGTGCTCCACCTGCATAGAGTTATATTAGGATGAGGGGTATGATCATGAGGGGTAGTTTCATGAAGAAGTATCGAATCTTCAGAGACAGATGCTTTGTACTGCGGCCAGAGCCACACGACAAGTTGAAGATACTAGTTTGGTGTTAACCACCTTGAGTTCTTTGAAGATGTAAAAAAAGTCCGAGTTCATGTTCATCGAAATAAAAGTGTAAGTACGTGAAGGACTAGAAATAATCAGCGTAAACAAGTAGGTACACTCGCCAGTGGTCTTTCCCTATCGAGTTTGAAGACAACCATGCCTCCATCGTGGCCTACTGCTGTCAACTGAGACGTGGGGTGCGTCGCGATGACCCAAAACCTGTCTGTCTCTCTGCGGAAAGTGTGGATCTGTGTTCGCTTCGTAGTGTCCCACACCCTAATGGTTCTATCCTCGGAGTTTGAGATGATCAAGTCCTTCTTCGGGTGGAAGCAAACCGAACTCACGTTCGAGAAATGGCCGGGTATTAGAATAAAAGGAACAAATTCGAATTCATTGTATAAGCAAATAGTAATTTTGAATGGACAAGTGGATGCAATTGCAAGGCGTAGGAACTGTAAAATCTAAGTTAGCAACGGCGAAGAACGAAAGAGGGAGTAAGGAGGAGTATAAAAGAAAACACGGGTAAATGGCGGGGATGGGAATGGGTGTGAGCTATTTAGTGTTGAGAGACTTGCTTCATAGAACGAAGTGACTCTATACTGAGTGTTGGAAGAAGAAAAAATCAAAATCTAGACCACGAGTCTGGAAAATTTCATAACTTCAATGTGTCCACTTCCCATGCCTTTGTCTCGTTCATGCGCCACAGCTTGATCAAACGATCATCTGCACCGCTTACAATCAATGGCAGAGTGGGATGGAAACTGGCCCAATTGACACCGCGATCGTGGCCCTCGAGGACATATTTCACTACTGCGTCATAGGTGCCAAACAGGTCGCCACTACCCTCCTGGCCAGGTGGGCTGCTGCGCGAGTTCCTCTCCTTCAAGCCTGAGATATCCCAGACTCGGACTGTCTGATCTAACGACGCGGAACAAACTAAATCCTCTGAAGGATGAAATTGCGCGCACATCACATAATGATTGTGGCCGGTTAACACGGCGATGCAACCGCGATCTGTGGAGGAGTAGAGTGCGTAAAGGTGGATTTGGAAATACGAATCTTATTTGTATCTAGACGAAAGAGATCTGAGCACTAGGAAATCTCCCACGATTAGTACTTTGCCAATTCCATATCCGCACAGTTTGATCGTCACTGCTCGACAGGACCCATGGTGACTCATGGTGAAACTGGACCGTCCGGATGTAGTCCAGATGCCCTTGCAAGGTAAATATCGCACGTTTTTGCTTGTATTAGATAGATGAACTAAGGGAAATCCATTTTCAGCAACATCGATCTTGGTCCTCCATGTTCATCATTTCCTGTTGAACAATGGGAGGACTTCTAAGATGCTGAGGAAGATGGATTTCTTGTTGTGCTGGCCTTAATTGTAGTTCCAGATTTTTATCTTGTAATCGTCGCCGCCGGAGCAGAAGAGTGGTTGGCTATTGTGAAAGGAGACGCCACGCACTGGACCGCCTTCGTGCTCTGATTTGAGGTTGGTTTCTTAGAAATTATTGCAGCTCTCATTCGACGTACTAGTCAGAGCAAAAGCAATGGAATCTTCGTTGCAATCAATCAAACTAGTATCCTATGATGTCAATTCGTAACTGTTACAACAATTTCTGAGTATTTAGCCTGTACCTCCCTCAAACTTTTCTATCAGGGTCCCGAATCGGTAGTCCCAAAGTTGTATCGTTCCGTTGTGAAGACTGGCGAGAACCCAGGAGAGCTTCGGGTGGAAGCTGACGCCTTTCACCCGATTGCTCTTGGTCTCGCACTTCACGAGCATCTTCTGTGAGGCACCTGGCGACATCTTCTTGAAGGAAATACTGAGTAGAGTATCACGCGATGAAGTTCGGTATTATGGCCAGTGAAGCTTTCTAGATGATCGAGAATCCAGTCGTTCTTCTTCTCGGCGATCACCACTAATCGGAAGATTTCTCGGAGGTCGTTAAACGGTATGATCGTTCTTCGAATTGATAGAAAAAGCTTTCTTGTCCTCTCCGACGACGTTAACCGGATCACCGTCACGGTGTCCACGGCTCCCCTGATAAAGGTGGACGTGGAGACAATCCACGTCTAGGAAAAATAGTATCCGCAGAGCCGGGGCAAGCTTACCGACTGCATCTTTGTATATCAAAAATATTCATCGTCGATCATCTACGGTTGGTTCTGTCTTCTATAGAAGAAAAAGAAAAAATACCTACAACTTGTTACGAATACAAAATTAAAATTGTTACTTACTCTTACTCACACACCACTAAATATAAAACAGTATTCATTTTTACCCCCTCTAAATTTCTGTACACTGACTCTATCTTCTCTGTATGTTCTACTTCTACAACACTGACACATATCTTTTCTCAAATTGGAAGTTCCTGTGCGACAGGTTGCTCTTCTTGATTGATGGATTATAAGAATCAACTTTATAGCAGCAGCGATACGTATTATCCTCTGATGCATGTCCAGCAGCAGTATAGGTATACTAGTAGTAGCTCTTGCTTGTGCTTCCTTGCTAGACTGTAGTTCATCTAGGAAATCGAAATACAACAACAAAGCCGCATTTCCTCGCTCACACGCACCATGGATCCTAGTAAAGTAATAGATTGATATTCTTTTGTGTGTTCATCGTGATGTCTCGTCCACGACATGCTACTTCCTCACACATCTCATTGCGTCTCCAGCAGTCATGATTTCCCGACTTTTCGTTCCGTTGGACGCATCATTTTTCTCGAAGTCGTGGTTCAAAATTTTTACAACTGATATGACATGATTCCTCATCAGATGTAGTAAATGGATCGTCCTCGTCCGGTCAGATTTAAATTCTGATGCTGTTGATGTTGCAGCAGCGTTGCGTGACATGCTTGCGCCACATCACAGGACAATCAAAGCCCTGCTATCAATGCACAAGTAGGGAGGGCGGGGGCATCAAAACATCATTACTTAAGAAGGACATTATAGGCAGGAACTACGTATCCTGAATAGTGTCAAGCTCAGAGAAACTTGAATTCCGTTCCTGTCCTGAAATGGCGGGAAATGAGTCAACTTGTACTGGGGAGGGAACATGGATTGACCACACTGTAGCTGATGCAATCGACCGCAATCACCACACATAGTCTGAAGATGCAGAGAATCGCACTTCCTGAGGTCGCGAATCATAGAAGCCATTTGTGCGTCATCTGCCGGTGCGTCGTCCCTGCTTGCGCTCCAATCTTATAGTACTATGCGTCGCATACTACGTAATTCTTCTACTACAAGCAGACATCAGCAGGAGCCGATGTATTATTCGCGCGAGCGCTTTGACTGCCACATTGATAACAGTAGCTTGCCACTTGGAGGGCGCGGTTCGTTTCGCACAAGTAGAAGTTGTGCAACCGGGAGTAGCAGAATACAATAACCTCCAACGTCTTCTATGTCCCACGACTACTAGTACCCACCTGCGCAAGCAAACTCCCTTGAATTATCCGGTCTGCCTCCTCTGTCTTCGCGGCTATGGCACGCTGCACATCCTCGACTTGAAAAGTACCAGAATTAGATGAAGTACTAGAAGCAGTGCCTCCAGTACTTCGTTTTAACTGCGAATTAGTTTCGGCATGCGCCACACGTAGGCGCATCATCAAGTCCTTTAGCCGCTCGTCTACGAAGTAGTCCAAGGAGTCGACAACCTCCTCGGACAATCCGGTCGGATAAAGCTGTGCCCACTTAGCGGACATTTTTCTGGAAAATTCTACTCGAAAAACTGAAATAAGCGAGCAGACGAAATAATAAAAAAGGAAGCCCTTAAATAGTTCACTTCAAAGGGTCAACTTCTAGCGGGGACGCCCGATTGCACCCTTTCAGTCTGGAGCAATTAGATGCGCGACCATCCAAGCAGGGGAGTTCTTCGCGCAGTTGTTTAGCTTAAAATGGGACTTGAATTCGATAGCGATCTCTCGACGCTGGAAGACAAGAAAGGTGAACCCGAGTAAAAATAACATCAATCTCGACGGGGGTGATAAAGACTTCACAAGTACTCACCTCCTAGTTTGCTGTCAGATCATTCAGAAATTTCTCAGAACAAATTCAGTCTCCACCGTTGGATTCGTAGGATCACTGCAATTCTTTTTTCGAACCATGAGAGGGTCGACTTGTCCGGTGAACACACGTTATATGCCTAGAGACCCCTCATCCAATCTGGGATAATCGCATTCGCAGAGATGCAGATGATGATTCAATTATTATCGTTATATTTATTTGGTCGCGTCCTTTATCAGCAAGAAGATTTCTCAATGTTAATCACAGCCGCAGCAAGATTTTCATGGAGTAGAAGTGTCATCGATCCTCAGAAGAGGGCTCCAACTACGACAGACAACATCAAGACAACATTCTCAGCAGGAGCAAGATCTGAACCACCAATCTCATCAATGTCCTCCGACTCCGACATGTACATGATCTATCAAATCAAGCCATCGTTCTTATTTCTGCCTGCAGCGTTTCTGTCCTGGTCCATAAGGCCAGCACAATGTTCTATCTTCGTCCACAAGGCTTCGGATACGTCATCCTCTGGCAGATGCGAAAAGTCGAAGGCTGAGACGTGTTCCAGAGAGATGTATCCGCGAGCTCCACCTGTGTCAGCCCATCTGATGCCAGTAGCGGTCTTGTACAATTGGTATTTCTTCCGACCCAAAAACTTCCGCCATCTGAGCTCCGCACCCGCAGAGCGAGCGCCTTCCCGCGAGGTGTAAACCTTAATTAGGATGCAAAGGAAAGGCTTTCATCATGATAATTGTCAACAAGAAACTACTTACTTGCTTCTATTATGTTGTCTGGTAATATGACATTGAAAACCGTCTACAGTCTTTTACTTTTTCGTTTTCAACGTGAGAAAGGAAAAATTGACAACATCCTCGGTTTTGTACAATTATGAATGTAGCAGTTCCAGTTTTGCACAAGAAGTACTAATAAATACTTCTCTTCGTGCTGCGTCTACTTCAAGGCGAAGATCGTGTTCACGTGAGTTCAAGTTCAGCACGTGTTCGTGGAGGTCCGCTTTCTGCCTCTGTAACTCCAGCACACGACTTTGCAATCGTTTTTCAGCCTCTGTCCACATACTCTTATCCGCATCTGAAGCTGCTCCAGGAGCCTGGTGCTCAGTAGGACCTCCGGGGAAAGTACTACTGCTACTAGTGATATTTCCACCTGCCTGTGCTGAGGAACTCGAACTACAATGACCATTGAAATTTATTCCACTGGAAGCAGAACTACTAGATGTTGAAGCTGCGATGACTTCTTTCATTGGAGCTAGCGCGTCGCATCGATCCCTGAGGCCATCTTTCTTCTTGGGCCCTTTTTCTACTTGAAAAAGAGACCAAGGATGACGCTGAGAATCGATGCTGCAGCGGTTGTGTACTTAAGGATACTGTAGAGGTAAAAGCCTTAATTTGAGGCCGCTCTTTAGCCGAGTCACATTCTGCAGAAGACTGCGGACCTCAGCCACGTCGGTGAGGTCTCGAAGAGCATCCTCGACTTCCTGCTCGACCTCGGCACTCACTCCAGCGACATCCTGGTGCAGGATGAAACTAGGCTGCTCTGGCATTGCTTATAAGTATTTATACTTCTTATTTGCACTCCCGAAATAACCTCGAATTATAGGATGAATCCACCTCCAGCTCTCTTGTAGTTTCGCTTGGTGTCGCTTCTACGACAGGACGACCAATCCTTTAATCTGGTTCTTTGTTCCTATTTTCTAGTAGGTGTTGTTTATTTATTCATTTGTGACGCATGCTATGCTGATACATCATACTTCTGGAAATTCGAAGATGCCCTTTGTAGGAAACTACAGATGCCCTTTGTAGGAAACTACAGATGCCCTTTGTAGGAAACTACAGAGTCTCGAAGACTCTGGTCACTTAGCGAATGACGTTTGCGACCAAGACGATCAAGCACCTTTTACATTTTGATGCACCCTTCTACGAAATCTTCCCGACTTTCTACGAACAACTAGTTGTAGTTATTTTTCCGAACTCTTCTGGACGTGAGGATTGTACAACGAGCGAGTCTGGAGTGATGTTCGTGTGGTCATGCGAACGATCGTGACACGGTGGTAAGGTGCGAGCCATATGTTTGTCCAAATCTTGCTGCTGGTCGCGTCGAAAAACAAAAAGTCTATGGTACAACATCACAACATGCATCTGTAATGACAATAATCTTGTCCCTGCTGCGTATGACCACGTTGACGTTCATCAGGCTGTCATGGATGCTACTACATGCACAAGTACTTCCTGTGTGCTCTCTTCCTCGTCCTGTGTCTTGCTGTTCACAAACTATGCTACAAACTGTACATGCGAAGTTGTATTCTCCGCTTTTACAACGTTGATGTTCTTGTTAGTTGTAGTGTCTGTGTCAACATAATTTGCCACTACATTGCTCTTGTAGTTTGAGTGTTATTTGATAAGGCTATTCTTGTTGCTACTTGAGCTTCATTGGGATTTTCATGGGGCTTCATTAGAATATAAGGTAAGATTTTTGAAGATAGACTAGTAGTAAAAAATGACTCTGGAAGGAAATCATGTTGACTCGTGTTACATTATTTTTTCTATTGAATCGTTAATTTTTTGAAGGCCATCAAGATGATTCAGCGCAGAGCACCTTCATGCTCTTGATTCTACTATCAAGCAATCTACTTTTTTACTTGTGATGTTCATTGTTGCATCGTCGTCAGTGTCAGTCATTAGTCAATTTTCGCCCTCATCTATCTTCTGTCACTGTCAACAAAGCTTACTAGTTGGAATTGGATTCCTTTCTAACATCATTCAATTTATCTCATCCACTATATCAAGACAGCTCTCTTCTTCACTGGTGTAGTATCTTCACTGGTATAGTATCTTCACTAGTGGAGAAGTATCGTCACTGGTGTAAGTGGACCAACTCCGCTAGGTCTTCGCCGTACAGCATATTCAGGAGTGCTCGCCGCTCAGCTGATTCTCCAGATTTCCGCTCTCCCACTGCCAGCAAGCTATGTGGCCCGCCTGCGCCAGCCGCAAGCTTAGAGAGCAGTACTTCTTTCTTCTTGAGTCCGACTCTAAATGACAAGTCTGGCTATTGTATTTCTAATAGAAGTCGGAATATTACCAAACCTAAAAGCTAGGAACAAGTTATCATTTAACTACACGACAGAAAATCAAGGTGCAGCAAGAATCGATCATCATGCAGCACTAAGAGAAGAATACAGGGTCGAAGGATGAACATCAGAAGTATCTGTAGACGAAGCCATAATCTCTTTTGCGTGGATCAAGTCGTCCGTTCGCTGTCTCCTATGCTCCATTAGGGCGATCTGCGTACGGCTGAGCTTTTTTCGCCTGCCTCTGCCTTTAGAGTAATGATGAAGATGATCCTAGTCGTAGTCGTGCGATAGAGAAGTAAACTCTTCACTGATAATTCAACGCGCATACCTTTTCTAAGGTGAAAAACAAAAGTCCAACCATGGCGTGAGTGTTCAAAATTAATTTGCTTCTAAATTATAGTTAAATCAACGAGTAACCCCATTCTTCACTGAAGCAGACATCATAAGATTTTTCCCTGCTTCTGCGTATGAATCTGAGCTGCCCCACCCTTTGCTACCTTGCATTCGTGCTCCTACATAGTCAAGTGGCGACAACTCTGGCAACTCGCCGCCTAACATATTGCGTGACGCGTCAGGTGCGATAAATTGGTCAGCAGCGCCCTCTGTTCCAGAGGAGAGAGTGCTACTTCGTGATTAGAGATAAGTGCCGAGAGGTCGGTAGAGTAGACATGAATCTAGTACGAGGACGGCGATCCGTGTAAGAAACTGCGGATGACGTTAGTCGGTTCGGATTGGACATACGACTTCCCTGAATCTCTTCTGTGTTCTACGATTTATCTAGAAAGCAATGCCAATGTCATGATACAACTGGGTCACTTATCTTCATGCTAGCTACGTCAGTGAACATACGACACTATGGATAAACCAGTTTCATAAGCTGAACCACGTTTCGAAGATAGCTCTTTCATATTCTCAGCCGCCACAAGACTCCCAAATGCATCGTCTGTAGGAAAGCCAGCGCCTATTGGTCTCACAATTGACTGAGGAGATCCTATTTTAGAACCTGCCTCCGCATTACTTCATCTTTCGACTGCATCCTTGAGAAGACAGAATATCGATATGGCAGGAAAATGCATACTGACCCAAACTCTACTTCACGATCAAGACTCTGTCTTCAAGAATGCAGTCAAACGCTAAAGATGAAAGTCAAACTCGGTCAAAGATGAAAGTTGCAATTGTCTATAGCCTTAACCATTTGCACCATCGAGTTCGTTAAACCATCGCCACCAGAGAGGGCGATAACTGGCGTATGAAAGGCAATGCCGCTCTTCCCGCGACCTCGCTCGACCAAGGACGCGTCCTGAGAGGAAGAACCCTGGTAGGAATCTCCCATGATAGATTAGAAAAGACAATGCCTCCTGTTACTAGCAGGATCTATGCACTACAGGTAGAACCACTGTTCTCGTTGGGATTGTCAGTCACACAGACGCATGGATATAGATATAGCTTCAGCTGCTAAGTGTAGATGTCAGTACGGAAGTACATCAATGATGATCATAAGAGAGCCAAGAAGTAGGAGTCAAGAATCCCTCTGTCTCACGACCAAATGAATGTATAATGAGCTTCTAATCCACTACTAAATCAAGAAACACACCAGTCAGACGAAACACACAAGTCTTCAGACTCATTCCTACAACCTCATCGATGTCCATAAAAAGATGACGCCAAGTCAGCACTTCCCGGCAGGCGACTATCAGCATCCGGTCTGGAGGGATACACGGCATTCGTATCAACTACTTGGGCGTCAAAAGTAAGCAGTGCGAATTGCTCGGGTGGTAGAATGCTGTTCTGCCGCAAGGCTGAGGCTAGCCCTTCCCGAACATTGAAGTCATACGTCATGGCTACCTGATGAAGACAGAGGTAGATGATAGGGTCTTGCAGCAGTGTAGATGGTGGCGGTCGTGGTGGTAGTGAAAAGAAAACAGAAACCTGGTCGTGCTCGCAGTAGTCGTCAGTGTAATGAATATCTATATCAATCAAATCTAGATCTACTATGCTGATAGCCATTAGATTGCAGTTACCTACTCAGAAACAATCTCTATCTGAAAATGTGAAATGTCATCTTTTTCATCTTGTCTTCGTGAGCATCATCTTCATCTAGATCATCTTCATCTAGTACATTGGCCAATCTTCTTCCGTATGTTTCTCCTTGGTCCCGATTGCTAGTGGCTATGGCGAACGAGAGGATCAGACAACGATCAGGGGTTCGTTCACACTGGACAGGAAGCTTCCCTCTCGTTCTAGTCCGTTGCTGCACTAGGTTCGAGATTAGAAGTGCTGTAGATGATCATGAGGGTGGGACTGAGAGAGAAGCACAAGTCGAAGTTCTTCAGTCAGTGTTGTAATAAGCGAGTAATCCTTAGATAGTCAAAAAAGTTCCACTTGAGATGACGTCAGTGTTGTAATAAATGATGAATCATATTTATTCTTGTGAGGACACTGATTTACATACTCATAGCCATGATCCCAAGAAAAGAGCAGTCCCGGGGGACGTTATTCAGGACTCCTGTAGATATTTATATTTTCTTTGTTGAGTACGGTTAGGTCTCATGTTATGGATCCTTGTCCACATTGAGCACCGCCTCACCAGTACATTCACCCACTACATGAACATAAATCCTGGTCATCTTCAAGAGCCTTAATAGAAGGGGCGTCTCAATGCCGTGACCTCCCTTGACGATGCCTTGGCGAAAGTGCTCACTTCTTTTCTTCAAAGAACTTCTATCCTGATCCGCATAGTCGTGCCGATCTTGTTCCCTAGATAAAGATGCGCTTATTGAAGATCCCGGAGGCTTCTTTTCGGAAGAAAAAGATGTGCTTGTTAAGGAGGCGTTCTTTTCGGAAGAGAAACGAGATTAGAACTCACCGTAATCCATCTCCAGATGCATCCTAGGCGCCTTTTCCGCTTGAAAAGCAGACTCTTCAGGATGTCTTTCAAAAAGACGGATTAGAGGAAGCCATAAAGAGAGGAAGAAGAAGTACTAGAAGTGCGAGCACTGTCTTCAGGTGATGGTGAGACCACAGCAACTTTCTTATTCTTTGTTCCTGTTGTAGTATTAGGATGGTCGTTCGCAAGTTGAACAACTCCTCTCGTTCTCCTACTTTTTGTGCTCTTTTTGCCTGCTTCTTGCTGATCGATATTCGCATCTGAAGGATCTGCAAGGCCTGCAAGAACAACACCCTGCGCTAGTCGCTTCCTCTCCTTCGCTGCTATAATTAGCGTGGAGGGATCTTCACCTTCAGCGTTTTTTCAATTGATAGGTGAACCTAAGTGGATGAATGGAGATTTCTAATTCTATTATCTTCATCTACAGTGCATCTCCTAGTATTAACTACAACTTGAACTTCTATGGTCATTTCTAAACACAGTCATAAGTGGAGTGTGGTTGCTATCTCCCTGAGCGTCTGCTGCTGTGCCCTTAGCAGTTCAGAAATCTTCGCTTCATTGGCATCTTCGCTGTCATTCTGAGGGACTGCACTCGACGTCTGCAAGTCTCCGCTGTTGCCCTGATTGAAGACTGCACTCGACGTCTGCAAAAAAAGGGATGGGCTAGAGCCAGACGAAAAGATAGGAGGTGGTTGACCATTGCCGTTGCCAGAGGCGTCAAAAAACTTGCCAAACGTCAAAGAATTAGCCTTAGCGTTCTCCTGGACCTCTTCACCGGCAAGTGCTGGTCTGTAAAAAGATGGGTTCGTTTGTTGGAGTGATAGTGAGTGGTTTTTGAAATCAATTATTCCGATTGTAAGTATCGATAAAGAATGTAGAAAGAATGAGTCAGGGTTGGAAAATCCGATTCAATGTCGACAACATCCATGTCTATAAGCGAAAGAATTGTCGTGGACATGGAAGAATGCGTCGAGCGAGTTCTATATCTTTACCTTACATCCCCACTTTGCCTCGGTGTCAATCCAGCGGATACCCCAAGTCTAGCTGGCGCATCTGGCGGGGTCGCGAGACGCGAGAATTAGAAATGAAAGGATCATGGTGCTCCTTCTGTTACATGTGAATCTCGGACGTCTCCTGACACAATCTAGATATTTTTCAGATTTTCAGATTACATAATTTATTAGAACAAAGACTAAAAATGATACTGGAGTAATCCGAACCATAATTGCCGTCGACGGAGAAGTTTGCTGTATTCTTCCGGTTGTCCTGTCTTAGGGAGCATTTCCTTCCTTCTGGTCCTGGCAAGGCCAAAATAAACAGGTATAATCTTCTTCTATCCAACTACCCAGAAATAAATCATGGACAAACAAGTTGTAAGAACGAGAACAATAAATGGACAAACAAGTTGTAAGAACGAGAACAATAAATGGACAAACAAGTTGTAAGAACGAGAACAATAAATGGACAAACAAGTTGTAAGAACGAGAACAATAAATGGACAAACAAGTTGTAAGAACGAGAACAATAAATGGACAAACAAGTTGTAAGAACCTTAACTGAAGTAGGATTTCGACTTTGAGACGCTCCGGAGCCCACAGACCCGCATCTGGTGGAGACTCGCCGAAGGTGTTTTCTGATACTGTGTTAGATGAGCTAGTCGACTCCGCTAACATTTGAAGCAAATCCACCGAGTCTCTCAGAATGCTAAATATTACACTTCATATCTGTAGGCCTGAGTTGTGAATCCACCCTGAAATCTTAACTATTGCCCGAACCAAAAAGCTCTTCATGGCCATGCGCAAAGCCACTATCTGGTTTGGGCTGTCCAAGATCTGGTTCCGATCTGGGCACGACAAAATCAGATGCCCGAAAACCAGAGGTTAGAGATGGTAGAGCAGGCTATACGACAGATCTACGAGCGTCCTTCTGGTTAATACGACCACTCATTATCCATGTATAGACGAGTTTAGTGAGAGGTAGTTGTAAGACTTAGATATAGATTCGAGACTCATGCATCTATCACCTGGTCTGTCCTCTGACATGAGTTCAGCTTCAGTGTACGAGGACCACTAGCAATTAATCTTAATTTTACTATAGGATATTCATAGTCAATAGGACATACCACATTGTTGATCTCCAACTACTACGGGAACGGGAAGTTCATATTATAGTTAATAATTCTCAAAATATATAGGACATCTTCAAATAAGCATGGGTCATAAATGTGTGGTAAGATTGTCTTTCCGTACTCGTTATTGCGATCCATCAACGTTGTTACTTCACCAATCGATCGGGTCTTGCAGATGGAGTGGATTACTCCAGCATAAGCGGCCGCACTGCCAACCGCCGTACCAAGGGTGTTCCATGCAAGGACACCTTCCGCGACGTGGAGGATGCAGCCGCGCGGTGGCATTAGACCTTTGTTTCCCTAAGAGGTCAACTAACTTTAGTAGTTCTTGCCTCTTTGTTGTGCTAGTATTCTTTCCGGGGCTACACGCTAGAGGCAAAAACTAACCGGTTGTTTTATTTAGTTCTTGCCTCTTTGTACTAGTATTCAACAAGAAGAATACTTTTACAGGATGTGGCGATAGATGCTCCTGATGCATGAACAACAACATTATAGACCTATTTATTATTCATATCTATGGGTCGTATAAGTAGCCGTAATAGCAACTCCGGTGAACGAATGGCGTCAACTCGAAGCACTCCACCGGCAGCGCGATTCACACCCAGACGTCGAGCTGCGAAGTCGCACTCATCTTCAGTACTAGCATATGAAAGATGAGTAAGCGCGATAGGAACAAAGACGATCTAGACTTGAACGTAGTCAAGTACGCCAAAACGTGGAACTACATGTCGCCCGACGTCCATGCATCAAGGCTAGGCTAGGTTAGGTTATGGATCCTGCGCAACGAGCCCCACCTCATTCTTGTAGTTTCAAGACTAATAAATACTCTTGTTGTAACAACATGCATCTTCTTTATTGTCTCCTCCATGGTTCAAGATTATTCTTGTAACAACATCTTCTATGCTTTAATGACATTAATATTGTCTCAGTAACAACATCGCCAGGAGAGTAGACCGACTTTCTTAGTACCACCTAGAAGAATACCAGGAAGGACGACTACTAATCTCTTCCGTTATCACATAATAGGAAGCTTCCTTCTGGACATGTGGCTCCAGACTCGACTCGATAGTACGTCGGCGCCCCTATTGGCAGTCCGTCTGCCTCGTTCGCAGCGTTGGGTCCTTGTGGCGACAGAACATTTCCATAGGGGACACCATTATCTACTCCTTGCAACTTAGATGAAGAACAACTGCTTACAACTTTCAGTTTGTCAATCTTCGTAGTTCAATAATGATGAAAGAGAGCCTAATAAAGAGCATCCCTTGCTTGCATAGTCCAATACCATCTTGGATAAAAGAGAACTACTTACAAGTCTGTCGTCTTCGTAGTTCAGTACACGTCTACGGAGAGGGATCTTCTAACTGGGATTAATGGAAAAGGACGAGGAAAACAATCTATGAAATTTCTAGCTTAAGCAGCGGAATCCGTCTTCCATCAGCCGTCCTCAGGGCATTCTGGGATGCACCAATGCCTGCACGTCCAGTTCTTAGAGGCTGACACGGTTCTGAAGACTCCTAGTACTTCCACCTCAGTAAGTGTACTAATCTTCACTTCTTGACTACACTACTGAAGAAAAATCACCTGACTAGGAATAAACATGTATATTATGAGATTAAAATATCCCTTCGTAGTTAGTACTAGTCTCTTATACATACTGGCAGATAAATTTGTTGTGGTGGAGCTGTCCCAACTAGGAAAGACAACATAAGCTGTGTTAAGAAGGTATCACGTCTCCTCCAACCATGCGATAATTCTCGGGAAATTGCTTACAGGTGTGAGCTTGGAGTATACTGAGAACTCTTAAACCTGTTGGGGTGTAGACGCCGAAGGCCGCAGACGGGTTTGCAAGTCCGCTCTGCGTTGGCTGTTGCAAAAGTGCCAAGCTGGTTGTTCTCGAATGCTTCGGCTGCGACTGCGTTTTCGATATTGATGGATGCTTCATCAATCCTATAATTTCCGTAGAAGTACCTAGAAAAGAGCAAAAGATATTGATCGATGGATGCTTCATTAATCCTATAATTTCCGTAGAAGTACCTAGAGAAGATGGCGGATCCTTTTTGTTTCAATTCTGTAGCACCTGGAGAAGAACAAAAGATTATGGATCGTCCTTGTTCTTGCGTGGATGCTCCTTGTTCTTGGGTGGATGCTCCTTGTTGATGGTAGTTGTGAGTTTCACTTTCTTCAAGAAGACCTAGATCTATTATGAGTAGATGCTAGACGAACATACTTCGGTTACAAGTTTCACAAAGTAGATACTACAACTCTACTTCTCGTGTTCCTCAAGCTACTTCTCTGCCTAAAGTGCCCTACCTACAGTGGCACTTTCCGCGTTCGGCCTGTCCGAATAGTCAGAAGCAGCTGCCTCACGTAGTGCACTCGCTACGGCGGATGAGAACCGCAACTTTTAGAGTTCTTGTCACCTGACTGATGATGATTGTACCTATACTCGAGGTGTTGTTAGTTCAGAGGTCTATCCTTTGCACTTTCTAGTGTGCCCCCTGTATATCTTTACTAGCGCAAGAGTCCGCAGCGTGTTCAATGGCTACTTATGAAAACGCGGCTCCCTTATCAAAAACAAATCCATAAGACTTGTCCACATTCGACCAGTTCTCTACGTCCAGCCAGTCATCTTCACTGCGACTGCTGACAACACGACAGAGGACATCTCCGGAAAATAATAGTCCCGCAACTACTAGATAGTACTGATGCCTAGAAGGAGATGTTTTAATACTTCTTCTAGCATGCGGATGCCTGGAAGAGGAAGCTGCTCTTGTTCTACTAGTAAGTTGAGAGGTTGTAGTTCTCCTAGAAGTGGTCGCTCTAGAGAGAAGAAGAGTTTTGGTAGTAGTAGTTCTTCTACTTCTTCTAGGCGAAGTAGATATTGACGAGAGTGAAGACAGCATCTTGTTCTCCATCATCGTGCAAGCAGAAGTTCTTAGCGTGCTTTTCAATTGAGATGAGGCGTTCTTGTTCTATGATAGTAGATCATCTTGTTCTACTCCCGTTCTACTAGGAGAGAACTCCTTGCATACTGCGAGCGCGTTGCTCTTTGCGAAATTAGTAGTAGTAGGAGTAGTAGTTGTAAACCCACTCACGGGGGCGGGTAGTAACAACATTGAAGTTGTTGTAAGCACTACTTTATTTGGTCAGATGAGCGCTCCCATGATGTGAGCGTCTCGGTGCACCCAATCGCTGCGTGGTGCATCGGTAGAGCCAACAAGACTCACGTCTGCAGCCTCGTCGTGTCATCTTTTTTGCGCGATGCGAGGAGACATTATGATGAATTGAAGACGATGGTTGAGAATGTGAAACAACTCTGTTCTTGACTCTCAGAATGAAAGTTACTCAGGAATATCGACAACTTTTGTTTCACTTGCAATATTCATAGATCAATCAAATCACATAAAGCACAAAAGTCAAGTCCTCAATCATTCAAACTTCTAAGTACAAGTACAACTTCTAGGTAATTCACCGTTTGATTCAGACGCACCGTGCGAGGGCACGAAGCTCGTCTTTTTTTCGGTAGGACAAAGCGCCGTCTTCACACTAATCATTCAAGCTGGTAAGTAAGCAGTAAACAGCTGAGTGCATGTGCGTCAGTTTTGAACTCTTTAGAAGGATGGCCGCTCACAACTTTCTTGCTCACTGTTACAACATGGCAACAGTGTTTGTCCTATCGGATAGCCATGGTGACGATATACAACCCAGGACGAAGTTGCTTCGTTCACTTCTTCGCGCTGCTGCACTTCTCTCAGCACTTCCGGGCAACCTCCACCTTGATCTTGAGACTAACCCCGCGTGATCAAGAAGATTAGGGCGACGAGTCCAGACCTCAGAAGAGTAGTGGGGCGCGCTATGCGAAGGTCTCAGCCCTCCTTTACACATCTCTAAGCGCGGCACTTTTTCCCGCCTGCGCTGTCTCTTGTGCCCACCTTTAACGACTCTCACGCCGGGCTTTTTGATGCTATCTATGCACCCACTTCACTAGTCAAGTGTCATGACGGCAAGGTCTGCCTAAAGTGTCGACGTCGGAACACAGGCGCAGTATGGGTGCCCGAAATTACCACGATCTTCAGGCGTGGCACAGCGCGCAGTCGTTGCTTCTATCTCTAATTTCTTAGCTTTTATCTATTTTCGCGATCTTATCAGACGCCACGCCTGTGGCAAGCTAATGCTATTAACAAGAAGCCCGAGCAATTCAATGGGCTGGAGATCAGGCTGCAGGCGAGGAGAATGCGCCGGGCCCAAATTTATGCACTACGGCAGACCCAGATGTGGGGGATCAAACGCCACACATCCCGCAAACACTCCGTTCGCAAGACCTATCGCGACGCAGGTCTTGCGATACTTCGCAACGCAGCGACTGAAAACCAGAGATAAATAAACATAGGCGCCCTTTTATGAATTGCTGGCCTCTCTCATCAGTATTTACTTAGTACATTCATCGCCATGTTCTTGGAGGTGGCAATCAATTTCGGACTTTCACTTTCTTCATAACTACACTACAAGGCCATACGATTCGAGAGACAACCAAAAAAATAGTCTAAATTTACTTTTTTCTCGTACATGGACTTCAGAACTTCGATTCTCATCGCAATGAATCTAAACCCCCATGAAGTAAGCTTTTCACATTTAGCGGAAAGCCCAACCCACTTAGGGCTCAGGCCTTCTGAAGTCTAAATCATGTAAGCCTAGTGCTAGCATGTATTTTCAAGGATGCTGGTGTCGTTAGAATGATGGTAAGTGCTGCCTTGTGAGAGAATGCATCTTCCTTGTGCTCCACTCAGTTCAACTCTACGCCTTCGCTTGGGCACCATTCCAACTCAAAAGCTTTGCTATGCGCAATCATGTATGATGTTCTACGCGGACGGAATTGAAATAAGGGAAATCCTTGCTCTCGTTTTTGGTGATCTAATTCATCGGATACTTTTTTGCAAGCTCCTCTTTTTGGAAATCGTTTTTATGTCTTGTCTTGTGAAGAAATACAGCTACACATCACTGCTACAAGAGTCCCAATTTTCTCAGACTGACTTTCAAGTACCTAGGGACAGTCCTGAGCATCTAGAAAGGTGCAAGAAACAACATTTAATACATATCAAGCGCTAGCTGCTTCATAGAATGTTCATACAGTGCCGGATGGCCAAATTTCCAACTCATTAACTTGCTGTCGCATACCTGAAGATTGTAAGTCCTGAAAATGACATAGCGCATTTCACATACTAGTCAGCGCTCGGTAGCAGCCTGCCGTTGTGGCAATAATAGTGGCCGCGGTAGTCTTCAACGACTACAAAAAGCACACACGTTGATGAAGGAATCTCTAGGAGCCCTCAAAATTTCGATTGCAGACTAACCATGAGACTGGATGCATATTTGCACTCATCTCTTAAAAAAATTGTTTTGTCCACCTGCTTCCTTGAATACTAGTGCTCCCTCCAAACTTAGGCTTTCATTACGTAATTCTTGTAAACAACTTCTACGCACTACATTCCACTTACTTGTTAGGTTCATAAGTTTTAGCTTTTTTCTCAAGTTACTTCGTCTCTAGTAACTCAAGTGACTTACAACAACGTCAGTGTAAGCCTGCAACGCCCTCCGCCGTTGCCTTCTCCTCCCTGTTTCGAACCCGGCAACCACCATCCGCCGGCAACAAAACCATCTACGATCTCCTCCACAACAGTCTCTCTACGAGTAGAGAGAAAACTAACCGGTTGTGTTATTTAGGAGGTGCCTCCTGCACCGCTGCTGGAGGTGTATTTTTATTAGATATTACCGAAGGAAGCCCACACTCACACGAGATCCCTTAGCATCTGGGAATGGCTTTGGTGAAAAGCAGAAACCAAAGACAAGGATGCATCGTGAAGGTGGATTTCTGAGCGCCATAACATTTTCCTGCTTCGTTCTAAACAAATCTGTCATGATCCGGGCCACGCTGCCAAAACGCGGGAGACTCCATGCCGACGCGCGAGTGTCGGGGCGATCAGGATCACATTTTTTTACCAGGCACATCTTGTTCTTCTCGTCCCAACTGCAGCAACAACCACCGCGCGCCAGTGGGCAAGCGCTGTCGGCTCCACATATGGTTTCGCACGACGCTTCTGTCTCATATCCCACGCAGCGCTTCGGGGAACGGTACAACATTGTGCCTGTCGATGGAGGATAATGCATAGAGACAAACTAGAACTATGTATATTCTTAAAAAAAGAGAACCCTGAAGTTAGCTCTTGGTTGGGCGATAAATTTCTGAGGGGTGCTGTATAATAGTTGTATCTAGGTATGTCATTGGAAGGACTCTGAATGTATACCTAGAAAGGAAGCTCAAGTGGTGAAATATCAATCAAAAACTGGTAAGCGTGAGATAAGAGCCGAGAATTACAGGCAGTAGTTGCTGATTCTTACTTAACTTATGATCACGTTGCACTATCTTTTGTACAGTACCTGCTGTACGATAGTACCTACCCTATTAGAGTTATCAAGTAAAAAGGCCTTAACAATCTGCAGACACTTACGGTTGTAGAAGGGGACACACGGGTGCACTCAAAAAAACACAAGAAAAAATAGTAGGAATCATACCATCAGTTTTTGGTTTTTCCCATTGGCAAAAACAGTCCTTAGCTTCTTGTCGGAAGCAATGATCTACACCCCGATGGGAGCTCCGCGAGCATTTCTCGTCGCACGATCTGTCTTTGCACTGGGTCTGGGAGGAAACATCGAGATAACAAGTACACTTCTCAGACGGCTTCGAATCCTCACACTGCTCACGATTAGTACCCCGACGCTTGCACACATTGGGGCACTTTTCGTACTCGATCCATTCCCGCATGTTCTCACGCAAGTTCCCGTTAGAACTGGCACCAAGCGAAGGTTGAAGAAAGGCGCTAGTACCCCTCAGGAGAGGCGTTTGCCTTGTCGTGTTTCGCGAGCTGAAGGCAACATGTTAGAGCTGGCCCAATTTCACCTTGTTGCAAGTCATCTTTCACAGACATGCGCTAGCTTCCCTTGGGAACAAATGGGGTCAACAAAGATGCTTCTCAAAGTGAACTAGTACCACGCCAAGCCTTAAAAATCGTTCTTATCTGCGCGACCATCTTCACCTCGGGGTGCCATCGGTCCAGTGACGTCATCGGCAGCATGAGTATTGTACGACAAAACTGCCGTGGATGTCGTCACGAGCAAAACCGCAACCTTCTTGACCCTCCTGTTCAGATCATTTCGCGTGCAACGACCACCCAGCATCTTGTTTTTTTTGTACGAGGTCGTGGCGTCTCTTTTGTCGTAGAAGGTCAACTAGATGATGCCCAATTGATTCGATGGCGAAGTTCTTCTCGTTGCTCTGCTAAAGGAGATATCGACAAACACAATAAAAATATACTTTCACTTACCAATACATAGAAGATAAAATCGCCGATGCTTGCTCCTTGTTGTAAGACTACGGCCTACGAGATATTTCCTCTGGGAGTTCATGTAGCTGTTCTATGATCTTATTTTTGATCTTTTATTCATACTAGCATGTTATTTTGTGGATATTTTTTACATAAAAAAAAACAATGTAGGACTACCTCAAGAGAATACAAGACGGGACGGACAAATTCGCGGAGAGATACTGAAAACGACCTGCTTGGTGATTTTCATTGAAGAAAATGTCAGCAAACGAAAAAGGAGGACTAGCGCAAATAGTTCAGACAGTTTACCCTTGGCTTATCTCAGTCAGAGACCTCGGATACATCTCACACACCACAGACATCATAATATGATCAGATGGGACTACGATCACTCAAGCTTGTGGCTACACAGAAAAGGTCGTGGCACTCACATGAGACAGAAGGCGGCACTCACATGAGACAGAAGGCGGCACTCACATGAGACAGAAGGCGGCACCCACATGATACAGAAGATGGCACTCATATGAGACAGAAGGCGGCACTCACACGAGACAGAAGGCGGCACTCACATGAGACAGAAGGCGGCTCTCAGGTAGTACAAGAAAGGCTAACAACCCTCACATGTCGCGATCTCCGTCAAGGATACACATGATGCCTCAACACAAATCACAGAAATACGAAAGCGACGAATCCCTGCCCTCAACAATTTAGCTCCACTCCCAACAGAGAATCTGCACTATCTCAACAGAAGAGGACTAGGGTTGCACGTCCGCACACATGTCAACGTGTAGAGAAGAATAAACTAGAACTTCACTCTCTTGTTCTGCGTTTCTCGACAGTGTCGTTCTATTCATGGCACAGAAGACGTCTCTCTGGTCGTGGTCGTGTCACAGGACTATAGAAGTGCAACAATCAAGAAAACGCTAGCATATCTGCTGTTCGTTGTAGGATCTGCATCTTGATACCTCCTCGATCTCAAGTGGAATCCCCGCGTTCTATCTTCAGAGAACACAAGAAGAGGACGAGCTCCTCCTCGAAAGTGGAAACGTCGATCCATCATTAGGGATCATCGTAACGCAGCAATGAAAGTATCTATAGTACGTTTTCCTGTGAGGTGGAAATTGCTTGATGCCAAAATGTTGGCCATGCTTATCATCCGGAGAATTATGTGCTGCATCTGCGCATTGATGTTGCGCGAATGAGTGGCGATGTGAATCTATTGTTCGGCAAGTTGCCTAAGGTTGAATCTATTCGGCAAGTTCTTGCGCCAATGAATAGTACTACATGTGCATTTTTTAATAGAAGGGAGGATGTGTAAGACCTAGACATTCTTGACTCTTCTGGACATTCTTGACCATCGACATGGTCAGGATGACTTCTGTGCTTTAAGGAGCGTCACTGGCCCTTCTAAGCCCCTATCGTATAAAAAAAGGTCGTAGAAGCCTATCTGGAAGAGGAAGCCGCTCTTGTTCTACTAGGTTGAGAGGTTGTAGTTCTCCTAGAAGTGGTCGCTCTAGAGAGAAGAAGAGTCTTGGTAGTAGTAAGTAGTTCTTCTTCCAGGCGAAGTAAGTAGATATTGACAAGGTGGATGACGTCATCTTGTACTCCATCTTACTACGAGTTGGCCTCATATTGCCAGCGCGTCGTTCTTTGCTAAGTTGTTGTAAGCACTACTCTATTTGGTCAGATGAGCGTTCCCATGATGTGAGTGCCTCGGTGCACCCAATCGGAGAGTGGTGCATCGGTAGAGCCAACAAGACTCACGTCCGCAGCCTCGTCGTGTCATCTTTTTTGCGCGATGCGAGGAGATGATGATGAATTGATGACGATGGTTCTTGCTGACTCTAAAAAAGTTATTCAGGAATATCGATATTGTTTTACTTTCACTATAGATCAACCAAATCACATATAGCAAAAAAGTCAAGTTCTCAACATTCAAACTTCCAAGTCTCCACACTAATTATTCAACAAAAAAGCAGTAAAGAATAACAACTGAGTGCATGTGCGTCAGTTTTGAACTCTTTGCTCGCATTTTTTTAGAAGGATGGCCGCTCACAACTTTCACTGTTATGGTATTATGTGTCCTTTGGAAGAAGGAAAAGCTAGTAACTTGCAGAGCAGCTTTTCGAGGCTCTTGATGCTCCACCGATGCCAAATTCTCATTCTCAGTTAGAGGAAGCTGATGGCGAAAGAACGGCCTGTTTTTGCCCAGTGTGGTCTGTGATGTCTTCTCTCATGAACCGACCACAGCATAGTCATGATGACTACATACACGGCACGCGTTCTCTTCTTTCACTTCTTCGCTCTCTGCAATTCATCTCTTCAAGAGAGCCTTACTCATTTGCTGGCAGTGGCAGGAGCAAAGGAAAATCAAAAAAAATATAATGCAGGGTAATTAGTTGAGTCGGAGTGGAAATCTGAAAAGGTGGCGTCACACTGTTAACGCCAGCGTTTTAATGTGTCGATCGTTTCCCACAACCTGGTGGACATCACAGAAGATCATGATTAAGGATCCAACTGAATGAAGATCAATATATTTCTCAAAGTAGAACTAGAATGTTCCTTCTGTTTCTAGCTCTTGCTCCTAGGATTTTGTCTCCTTCAAGAGAGTTCCATCATGCGTCTCTTCTTATTCTTGAAGCGTGCCAACGCCCCATCTGCCTCGACATCCGCAGTGCGGTCTAGAGGTTTGGCTGGGCCTTCCTTCCGTTTCCGCGCTGTGAGCGATAAGTTGGGATCGGCATTTCTTTCCGCGGCTTTTCCCACCTCTTTCTTCTTCAGCCGTTTTCCGACTTTGTTCTTTCCTCGCATCTTTTTCTTTCCTCGCGTCATCCTAATGCCTGTCTGCCTAAACTCGCTGTCGGAATCATTGTCATCGTCGGAATCATTGCCGAGAGCGTCTCCTCCTTGCTTGTTGTTTGCTTTCTGCTTGCTCTCTACGCTGACAACCTTGCCGCTCTTGGCATCTCCATCCGACTGCTTTTTCATCTTCGCACCCGGACCGCCTCCTGCTTTGAATGAGCCCACCTGGCTCTTTGCGCCTGCATGGAAGAACTGCGGATTGTACACGATCATGTCCCACGGAAGTTTTTCCATCAAACCATGCACCTCGGCTTCCCGCTTCTGTCGCTTGGTTTCGTACGGGTTGCAGGCTTGCGAGTCGAATTGCGCAGTGCCTGCACCAGGGATCAGCAACTGCGACAAGCCTTTGCGGGTGCCGACCGAAAGCACGTCCTGGAACGGCTGAAAACGGACCTGGTGGACATCGGAACCTGAGCCGTGGAAATCTTGTCGCATGTAAGCTTCCACAGAAAAGCCGCGTTTTGACAAAATCGGTTGCGCACCCCGCTCTGCCAGAGCGCGATTCTGTGCCTTCTCCGATTTCGTCAGCTTACCGCGAGTTACGGTCACGCCATTGTCCGGTAAGAGCACGCTAGTACGAGCATTGATCTCGGACGAGAAGTCAACACTTTGACTGATCTTCATGCTGCTCCTGCTGTTGCTATTCATCTTCTCGATCGTAGCATTGTAGTGTGTGAACAAAGAGGGGTTCGCGTTCCACACGTTGGAACCGTAAATTTCGACTTTTTTCGCTGTGCCTAGAGCTAACAATCCCGTCTGCGAGACGTCGATGGAGAGAACCGGATTGTTGTAGTAGTTCTGCGACAGCACAGGCTCTGCTGGCCTGCGCATGTCGAAGATCTTCCACTTGCCGTCGGCTCCGGAGGACACCAAAAAGTTTTCCCCGTGCATGTCCAAGCACTGCACTGCACCCTTGTGGGCCAACATTTTCAAGCAGGGCTCCTTCATATTCGGCGTCCACAAGGAGACCACACCGTTCGTGTGTCCAGCATGCATCACGGCAGTGCGCTTGTTCTGCCGCATGCAATGCAGAGGACCCTTTTTCGTCTTCAGATGGGAAACCACGGTCCCACTGGTGACATCCAAGAAACGCATATCCCCGTATTCAGAACCCGTGCACAGCAAGTAATGGTAACGGAGGTACTCATGGATTAGAGAAGGGAAGAACTACACTGTCTACTCTAAAATTAAAGTTCATTAACTCTGAACTGATAGATAACTAGTGTTGAGGAACCGAGGAAGACCAAAGACAGGATATTTCATTAAACAAAAGAACTCGCAGAGCCTAAGCCTCAACTTGAAACAAAAGAAGAACAGTTGAAATAACTCTAAACTGATAACTAGTTGTTTTTTTCATAACATTTGATGGATCATGGCGTGGTCTTTCAATTTGTGGATCTCCACTCCGTTCCGGTCGTACATGTAGGCGCACCTCTTTTGAGAGACTGCGAAAATGTTGTCGTTGTGCAAGGCCGCAACGCATCGAACGCTCTCCCGCAACTTCAATTCGCACAGACTCTGCAAGCTCTGCGTGTCCAGCAAGGAAACGTGGCCTCCGTTCATACCGGCAAGCACCATGTGCCGACCGTTAGGGGTATATGAGGTACAATACGGACCGAAGGGCAGTTCGAGGTCGAAACTCTTAGCGAGTGTGCCAGCATCAACGGCGGACCGAATCTCTGCTTGACGGACTTTCAGCGTCTTTTCGCCAAACACTGAAGGGTCGGCCTCTAGACACCCTGCACCACCTGGCAGCAAGTCGTCGTCATCGTCGTCGAATACGACGTGCTTTGTACGTGCATTTGTAGAAGATGTGGTGGATGAAGATGCAGAGGTCCTCCTTGTACTTGCATTTAGAATTCTGTCCCGTCTTGCTAGATCCTCCAGTCCTCTCTCCTCCAAGCGAACCTGTCTCTTCAAGCGGCGGGACAGCTTCATGTCAGGCCTGTCGGAGAAGGTTTTGCGGACCTCCTTCTTGGAACGCAACGCGAGATCATTGGTGCTATCCAGAAACTTTTCGACTCCTGTTCTTGCTGGCGCCAAGTGCGATGTTGCAGGACGAGGACTCTCCGCCTTCTTCTTCATCTTCTCCTGTTTTCCAGTCTTGTTGTTCATCATACTTGTCGATGTTGTCGAAGAGGAGGCAAATTGACCATCAGCTTCGTCACCAACTGTGGCGTCACCACTTCTCGCCATCTTTGCGGCGATCTCATTATCACGACTCTTCGACGAAGAGACCTTCCTCTTGCGCTTTTTGACACTGGTGGCAAGGTCCGAAGAGGACTGATTGTGAAAAGGAGCCGTCATTTTTTATCTAGCCTTACTTTGTTCTGTTGCTGCAGCTAAACAAGCGAAAGTAAGTATGATCATTTATGATAGTGATATTGGGTAACATCAAAGATATTTTTTGCATGAGAGACGAAAAAAAACTACGATTTCGCCTGGAGAGGAAAATGGACGTAGTGATCTGTGGACGTAGTGATCCGTTCATGTTGATCCTGGAGAGGAAAATGGAGGTAGTGATCTGTGGACGTAGTGATCCGTTCATGTTGATCTGTTCAGTTCATGTCAGCCTCGGTTCATGTTGATCGACGCAGTGGTTCCTCCAATGAATGTATTCGAAAAACTGAAATAAGCGAGTAACTACTGAAAATAAGCGAGATACTGAACAAGGAAGAGTAGCCCTGTCAAAGCTACCTCCCTTATTTCAGATAGAAAAAAAACGATCTCTTTGTGGTTGCAGATCATGGTCCCGGTACGGTGTTTGTAGATCATGAGAGGATTTACTTTTCATTCACTCTATTTTGACATGAAACGTTGTTGATCAAAACTAGCAAAGCTAGAGATTTCAATGGGCGGTGACGATCTTGAAAAACTGTATAACTCAGAACATCCATTCGCTATTTTTCAAGAAATCATGAGAATGGTGTACCACACTCTTCAACACGATCATAGTACTCATCAAACAAGAGGATTGCTTGTAGAGGAGCACGCGCAAGACCGTGTAAGAAGATACAATGCAACACAATTAATATCGCACAGTTTTCAGTGCAGACTGCACAAAAACTCATAAGAAGCTTCTTGAAGAGCAAGACCTGGTAGCTAGATCGCCTACTAAAATATCCCCCTTCGCCTGTCTCAACAGGACTGAGGAAATGTTGAACAGCTGTAGTCGTGACGCCTTGTAGGCGGAAGCAAGGACGCATCAAAATATCTGTTGTAGGCGGAGGCACAGAAGCACGCGTCACGATATCTTGTAGGCGGAAGCACAGAAGCACGCGTCACGATATCTTGTAGGCGGAGGCACAGGAATCAACTGCCTCAAGGTATTCGTACCAGGCTAATTTCCGTTTCCTCAGTTCTAACTCGGCCTCCACAGCGTCAAGTTCACTTTGACTCTGGTCTCCTTTCCTCTCGGATGTAGAGAGTGGAACTTCTTCGCGATGATCTTCGACAACGGCACTCGTTGCTCCTTCTAGTACTCCTCTTCTCCCTTCTTCTATTGATGTTTTTGCAGCTCCTTCCGCTGCTCTCGCTCCAGCTTCATCTCGATCAGAGAAAACACGCAGATCTAGTCCTGTCGCATTGAGCACTTCCTGTCTTAGTTGCGCATCACGCGATCCTGAGTCGACCTTACATTTGTCCGAACAAAATCGCGGATTGGCATTCGCACCTTGAACAGCAGCAGGAAACTGCCTGTAGCACTGATAGCAGCATTCCCTCTCAGTCGAAGTTGTCGTCGGAGGTTGCGGTACTGTTGTTTTAGAGTTGTAGCTTTTCATCTGTCTGTACGGGCAATAGTCGTAATTGTTCGCTATAATATCTAAGTACCTTAGTTCCCCAAAATTATCTAACTAGTCCCATCTCAGATTAATGCCTCACGCGAAGAAGGTCCTCCAATTGAGTAAAAATTGTACGACTGAGACTGACGCTGCAGCATCCATTACAAACTAGTATTGTAGGACCACTGCAGCCTTAAAACTCTTTCCTGATGGCACTTGTCTACGAGGTGTCGTATCGATTTCGAAAGTTCTTATTTCCACAGCAGAACTGTCAAACGTAGCGCGTGGACCAGAGGACGACGAGGATGAAGAAGCGGGATTCATCAACGCTACTTCTATATTTGGCTCATGGAGAATACTAGTGCTGGGAGCTGAAGTTGATGTAGCTGCATCTGCATTAGTTCCCAGCACAGCCGTAGCAGTAGAGGTGAATCCTGCAGCAGTCGAGGTAGCTCCTGCAGCAGAAGTTGACGGAGGGCCAGGAGGTAGCACAGTAGGAGGTACGCTATTCGTGGGAGGTACATTACTCTTGGGAGGTAGTTGTACATTACTTCTTCTAGAAGGAAAATCTACCTCATCTGCTAGGTCCTCCCACTCGGTCGGGGGTGGCTCCTGCCGGGTCCAGGAATCGGGTACATTGACCTCTGCAAGACTTGCTATAGCCCCTGGTCTGAGGGAAGATACGACTGCATAATTGTCATCACCATCGTCATCTTTCTCCTCTTCGCGACCCCTTCCCAACGCAGCTTCCTCACGCAGACATGCAGGAGCTTCCCCCTGCTCTGGGATCTTGATTGCAGTGGCTTTTATGGGTAGTATCGACGCATCCATTTGCTCCGTATCCTCTTCTAGAAGCAGGTCGTTTAGCATAGCTTCGATTGATGTTGGCACCGCGACAAGGTCTTCTTCAGCATGAGCGTCCGCAGGAGTAGCACCATTCTCGAGACGGATATGATCACCCTCCGCTCCCTTTGGATCACTGTCTAGTCGCTCGCGCAGTGCACGACAGCATCGCAACAGCAATGAGGCCGCACTTTCTGGTATTTGCAGCTCGGCACCAAGGTAGTTAGAGAGAGATGAAAACGAGCCTATTGGATGGACCCCACTGCAACAAAGTCTTCTCCTTCTTACATTCAATTTAGTGCATATTATTTCTGGAGATATGTCATTTCTCTGGTGGGTATTTCGAAGTCTCAGTTGAGGTCGATCCTACCATGGATTCTTTCAATCAAAAAGTGCCTCATCAGAAAATGAATTTAGAAAAGATGAGATAAAATCAAAATTTTCGAGATTTATGAATTTCGTTTTTGAATTGAACAAATTTGAGTAAGAGAGTAGATCGGTAGCTGAATCATTTTAGCTATGAGAGTTTCATAGATCGTTAATTCTTTGAAATATACTCTTTGAAAACTGAATTTTGGAAGTTTAGACTTTTTGAAGTTCTCACGTTTCAACATTTGATGACTGAAATCACTATGAACTATCGTAGTTGTCCATCAATACTAGTAACTAGGTGAAACATATCTAAAATTGAATACCTAATTTCAAACTTTCTTGCAGTTACATGACTCTATGGAAAACATAAAACAGGTGTCAACTTTGAAAGTCTCAAATCCTCCAAATTCAAAATCTGAAAGTTTCAGATTATCCAAAAACTTTTGCTTTTATCAACTTTAATTCAAATTTGAATCAACTGCTTCAGAGTTTCAAGCATTCGAATCAGTGCCAGGACTTGCGAGCCAGCAACTTTTGGAGTCAGTGGAGTTTCAGTGCTACTACGGGGCAATCATACGCACAATAGACGGTGGAAACTAATGCTGCAATGTGGGCGGCGGTTCTGCTTTATTGGTTCGTACAACTGACCTAGTATCTATGACGAGTGCAGCTAGTACGGTACAACACCCTCCAGAATGCTCATTCTCATATTCAGAATCAGATGCTGGAAGGATGCACTTAAATGATGCACTTATAGACGCACTAGAGAAGCACGATTAAGTCGCGGTCGACCTGTAGCTATGTATAAAACTAAGCCTAAAAAAACCTCCCTAAGATCTGTTGCACTTGTCGCGCTGCCCCTTCCATCCGCGATCTCTGCCAGCACACTGATTTCATCCAGTCCGTGCTCCTCCACAAGGACTCTAGAGTACCGATGTAAACCCCACTGATGCAACCACGCCTCGACTGCCGTTTTCTCGTCTTCATGTTGATTTTTCAGACCACGACTGGACGTATGATCCACCAAGCCCTGTGTTCTTGTGTTATTTTTGACGAGTTGGAGGTCGGCACCGATTTTCAGGGTCCTGTTCCGTGTTGATGTGGTGCCTTTGCCAAGCAGAGGCGAGATTGCCGCGAGTTTATGCTCAACTTGCTGGTCCGAGGATATGAATAAAGCAAATCTAATATGTACGCTCACAAGCAATTACATCATCTGTCTATCATAATCATTGACATTGAGCTAAGAAGGCAATTGATGTACGAGTAAGTTGCACTAAAAAATTTCAACAACTTGTTGTAGTGCAGATTGAAGCAATTATTGTAATTGATGTAGTACACTTGAATGACACATCAAAGACATCATAACATTTCCAAATGTTGTCCTCTGTATCTGTTGAGCGCCAGGTTCTAATATCGGGATTTCTTTTGACCCCTGCGGAGTCGGTATTCGGGCTTTGAACTTTTCTGGCAAGGAATAAGGAACCTTGCGGCCTTCTTCGTCTACTGGTGGGGGCGCAGCTAGGATTCTCTGAGCTCCGCCGGGTCCTGCGGGTTGTGAGCAGACGAGTGTTTGCGTACTGAATAAGCTAAAAATGCGGAATCTGGAATGTGACATCCACCTTGTGACATCCACCTTCATTCTACTGAGGACTAATCACTAATGGGAAATTTACAGCTGCAATAACATCAGCCAAGCAGTGGGATACAAACATGGTAGCAGGTACCTAACCGAGCCGCCGGCCTGACCGTCGTTGCTTCGCGTAAGCGAGGCTGCTTTTTCGGTACCGTCCGCGTAAACGTAGTCGTAGTTGTAGGTTCACCTCCATCCTTACCATCCTTGATGTTGTTCTTGTCCTTGTTCGGATTATTTCGTGGTCCATTGCTGGACTTCGATGCTTCACTCGTCTTATTTGCGCCTCCTGCTCCTATTTTCGTCTCATTTTGTATCTGGGCTATGCGCGCAGCTAGGCGTTCTGCTTCGCGAGTTTGCCTATGCGAATGATGGAAGTCAAGGGACGACCATCGGGACATCGTGGCTTTTTGTTGAAGGTCGGATGTTGTGACGAGTATCTTCACGGTACCAGTTGAAAAATCTTCGATAGAGAATGAGGCGTTTCGTGGTCTTTCGGCTCTCTAATATTTTTGGATGATGCATTGTGGGAATTCCGTTCGCTTGTCTCGTTCCATTATTTTCCGAAGTGCTCCTGACAACCACTTTTTTCACTTTTTTGCGCATCGGTTTTACTGGTAGACTTCTAGGATACAACTTGCTTATATCTCTCGATCATGAATTGAAAAAAAAGACGAAAATATGCCTGTTTCCATTTTTTCAAGGCAACTCTACTCTCTCTTCTCCTCAGGCAACATACATGCCAAACACAGTCAGTCCTCGAGAAGCCTGGAGAGGTTCCAGCACACGTTAAATTTTTCCCCCAAGCACTGGCGGGGAAGCGAGAAGCGCCATGCATTCAGTCTCAATAGCTGTGCTGCAAACATGAATCTATCATAAGAACAATGTTACATGATAATCACTGGAGCCGTTGTAGGCGCCGATGTAAGTGATTATGACAAAGTGTAACTGTAGGAGCAATTTTTGATCAGAGCAATTATTGAAATCAACCAGAGCCTTCTTGTGAAGGTGCGTCCATGATGCGTTATAGTGAGATGAAATAGTAGCAGTCTTCGAGTGGATGGAGTATCGACAATCACAAATTCGAGTACTACCCGAAATCTTCAGAGCTCCAGTGCTCCATTTTAGAAGCTAAAAAATTCCATATGTGCTGGCATAATGCGCAGTGCACGGCCACCGTTCGTTTGAACTTGGTCTACTGGTGTACTACTACTATAATTAGCTGCCAATGAAGTATCATCTAGTAGACCACCGGGACTTGCGCTAGCGCTAGTCGTCGCATAGTACTTTCGCATCAAGGACCCTAGCAGCCAGCAGGTTGACCAGTAGGTGGTAGAAGATACTGGCGACCAGAGCTCGTCTCGGTCGCGCAGGCGGTAGATATGTGCGATGCCATCGTAGCGATGAAGGGTGCTTCTAAGATAATTCGCTAGTATAGTCAGAAAGAGTGAGGGGTTCTCATCTCTCTCAGCATTCAGAAGTCACATCAAAGAAGATCTACCAATATATAATCACTGTTCAAGAGGTGAGATGAAACCTACACAAAACACCCCTGAAAACGAAATTATCACTGAACAAAAGGTGAGATGAAAACTACACAAAACACCCCTGAAAACGAAGTAGAAGTTACAACTACACTAACATGGAGGAGTTGAAACCATAATAGAGAAGTTGCGTCCCCGGCCGACTCGCCATGAACCCCGTGTCGATGAAGTCGTAGCCAGATGCTTCTAGTGACGCACCAGTGAGTGCTACAAAGTCGTAGTGAGCACCGAAGACGAAAGGAGCCAACTCCTGAAACTTCGGATACAGCAAGACGTCACTGTCCAAATGCAAGCCGCCACGAGTATAGAGGACCCAGAGAAGGCAAAAGTCGGCTTTGTGAGCGCCTACTGGGGTATGAAAGAGAGGCAAAAGTCGGCTTTGTTGGTGGTTCGCCTTTTTAGTGGGCGGTTCTACTCTTATGCAAGTCTTATATTACATCTATGTCGAAGAAGCTTGACGTGCTCCAGAACTGTTCCTCGCGTCAAATTAGTGCAGAATTTCCAAGCTCATCTATCACTTTAATATAAATATATACGAACCTGCCATACCTTAGGCTCGTTGTGAAAACGCTTTCAGCTTGTGGGAATTCGGCAATAGGGTGATTCCGTATCCAGTCAAGGCAATGCCGGTCGTTAAACTGGACAAAAGGAATGCCAGTGTTGCCTTGGATGGCTCTCGCAGTCCGCATAGATTCTGCGAGTCGGTTTACACTAAAGATAAACGGAGGAATTCCATACGTGCCATGATCTCCGACAGTACCAGTTCGTAGGGTTCCTAGAGATGAAGAAGATGTTGGAGCTATGGAAGGAGGTTGATCATTTGGTGTCTTTTTCCGTCCGCTGGCACTGCTTTGTAGATCATATAGTCGCGCAGTGGCCAATCGAACTTCCAGATCGGAAGCTGTTTTCACGCTCTTCCCGATAAAGTGCTTCATCACGTTCGCGCCAAAGCGTCTGCGTCCTCTATTTCCTCCACTTTGTTCCACTAGATGCGTCGAATTCTTCCACTCTACAACGCGTCCATCCACGTGATGCAGATGGGTCACATGCACATACGGAGTCGGACGCACGTCGTAGCCTAGTATCGTGATCCATCTGGGTAGAGAATGATGCAAGTTAGAGTCCGCATTTATTCATCCATCTTGGTCGTCTCATCTCGAGGACCTCTTGCCCTTTGTTACCCTTGTCTGTCGTGATAAAAAGAATCTTCAAGAATCTGCTGAGCCAAGGACGGATAAAGACTGACCATAAGCAGGTATCGCAAGTGACTGTTCTGGCCAGCGGCTTTTAAAGCTACCTCATTGCGCTCTGAGGAACCGGCATACGAAAAAACACCATCTAAACGCTTCAGCAAGTCCCCTTCGTTCTTCTTCTTCCCATGTTGGTCCTTACCCTGATCCACCTTGCTTGCTTCTAGTAGCGCAATGGACAAAGTTTTATTGCTTGATGTGGTCTCTTGCTCGTGGTCGGAGAATTCAGAGCCCTTGCAATTGTTAGAGATACATAGGCACGACCATAGGTCGAGTACAAGGACAAAGTAGAAAGATAAAAATATGTCTTCTACTCTCAGTCTCAAGTTGTATGTTGTAGACTTATCCAGCAAGTATGTCATCTCAAGCATCTTCTACTAGACCTACTTCTTCACCTTCTTTGTTCTTCTTCTAGTCCGTAACTGCAAACATTTCCATGCTCCGTTCTCTATGACCCCTTGATATCACATGCCCTTTCCCCGGTCCTCCTTTGCCGCCACTGCCTTTTCCTCCAGTTGTCTGGCCTACTGCTCTCTTCTTCGCAGAAAGTGTATTTGCTATGAGTTCGACTTTCCGTGCAAGGGTTTCGTCAGTGTCAGCCTCGTCCATAGCGTAGCTTCTTTGCCCTTTTGCCAAACTAACACGTAGTGCGAGAACCATCGCGGATGTATTTAGAAGTACTTGCCAAGTTGAACACTGTCATTCAAGGCTTGATGGAAAAATAATCGCGGATGGCGTTAGAGGTTAGTTGTACAGGAGAGTTGTGCTTTTGTGAGACAATGAATCCTTTCACTTCCTCAGGGACAAATCGAGGGTTCAATCTAGTCACCCAAGACGATGAAAATCCCACCTCGACGACAGTGAGTATAAAGCGGATCATAACAAAAGTGGATACAGCAAATCGTGATCCTCGTTGGCTTCCTTGGGCAAAACTCCACCGTCAAACAGTGGGTTCCAAGACGATGCTGCGAATCGAACTGTATCATTGTGACGCGCTAGAAGCGTGGTAAACAGCGACTCCACCACTGGAGCTTGTACGCGGCGATCACCAGTACCATCGTCCTCTGAATTGAATATTGAACTACCAGATGAAGATCTTCTCGTATCTTCACTATAATGACTGTTGATCATGAGATCATTCGCGACGCGTCGTCTGCGGAGACTGCGTCTCCGAGTCTCCCAGTCACTGCGAAGCTCAGACCATGTAGTGTCCACACGCGAGTCTAAAATGCCATCTTCGAAAACCTCCAACATCTTCAACTCTTGTTCTCGTTTGTTATAATTATTCCGACGCTTCAGCCCTGCTTCTTGATAACCAGCTCCAGCATCTTTCCCCTTCCGCACCACCTCCATCGGCAATGGGGAGTAAGCCCCTAGGACAGTGGTTTCGAAATGGGCGTCGCCTCGCAAGGCCAGGTTCCACATCATATGGCGGCGTAAGGATCCACTCAGTTCTCTGCAGCACTCCAGTTGAGCCCGTAGGGTTGGGGGTGTATGAAGGGTGGAGAGGCAAATAAGGTTTGGGAGTACTTATAATTAATACGCGGACCTTTGCTGACTGAAAAAAAGTGGTGATGTTCAGCTATAGCTTGAATTGTTTCCAAAAACCCACTGTTTGATTGAATTTGTGAACAACTTGTTCATGAATTATATCGTCAGAGCTAAGTAGATCATTTCTTCCAACACAGTACATCGCCATACTCATTTTCCACTTCGTCTGTCTCGGTGCCGTCCTCCCCAAGCAACGACGCCCCATGATCAGTACTAGTAGTTGAGGTTCCATCTCGTCTTTTCACCACAGCATAGCCGCTTTTTCCCAATGCCTCCTGCAGCAGCAGTCTGGGACAATCTGTGAACTTGTGTCTCAGCGCATAGTCCCCAGATTGAGGATCAAAGATGCCAGTCACTAATCCAAAATTTTGTGCCGCTGGCACTAGTATACGACGTAAAAGAACTTCGCGAAGGATGCCCAAAACCTCTATCTTCACACTCTTGTCTTGTTCTTGACCTTGATGACCAAGAATGGGCCTAGAAGTTGTAGAAGTTTCTGTACTTCTACTTTCTTCTTTGGCTTTGCTATTTTTCTCACCCATCTCCGTAAGAGTGGACTTTAGACTTACCTCCGAACTGTGAATCAAGTGGTTGCGAATACGACGTAATTCTCCAAGCGCGAAGTTCACTAGTTGCTTTTGCAGCTTCGACGTTTGCGCTGTACTCGACCTGCTAACTCCACTATCTAGACTGCGCTGTAGCATTTTCTGTGCTGCTTTAGTGAACCATTTTTCTCCAAACTTGCTGTCCGTCTGCAGAAATCGCCTCGCTATCTTCTCTGATGGCAGGAACGCTAAAAGCGAGTCTGGTGCTAGGAATTCAGCTACGATTGGCCACAGGGCGCGCTCATATTCGTATATGCTGGATAGCTGTAGCTGAGAACTTGTCCCTTCTTTTGTCGCAAACAACGGATCCTTCATTTCGGCCCGATGCAGACACCGCAGATATCGTTCTTGCCTTCGCTGCACTGCTCGCATCCCAAGTGTTTGAAATATCAAACTCAGCCGGGCTATGAATGAAGACAGGAGCAACGAACATACTTATAAATATCTCGAACCACTATTTTTTGTTCCAAAGCATAATGGGGTAGACAAATCCTCTTCGCACTGCCAACAAGCTCTCACGTGCGCGTATCAGGACTTGTTGGGCGAAACGGGCTCCCTCACATGGATCTGCACAGCCCACTACTTGCAATTCGCCGAAAGGATCCAAGGCTAGTCCTCCTTCCGTTAGACCTTGCACAGCTTCACCTTGAGCAGCATCCTCCCTGGAACCTTTTTCCCTTTCAAAACAGTCGCAGGATGCTTCCGAAGATGGATCATAATTTCTGGAGGCCTTAATTCCAGAGCACCTAGGACTTTGATTACAGAACGTTCAGCTCTGCGCACGTCCTCAGTGAATCGTGCTTCGATGGCAAAGGCAGAATGGGCTTCTTCTAGTAACACGGATTCGTAGATGTCTTCAGTAGTTTCCTCAGATAGTGATTCGTAGTAGATGTCAGCTTTTTCAGATAGTGATGTAGTGGTCGAAACTATTTGCTCTGCGCTTCTTCCAATGTCCTTCTCCTCATCTACCTCGTCTAGTATGCATGTTGGGATAAGTGGTTCCGGTACAGCCGAACGTAGAACGAAATCCCGGATGCGAGCAGGCGTTACATAACGATCAAAAAGGCACTGTGTTGACGAAGATGGTGCTGTTGAGCTTGTGTTCTTAGAGGTTGCCGAATTGCATTCTTCAGATGAACATCCTTGGCCTATTTTGTATTTTCCCCTTGAAGAGGAGCCAAGGATGGTAGTGAGGGATGTAATTCAGAAACCCTTAATTGTGGTGGAAGATGGTCTTATAATTTCGCTCTTTATAGTACTAATTGGCCTCTTATGATTTTCCTGCACGTTTGCCTTAGTTGATGAATCTGGACTGAACAAACCTGCGACCGCACCCAGAATGCGCACACAGCCTCCGACCTGCTTTTTCTTCTGCCTTTTCGCATCCTGCTTCGCACTTGCTAGTAGCTCATCTCTAAACCTCTTCAAGTCCGGATGCAACCACCTCCGCCACAAAAACTCCGCACCTTCTTTGCTGACAGCCTCATTAGACTTCCTTCTTTGAATATTCACCTTGAATAAAAGCCTATTAAGCATCTTGCACCACGTGTAGTTTCCCCTCAATTAAAAAGCGGGCCAAAAGATGCCACTTACGATGAACTACTCTAAGCCTTAACCTTATCATCTGCTGCTGCCAGAAAGTCACCACGCAGCCGGTCCCAGTGCCTCCGCAGAAGATCACTCTCCGGGGAAATCGAAAACCCATCATGAAAATTGATCGAAGCCACGCTCGCAGCACGTAAGATGGCCACGTCGAGAAGGAGGATTAGAAAGTCCATGCCTAGTTGGTCTTGGTTCTAGTACTACGATAACGAATGGTTTTCTCCTGGCTATGAAAAATAATGTTGACAGCAGAACGAGATAATTCAATTTTACAGATCGATGGACCAACAAATGAGTCCATGACTAGTTCTAGCACTTCGTAGTCACTACGAAATTGCAAGCGCAACCTCTCAAAACAAGTACAAGTCCTGTCCAATAAGACGTCGAAACGAACAACTGTAGTAATAAGACGAACAGCTGTAGTCATTTACGTAGTCCCGTCAGTACCTCCATATACGCCGCGCACTCCCACAGGCTATGGGGCGAAAGCTCCGTTTCGTGAGTAGCATCAGCAGGAGGAACAGAGGAGCCGCTAGTACTAGACGAGGACACTACTAGTTCTGCGAATCCTCGAACTTCTCGTTGGAAAGCGGCTACTTCCGTATCAACATCGGTTGGAGCATACCGATTTCTCCACAGAACTTCCGTTAGGCTCTTAGCCTTCGTTTTACGTCGTCCTTCATCCTCAAGGAAGAGAGCATTGCAGTTGCCGAGAAATTTTGTATAGAAATTCTCCATTGAGCCCGCATTTAATGTTGTGCCTTCATGTAAGCCATCGACGCCAAAAATGGCGTTGGTAATTTTTGTTGCTGTTCCAGCAGCTTCACCGTTTTTATGATTTTCGTCACCTGTATTTATCACCATCCACCCTAAAAGCGCATGGAACTGAGAACGCGCAGTTTCCGTCAATGATCTTGCTGTGTCGAGTAACGCAAGGTTGCCGGGAGTGATTAGCTCAGGCTTTGACATTGCTTTGCGGGCTATACTAGGCTGTAGCTGCTGTTTCACTTCGTCATTCACATTCTTGTCATCTTGCTCGTCTGCAGGATTGGAATGTGCAGGATTAGAATGATCGCCTTCAGCCACTTTTTTATTAATATTCGTTGACCACAATGAATAGTCCTCTAAAGCTTCCAACTCAAGACTGGTGCTCCCATGATCTTGCAAACCTGCCTTTCCTACCAGCTTCGGATGTGCCAATAATGCGAATTTTCGGTGTGTATAAAGCGGCCGTAGCTCTTCACTCGGTGCTCCACCGCCATCTGGGTCTACCATCACATCTGAGAAAATCTCGATCCATTTTTCCCGCACTAGCAAATGTTCCCGGAGCCAGCCACTAGGGGATTGAGGCAAGTTGACGTTGTTGACAAAGACCAAGCCAGGTTGGCACTCCCTTTGGATGACAAGCCATTCACGTTCGAAACAGTAGGACTCCTTCTTTGCATCTCCTACACTTCCGCGAGACTCGGACTCATCAGGCTCACACGGAACATTCGCATCAAGAAAAACCGAAGACATACGGAAGTTGTGATCCTCTAGCTTGAAACCTGTCGTGGTGCCTCCTCCACCTTTGCCTGGTGTCCTTTCTCCTATTATTCCTTTCTCCTGGTCCTGGTCTACTTTTTTGTGCCCGCCACCAGCGTAGGTAGAGGCTGCGCTATTGCATTCTTCAGAACATCCTTGCCTTGTTTTCCACTTGAAAAACTGCCGAGGATGGGACACGTGAAGGCTGCAACAGGGGAACCCTTAACGTAGATCGTCCGACACATAGTCGCAAGTGGATGAACTTTTGGTGCTGCTTTTTCCGATGCGGTAGTGGTCTCACCTCCTAGATGAGCTGGAACGTCAACATCTCCCGACAGGGGTTCTCCATGCACAACAACCGCGAGTGAGTCCGTTGTTGGCCGGCCCAATACTTTCTCGCCTACATTTCGAGTGTTCTCTAGCCAGTTGGTTATATTCCTCGCTATAGAACTCGTGGAAGTCGTCGGGTAGTAACTTTCACCTCCACGACGCTTCCGTCCGTTCTTATTTGTGCCTGCCAGCACCAATTTTTTCTTGACGACACGAGGCAGTGAAGTTCCTGCAGCTTCTCGTTGCCAGAGACTCGCCAGTATCCCGTCATCACGCTGTGCAGACCGTATCGTTTCGTCATCACGTTCAAAAGTCACATAGAGCGGAGACCATGCCGGTCGCGGTCCTGAAGCTTGACTTGTTTTTGGCATAGTATGCTTTTCGTCGTTGGAGGTTCCCCCTAGCACTTCTGAAGCTGGTCCTGGTACTACCGGCACAGAATTCAGAAAGTGTCCTACCACTTCTGAAGCTAGTCCTGGTACTCTATCCCGGCCAGAATTCAGAAAGAAGATTCTGTTTCTTTCTGCATGAAAGGCGTGCGTTGCTCTTTCGATGAAATATTGATAACCTCCATGCCCAAGAAAGAAATCTAGAAAAACTGGCTTCGCGTCTCCAGTGACGCTCCACGCCACTTGCAATGACAACCATGCTGTACAGAAAACGCCACCTTTAGCGCTCCTCACCCTAATCTCCATTTTAAGATGGTGCATCCTGATGCCTCTCTCCCATCCTAATGTTCCAAGATGCACTATCTGAAGATGGACATTAGGGGAAGCCTTAACAGCTAGATTGACGTAATTGTACTCCTTCTGACTATCATCTGAGTCTTCTACCCCATCTATCCCAGGCCCACCCACATCGTCTTCTACCATCCCACGCCCACCATAGAAATCGAGTGCAAGATCTTCGGATGAAATCAACGAAGTACTAGTAGAGGGGGTCAATCTACTACTTGAATATTTTTTAGATTCTGTACTTCTGGAATAATCTGACTGTGTAGTTTGTCGCACCAGTCCAAGCATCCGTCGACATTCTCGCACTTCTTCTCGCATCCGTTGGAGACCATTTCTTTGTCGCGAAGTGCTGTGGGACGCGGACGCCACGACGAGTAATTGTATCCCAACGAGAACGTCGGTAACGGTCGCTACGAGGAACAACAGCATTGCGCATTTGTTGACGAGTATCACCGTCCTCGTCCAGGAGATGGTGCACGGAGGCACCATCGGTTGTCACTGGATTGCCCACGAAAACATTTTTTTTTGTTCTCATTAAAAAGCCTTGTAGCAAAGAGAACAGTGCTGGAAGAAGTGAAGGTCTTCTAACATTAGAGTACCTGATCCGCAAGCAGCCATCATGATGTACTATCAGAAAAAACAGGGGGGAGGGGTAGAGAGTAGCAGAACAAAGTAGAAAAAACACAGAGACACAAGGAGGCCAGGGATAGCTGAATAAGCACCTCTTGCACAGCTATCTCCCACTACCAAAGGTTGTCACTGGATTACCCACCAAGTCGACATTTTTTTTTGTTCTTAAGTAATCATTTTCCGCCGAACACCACAAAAAAAGAGAAACTCCCATTGTCTCCTGAGAGTAGTATCAGTATCTTCTCTTGCAACTGATTCACCTTGCTGCAACTAGATGCAGTTCATCTACAGCTCCTATCTCCACAAATCGCTAAAAAAGTACGAGCGCGCAACAAACTCTTTATGTGTGCCAGTACTGTTCGTACTCCAGTCGTAATGTATGAATCTAAAATCAACATCAGTTCTCTTTCCATCTGCAATACCCTCAAGAAGCGCCTTTTTCTGGCCACGACAGTGCTCACTAAGTGCATCTGCGAGGGCGCGGTGATAAGGACTGAGATTTCTATCCTTAAAATCCGGTCGATACCAATCGAAAATCTTACTAGCATGAAATTGAATCCTCCTGCTGCTACTTCCACTAGCTTCCTCGACACATAGTACATTACCACTATCCTCACAGAATGCGCCAGCCACTATTCTGAGCTCTTCCTCGACAGCCTCAGCGGAAAACCATTTCACCGGAGGGCAAGACTTCGCGCCACAATTCAGAGCGAAATGTAAACGGTTGTCGATGCTGTCGGTTTTTAGAACATAGGAGGTTCGTTGATGTAGTTGTAGTAACCACCCAAAGCCGACCTGTCCGTCGTCTTCTGAAAATCGATGCTGTGAAAATCTCTTGCTGATAATTGAAACAGATTCTATCAACGTTGATCCATTTTTACTAGAGGAGTTAGCAATGTTCTTGCAGAGACACTAGCTCGCATTTAAGAAACTTTCATAAATCCAAAGGCACCAATTGTCGAAACCGTTCTGGAGTTAAGGGGGGTAAAAGTTGAATGACCCCACTTCGGTTGTGGCGCATCAAACCATTCTCAATTTCGTGCAGTGAAAGCCGCACCCCATTCGCAAAAAGGTACTTAGCTGCGCTGAAGAAATTAGAGGTATAGGAAATTCATCCCAGTAGTCGTCTGCGTTTAGTCTATTTTTCTTGTTTTTTTTTCCAGATGACTTTGGGGGTGCATTCCATCTCGAGAGAGTACATCCTGGAGGGTCTCTTTTCCCCTTGAAAAGCCTCTCTCCTAGGATGACCCCTCTGAATATGGCCACTCATCTGCGTCTCATTTTCTTCTTGAGAACACTCTCACTTTCAGATGTCATGCCTCATTTGGAGATGATGAATTCCCTAGTACACTCAGTCATAAAGAAATGTAGTCGGGATAGATCCTCTCCCGGGATCCCCATTTCAACGAAAGCGTGTTTCACGAGTAAGTTGTAGCAATTGATCAGAAAAGCTTTGCGGGTTGCCAGTCTCGTTGCGACTTCACTGGCAATTTTTGCATCTTCGTTTTTATAGAAGTCTTTGTGTAGCGCGACTCTTTGTAATTGCGCTACAGCAGCTCGAAAGAGATCGAAGTCGGGATCGAGACCTATTGCCAGATATTCGACTAAACCGGAATCTGAATTGATGTGCTCTTTCTGCACGCGGTCGAATACTCGGTTAGCGCGCTTGAGGAGGACTAGACCCTCTGCTGTTAGAAAAAGAAACGGCCATTTTTTCAGTCAAGAACGAGGACGATGCTAACCCTGGTGAGACTCAGTGGGTAGAGAGAAGATGCTAATGAAGATCACTCATAGCTCATTTCGTAGTCAAGGACGATGACGACAATCTTGAGTAGAGAGATGCTAGCTTTACGTTTGTTGTACTTGCTGGAGGTCGTGTTAAGCAATACTTACTCTTCTCTTGTGAGCGGTTTTATGCCACAGAAGCACTTGTCTTCTTATGTTAAAATGAGTAGTAAAAATAGAAGTCTGCAACTCTTCTCTTGTGAGCGGTTTGATGCCACAGAAGCACTTGTCTTCTTATGTTGTTGCTCGGGATAAACCTAATTTTGTCGAGGTGAAAACTAACCGGTTGAGTATGTTAAAATGAGTAGTAAAAATAGTCTTCAACATCATAATGCCATATCCACAACCGCATCCACAACCGCTTCCGTCTCCTTGCCTCCGCCATCATCAACTGCTCCAGCCAGTTTCCAAACATTCAGTGTGTATTCCGCAGGTTCGCGAGTAAATCCGCTGTGTGCTCGCAGTCTGTAATTCCGCTTCGGATCGAAGGCAATCACGAGCGGCGAACTCCGATCTTTGTTCTCAGAAGGGTGAGGATAGATAACCCCTGCATCTAGTAGAAGTTGGCACAGTAGTTGCGCTTTTCCATCGAAGATCATGTCCGTGTTCGTGTTGCTCGTCTCAGCACATCTTTTAGTAGAAGCACAAGGCAACAGTTCTCCTATCACTCCTCTCAACGTCTTGCCAGAAAAGACGTAACGCGGTGCACTTGAAAATAGTCCTCCACTGCTAGACTTATTAGAGGCAAGTACTAGGGCTTTGGTGTTTCTGTTTCCCGTTCGTTCTGCCTTTCTCCCTTACTAGGAGAAGCAAAACAAACGGCAACACCAGGAACACCTTTACAACCTACGACCCTTAAATTTAGGTGGCATCAAGACTTTGGACAACTGTCGAACGATGTTGGCGTAAACGTGGATCCGACTATTCTTGTTATGCCGTAGTCCTGGAAGAACGGGATGAGAAACCCCTTCTAAAATCGCATCCACAAGCTTACGTTCCGCCTGAGTTGCCAGCCATGCCTCAGACAGCGAACTTAATAGAGAAGTTCTTGAATCAGCATTTTCTTCAGCTTCTGTTCTTTTGCTATAATCGAAATACGCACTCAACTCTGAATCAATCTTCTGATCTTCTGGTCTGGCACTGGAACGTGGCTCATAGGCTGGACGTAAGAGGCGGGGATCCAAGTTCTCATCGGTTTCCGTTATCGTCCCACCATCACCACTGGCAAAAAACGCCTCCAGGTCGTCAGCTCCTCCAATGTGCTTAGCTCCAAAAAAGATCTGAGGCACCGTGAAACGGTCCGTCAGTGCGATCATGTCTGCCCGTTTCTCAGGATAGTCAGCAAGGGAGATCTCCACCACCTTGGTGGCCGCATCATCCACAACTTTCTGGCGCAGGAGAGCTTTCGCCCTCATGCAGTGAGGACACCCGTCCAAGGAGAATATCGTAATCACGGGAGCAGATGACATCTTTGCTTAATATCTCAACAACTATAATAATGATTGATTGACTGATTGCTCGACTAATTGACTGATTGCTTGACTGACTAATAAATTGTGGTTGATTGGCTGATTGACTGATGTGACTATTCGTTAGGTAAGGGGGTAACTAGTTCCCTTATGAACAAATGGTGGCACTGGTTAATGCTAGAATGCGCGGAGAAGTTGTCCTCTGAGTTGTTGACTTGAATCTATTCGGCGAGCTGCCTAAGATTTCCCAGACGAGATCTACCCGCCAGTCTAGCTTGTTGTCCTCTGAGTGAAGGTGGAAGAATATTTTTTCACTAGAGTCGTTGCTTGGGGTAGAGGTCTGTAGGAAGTTTTAGATGGGCAAATCAAAGTAAAATTGCAACAGATTCATCGACCATTCAAACTAAGTGGAATGATGTCTCTTTCTATGACTGTCTCGTGGTCGTGATAGGATATCGCTCTCTGACTCACTACGGACACAGATTCATTTACCCAGCACGAGGTGGTGCCAGAAAATGCTCACTGGGTAACCCTATCTAGAACCCCGATTGTCGCTCTCTCCCTGTCAAAATGGACATCATGCAGTCAAATGGACAGAATACAGAAGTCGAAAATGTTGAGAACCGTCACTCCCTAGGACTAGTACAGAATACAGAAGTTGGTCGAAGTCACAATTGTCTCATTGTCTCGCCAACAAATAAGAAGAGACTAAACAGTAGAAGGTTTCACGATAAGCGTCATTTTGTTTCTCTCTACATGGACCGAACGAAGTCGGACTACATGTCATAAATTGAGCATGGACGAGACAAAATACAAAAATACGAAGTCACTAGTTTCCTCAGCCATCTCTCTCCAAAAAAGACAGTGACAGACTCAAATGTGACGGCAGATGAGAGTGATGATGCTAAGCATGCCAATCGCGGTAGAACAACATCCGCAATCTTTATTCTTGAGGTGCAAGAACGTCGCTCCGTACGTCTCGGCTTCTAGTTTTTGTTTCTTGGACTCACACCTGCAAGTCAGCGAGAGCTTGCCTAAAACTGTTGCATCGAAGAAAGCTGATCTTCTTACTTCTAGCGCCTTCTACTTCCCTGCACGAGTGTAAGAAAATGCTGCACCTCCATGCTGTAGCTGTAGCTCTAGCTCCTACAAAATAAAGGCACTCAGACAACGACTAGAAATGCCTCTACCTCCTAACGAAAACTAGGAATAGAGTTTCTTCTCATGTAAGTTGTAGTTACTCTCTTCAGGTGAATATTGACTGACAACACCGAATTTTACAGAAGAAGGATGAAGACTATTAAGCAGACCCACCTTTACAAATCAGAACTATCTTGATGTCAGCAAACAACGCACTCTCTTCGAACTCGAGCCTTGATACTTATTAAAAACTTAGAGGAAAACAAGGCAAACGAAACAGGTCATGGAATGAGTGGGTATTCGTCTTTCCTCTACTCAAACCAACGCGCAACCCCATTAGCGTATCGCGGTGCAGCTCTAGCAGCCGCGTCACAGCAATCCTGCCTGCACAAGGAAGGCGCGCTGCGCCTTCCGTCGATGCGGGGAAGAATTACTGTTAGGCGAGCTGCCACAGGTTTTCTCTCCCTCTGTAGTTTCTATTCCAAAAATCTGGCCCCACTCTCCTCCCAGTTTTAGTCTTCTAGATTGGTGTGCGCTGCTTCGCTTCCATCTTCAGATATTCCTAGTGTGTAGGGTAGGGTAGGATAGGGTAGGATAGGGTAGGATTGGGTCGGATAGGATAGGATAGGATAGGATAGGGTGCCTTTGCTAGGTCTTCACACAAGATGCTGACGAGAGCGCGGGCGGAGCGCCCCAAGGAGGACGCCAAAGGAACGTGGTGATCGCTTCTGGGGACGTACTTAATCTTCAAACAGAAGATATTTCAAAAAACCTTCCTCCTACCTACCACCCTCCAAAACTTCCAACCGGCCTCCCACAAGTATTAACTTACCTCAAGTAGAACGACCCGAAGCACGGAGTAAGCGGCTCCCGTAATATCATGTGCGCACCTGCACTGAAAATAAGCGGTAGCACCGACCATACTATTTCGAGCGTGAGTCTCCACCCATCGTGGTGGTGCTCGTGCTGGACAGGTATAGAAGTTCAGTTTGGAAAAGTGCTGTGCCACACGAACTCGCCACCATCTAGAATCTTAGAAACACCAAGAAGCTACTACCTCCCCAGAAGATCAACACTGCTCAGAAGAAGAAGAAGAAGACGAAGAAGAAGAGCTAGTTCCTGTAGCTAGTAGTTGCAAGAACTTAGGCTTACTTCCCGCCCTGTACTTAGTAGCTACATGACATTCTTCTCTATTAGCTAGATGACGCTCTCCTTTAGTAGCTAGATGATTGCCCTTCTCCTGTAGTAGCAAGGTCAACACTCCTCGCTTGGGAGGGCGCTTCGATTGTTTTCAGGTTTTCTTAGTGGCGGATAGATTCTCCTTTAGGGCTTGTTCTTTGAGTTCAGCTAATTTCCATAGTAGTAGCAGTGGTAAGCCATTTCCTTGTATGGAGCAGCTCCATCATCTCGAAGCAAGGAGGCCCATGCATATGCTGCTAAACGTTATGTCTTCTATGACCCTACTTCGCACGATCGGAACTCTTACGTTTTAATACGGCAACAACCTGTTTTTAAACGGGCCCTGGATGATAATGCTGAGTCTTTGTGACGGTTCGATAACATAATGCTAGTGTTGTAATGTTGATGATTATGAAATTAGAAGTAGAAAACAAATTCATGATTTAGTAGGACACGCAACGCTACTGTTGGTGGTAAGTGAAGTAAATTCGTTGTAATCGGTGAAAGTTTGTTTGTTTGTTCTTGGGGTAATCAATGAAAGCTCTTGAAATATCACGGTGCCGCTTCTGTTCGTATTTGTCAAAAATGAAAAAAAATGAATTTGAACGATATTGAGATGGACGAATATTGCGCCATCCTGTATCAAAAATCCTCACGGCCTCAGAGTCTAAGCCAGAGGGCGTTTAACAATAAATCTCGAGTGCCTCACACACTTAGTCCTTCAGCCCTCTAACCTGGTGCAAAACTCTACCGCTACCTTGTCAGAGGACGTGATCTAGAGCTAAGTCTAGAACCTCAGCTGACTCCTGCTTCTAAAAGTTATCCTATGGGTGCGCTTTTTACATCTAGGCAGACCATCGAGGCCCCCCTTCTACCTACACACTTTCAAGCGAAAAAGCGACAGCCTCGGTGGCCTTACATATGGAAAAACGTCACCCATATACCCAACTACAACTTCAGTAAACTGTACGTCTTCAAGCTCAACCAACTCTACGTCTTCAAGCTCAACCAACTCTACGTCTTCAAGTTCAACCAGCTCTACGCATTCAAGTTCAACCAGCTCTACGCCTTCAAGTTCAACCATCTCTACGTCTTCAAGCTCATCAACCATCTCTACGTACCTCTTCAAAACAACTCCAAGTCTTCAGTCAGAATCTCAGGCAGAACCCTTCGCCGTCGCTGATAGCCTCCTACCGTGTTTTGAGTCATGCAACAACCATCACAAGCGCAAGGCAATGAGTGAAGAGAATGGTCGGTGGAATACATCAGCCCATGGCAGTGAGAAAAAGAAAAAAAAAGCCCTGATGTGCATAACCCTCCCAGGGGACGACTCAGGCGATATTTATATCGCAGCACCCATACGGATGACCTGGGCCGATCAAGATCAAGCTCAAAGCAACTATAGAAGCCATGATTGTCATATTCACAAGAAACATGAGGTCACGGATGATTAGCTGGCAGCCTGTGTCCCACGTGTGGGTCTTGAGTGCACAGTTATTTCTCGACAGATGATTTTGATTGATACGCCCGAAGATCTCTAATTTTTCAACTCCTGCTNAAAAAGCAAAGCACAGCACGAAAAAAAAGCAAAGCACAGCACGGAAAAAAAGCAAAGCACAGCACGAAAAAAAAGCAAAGCACAGCACGAAAAAAAAGCAAAGCACAGCACGAAAAAAAAGTAAAGCACAGCACGAAAAAAAAGCAAAGCACAGCACAAAAAAAAAGCAAAGCACAACACGAAAAAAAAGAAAAGCACAGCACGCGAAAAAAGCAAAGCACAGCACACAACAAAAGCAAAGCACAACACGCGAAAGAAGCAAAGCACAGCACAAAAAAAAAGCAAAGCACAGCACACGAAAAGAGCAAAGCACAGCACACAAAAAAAGCAAAGCACAGCACACGAAAAGAGCAAAGCACAGCACACAAAAAAAGCAAAGCACAGCACACGAAAAGAGCAAAGCACAGCACACGAAAAGAGCAAAGCAAAGAGAGCACAACACACCACACGAAAACAACAACGGCAGAAGACACAAACGACAGCACCCCCCCAAGCTCCCAGCCTTCCGCTTCTGACTCATAAGCTTCCAAGCCTCCCCAACTTTTCCCAGCTTTTCCAAACTCTTCCCAGCTCTTCAAGCTTTGCCAGCTTTCCCTAACTTCTTCCAGCTCCCCAGTTCTTCAAGCTTTGCCGGCTTTCCCTAACTTCTTCCAGCTTTCCCTAACTTCTTCCAGCTTTCCCTAACTCCTTCCCGCTTTCCCTAACTTCTTCCAGCTTCCCCTACCTTCCCCCAACTTTTCCCAGCGTTTCCCAGCTTTTCCCAACTTCTCCCAACTTTTCCCAGCTTTTCCCAGCTCTTCCCAACTTTTCCCAACTCTCCCCAACTTCTCCCAATTTTCCCACAGCTTTTCCCAACTTTTCCGAGCATCCAACTTCTCCCAGCTTCTCCAAGCTCTTCCTTGCTTTTCAAGTTTCTTCCAGCTTTCCCTAACTTCTTACAGCTTCCCCCAGCTCCTTCCAGCTTTCCCTAACTCCTTCCGGCTTTCCTTACCTTCTTCCACTTTTCCCAACTTTTTCCAACTTTTCCCAACTTTTTCCAGCTTTTTCCAACTTTTCCCGACTCTTCCCAACTCTCCTTACGGCTTTCCCGAACTTCTTCCAGCTCTCCCGAACTTCTTCCCGCTCTCGCTCCCTCACTTCTCCCAACTTTTCCCAGCTTTTCCCAGCTCTTCCCAACTTTCCCCAACTTCTTCCAGCTTTCCCTAACTTCTTCCCGCTTTCCCTAACTTCTTCCAGCTTCCCCTACCTTTTCCCAACTTTTCCCAGCTTTTCCCAACTTTTCTCAGCTTTTCCCAACTTTTCCCGACTCTTCCCAACTCTTTCCAACTTTCCCCAGCTCGCTGCTTCCCAAGTTTCTCCCAGCTTTCTTTAACTCCTTCCAGCTTTCCCCAACTTCTTCCAGCTTCCTCCAGACTTCTTACGGCTTTCCCTAGTCTTCTTACGGCTTTCCCGAACTTCTTCCAGCTCTCCCTCACTTCTCCCAACTTTTCCCAGCTCTTCCCAGCTTTCCCTAACTTCTTCCAGCTTTCCCTAGCTTCTTCCCGCTTTCCCTAACTCCTTCCAGCTTCCCCTACCTTTTCCCAGCTTTCCCCAGCTTTTCCCAACTTCTCCCAACTTCTCCCAGCTTTTCCCAACTTTTCCCAGCTTTCCCCAACTCTTCCCAGCTCTTCCCAACTCTCCCCGACTCTTCCCAACTCTCCCCGACTCTTCCCAACTCTCCCCAACTGTCCCCAACTCTTCCCAACTCTCCCCAACTCTTCCCAACTCTTCCCAACTTTTCCCAGCTTTTCCCAACTTTTCCCAACTTTTCCCAACTTCTCCCAGCTTTTCCCAGCTCTTCCCAGCTTTTCCCAGCTCTTCCCAACTTTTCCGAACATCCAACTCCTCCCAGCTTCTCCCAACTTTTCCGAGCTTTTCCTTACTTTTCAAGTTCCTTTCAGCTTTCCCGAGCTTCTTACAGCTTTCCCCAGCTCCTTCCAGCTTCCCCTAACTCCTTCCGGCTTTCCTTACCTTCTTCCACTTTTCCCAACTTTCCCCAGCTTTTTCCAACCTTCCCCAGCTTTTTCCAACTTCTTCCAGCTCTCCCGAACTTCTCCCAGCTTTTCCCAACTTTTCCCAGCTCTTCCCAACTTCTCCCAACTTTTCCCAACTTTTCCCAGCTTTTCCCAATTCTTCCCAACTCTTCCCAACTCTCCCCAACTCTTCCCAACTCTTCCCAGCTTCTCCCAACTTCTCCCAGCTTTTCCCAGCTTTTCCCAACTCTTCCCAGCTCTCCCCAACTTTTCCGAGCATCCAACTTTTCCCAGCTTCTCCCAACTTTTCCCAGCTTCGCCGCTGCCTTCAAGTTTCTCCCAGCTTTCCCTACCTCCTTCCAGCCTTCCCTAACTTCTTCCAGCTTTCCCCCACTTTTCCCAACTTTCCCCAGCTTTTTCCAAATTTTTCCAACTTTTCCCAACTTTTTCCAACTCTCCCAAACTCTTCCCAACTCTCCCCAAATTTTCCCAGCTGCTCCTCAAGTTTCTTCCAGCTTTCTTTAACTTCTTCCAGCTTTCTTTAACTTCTTCCCGCTTTCTTTAACTTCTTCCAGCTTTCTTTAACTCCTTCCAGCTTTCCCCAGTCTTCTCACGGCTTTCCCTAGTCTCCTTACGGCTTCCCGAACTTCTTCCAGCTCTCCCGAACTTCTTCCAGCTCTCCCTCACTTCTCCCAACTTTTCCCAGCTCTTCCCAACTTTTCCCAACTTTTCCCAACTTTTCCCAACTTCTCCCAACTTTTCCCAGCTTTTCCCAACTCTCCCCAACTCTTCCCAGATCTTCCCAACTCTCCCCAGCTTCTCCCAACTTTTCCCAGCTCTTCCCAACTTCTCCGAGCTTTTTCGAACTTTTCCCAGCTTTTCCTAACTTTTCAAGTTTCTGCCGGCTTTCCCTAACTCCTTACAGCTTTCCCCAGCTCCTTACAGCTTTCCCTAACTCCTTCCGGCTTTCCTTAACTTCTTCCAGCTTTCCCCCAATTTCCCCAGCTTTTTCCTGCTTTTCCTTACTTTTCAAGTTTCTCCCAGCTTTCCCTAACTTCTTACAGCTTTCCCCAGCTCCTTCCAGCTCCCCCTAACTCCTTCCGGCTTTCCTTACCTTCTTCCACTTTTCCCAACTTTTCCCAGCTTTCCCCAGCTTTTTCCAACTTCTTCCAGCTCTCCCGAACTCCTTCCAGCTCTCCCCCACTTCTCCCAACTTCTCCCAGCTTTTCCCAACTTTTCCCAGCTCTTCCCAACTTCCCCCAACTTTTCCCAACTTTTCCCAACTTTTCCCAACTCTCCCCAACTCTTCCCAACTCTCCCCAGCTCTTCCCAACTCTTCCCAACTTCTCCCAGCTTTTCCGAGCATCCAACTTTTCCCAGCTTTTCCTTTGCTTTCAAGTTTCTTCCAGCTTTCCCTACCTTCTCACAGCTTTCCCCAGCTCCTTCCAGCTTCCCTTAACTTCTTCCGGCTTTCCCCCACTTTCCCCACGTTTTTCCAAGTTTTTCCAACTTTTCCCAACTTTTTCCAGCTTTTTCCCAACTCTCCCCAACTTTTCCCAGCTGCTCCTCAAGTTTCTTCCGGCTTTCTTTAACTTCTTCCCGCTTTCTTTAACTCCTTCCAGCTTTCCCCAACTTCTTCCAGCTTTCCCCAGTCTTCTCACGGCTTTCCCTAGTCTTCTTACGGCTTTCCCGAACTTCTTCCAGCTCTCCCGAACTTCTCCCAACTTTTCCCAGCTCTTCCCAACTTTCCCTAACAAACTTCTTCCCGCTTTCGCTAACTTCTTCCCGCTTTCCCTAACTTCTTCCGGCTTCCCCTACCTTTTCCCAACTTTCCCCAGCTTTTCCCAACTTTTCCCAACTCTTCCCAACTCTCCCCAACTCTTCCCAACTCTTCCCAACTTTCCCCAACTCTCCCCAACTCTTCCCAGCTCTCCCCAACTCTTCCCAGCTCTTCCCAACTTCTCCCAGCTGTTCCCAGCTCTCCCCAACTTTTCCCAGCTCTTCCCAACTTTTCCGAGCATCCAACTTTTCCCAGCTTCTCCCAACTTTTCCCAGCTTTCCCTTACTTTTCAAGTTCCTTCCAGCTTCCCCTAGCTTCTTACAGCTTTCCCCAGCTCCTTCCAGCTTTCCCTAACTCCTTCCGGCTTTCCTTACCTCCTTCCACTTCTCCCAACTTTCCCCAGCTTTCTCCAACTCCTTCCAGCTCTCCCGAACTTCTCCCAACTTTTCCCAACTTTTCCCAGCTCTTCCCAGCTTTTCCCAACTTTTCCCAACTTCTCCCAGCTTTTCCCAACTTTTCCCAGCTTCTCCCAATTCTTCCCAACTCTCCCCAACTCTTCTCAACTTCTCCCAGCTCTTCCCAACTTTTCTGAGCATCCAACTTTTCCCAGCTTCTCCCAACTTTTCCCAGCTTTTCCTTACTTTTCAAGTTCCTTCCAGCTTCCCCTAGCTTCTTACAGCTTTCCCCAGCTCCTTCCGGCTTTCCCTAACTCCTTCCAGCTTTCCTTACCTCCTTCCACTTCTCCCAACTTTCCCCAGCTTTCTCCAACTCCTTCCAGCTCTCCCGAACTTCTCCCAACTTTTCCCAACTTTTCCCAGCTCTTCCCAGCTTTTCCCAGCTTTTCCCGGCTTTTCCCAACTTCTCCCAGCTTTTCCCAACTTTTCCCAGCTTCTCCCAATTCTTCCCAACTTCTCCCAGCTTTTCCCAGCTTTTCCGAGCATCCAACTTTTCCCAGCTTCTCCCACCTTTTCCTTTGTTTTCAAGTTTCTCCCAGCTTTCCCTACCTTCTTACAGCTTTCCCCAGCTCCTTCCAGCCTTCCCTAGCTCCTTCCAGCTTTCCTTAACTTCTCCCAACTTTCCCCAACTTCTCCCAACTTTTCCCACCTCTTCCCAACTCTTCCCAACTCTCCCCAACTTCTCCCAACTTTTCCGAACTTTTCCGAGCATCCAACTTTTCCCAGCTTGTCCCAACTTTTCCCCGCTTTTCCTTTGTTTTCAAGTTCCTCCCAGTTTTCCCTACCTTCTTACAGCTTTCCCCAGCTCCTTCCAGCTTTCCCTAACTCCTTCCAGCTTTCCTTAACTTCTTCCAGCTTTCCCCCACTTTCCCCAACTTTCGCCAGCTTTTTCCAAATTTTTCCAACTTTTCCCAGCTTTTTCCAGCTTTTTCCAACTCTTTCCAACTTCTCCCGACTTTTCCCAGCTGCGTCTCAAGTTTCTTCCAGCTTTCTTGAACTTCTTCCAGCTTTCTTTAACTCCTTCCAGCTTTCCCCAACTTCTTCCAGCTTTCCCCAGTCTTCTCACGGCTTTCCCTGGTCTTCTTACGGCTTTCCCTAGTCTTCTCACGGCTTTCCCGAACTTCTTCCAGCTCTCCCGAACTTCTTCCAGCTCTCCCTCACTTCTCCCAACTTTTCCCAACTTTTCCCAGCTCTTCCCAACTTTTCCCAACTTTTCCCAACTCTTCCCAACTCTCCCCAACTCTTCCCAACTCTTCCCAGCTCTTCCCAACTCTCCCCAACTCTTCCCAGCTTTCCCCAGCTTTTCCCAACTTTTCCCAACTCTCCCCAACTTTTCCGAGCTTTTCCGAACTTTCCCCAGCTTTCCAAGTTTCTGCCAGCTTTCCCTAACTCCTTACAGCTTTCCCCAGCTTCTTACAGCTTTCCCTAACTCCTTCCGGCTTTCCTTAACTTCTTCCAGCTTTCCCCCAATTTTCCCAACTTTCCCCAGCTTTTTCCAACTTTTCCCAACTTTTCCCAACTTTTTCCAACTTTTTCCAGCTTTTTCCAGCTTTTTCCAACTTCTTCCAACTTCTCCCAACTTTTCCCGACTTTTCCCGACTCTTCCCAACTCTTCCCAACTCTCCCCAACTCTTCCCAACTCTCCCCAACACTTCCCAACTTTTCCCAGCTTTCCGGCTTCCTTTAACTTCTCCCCGCTTTCCCTAGTCTCCTCCCGGCTTTCCCTAACTCCTTCCAGCTTTCCCGAACTTCTTCCAGCTCTCCCGAACTCCTTCCCGCTCTCCCTCACTTTTCCCAACTTTTCCCAGCTCTTCCCAACTTTTCCCGGCTTTTCCCAACTTTTCCCAGCTTCTCCCAACTTCTCCGAACTTTTCCGAGCCCTTCCGAACTTTTCCGAACTTTCCCGAGCTTTTCCCAACTTTTTCCAGCTTCTTCCAGCTTTTTCCAGCTTTTTCCAACTCTTTCCAGCTTTTTCCAACTTTCTCCAACTTTTTCCAACTTCTTCCAACTTTTTCCAACTTTTCCCGACTCTTCCCAACTCTTCCCAACTCTTCCCAACTCTTCCCAACTCTTCCCAACTCTTCCCAACTCTCCCCAACTCTCCCCAGCTCTTCCCAACTCTTCCCAACTCTTCCCAACTCTTCCCGACTCTTCCCGACTCTTCCCAACTCTTCCCAGCTTTTCCCAACTTCTCCCAGCTTTTCAAGCTTCTCCCAGCTTTCTTCAACTTCTTCCCGCTTTCCCTGGTCTTCTTCCGGCTTTCCCCAACTCCTTCCAGCTTTCCCGAACTTCTTCCAGCTCTCCCGAACTTCTTCCAGCTCTCCCTCACTTTTCCCAACTTTCCCAGCTTGAACTTTCCCAACTTTTCCCGGCTTTTCCCAACTTTTCCCAGCCTCCGAGCTCTCCGAGCGTCCCCAGCTTTTCCCGCCTTCTTCTCACCTTTTCCCAGCTCCTCTAGCTTTCCAAACTTTCCAAGCCCCCCAAGCTTTCCGATCTCTCCGAGCTTTTCCCAGCTTTTTCCACCTTGTCGCAGTTTCTCTAACTTCCCAAACTTCCCGAGCTTTCCAAACTTTCCCAGCTTTCCGAACTGTCCCCACTTTTCCCAACTTTTTTCCCAACTTTTCACACATTTCCCAACTTACTTTGCCCAGCTTTTTTCGGCCTTTTCGCAGCCCCTCTAGCTTCCCAAGCTTTCCAAGCTCTCCGAAGCTCCCAAGTTTTCCGAAGCTTCCAAGCTTTCCGCACTTGCTTCCCAGCTTCTCCCAGCTTTTCCCAGCTTTTTCCAGCTTCTCCCAGCTTTTTCGAGCTTTTTCCAGCTTCTTCCAGCTTCTTCCAGCTTTTTCCAGCTTTTTCCAGCTCTTTCCAGCTTTTTCCAGCTTCTTCCAGCTTTTTCCAGCTTTTTCCAGCTTTTTCCAGCTCTTTCCAGCTCTTTCCAGTTCTTTCCGGTTCTTTCCGGTTCTTTCCAGCTCTCTCCAACTTCTCCCAACTTTTTCCAGCTTTCTCCGCTTCCAAGCTTCCCAGACTTCCCAAGCGTCCCCAGCTTCCCCAACTTTTCCCAGCTCTCCCCATCTTTTCCCAGCTTTCCCCAACTTTTCCCAGCTTCTCCCAACTTTTCCAAGCCTTTTACTCTTTACTTTCCAACTTTTCGCAGCTTCTCGAACTTTCCGAAATTTCCAAACTTTCCCCAGCTTCTCCCAAGTTTTCCCAGCTTTCACAGCCTCCCCAGCTCCCAAGCTTTCCAGACGTTCCCCAACTTCTCCCAGCTCTCCCAAACTCCCGCAGCCTTCCCAGCTCCCCCCACTTTTCCCAACTTTCTCCAGCTTTTCCCCGCTTTTTTCCAGCTCTTTCCCACACTTTCGCAGCTCCTCTAACCTTCCAAGCCTTCCAAGCTCTCCCAACTTTCCCCAATTTCTCCCAGCTCTCTCCTACTTTCTCAGCCTTCCCAACTCTCCCAACTTTCCCCAGCTTTTCCCAGCGAGCTTCCCCCAACCTCTCTCCAACTTTTCGCAGCTTCTCTAACTTCCCAAGCCCTCCAAACTTCCCAAACATTCCCCACGTTTCCCAGCTTCTCCCAATTCTTCCAAGCTACTACTCCCAGCTCTTACTAGCTTCCTCCACTTTTCTGCGCCTTTTCTCAACTTTTCACGGCTTTCACCTCGCAACTTTTCGCGGCTTTTCACGACCTCCCTCAACGTTTCGCAACTTTCCCCGGCTTTTGTCTCCCAAATTTTCGCAACTTCCCCCAGCATTCCGCAGCCCCTCACACCTTTCCCCAATTTTCCCCCGCTTCCCCAACTTTTTCCGAACTTTTTCCAACCTTTCGCCGAACTCTTCCAAACTTTTCCGAACAGTTCGCAACTTCCCCAGCCTTCCCAACTTTCTGGGCTTCCCCAATTTTCCCAACTTTCCGAACTTTGCTAACTTTGTTTCCAGCCTTTCCGAACCGTTCCGAACTTTCGAAGCCTTCCAAGCTTCCCAAACTTTCCGAAGTTCTGAGCCTATGGGCCTGGCTGCGCCTGTGAACTTAGGAGCCTACGCCCCCCACCCCACCCCACCCGATCGGCGGGGCTGCATCACCTCCACCCCCCTCACCATCAGCATCGGCGCCAACACTTATGAACAGCCTACGGGCTTGCAAGCTTATGAGCCTGCGCGCGAGGCTTGGGAATTGGTTAGGCCTGACCTCACGCAGATGCGTGTGAAAGAAAGCTAAAACCTACGCGATAGAGCCGAAGCTTCTAGATATAGAATTCGAAGCCAAAAAATTGAAAGAAAGAAAGGCGCGGGAAGGGGTTAGCCCTGACTTCACGCAGATGGGCACTAAATCACTTCAAAATCTACGCGATAAGATAAAGCCAAAGCCCCCGCAGCCTGAATAAACAAACTGAAAAAACTGAAAAAGGCCTGGGAATTGGTTAACCCTGAGCCTTAAAGCGTCAAGCTGAAAGCCCACACCTGACAGCTCAAAGCTGAAGACCCAAAGTCGAAGGGCCAAGCCTGAAAGCTCAGAGCTGAATCGAAAGCCCAGAGAGGGCCGCTTGAATTTGAAAGCTCGAAGCTGAGAGCAAGGTCAGAGCTGAACTCTGAACAACATACAAAAAAGACGACGGCCAAGCAACTAAGCAACAGCCGAGAAGTGTGAAAAACCAGACGCATCCGCGCCACGGTAAACCCGTCAGGCGTTTGGGCGGTGCTCCGGATCATTCTGGACAAGGTGAGCACGAAAACCACGACAACCAACAAAGAAACGGCAAACAGCTGAAAGCGGTAGAACACCCACGGCACCCGCGTGACCGTAGAGCCGCCAGGCGTTTGGGCGGTGCTCGGGATCATCCTGAACGGGCTAGGCGTAGACACAGAAGAACCGAACACCAACACACAAGCAACAGCCCGGGCGCTTTCGCGTTACTTTCAACCGGGGAGCCCGGTGGCGTTTGCGCCACCGCCGCCCCGCGCGGTGGTTCCCTCTTTCCGCCTCCTACCCGGGGCGCACCTCTCGATAATGTCCTGGGGAGTTGTCATATTCACAAGAAACATGAGGTCACGGATGATTAGCTGGCAACCTGTGTCCCACGGGTGGGTCTTGAGTGCACAGTTATTTCTCGACAGATGATTTTGATTGATACGCCCGAAGATCTCTAATTTTTCAACTCCTGCTACCTCTTGGTCTGTGTTGAGTTTGTAGCTGACAGCAGCAGCACTCATGACTGGCGCTAGCCCGTCTTTCTTAAAAAATTATAAACGTGGCTCACTTTCTCAATCCTCAATGGGTCACGTCGTGCAACAGCCTTCGGAGATCCCCTAAAATGTTACAACCTAAGAACCCGCTAAGGCTCGTCTACAATTGAGTAGCTTGAGAGGCTCTTTTGTCATTGTTAAATGGCTTTCCGACGAACGAAGGCCGGAAGGCGACCGCTCCGAAATGACGGAAGCGGCCGTCTCCACAAGACAAGAAAGACAGCCCTGGAAACGATAGGGAGCCACATGGCGCCAGTTACCCAGTTCACAGCCGGCAGACGTGCACAGGTGGAGGCAGAGGCCAAAGACTTCCGAGGACAGGGCCCCGAGGCACAGCCAGAGGGGAAGGCCGACAGACTTGCTGTAGGTAGCCTCAGCGGACAAGGAGCAAACAAGTCCGAACAGGGAAAAACCGAAAGGACAGCCGCCAAGAAAGAGCAAACACGAAAGCCCTGCACTCCACGACTGCGCGACTGGAGCAAAGCACGCCACCAAGCCAGCGCGCCGTCCCCAGAAGGGAGTCCGGCGCGTAGGAGTCTGGGACGCCGGGGGCGGGCGCTGCCAGATGTTCCAGGCTGCACCCCTGGGCTTACGAAACAAGCTGGTAGAGTGTCAGCAGCTGGCACCACCAAGGTGGCCGAGATCGTGGCAACCGCAAGCCCCACGGACGGCGGTGCCGATGTACATCGACGACGCAATAACCCCCCTACCTACAAAGAGCCGGCGAAGCAATAGAAGGGCGCGAAGCGCTTTGCGATTGCCTCGGCCTCGAGCTGGCAACAAAAGCCAACGCACCACAAGACTCGAGTAGAGGGCCTCTCGCGCGCATCCTCAGGCCACACTACGACACGACGCCAAAAACAAGCACCGGCGCCGCAGTGCCAGAATGATCAAGCACGCCACACACCGGGGTGGCAGACGAGCTCCGACAAAAAGCCAGAGCCAGAAACCTACACAAAAATAAAAGCCACGCAGCAGCTGCTCAGTCTAGCTCTAGCGAACTTCGCCACAGCATCAGCTACCAACAAGGCAAGGGGCGAGATATAGCCCAACGCGTGGACGGAAGCCACCAGCTTCGAAAAGATGGGACGGCAAAGGTGGCAACAACAAGCACCCCGCCGCGCCACCACATCCACAGCCACCGACAAAATCGCCGCGAAGGTGAAAAAGCTAGAACACAGGCGGAGGCAAGGCGCGAGGCCGCTGGGCTTCCTGCTCACGGACGACGCCCCAAGTCACAGATGGCGACCTACAAGGGGGGCCGGCTACCAGCTACGTGACGGCGCACCATAGCGGCGAGACCCTCACCCAGGTGCAACCACCACAGGCAAAAGCCTGGAAAAGCACACGGGCCGAAAGAAGTGCCCGAGGCGGCGGCCGTAAGATTGGCAGCTAAGCAGCTACACAACCGGGCGAGCACCTCCGGCCTAGTGGCAGGCCCTACTAGAAAGCGCCCCGGTGTTCTACAGCTTCGCAAAGTGTGGCAGAAAGGGGGCCTGCAGCTGTGGCAACCACGGCGGTGGGCGGCCTGGGCCGACGCCGTCAGCCGCGGCTGGCATGACAGCAATGCCAAACCTTGACGCGCGTACGTCGCGCCAGAGTCGAACCTGGGCGACTACATGACGCCACAGACGCGACACAAAAGAGCGCGGAACCCATGCGAAGGCACGGCGCGCGCCCAAGCTGCAGACGGTTCAGCAGTCCAACAGCGCCCGCCTGTGGCTGGCTCGCTGAACTATGTGGGCCCCTGCCTTCTCCTCCCGCCACCTCTGCTCCCGGGGCGCGCCCCTCCTCCGTGGGCAGACAGGCTGGTAAGAGTCAGCAGCCACCCCAGCACCACACGGGCGCAGGTGCTGGCCAGCGCGGAGCCATGGCGCATCATTGTGCAAAGGCCCGCCGACAATCGTTGTCGTTCTAGCGTTAGCAACGCCCCTTCGACAAGTGCGGGCCCCCGACCGCCCCAAGAAGCAATCGCCCAGCCCGCCGGTGCCCCCGGGAGAAAGTGCTGGCGAGAAAGCGATAATGGCGCGGAGCGGCCCTTCTTCACCAAGACAAGCCAAACCGGGGCGACACGCGGCGGAGCGCGAGCTCAGACCCCAGCGGGCAAGCCGACGCGCGCGGGCCGGGGGTTCAAAGCTGCCTCACCTCCCCGCGAGGAGACAGCGCTGCCTACGGCGGGGGGCTGGCTGCGTACTCCGGTCAAAGTGCCGGCGTCGACATGACCCGCGAGCACCATGCGCGGGAAGTGGTGGCTGGTTCCCCGAGGGCAGTCTTGGCGCCTAGACCCCAGCTAGACCGCGGGGGGGGGGTATGCACTCCAAACGCTGGCGCCCCCCTTCTACAGGGCGGCAAAGGACCCCCGCCACACTCCGGGGCTAAATTGCGGGCCTTAGGTGCAACGACCGGCGCCGGCAAAGACTCGGGCCCGCTGCGCCAGCCTACCGCGCTGCCACCGCACTAAAGGCATAAGCCCGCCCGTATATTAGGACCCCCGACGGCTAAGTCCCCGGCTTGTATCTTGTCAGCCAAAGCTAGAAACGTGATAGCCCTTACTGCCCACTTTTCCGTGAGCCTGTCACGCTTGGTGATGGGACACTGACTTGCAGGAGCCTTCGAAACTACTTTGACAGGTGAAGACTATGGGCATGGCCGTGGATCATCTAGTAAAGTTTTTCAAAAACTTTGTATTGCTTTATCTTGTTTCAATATTTCTACACGATCTTTCCTTTTAGCAGTGTCTTATTCTATTTCCTATCTTCTTCGAAGAGGTTCGTCGCGTTTCGCAACATCGTTCGAACTTCCATTCATATTGAAGCCATCCACAGGCCCTAAGCCCCAAAAATCCTAACAAGCTCCCTGAAGCCCTGTTATTCATAGGCCCTAAGCCCCGAGAGCCCCGAATTATAAGCCGCCCCTAAACCCTGCTACCTCTAGACCCTAATAACCCCTAAGCCCTGCTATCCAGCATAGGCCCGAAGCCCAAAAATCCGAATTATAAACCCCCCGCGAGCCCTGTTACCCAGAGGCCCTAAGCCCTAGAAACCCAGAGAAGACCCCCTTAGGCCCTGCTGTTCATAGACCCTAAAAACCCGCAAAAACCACCCCAAGCCCTGTTATTCATGAGCCCTACAACTAATGCATCTTCAACCATGCTATGACACCCATGATGTAAAAAACCCCTCCAACTATTGCAAGAGGGACGCAAAGTCCAGCCGACAAAGCACAAAAATAATAGGCGGCGATTTTCAAATCAACATCACTCATCAAGGCCTTCTCCCCGGGCTTACCAGGCCCAGCCAGCTTTCGGTACGAGTCGCCTATAGTGGTAGTGCTGCCTGCGTCCGAGCCCGACTGTCCGAAAATCACCAAATGAGCAAGATGGCCGTAGCAAGAACTGTTAGAGATGTCCATATCCGAAAGTGCCTTCATCTTACAGACGACAGGGATGGGAATGCAACCAATTGATGAGGAGGAACCCCCCCACAACTCCTGTGGGCTACGTGCCTACACCTCTGGAGCAGATGTTAGTGGGATTCCCCATCGTCATAGGAGGCATTTTCCAATAAGCTCCGAAGCGGAGAGAACAGTGCACGAAATACGGGCTCTGGCATAAAGATAATCGAAGAGAAAAGTAGTCCTATGAATGTGTGCGGCAATAACCCCCAAATTCCAGTACTATCACTAAACAAACCCAATCATAAATCATGCGAAAAAAACTCGAGAGCCATCTTTATCAATATCATCTCAAATATTAAATAATAGACAGCCCACGATTGAAGCGATGAGCCTTAAAACCATTGGCATCAGGTGCACCGCCCTCCTGCGTGACCAAATGATAACTCTCCTTCCCCATTTCCCTTTGGCTGAATAGTTCCTCGTCAGTGTTGTCTACAACAGATGGCGCGCCACTTTCACTTGTATCGGACCAATTTTTAGAGGAGTGACGTAGCTTCGATCAAAAATGTTCATTAGACAATGAAAGGATCATGATGAAAAAACAACGCCACAGCTTAGTAGCGTTGTTACTGTTGGCGCCCCCTTGTTTATTTCCGCTGGTGTTGCTGCTGTTTCTTCATGTCAATGTCTTCCCTTTGATTTTATCATCTCTTTCGACATTCTAGAAAAAACAAAAGGAGGCGCAAGAGCCATTCATTGAGGAAATGTGGAGACAAAGTGAAGAATTGGCAAACGACTTACAAAGGCCGCCCTAACTTTTACCGTCGGTTTTTCTGCTTGTTTTTCAGCATCTTCAGCATCCTTCACGCCCTTGATGACACTGACGAAGAAGCTACGAGAGCCAGCCGCACCACTAGGAAGAAAAACCACAGCGCCAGTCCCCTGCTTTTTCTTCATTTCCTCAAATAAATAGCCGACTGTGCTGGTTTGAAAATTAGACAAACAAGACTTCTACGAAAGTAATAACTTCGCTTTAGTTTCATCTCAATAATGCACAGATAATTAGGGTCGCCGTGCTCAGCGAGCAGCCCTTACAGCATCTGCGAAAGAAAATGCTCGACCAGCCACAAGAACGCACGAGAGAAATAAATGAGAGGACGCTATGGGCTGCTGCAATCAAAGAAACCAAATCCAAAGTCATCCGATATTCCAAAGAAAGGAAAGGAGCTACTGAAAATATACGAAGAGAAACAGAAGGGCTAGGGTGCTTCGTTGCCCTTCGTTATGGGGAAGCAGCTGGCGAAGCCAATTAAATATACAACTACACGACCCAAGGCTCAAGCCCAAGGCCCACCAGGCGACGAGCATGGCCTCCGCCGTGAATCATCGCCCTAGCTGTGCACGACAGTCTTTTATGAGTTAACGAGGCCATAATCATGCGCGCACAGGCTTCTCCGAGCTTGGCAGCAGCCTTCACTTTGATGCGTTTGCCATTTTCTCCGATAGACTTCTTGCACAGCTTTTGTTAGAGCTTCCTTGCAGGTTGGCGGCCGTTCTCGCTCAGTCATCTTCTTGAACAAGGTCGCGCCCTTTCCACCCTGCCGGCATCGATAGCCACTGAAACTGAAAGACCAAACAAACCGACACGCGCCCCCCCTTCCCAGCAAATGTGTATCAGTGTAGTTTAGCTGAGGCGCGTCCTTGAAGGTGCTGACAGAAATGGGATTAGGAAAGGCCCCATTTTGCTAGGTAGGGCTGTCGACGCGGCGCCAGACTAGCCCGCCAGCGGCGCATCGGTTTCATGCGAACTCATGGAAAGAGAACACCCGAGTTCGCTGAGTAGTGACTGAAAGACGATCTAGCAACGATATGAAAGCGCGCGACACTCGCCAGATGCCACAACGGGCGAGTGCATCACGCCGCAGGGAGGGGCGAGGAGGGAGGGCAAAAAAAATGGAACGCCGAATGGAATAGAGAGCACAAGTTAGGCGCCACTAAATGCACGCACTGAAAACGAACGCCGAATACTAAACACCACGCACGCCGGGCGCCAGCCGAGCGAAGTAGTGCACAGCCCTTCTACTCGGCCAGGGCTTGCCCCGTTGCACCAAATAGATTTTCTTTGAAAAGTGCAGCCAGGTGCAAGGCCTGGCGCACACCGATACGCCCCGGCGATCGCGTGGCCGTAAGCCTTCGGCGTCGTGGACATTCGCAGACAGGCAGCTGCTGAGGGCACCTGGCTCGCCGTCCATGGGGCCAACCTCCGACGCGGAGGCCTGAGTGATGCAAGGGGTGCCCGGCAGCGGCACTTTTTGGCCAAAAACATGACGGGCCACTTTTTTGGGTGCATTTTGCGCCCCTTTTTTGAAAAAAAGCGACCGGGTCATTTTGCGAGGACCGAAACAGCCCCACCCAGTGGGGGCCAGGGGGTGCCTTTTTAAGGCTGCCCTTTTTGGCCCAAAATGGTCGCCAAATGGCCCAGGCCGTTTGGGGTGTCAGAGTGGGCCCTTTTTGTCCCCCTTTTTGACACCCCTCCAAGGTACCTCCGAGCCGAGCCTCCCAAGGGTTGGGACCCCCCTGGCGGCGGCCCTTGGGAGGGGAGTCCCGCTCCGAGGGTTCACACACTGCCAAGCTATCAGGATGGCCCCAGCGAGTAAAGCCCTGGTCTAATACTAGCTATGCCGGGCGCCTTCGCTATTCTTCGACATCAATAACTGGGCGGGCCCTCTGATTCTGATGGACCAAGAGGAACAGGATGACAATAGCACAGACAAGATAAGCACTCGCGACACTCCTGCACACTGATTGCCTTAATCTTGAGCCACGTCGAAAAGCTGCGGCGTTAGAGCGAGCGCAAATACCTGCTCCAGGCCATTTGTCGGGCTGTACGGGGACGGCAACGGCTTCAGCGGGTCGCCGCCTGTCGTATCCTTCTTACCACCACGAGAGCCAAAAAAGAGGCTGGCTACCCTATTGCGGCGGTGGAATTTTTTTTCGTATATGTCCAAGAAATCTGGCGGGTGTGGTAGAAAGAGTGCGCAATAGTGGTAGGCGGGCCTAAGTCTGGATGAGTCAGAGAGGAAGGGCAGGTGGGTTCATCGAGAGTGAGGACACAGACGAACCAATCGTCTTGAAGAATGATGGCTACTATGGAGAGCCGAAAAAGCTAGCGAGTCTTCATTTTGGTAAAAAATTCAAGGGGGCGCAGCACCCGTTTAAAGTAAGTAGTTGAGCAGCTTGTTAAGTTTGACCCAGCAGCGGACGCACGCGCGCGAAGGAAGAGCTAGGCCAGAGCCTGAGTCACCTACCCACTTCGACGACCAGGCTCGATCAGCGGGTGTCCAAGGCGCTGCCAAGCGCTTGGAAGGATGAGCCGACCTTGGGCCTTGGAGTCCACTGGCCTGGCCCCAAAAGCCGTAAGGTGGACCGAACGCCGTAGAGCTGTCCACATTAATCCTACCGCGTAACCCCCCTGCTAAAAGGGTGATCCTCTTGCTCTTCTTTGACGCGTGACGCGTGACGCGAGACGCATGACGCGAGACGCATGGCGCGAATCGATCCGCAGTCCGTGGATTGCTCAGCGATCCTTGGCTTGGATTGATCGGTGACCCGTGGATTGGTCATTGATCCGCGGATTGGTCAGTGATCCGCTGACTCTGGTTGGTCAGTGATCCGCGGATTGATCAGTGACCCGCGGATTGACATTGATCAGTGACCCGCGGATTGATCAGCGACTCGCTGGCTGATCAGTGATCCGCGGATTGATCAGTGGCCCGCGGATTGGTCAGCGACTCGCTGGCTGATCAGTGATCCGTGGATTGCTCAGTGATCCGCGGATTGGTCAGTGATCCGCGGATTGATCAAAGACCCGCAGACTCGTCAGTGATCCGTGGATCGATTGATCAACTCAAAGACCCACAGCTCAGCCAGTGATCCGCGCATTGATCAGTGGCCCGTGGATTGATCAGTGACCCGTGGGTTGATCAGTGACCCACGCACGGATCGGCAAAGGATCCCCGGATCCATCAAGGGCCCGCGACTGAATCAAAGATCCGCGGATCGATCAAAGGCCCACGGATCGGCCAAGGATCCACGGATCGCTCAAGGGTTCGCGGATCGTTCAAGGATCCACAGATCGGCCAAAACCGACCACGGGGCCGGGGATCGATCAAGGACCCGCGGATCGATCAAGGACCCACGGATCGACCAAAAGTCCGCGGATCGATTAAAGCTCCGCGGATCGATCAAAGGCCCGCGGATCGGTTAAAGATCCCCCGATCGCTCAAAGACCCACGGACCACGCGCCGGCCGCCGCGTGACACGTCACGCGAAGCACATCGCGCGAATGAGTTGCGTGCTGCGTCACGCTTAAAATTAAGCCCAGGCGTCTCGTCTCCCCCCGAAGCTCTCGGCGTCACGCGGTGGGCGTCACGCGTCACGAACAGCTCTGCGGCGTTCCGTAAGTCCCACGGCCCCAAGCCAGCGGCCTCCGCCCCAAAGTCGGCCCATTTAGCGCCAGATATCGCCTTGCCACGCCCGCAAGAGAGCACGGCCGTCTGTCAGATGAAAGAGTGGCCCGTGACTCAGGTTCAGGCCTGCCTCCTTCAGCGCAGTGCGGTCTGCTGCTGCGCCTTTTACTTACCTACCTAAACAAGTAGCTACCTTGACCCCCCTGAAATTTTTAACAGTTTGGGAGTGAGAGAATCCACACTGCGCCAATCTGTTTGAGTTGTTTGCTGGCGATCTGTTGAGAGTTGAGCCATAAGAAAAGCCAAAGCCTTGGAGTGATTTAGTTGAGTAATTAAGTGCTTAAAAGAGGAACGAACCTAAGTAGCAACGCATTGAAAACACACACAAGACAAAAACACTCTGGCGCTTACCTTTTCAAAAGGCGCTTGACGCATTGGAATAAACACCACTCAACCCAAGAACACTCTTGGCACTTAACGCGTTCACTCACTGGAGGAGGAAGAGCCCAATATACAGAATCTGTCGCGGTAGCGTCGACTAGGTTTAGAATCCCCGTAGACGCATATACACAGTCTTCCCCTCTTTTGTTTTTGGTTCTTTGAGTAAACAACAAGGAAGAAAGACTTGAAATATATTCCGGAAATAAGTAAAAACAAGCAACGATAATACTGAGGAAGTAAATCAGTGAAAAGGCCTCGTAGATCATAGGTTAAACCTCCAGAGCATACGCCACGGCAACTACCTTAATTGGTGCTAATTGTTATAGATCCAGTCGCCCACGTAGCATCTTGGCCGCCAAGCGTGATCCCATCTAATACCATTCCAAGACGCATTCGCAAAATTTCCCGCACAAATCTAAGAAGTGCGCTAACTGATTGGGTCCCTATGGTGTTTGGTTAAGTTCTTGAGAAATTTCTTCTCCGATCCTCGGGCTGCGATTGCAAATCGGTGCCAGTTTGCAATCCCACCCCGAAGGTCCAACAAAGTTTAACACCCACGCCAAACTATTTCTTGCGCCTGCTAGTATTAGTCTTTGACACACGCACAGCTACAAAAGGAGTCTTATCTTAACGGGCCTCCTCCTAGTTAGGTTGTTACTCTAATTTGGTCCACATAGCAGCCGACAGACGCACTGTCCGAAAATGTGTGCTCTGCCATCTCGTCCCGCAGGAAGCTCGGCAAAAGCTTAAAGTAATTGCCCGATTTGGCAGCCTTCACACCCATGGAGATCCTACGCCCGCAACTTGAATCTCTGGCATCTCCAGCACGATATCGCAACTACGAAAATTGTGCCGCGTATCTTGCTGCATGGTATACAGCCAAACTGCGCCAACATCTGCGACGGCGTGTCGTTACATGGGGCCGATTTTATGACCCATGACAAGGATGCCGAATACGTTTGCGATGACAAGAAGCCTCAGAACTTGACCCGAACCAAAACGCTAACTGAACGCTTGGGACATGTCACCACGGTCGATTGCGGAATGGCAGACGCAGTTGCTGACGTTGCCGAATATTCTCCGCCCCGCATCGAAAAGGCCGGCGGTGCGTCAGATGTGGACGCTACTGCACGTTTCAAAGTTTTGGCCAACACCGTGCGCGGAAATGGTTACCTTCCAACTAGTGCTGAACTGTGGAACGCGTTGTATACCGGATTACGGCTTACGGGACTTAAAGCGGTGGCACTCCAAGCTTCGTCTAACATGCGCAAAATTGGCGAAGCATCTACCACCGAGACAGTAGAGAAGATGCAGAACGTGATCGAGCAGCTCTTCACGTCCAGTCGTCCAAGCTCGACACCGTTTTGCATGATGTGCACGGAAACAAGGAGTGGCAGTATGACGACCAGGGCGATGCGGTGACTGCGACCCTTTGCTTTGGGCCTCGGCACCAACGAAAAAGGGAAACGGCAAGAAAGGCAAAGGCAAGAAGTCCAAGGGCAAAGGCAAGAAGGGCAAGAACAAAGGCTACGGCAAGGCTTCCGGTAGCGGCAAAGGCGGAAATGGACTCGGCAAGAATGCGCCCGATGGTGAAAATAGTTCTTCTTCTTCATCTTCTTCGTGGAACAGCAACAACTACTACACCAAGTACAATAATTCTTCTTCGTCTTCTTCTTCGCAGAACAAAGGCAACAGCAAGAACAAGCACGACATCAAGAAGTATCGCCAGGATGGCTGCGCGTACTTCGTGGAAGCGGATACTGTGGACCAACACCAAGATCATGCTGAACAAGACGGGAGCGGACACGGTCAACCTTGACTAACCGGAGAGGAGAAAAAAGAAGAGCTTGCAGGAGGATGCTGCTTCATATCGTTCAAAGAAGACGGCGCACAGGATACCAAGCTTCGCCTAGTGCTGGGCTCTGGTTGTTCAGACAGTTGCGCTGGAGAGCATCAAACTGAAGAAATTCTAGATGTACGTAGTGGCAGGCGTGGAGATCGTGGACATTCCTACTACGGAGCGGAAATTCTTCAAGGTCGCGGGAGGCGCGAACAAGGAAGCAACACAGGAGCGAGCAACTCCTCCCCGCACAACTAAAACGCTTCAGATCATACCAATCAGGAGCAAATGCGCCATTTTTATTAGGACAAGAATTGCCTCAAGACTACGTGACCGATTTTCCAGGTTTACAGTTTTCGAACTTACGAAGCGGATTCCCGATGGAGCATAAAAATGATTTATGGCAAGTCGCTTCTTCTACGTTTCACCAAACTCAGCAGCAACAAGACCGACAGCGGCGCACGTCTCAGATTCAAGATACCCCCGACGGCAGTACATTCCTCATCTACCAAGCAGTACAGTCAGAGGATCTCGGTTCTCCTTTCCCTTGGACGTATCAACTAATTGAGGAGCTTCACCAACGTGATCATCCACATCCAGACCAAATGCGCGAACGATCTTCCAGCACTGGACTACCTCGACACCTAGCGGATGCAGTCTATGAGATGCGCGACATATGCCAGGGCGCTCTTCGTAAAAAGCCAGCAGCACCTCGATCCAAGAAATTTAGTCACCTCAGTGAGTGCGTCGCGATGGATACTCTATTGCTATTCCTGAAATTTAATGGAGACGAGTACGCAGCTTCGCACTTGGTTGATGCGTTCCCCAAATGGTCTTTGATCGTCGTCATTCAAGAAGGACACCCGACCGGAGCGGATGTCTGCAGAGCTTTGGATAAATGGGCGACGGTTTTTGGCTCACTTCCCGGCGCAATCTTCAGCGACAACGGAAAGGAAATCGTCAGCGGGCAAGTCTTGTGCTTTCTGTTTCTCCGTACCACCAAAATGATACACTATCGCTCGACATCCGACCGGCGTGCTAACTTTGTAGAGTCACGCAATCGAGTACGCCGACGCATAGTGGAAAAGTTGGCCAATGTCGATGCGAAACATGTCGACAAGTTAACCACGGACGACGTTTGCGCTTGGGGACAAAAAGCGAAAAACTCATATATCAGGAAGTATTTCGGGAGGCCCTTATCTGCCCAACGGATTGCACTACCACCAGCTACGGACGAATCCACATTGGGCCGGATGCTTTTGCAGAGAGAAGAACTTCGAAAGCGAGCAGCATTGGCCGCCAATGTGGAAGCAGAGCTTACGGAGCTTAAAAACAACAGCGAAAGCCGCGGACGAAAATTAGAAGCGTGGCGAAATGGTGACAAATGCAGACTGCCCATGTCTGACTCTAAGGACCTTGGAGTCAAGCGAATGCGCGATGCGGAAGTGCTCGGCACTCGTGGCGAAGGGGAACGTGTGGCGGTGGTCCGGCTTACCAGCGGCGACGTGCATGAAGTTTCACACGCGCGAGCTTTCTTACCTTCTGCAGATGCGCTATACGTCGAAGTTCCCGCTACAAGTTCTTCGGTGCAGCATGATGGTCAAAATTGTGCTTCTTCTTGTCCACCTGCCTCGGCCGATGACATTTCTGATGCCCCGCATCTTCCTCAGGCTGATCCCAAAGCGAAGCACAGCGACCGCGCGAAGAAATTAGAACGGCTACGCATCAAGCACTCAAAGCAACTGGTGGCGACTGCGCGCGCAAGTCCGGAACTGCGCAGTGTAACAAAAAGTGGAGCAACCTTTTGGGCGGAACCTGTGGCGAGGTATTTGCGGACGTTGAGGCCTATTCCAGGACTATTCCACAAGCAGCAGCTTCAGGGCTGCAGCTAGTGCTGGTCTTTAGTCATACTTTTCAAAAGCCTACTGCTATAGTTCACGACGCTAGTGGGCTTAGACTTCAAAAGGATGCAAAAACGATTATTAGACTACCACTAGCGACAGCATCCGACAGCTTAGAAAGTGAAGACTTCGAGCACCGCATTGGTAACAGTGTGGACAGTCTAGTCGTAGTGATGTTGACCTATCTACGTCGGACGCTAGATATTGTAGCGCTATATCTGGCGAAGAACTGGCTGAGTTCTTGGCGTTGCCTACCTTTTGCTCAGCAACAAGCTTACGTAAGTGCGCTAACAATCAGCCGGCTTCGCTATCTAACCAAGATCCTACCTGGGTATCTCACTGAAGAACGGCAGGAAGGAACTCCAGGATAACACTTTGGCTTCTTGTCGATCTCGTTCTAGAGCTTTGCCAGCATTCTATAGCGCTGACTGTTCTGACGCACGGTTCTAGCACTAAAAACGACGCCTCGGCCCTGTTCGTACAGCAAGACCTTAATCCTGATCCAGAGCCCGCCTCTCTTTCTGAGATGTGTGGTTTTTATTTTGTGACGTACTTCAGGCGCACCTGGCTGCAGATAGTAGCGAGATGACCCACTTACAGCATGGAGGCCCACTCTTCTCACTACTGGAATACGTTAGAAATCCAGACGGTAAAGGTAACCACATCGAAAGGATAACAGCTCACCGAGGACGTGGCAGGATTCTTCATGGTAATTCGAGGCATCGACCTAAGTCAAGAGCGCTGTCTTTTGTTGCCTGACAGTCAAGCGAAGCGATTAGTTGGCGACGCAATTCCGCGTAAAGGAGTCGTAGCCCCTTTCCATTCTCGTCCTAAGCCTCCTATACCTGAAAAGATTACAGCCAGCAACCCAGCCAAGGAGACCAAGTTAAATCTTCCGGCTGAATTATTAACAAAAGGCACAGCACAAGACTTGCCTACATCTTTCTCCGAAGGTCGTAACTTAGTTACTTGATGGACCAACTTAAAGAGGCGCAACGTCAAGAACTAGGCGCATTACATAAGTTCAGGGCTTTCGTTGTAGGTAAAAGGGACCCATCTCGCAAGCCACTCACTTCTAGACTAATTCTAGGCATCAAGACCCCTACAGATGGTCTCTTAAAGAAAGCAAAAGCGCGCTATGTACCTCGCGGATTTCCTAAAACGACGATAGATCTGGATACGTGCGGAGAGACACTACTACGGCATCCCAAGAAGGACTAAACTTAGCGCTTCAAAAGTACTTAAAAAATGAGGGCTGGCCCCTATACGGCGAAGACTTCTTAGGCGCGTCGCTATAAGCTGAGGAGTTAGAGGATCCCAAGCCCCGACCTCACGTCGAGTTTCCCCCTGTTGACTTTCTATCTGCCTCCTGGGCTTCAAGATGTAGCGCGTGAAGTTATGGGATCCCAAGAAGACTCAGTTTGCATTTTTATTCGCGCTGGCTATGGTCTTACTGATGCTCCTCGTGGTTGGTTTCGTACTTTAAGAAAGAAACTTTCTGAAGTAGGTTCTCAGTAGTTACGATGAGGCCCAGGCACTTTCGTCCTCGTTACTGACACCGCCAGCAATGTCATCCGAGGCACTAAGTCAGAAGCTTACATAGGTGAAGCCGAAGCCCAAAAGCTAGGAGAGAAAGTCTATGAGATTGAAACTCTACCACCAGAACATAAAACCTCTGGCGTAGTTTGTCTTCACGTAGGCGATACCCTTCGGGGAGGTGACGACAAATAAAAGAGGCGAGGAAAGAAGTTACGCCATACTTTCTAGTAGGAGACAACTGGAAAGAAAGCCCAAAGTCTTTACTTCAGTCCTTTCCTTTTCTTGGTCGTGGCTTAGTTGTCGAGAGAGACGCGAGCGGCAGGCGATCTTTCAAGGAATAAGACATCGACCTTTTTGGCCCAAAGGCCAGCAGATAGCAAAGCCGCAGATAAAGCTTGGCATAGTCTCTCCCGTGCTATGGTTGGTCGTCTTAACAAACTGGATAACTTACAAAAAAAGACCGGACTTGTTATCTGGCGCCTTGACTGGTTCCCGGGCAGTTGCGAGTCCAATTTGGAGCGACGTCATTGCTCTAAGCAAGACTTTGAGGGCTGCTATTTTTCATCGTGGGAATGGCATTCGCATGCACCCCATGAAAGCAGAAAAATCCCGCATAGCTTCACTTACTGACGCAAGTTACAACCGTCGCAAGGCTTGCCCCTCTGTTTTTGCTGGTATGTTTTTCGTATCTGGCTACGACGTCGACGACGGCCAAAACCTTTACACCAACGAGCCCACAGACCGTCTAGCGCCAGTATCTAGTAAGCCCGCATGGGTCCACGCTTCTCTGGTATTTTGGAGAACTCGAGTAGTTATACGTAGGGTAGACGCTACGCTTGAAGTTGAGAAGTTATCCATTTAGTACGGTTCCGCAACAGCGGAATACTTACACAGTCTAGGTCTTGAAATGCAAGCAGTGCGCAGTAAGCTTAAGCCTTGCACTTTTAACGATAACAGCTCAACAATAACCTACATAAAGAGTCCAAACAGGCACAAGAGTCCGAGAACGAATGTAATCTGGGGAACGCTACGACAAGCGTTCACCAGTAACGAGGTTGCTCGTGAATTCTTGCGCGGTAACTGCGTCAATCAGTTTGAGTTGTTTGCTGGCGATCTGTTGAGAGTTGAGCCATAAGAAAAGCGAACGCCTTGGAGTGATTTAGCTGAGTAGTTAAGTGCTTAAAAGAAAAACGAACTGAAGTAGCAACGCATTGAAAACACACACAAGACCAAAACACTTTGGCGCTTTCCTTTTCAGCAGGCGTTTTATGCATTTGAATAAACACCACTCAACCCAAGAAAACTTTTGGTACTTAGCGTGTTCATTCACTGGAGGAGGAAGAGCCCAACATACAGAATCTGCCAGGGAGTTAACTTTTTAGGGTCGCCATAGCTTTAGCTACCTACTCGGGTGCTAAGACTCAAAGAAAAGCGAGGGGCGCGAAGCAATGGAGGAAGGCTGCTGAACACTGTCGAGGCCCCTCCCAATCTGTTGAGTTTTATAGAGGTAGAAAACTCAGCGAGGAAAGCGCTACGGGGTAAGTGCTTAGGCCTGTCGGGGTCGTTGCTATTCTGTCGCGCGTGTTCCACTTGAAGGATAAAGATAGAGGGCGGCCGAGTAATCATAGCTATAGCTAGGAAAGTACGTCGTCGACGTTAACAATGCGCGGTATGACATGACAGCGAAGACCTGCCTTATACTTCAAACGCATCAGGCGTCTCTATGCTTCGACGAAAAACCAAAAACCTAGCCCGAGGCTTTTCTGCCTGCTTGGTCCTGTTCGCCCATTCTAAATACATCGGCAAGATCGAAGCCCACTCGAATAGGGAACTGAGTGGAATCCTGCTCCAGGGGCCAAGTATTGAACAGGCGAAGTAGAGCATTCGTCTTACGGTGCATCTACACTGTCAAGGAATACGAAGAACGCGGAGGGTGAAAAGTGTTTACTGAGTCGCACTACTCACAGGCAGAATTTTTATTCCGCATGGCATGAAAGATTTCAGCAACGAAGGTCACTGATGGCAGTGGTAGAAGGTAACAGATTTTATACCCCACCACGTCGCAAACCCATCCTCGATTATTGTCTTGTATTCGTCTTCACTCTCCAAGAATTAGAGCTACCGCAGTCGCATCCATCGCCCCATCCTTGGCGCCCTTTCCCTTTTGGAAAGTAGCCAAGGATCATAGTGCCGGTGGATGCTGTCTTGGTTGTCTTAGGGAAACTGATAAAAATCCATCGTCTGCGTTCCTGGCGTGTACGATGTGAGCCAGCCCTTATTGTCGTAAACGAAGCGAAATTAGACAAGAACGCCGTCCGCTCCTTTCTGTTTCTGAGAGCGTGAGTCCCTTCTTAAGGACAAGAGGACGAGGGCAAAAGCAGTAGCATCACTAAGACTTCCACTAGACGTCTCATTGTTCTTAATAATACATGTCAATCTTCACTAGATCATGGTCTTCTCGAGATAGCGCTCACTTTAGTCGAGGGCGCGGACTTCAAGCGGCCGCTCCAACAATCAATATATTAAGTTCTTCATTATAACATTAGGCAATCAACATGGCTAAACTAGGAATAGAATATGGAAGGATGGAAGTGATGCACTTTATACCACATTACTACTAGTCAGTGCAAACTCTTCATAAACCCAGGAGCCCTTGCTGAGATTCATCACGCAGGTCTCCTCACTTTTCCACTTTTTCCATGTCCAACGGAACAGCTTGAAGTTGAGCTTGCAAAGCTTTTTGAGTGACGTTTTCTCCCTAGGCGTTTCCGCTCGAAGCTCCCGCAAATGTTCCACATTCTTAGACGGATTCAATTGAGTACGACTTTGCACCTGCTAGCATACATAGAGGAACTCACGACCAAGATACTCTGTCCGAAATCTCAACATAACTACGCTTTATTGTATGAAGTTAATAAAGTGGGGTAGTAACTGCGTGGAGGCTTCTTTGTAATTGTAGGAAGTAGGAGTTATTATATATATAGGTAGACTCAATATAGCTGTAGCGTTGTAGTTTTTCTTTTTCGTAGCACGACTAATGCAGGAGGGTGGTTCTGAGCAAGAAATTAGAAAAAGAATTAGCAGTAGCCTTAAAGCCGCTAGTATCCGCAAGGCTTTTCTTATAGCTATGCAGAGTATGCCCCCAAGTAAAGTAAGTATTTTGTTCAAGGTGAGAATTCTTAAATTCTTGACCACACTCCTGCGTGGAAGACTGCTGCTCCGCAAGAAAGGACAACGGCTTTATTGGAGAGACCGGATATTTGTCCTCGGTGTCGTCTTCTTTGCGAGTCATGTTCTTAGAGATCTAGGTAGTATACTTATATAATATCCTGTGCGTTTCACTGAATCTAAGGTGGTTGTGTGTCTTACATTGATTATCTGTAGTGGTTCTTGAATAATAGAGGTGTTGAAAGTGAGATGATGATATACATGATATATTATTGATATACTACAAGAACCTTAGTGAGAAAAACGAGACTCAGACGATGCTATACTACAGGACTACAAGATGAAGGCTCAAACGCTGTAGATTGGAGGCACTATTCTTTCAAAGCCATAAACTTGCCCGCGTTCGCCGGAGAGACTGGCAATGCCACGAAGCTGGACGTAAAGGCAGTGCGAACAGGTGAGGTAGTAGACGAAGGGACATTATTAGACCTTCTAAAAATCCATCTTAAAGCGCATGCTGGAAAAGGTTCCCCCTTTCAAAGGGTCCCGTGATGCTCGTCTTGAAGATGCATATGTTGTAGCCATAAATTTAGTGATGCTGATGTTGTAAGCAGCGAGATGATTTCCTTCCGGCTCATCAGCATCATGGCCACGCCCAGAATTGCTCCCTCTCAAGTAGTTTATATCTCGACCCCAAACGCCGGCAACTAGGCCGCCGGAAATGAGGAGGAGTTCGCGGACGAACATCTTCTTGTTCTTGGAGTTTCTGTTTTGACAGAAAAAAAGCGTGGTCTGTGTTGTTTTACTTGTTGTAGTTGAGGAGAAATCGCAGTCGTCTTAAGAACAAGCAAGTAAGGTCTAGTGATCTCGAACGAAAGTTCGACACCTATTTTTTTGTGAAGACGTTCAGTTTCAGTTTAGTTCACAAAGAAGCTCTTTTTCTTAGTGCAGCGAGCGAGTCCCGATAAATTAATCGTGACGTTGACTCCATGCCTTTTGATGCCAGTCTTTGTCTTAGTTTCTTTACTCTTCTACTAATTCACTCTTCATATCGAAACAACAACGAACTCAGAATGAGATCCGTCGAATAAACCATTTTCACTACAACTGCTAACGAACCGCCTTGATTCCTGACCACACGAACATTGACGAAGACGAGATAGCCATGTCTTCTATTTCGAAAGCCGAACGAAAGCGCAGCGATGAAGAGCATTAATGTCAGTGGTCGTTTGGTAAAATACCTCTCATGTAGTTAGAAGGGGCGAATTCGCAAGAAGGGGAATGGGGAGGGCTGAGGGCTTAGGGTAGGTGAGCGATCGACCTCCAATGTTGGTACTCTCGTGGCTTTTTCAAGAATCCCGACCACTAAATCTAAGGTCTTTTCAATATCAGAAATGTCGTCTTCTGCACAGAAATCCGCCACACTATTCACAACGACCCGATATCTTTTCCGAAAAATTAGCTAACTCAAAGGACTGTCTGTCTTTCTCTCTCGTCCTCGTCTCTCGTTTCATCTATTCACAAGGGACAAGCCGGAACCTTCCGAACATGGCAAACACGAAGAAAGTAGGGCGCAATGACTCCTACAGCGGAAAAATTGAAGATGAAAATGAATCGGGGGTAAACAACGAACTCATAAAAATACACCGCTTAGCATTGGTAGTTACAGAGCGCCGTAGCATTCTTGAGGGTGAAAAGTGTGCCTGCTGGAAAAGTCTTCAACATCATAGCACAAAGAAACAAACGCCAAGACCAGGTCCGATTTTACTCTTCTGGTCCGTATCAACAAGAACAACCTTGAGTCGTGTCCAAATAAAGTTCAAGCGCTCGTGACAGTCATGGGAATGGATTGTGCTCGTGCTGCGAATAGAAACAACTGCGAATAGAGAGGCGCAGCATGGTAGTCTTGGGTTGGCGACCACCTTTGTTAGGAATTAGGTAATTCTTGTTGCTGCAACTGATTCACCTTGCTGCAACTAGATGAAGTTCATCTGCAGCTCCTATCTCCACAAATCGCTAAAAAAGTACGAGCGCGCAACAAACTCTTTATGTGCGCCAGTACTGTTCGTACTCCAGTCGTAATGTAAGAATCTAAAATCGACATCAGTTCTCTTTCCATCTGCAATACCCTCAAGAAGCGCCTTTTTCTGGCCACGACAGTGCTCACTAAGTGCATCTGCGAGGGCGCGGTGATAAGGACTCAGATTTCTATCCTTAAAATCCGGTCGATACCAATCGAAAATCTTACTAGCATGAAATTGAATCCTCCTGCTGCTACTTCCACTAGCTTCCTCGACACATAGTACATTTCCACTATCCTCACAGAATGCGCCAGCCACTATTCTGAGCTCTTCATCGACAGCCTCAGCGGAAAACCATTTCACCGGAGGGCAAGACTTCGCGCCACAATTCAGAGCGAAATGTAAACGGTTGTCGATGCTGTCGGTTTTTAGAACATAGGAGGTTCGTTGATGTAGTTGTAGTAACCATCCAAAGCCGACCTGTCCGTCGTCTTCTGAAAATCAATGCTGTGAAAATCTCTTTCTGATAATTGAAACAGATTCTATCAACGTTGATCCATTTTTACTAGAGTAGTTAGCAATGTTCTTGCAGAGACACTAACTCGCATTTAAGAAACTTTCATAAATCCAAAGGCACCAATTGTCGAAACCGTTTTGGAGTTAAGGGGGGTAAAAGTTGAATGACCCCACTTCGGTTGTGGCGCAACAAACCATTCTCCATTTCGTGCAGTGAAAGCCGCACCCCATTCGCAAAAAGGTACTTAGCTGCGCTGAAGAAATTAGAGGTATAGGAAATTCATCCCAGTAGTCGTCTGCGTTTAGTTTATTCTTCTTGCTTTTTTTTCCAGATGACTCTGGGGGTGCATTCCATCTTGAGAGAGTACATCCTGGAGGGTCTCTTTTCCCCTTGAAAAGCCTCTCTCCTAGGATGACCCCTCTGAATATGGCCACTCATCTGCGTCTCATTTTCTTCTTGAGAACACTCTCACTTTCAGATGTCATGCCTCATTTGGAGATGATGAATTCCCTAGTACACTCAGTCATAAAGAAATGTAGTCGGGATAGATCCTCTCCCGGGATCCCCATTTCAACGAAAGCGTGTTTCACGAGTAAGTTGTAGCAATTGATCAGAAAAGCTTTGCGGGTTGCCAGTCTCGTTGCGACTTCACTGGCAATTTTTGCATCTTCGTTTTTATAGAAGTCATTGTGTAGCGCGACTCTTTGTAATTGCGCTACAGCAGCTCGAAAGAGATCGAAGTCGGGATCGAGACCTATTGCCAGATAGTCGACTAAACCGGAATCTGAATTGATGTGCTCTTTCTGCACGCGGTCGAATACTCGGTTAGCGCGCTTGAGGAGGACTAGACCCTCTGCTGTTAGAAAAAGAAACGGTCACTTTTTCAGTCAAGAACGAGGACGATGCTAACCCTGGTGAGACTCAGTGGGTAGAGAGAAGATGCTAATGAAGATCACTCATAGCTCATTATTTCGTAGTCAAGGACGATGACGACAATCTTGAGTAGAGAGATGCTAGCTTTACGTTTGTTGTACTTGCTGGAGGTCGTGTTAAGCAATACTTACTCTTCTCTTGTGAGCGGTTTTATGCCACAGAAGCACTTGTCTTCTTATGTTAAAATGAGTAGTAAAAATAGAAGTCTTCAACTCTTCTCTTGTGAGCGGTTTTATGCCACAGAAGCACTTGTCTTCTTATGTTAAAATGAGTAGTAAAAATAGAAGTCTTCAACTCTTCTCTTGTGAGCGGTTTTATGCCACAGAAGCACTTGTCTTCTTATGTTAAAATGAGTAGTAAAAATAGAAGTCTTCAACTCTTCTCTTGTGAGCGGTTTTATGCCACAGAAGCACTTGTCTTCTTATGTTAAAATGAGTAGTAAAAATAGAAGTCTTCAACTCTTCTCTTGTGAGCGGTTTGATGCCACAGAAGCACCTGCCTTCTTATGTTGTTGCTCGGGATAAACCTAATTTTGTCGAGGTGAAAACTAACCGGCTGAGTATGTTAAAATGAGTAGTAAAAATAGTCTTCAACATCATAATGCCATATCCACAACCGCATCCACAACCGCTTCCGTCTCCTTGCCTCCGCCATCATCAACTGCTCCAGCCAGTTTCCAAACATTCAGTGTGTATTCCGCAGGTTCGCGAGTAAATCCGCTGTGTGCTCGCAGTCTGTAATTCCGCTTCGGATCGAAGGCAATCACGAGCGGCGAACTCCGATCTTTGTTCTCAGAAGGGTGAGGATAGATAACCCCTGCATCTAGTAGAAGTTGGCACAGTAGTTGCGCTTTTCCATCGAAGATCATGTCCGTGTTCGTGTTGCTCGTCTCAGCACAACTTTTAGTAGAAGCACAAGGCAACAGTTCTCCTATCACTCCTCTCAACGTCTTGCCAGAAAAGGCGTAACGCGGTGCACTTGAAAATAGTCCTCCACTGCTAGACTTATTAGAGGCAAGTACAACTAGGGCTTTGGTGTTTCTGTTTCCCGTTCGTTCTGCCTTTCTCCCTTAGGAGAAGCAAAACAAACGGCAACACCAGGAACACCTTTACAACCTACGACCCTTAAATTTAGGTGGCATCAAGACTTTGGACAACTGTCGAACGATGTTGGCGTAAACGTGGATCCGACTATTCTTGTTATGCCGTAGTCCTGGAAGAACGGAAGGAGAAACCCCTTCTAAAATCGCATCCACAAGCCTACGTTCCGCCTGAGTTGCCAGCCATGCCTCAGACAGCGAACTTAATAGAGAAGTTCTTGAGTCAGCATTTTCTTCAGCTTCTGTTCTTTTGCTAGAATCGAAATACGCACTCAACTCTGAATCAATCTTCTGATCTTCTGGTCTGGCACTGGAACGTGGCTCATAGGCTGGACGTAAGAGGCGGGGATCCAAGTTCTCATCGGTTTCCGTTATCGTCCCACCATCACCACTGGCAAAAAACGCCTCCAGGTCGTCAGCTCCTCCAATGTGCTTAGCTCCAAAAAAGATCTGAGGCACCGTGAAACGGTCCGTCAGTGCGATCATGTCTGCACGCTTCTCAGGATAGTCAGCAAGGGAGATCTCCACCACCTTGGTTGTCGCATCATCCACAACTTTCTGGCGCATGAGAGCTTTCGCCCTCATGCAGTGAGGACACCCGTCCAAGGAGAATATCGTAATCACCGGAGCAGATGACATCTTTGCTTATCTCAACAACTATAATGATTGATTGACTGATTGCTCGACTAATTGACTGATTGCTTGACTGACTAATAAATTGTGGTTGATTGGCTGATTGACTGATGTGACTACTCGTTAGGTAAGGGGGTAACTAGTAGTTCCCTTATGTACAAATGGTGGCACTAGTTAATGCTAGAATGCGCGAAGAAGTTGTCCTCTGAGTTAAGGTGGAAGAACATTTTTTCACTAGAGTCGTTGCTTGGGGTAGAGGTCTGTAGGAACTTTTAGATGGGCAAATCAAAGTAAAATTGCAACAGATTCATCGACCATTCAAACTAAGTGGAATGATGTCTCTCTCTATGACTGTCTCGTGGTCGTGATTGATAGGATATCGCTCTCTGACTCACTACGGACACAGATTCATTTACCCAGCACGAGGTGGTGCCAGAAAATGCTCACTGGGTAACCCTATCTAGAACCCCGATTGTCGCTCTCTCCCTGTCAAAATGGACATCATGCAGCCAAATGGACAGAATACAGAAGTCGAAAATGTTGAGAACCGTCACTCCCTAGGACTAGTACAGAATACAGAAGTTGGTCGAAGTCACAATTGTCTCATTGTCTCGCCAACAAATAAGAAGAGACTAAACAGCAGAAGTTTTCACTATAAGCGTCACTTTGTTTCTCTCTGCATGGACCGAACGAAGTCGGACTACATGTCATAAGTTGAGCATGGACGAGACAAAATACAAAAATTCTTGAGGTGCAAGAACGTCGCTCCGTACGTTTCGGCTTCTAGTGTTTGTTTCTTGGACTCACATCTGTAAGTCAGCGAGAGCACTGTATACAACATTTCTAGTCGGTGAATCTGAAAGATTCTTTCAGATTCAAATCGTCACTTTTCTTTGAATCAACATGAGCTTGTCTAAAACTGTTGGATCGAAGAAAGCTGATCTTCTTACTTCTACTCCAGCGCCTTCTACTTCCGTGCACGAGTGTAAGAAAATGCTGCACCTCCATGCTGTAGCTGTAGCTCTAGCTCCTACAAAATAAAGGCACTCAGACGACGACTAGAAATGCCTCAACCTCCTAACGACAACTAGGAATAGAGTTTCTTCTCATGTAAGTTGTAGTTACTTTCTTCAGGTGAATATTGACAACATCGAATTTTACAGAAGAAGGATGAAGACTATTAAGCAGACCCACCTTTACAAATCAGAACTATCTTGATGTCAGCAAACAACGCACACTCTTCGAACTCGAGCCTTGATACTTATTAAAAACTTAGAGGAAAACAAGGCAAACGAAACAGGTCATGGAATGAGTGGGTATTCGTCTTTCCTCTACTCAAACCAACGCGCAACCCCATTAGCGTATCGCGGTGCAGCTCTAGCAGCCGCGTCACAGCAATCCTGCCTGCACAAGGAAGGCGCGCTGCGCCTTCCGTCGATGCGGGGAAGAATTACTGTTAGGCGAGCTGCCACAGGTTTTCTCTCCCTCTGTAGTTTCTATTCAAAAAATCTGGCCCCGACTCTCCTCCCAGTTTTAGTCTTCTAGATTGGTGTGCGCTGCTTCGCTTCCATCTTCAGATATTCCTAGTGTGTAGGGTAGGGTGTGATAGGGTAGGATTGGGTCGGATAGGATAGGATAGGATAGGGTGCCTTTGCTAGGTCTTCACACAAGATGCTGACGAGAGCGCGGGCGGAGCGCCCCAAGGAGGACGCCAAAGGAACGTGGTGATCGCTTCTGGGGACGTACTTAATCTTCAAACAGAAGATATTTCAAAAAACCTTCCTCCTACCTACCACCCTCCAAAACTTCCAACCTGCCTCCCCCAAGTATTAACTTACCTCAAGTAGAACGACCCGAAGCACGGAGTAAGCGGCCCCCGTAATATCATGTGCGCACCTGCACTGAAAATAAGCGGTAGCACCGACCATACTATTTCGAGCGTGAGTCTCCACCCATCGTGGTGGTGCTCGTGCTGGACAGGTATAGAAGTTCAGTTTGGAAAAGTGCTGTGCCACACGAACTCGCCACCATCTAGAATCTTAGAAACACCAAGAAGCTACTACCTCCCCAGAAGATCAACACTGCTCAGAAGAAGAAGAAGAAGAAGAAGAAGAGCTAGTTCCTGTAGCTAGTAGTTGCAAGAACTTAGACTTACTTCCCGCCCTGTACTTAGTAGCTAGATGACATTCTTCTCTATTAGCTAGATGACGCTCTCCTTTAGTAGCTAGATGATTGCCCTTCCCCTTTAGTAGCAAGGTCAACACTCCTCGCTTGGGAGAACGCTTCGACCGTTTTCAGGTTTTCTTAGTGGCGGATAGATTCTGCTTTACGGCTTGTTCTTCGAGTTCAGCTAATCTCCATAGTAGTAGCAGTGGTAAGCCATTTCCCCGTATGGAGCTGCTCCATCATCTCGAAGCAAGGAGGCCCAACCATATGCTGTTAAACGTTATGTCTTCTATGACCCTACTTCGCACGATCGAAACTCTTACGTTTTAATACGGCAACAACCTGTTTTTAAACGGGCCCTGGATGATAATGCTGAGTCTGTATGACGGTTCGATAACATAATGCTGGTGTTGTAATGTTGATGATTATGAACTTAGAAGTAGAAAACAGATTCATGATTTAGTAGGACACGCAACGCTACTGTTGGTGGTAAGTGAAGTAAATTCGTTGTAATCGGTGAAAGTTTGTTTGTTTGTTCTTGGGGTAATCAATGAAAGCTCTTGAAATATCACGGTGCCGCTTCTGTTCGTATTTGTCAAAAATGAAAAAAAATGAATTTGAACGATATTGAGATGGACGAATATTGCGCCATCCTGTATCAAAAATCCTCACGGCCTCAGAGTCTAAGCCAGAGGGCGTTTAACAATAAATCTCGAGTGCCTCACACACTTAGTCCTTCAGCCCTCTAACCTGGTGCAAAACTCTACCGCTACCTTGTCAGAGGACGTGATCTAGAGCTAAGTCTAGAACCTCAGCTGACTCCTGCTTCTAAAAGTTATCCTATGGGTGCGCTTTTTACATCTAGGCAGACCATCGAGGCCCCCCTTCTACCTACACACTTTCAAGCGAAAAAGCGACAGCCTCGGTGGCCCTACATATGGAAAAACGTCACCCATATACCCAACTACAACTTCAGTAAACTGTACGTCTTCAAGCTCAACCAACTCTACGTCTTCAAGTTCAACCAGCTCTACGCATTCAAGTTCAACCAGCTCTATGCCTTCAAGTTCAACCATCTCTACGTCTTCAAGCTCATCAACCATCTCTACCTCTTCAAAACAACTCCAAGTCTTCAGTCAGAATCTCAGGCAGAGCCCTTCGCCGTCGCTGATAGCCTCCTACCGTGTTTTGAGTCATGCAACAACAATCACAAGCGCAAGGCAATGAATGAACAAATGGTCGGTGGAATACATCAGCCCATGGCAGTGAGAAAAAGAAAAAAAAAGCCCTGATGTGCATAACCCTCCCAGGGGACGACTCAGGCGATATTTATATCGCAGCACCCATACGGATGACCTGGGCCGATCAAGATCAAGCTCAAAGCAACTATAGAAGCCATGATTGTCATATTCACAAGAAACATGAGGTCACGGATGATTAGCTGGCAGCCTGTGTCCCACGTGTGGGTCTTGAGTGCACAGTTATTTCTCGACAGATGATTTTGATTGATACGCCCGAAGATCTCTAATTTTTCAACTCCTGCTACCTCTTGGTCTGTGTTGAGTTTGTAGCTGACAGCAGCAGCACTCATGACTGGCGCCAGCCCGTCTTTCTTAAAAAATTATAAACGTGGCTCACTTTCTCAATCCTCAATGGGTCACGCCGTGCAACAGCCTTCGGAGATCCCCTAAAATGTTACAACCTAAGAACCCGCTAAGGCTCGTCTACAATTGAGTAGCTTGAGAGGCTCTTTTGTCATTGTTAAATGGCTTTCCGACGAACGAAGGCGGGAAGGCGACCGCCCCGAAATGACGGAAGCGGCCCGTCTCCACAAGACAAGAAAGACAGCCCTGGAAACGATAGGGAGTCACATGGCGCCAGTTACCCAGTTCACAGCCGGCAGACGTGCACAGGTGGAGGCAGAGGCCAAAGACTTCCGAAGACAGGGCCCCGAGGCACAGCCAGAGGGGAAGGCCGACAGACTTGCTGTAGGTAGCCTCAGCGGACAAGGAGTAAACAAGTCCGAACAGAGAAAAACCGAAAGGACAGCCGCCAAGAAAGAGCAAACACGAAAGCCCTGCACTTCACGACTGCACGACTGGGGCAAAGCACGCCACCAAGCCAGCGCGCCGTCCCCAGAAGGAAGTCCGGCGCGTAGGACGGAGTCTGGGACGCCGAGGGCGGGCGCTGCCAGATGTTCCAGGCTGCACCCCTGAGCGTACGAAACTGGTAGAGTGTCAGCAGCTGGCACCCCCAAGGTGTCCGAGATCGTGGCAACCGCAAGCCCCACGGACGGCGGTGCCGATGTACATCGACGACGCAAAGTCCCCCCCTACCTACAAGGAGCCGGCGAAGCAATAGAAGGGCGCGAAGCGCTTTGCGATTGCCTCAGCCTCGAGCTGGCAACAAAAGCCAACGCACCACAAGACTCGAGTAGAGGGCCTCTCGCGCGCATCCTCAGGCCACACTACGACACGACGCCAAAAACAAGCACCGGCGCCGCAGTGCCAGAATGATCAAGCACGCCACGCACCGGGGTGGCAGACGAGCTCCGACAAAAAGCCAGAGCCAGAAACCTACACAAAAATAAAAGCCACGCAGCAGCTGCTCAGTCTAGCTCTAGCGAACTTCGCCACAGCATCAGCTACCAACAAGGCAAGGGGCGAGATATTTATAACCCAACGCGTGGACAGAAGCCACCAGCTTCGAAAAGATGCCACGGCAAAGGTGGCAACAACAAGCACCCCGCCACGCCACCACATCCACAGCCACCGACAAAATCGCCGCGAAGGTGAAAAAGCTAGAACACAGGCGGAGGCAAGGCGCGAGGCCGCTGGGCTCCCTGCTCACGGACGACGCCCCAAGCAACAGATGGCGGCCCACAAAGGGGGCCGGCTACCAGCTACGTGACGGCGCACCATAGCGGCGAGACCCTCACCCAGGTGCAACCACCACAGGCAAAAGCCTGGAAAAGCATACGGGCCGAAAGAAGTGCCCGAGGCGGCGGCCGTAGGATTGGCAGCTAAGCAGCTACACACCCAGGCGAGCACCTCCGGCCTAGTGGCTGGCCCTACTAGGAAGCGCCCCGGTGTTCTACAGCTTCGCAAAGTGTGGCAGCAAGGGGGCCTGCAGCTGTGGCAACCACGGCGTTGGGCGGCCTGGGCCGACGCCGTCAGCCGCGGCTGGCATGACAGCAATGCCAAACCTTGACGCGTGTACACCGCGCCAGAGTCGAACCTGGGCGACTACATGACGCCACGGACGCGACACAAAAGAGCGTGGAACCCCTGCGAAGGCACGGCGCGCGCCCAAGCTGCAGACGGTTCAGCAGTCCAACAGCGCCCGCCTGTGGCTGGCTCGCTGAACTATGTGGGCGCCCGCCTTCTCCTCCCGCCACCTCTGCCCCCGGGGCGCGCCCCTCCTCCGTGGGCAGACAGGCTGGTAAGAGTCAGCAGCCACCCCAGCACCACACGGGCGCAGGTGCTGGCCAGCGCGGAGCCCTGGCGCATCATTGTGCAAAGGCCCGCCGACAATCGTTGTCGTTCTAGCGTTAGCAACACCCCTTCGACAAGTGCGGGCCCCCAACCGCCCCAAGAAGCAAGAGCCCAGCCGGTGCCCCCGGGAGAAAGTGCTGGCGAGAAAGCGATAAGGGCGCGGAGCGGCCCTTCTTCACCAAGACAAGCCAAACCGGGGCGACACGTGGCGGAGCGCGAGCTCAGACCCCCGCGGGCAAGCCGACGCGCGCGGGCCGGGGGTTCAAAGCTGCCTCACCTCCCCGCGAGGAGACAGCGCTGCCTACGGCGGGGGGCTGGCTGCGTACTTCGGTCAAAGTGCCGGCGTCGACATGACCCGCGAGCACCATGCGCGGGAAGTGGTGGCTGGTTCCCCGGAGGCAGTCTTGGCGCCTAGACCCCAGCTAGACCGCGGGGGGGGTTATGCACTCCGAACGCTGGCGCCCCACTTCTACGGGGCGGCAAAGGACCCCCGCCGCGCTCCGTGGCCATATTGCGGGCCTTAGGTGCAACGACCGGCGCCGGCAAAGACTCGGGCCCGCTGCGCCAGCCTACCGCGCTGCCACCGCACTAAAGGCATCAGCCCGCCCGTATATGAGGACCCCCGCCGGCTAAGTCCCCGGCTTGTATCTTGTCAGCCAAAGCTAGAAACGTGATAACCCTTACTGCCCACTTTTCCATGAGCCTGACTTGCGGGAGCCTTCGAAACTACTTTGACAGGTGAAGACTATGGGCATGGCCGTGGATCATCTAGTAAATTTTTTCAAAAACTTTGTATTGCTTTATCTTGTTTCAATATTTCTACACGATCTTTCCTTTTAGCAGTGTCTTATTCTATTTCCTATCTTCTTCGAAGAGCTTCGTCGCGTTTCGCAACATCGTTCGAACTTCCATTCATATTGAAGCCATCCATAGGCCCTAAGCCCCAAAAACCCTAACAAGCTCCCCTAAGCCCTACTATCCATAGGCCCTAAGCCCAGAGAGCCCCGAATTATAAGCCGCCCCTAAACCCTGCTACCTCTAGACCCTAATAACCCCCAAGCCCTGCTATCCAGCATAGGCCCTAAGCCCAAAAATCCGAATTATAAGCCCCCCGCGAGCCCTGTTACCCAGAGGCCCTAAGCCCTAGAAACCCAGAGAAGACCCCCTTAGGCCCTGCTGTTCATAGCCCCTAAAAACCCGCAAAAACCCCCCTCATGAACCCTAAGAACGCCCCGTCCATGCGTAAGCCAGGAAGACAGTAATTCCTCCTATCAGGATGAGATACGCTGCAGCTATTGCAAGAGGGACGCAAATAAGTCCAGCCGACAAAGCACAAAAATAATAGGCGGCAATTTTCGCATCAACAACACTCAAGGACTTCTTGCGGGGCTCACCAGGCCCAGCCAGCTCTCGGTACGAGTTGCCTATCGTGGTACTAGTGCTGCCTGCGTCCGAGCCCGACTGTCCGAAAATCACCAAATGGGCAAGATGGTCGTAGCAAGAACTGTTAGAGATGTCCATATCCGCAAGTGCCTTCATCTTACATACGACAGGGATGGGAATGCAACCAATTGATGAGGAGGAATCCCCCCACAACTCCTGTGGGCTACGTGCGTACACCTCTGGAGCAGATGTTACTGGGATTCCTCATCGTCATAGGAGGCATTTTCCAATAAGCTCCGAAGCGGAGAGAACAGTGCACGAAATACGGGCTCTGGCATAAAGATAATCGAAGAGAAAAGTAGTCCTATGAATGTGTGCGGCAATAACCCCCAAATTCCAGTACTATCACTAAACAAACCCAATCATAAATCATGCGAAAAAAACTCGAGAGCCATCTTTATCAATATCATCTCAAATATTAAATAATAGACAGCCCACGATTGAAGCGATGAGCCTTAAAACCATTGGCATCAGGTGCACCGCCCTCCTGCGTGACCAAATGATAACTCTCCTTCCCCATTTCCCTTTGGCTGAATAGTTCCTCGTCAGTGTTGTCTACAACAGATGGCGCGCCACTTTCACTTGTATCGGACCAATTTTTAGAGGAGTGACGTAGCTTCGATCAAAAATGTTCATTAGACAATGAAAGGATCATGATGAAAAAACAACGCCACAGCTTAGTAGCGTTGTTACTGTTGGCGCCCCCTTGTTTATTTCCGCTGGTGTTGCTGCTGTTTCTTCATGTCAATGTCTTCCCTTTGATTTTATCATCTCTTTCGACATTCTAGAAAAAACAAAAGGAGGCGCAAGAGCCATTCATTGAGGAAATGTGGAGACAAAGTGAAGAATTGGCAAACGACTTACAAAGGCCGCCCTAACTTTTACCGTCGGTTTTTCTGCTTGTTTTTCAGCATCTTCAGCATCCTTCACGCCCTTGATGACACTGACGAAGAAGCTACGAGAGCCAGCCGCACCACTAGGAAGAAAAACCACAGCGCCAGTCCCCTGCTTTTTCTTCATTTCCTCAAATAAATAGCCGACTGTGCTGGTTTGAAAATTAGACAAACAAGACTTCTACGAAAATAATAACTTCGTTTTAGTTTCATCTCAATAATGCACAGATAATTAGGGTCGCCGTGCTCAGCGAGCAGCCCTTACAGCATCTGCGAAAGAAAATGCTCGACCAGCCACAAGAACGCACGAGAGAAATAAATGAGAGGACGCTATGAGTTGGTGCAATCAAAGAAATCAAATCCAAAGTCATCCGAAATTCCAAAGAGAGAAGGGAGCTACTGAAAATATACGAAGAGAAACAGAAGGGCTAGGGTGCTTCGTTGCCCTTCGTTATGGGGAAGCAGATGTCGAAGACAATTATATACAACTACACGCCCCGAGGCTCAAGCCCAAGGCCCACCATGGCCTCCGCCGTGAATCATCGCCCTAATTGTGCATGACAGTCTTTTATGAGTTACCGAGGCCATAATGATGCGCTCACAGGGTTCTCCGAACTTGGCAGCAGCCTTCGCTTTGATGCCTTTACCATTTTCTCCGATAGACTTCTTGCACAGCTTTTGTTAGAGCTTCCTTGCAGGTTGGCGGCCGTTCTCGCTCAGTCATCTTCTTGAACAAGGTCGCGCCCTTTCCACCCTGCCGGCATCGATAGCCACTGAAACTGAAAGACCAAACAAACCGACACGCGCCCCCCCTTCCCAGCAAATGTGTATCAGTGTAGTTTAGCTGAGGCGCGTCCTTGAAGGTGCTGACAGAAATGGGATTAGGAAAGGCCCCATTTTGCTAGGTAGGGCTGTCGACGCGGCGCCAGACTAGCCCGCCAGCGGCGCATCGGTTTCATGCGAACTCATGGAAAGAGAACACCCGAGTTCGCTGAGTAGTGACCGAAAGACGAGCTAGCAACGATATGAAAGCGCGCGACACTCGCCAGATGCCACAACGGGCGAGTGCATCACGCCGCAGGGAGGGGCGAGGAGGGAGGGCAAAAAAAATGGAACGCCGAATGGAATAGAGAGCACAAGTTAGGCGCCACTAAATGCACGCACTGAAAACGAACGCCGAATACTAAACACCACGCACGCCGGGCGCCAGCCGAGCGAAGTAGTGCACAGCCCTTCTACTCGGCCAGGGCTTGCCCCGTTGCACCAAATAGATTTTCTTTGAAAAGTGCAGCCAGGTGCAAGGCCTGGCGCACACCGATACGCCCCGGCGATCGCGTGGCCGTAAGCCTTCGGCGTCGTGGACATTCGCAGACAGGCAGCTGCTGAGGGCACCTGGCTCGCCGTCCATGGGGCCAACCTCCGACGCGGAGGCGTGAGTGAGGCAAGGGGTGCCCGAAAGCGGCACTTTTTGGCCAAAAACATGACGGGCCACTTTTTTGGGTGCATTTTGCGCCCCTTTTTTGAAAAAAAGCGACCGGGTCATTTTGCGAGGACCGAAACAGCCCCACCCAGTGGGGGCCAGGGGGTGCCTTTTTAAGGCTGCCCTTTTTGGCCCAAAATGGTCGCCAAATGGCCCAGGCCGTTTGGGGTGTCAGAGTGGGCCCTTTTTGTCCCCCTTTTTGACACCCCTCCAAGGTATCTCCGAGCCGAGCCTCCCAAGGGTTGGGACCCCCCTGGCGGCGGTCCTTGGGAGGGGAGTCCCGCTCCGAGGGTTCACACACTGCCAAGCTATCGGGATGGCCCCAGCGGTCCCAAAGAGGCTGGGCCCTGACTTGACAGGCTAGCAAAAGTAGAAAAAAAACCTACGTGGTGCAACGAGTAAAGCCCTGGTCTAATACTAGCTATGCCGGGCGCCTTCGCTATTCTTCCACATCAATAACTGGGCGGGCCCTCTGATTCTGATGGACCAACAGGAGCAGCATGACAATAGCACAGACAAGATAAGCACTCGCGACACTCCTGCACACCGATTGCCTTAATCTTGAGCCACGTCGAAAAGCTGCGGCGTCAGAGCGAGCGCAAATACCTGCTCCAAGCCATTTGTCGGGCTGTACGGGGACGGCAACGGCTTCAGCGGGTCGCCGCCTTTCGTATCCTTCTTACGACCACGAGAGCCAAATAAGAGGCTGCCTACCCTACCGCGGGGGTGGAATTTGTCTTCGTATACGGTCAAGAAACCTCGCGGGTGTGGTAGAAAGAGTGCACAATAGTGGTAGGTGGGCCTAAGTCTGGATGAGTCAGAGAGAAAGGGCAGGTGGGTTCATCGAGAGTGAGGACACAGACGAAGCAATCGTCTTGAAGAATGATGGCTACTATGGAGAGCCGAAAAAGCTAGCGAGTCTTCATTTTGTTAAAAAATTCAAGGGGGCGCGGCACCCGTTTAAAGTACTTAAGTAGCTGAGCAGCTTGTTAAGTTTGACCCAGCAGCGGACGCACGCGCGCGAAGGAAGAGGTAGGCCAGAGCCTGAGCCACCTACCCACTTCGACGGCCAGGCTCGATCAGCGGGTGTCCAAGGCGCTGCCAAGCGCTTGGAAGGATGAGCCGACCTTGGGCCCTGGAGTCCACTGGCCTGGCCCCAAGCCAGCGGTCTCCGCCTCGCAAAGTCGGCCCATTTAGAGCCAGAAATCGCCTTGCCACGCCCGCAAGAGAGCATGGCCGTCAGAAAGAGTGGCTCGTGACTCAGGTTCAGGCCTGCCTCCTTGTTCAGCGCAATGCGGTCTGCTGCTGCGCCTTTTACTAGCTACTGCACTTACCTACTTAAAGTAGCTACCTTGACCCTCCTGAAATTTTTAACAATTTAGGAGTTAACTTTTTAGGGCCGCCATAGCTTTAGCTACCTACTCGGGTGCTAAGACTCAAAGAAAAGCGAGGGGCGCGAAGCAATGGAAGAAGGCTGCTGAACACTGTCAAGGCCCCTCCCAATCTGTTGAGATTTATAGAGGTAGAAAACTCAGCGAGGAAAGCGCCACGGGGTAAGTGTTTAAGCCTGTCGGGGTCGTTGCTATAGCTATTCTGTCACGCGTGTTCCACTTGAAGGATAAAGATAGAGGGCGGCTGAGTAATCATAGCTATAGCTAGGAAAGTACGTCGTCGACGTTAACAATGCGCGGTATGACATGACAGCGAAGACCTGCCTTATACTTCAAACGCA